GCTACTCTAAATGTGGGTTGCGGGGCTTGTCGGGGCAGATTTTAACAAAACTATCACCGCCCGTCAACCGGCTACAGCGGGTTTCGGGTTCCCCGGAAACCGTCAACAATCCGGTCAAATGGATTTAACCTGCTAGGTAAATGATCGGGCCCGGGCGGGTACCCGAAATTCGGGTCCAGTTGCCAAGCCTACTCGCATCACAATCCTTCCACCGAGGAAATCAACAAGACAAAAGAGCTGGCAGCAGCAAGGCACTCACGCAAGGAATGGGGTTAGCGAGAAATTTTGGTGAATGTACTGAAGGAGGGAATTAAATGGACCAAGTCCATTGTCCTCTAGTGATTGGGGTTAACAATGCACACATGGGAGCTTGACATCACGTGCAATCCACCTTAACTATGATTGAGGTTCATCGACTGATTACTAAGGTGAGTGTAAAGGGGTAAATTCTACGCCTTATGTGTTCTTCAAGTATTTTCCTTAAGCATTTTCAAGTATTGATTTACGTGATGTATGTGCAGTATTTGATTCATGTTTGAGACTGCATGATTATGTTTGATGATATCTGTTTGGTTGATCTGTGATTTGAAGTGAATTGTGGATGAGTTTATTTCTTACTTGAAGCTTTACGTTTATGAGTTAGTGTTAAAGTTTACGAACAAGTACTTTTTAAGAAGTAACTCACCTTCAAGAAGGTGAAGTCGTTTTAAGTGTTTTTAGTCACTAGCGCCAGTCCGTTGCCATTTGAGATTTTCAGATAGAGCAACAGATATGCTCTTCAGACTTTTAAGATGAACAGCAGTTATGCTCTTGAGATATTTTAAGATGAGCAACAATTATGCTTTTGAGAATCGTGGAAGAAGAGCCTTCGCCCTTCCGCGATAAGTTTAAGTTTAAGAAAAGCCTGGATGGCTTTTCATACGTATGAGTTGGCAACCGGACTAGCTAGTGAGGGATCCCCGTGTCATTCAAGAATTTAAGTGGAGATTTGAGCTTTAAGAGTATAGTTTTAAGAGTTAAGATCTTTAATAGTGGAAGTACAAAACAACTTCTGCTGAGTTAAGTAAAGTGATCAAGTATTAATAAGATGTTAAAACATAAGGGCGTAGACGGACCCCATCTCACTCACCAGTTTGAAGAGTTAGAGGAAGAGCTAGAGGACCATTTAGTGAGCAGCGAATTCGAGGGCAAGCAGCAAGAGGAGGGCAGTATAAGCGTCACAGAGGATGCTTAGTCAAGGTTTCAGTAGCAACAACATTAGAGATTATTAGTTATTTACATTTATGATTATGAGTATAGACTTGAGATCATTTTGAGATTTTAAGTATTGAGTTTGCCCATGTGTTAGGGCGTTGCTTTGAACTACAAGTGCGTGTTTTCAGTAAATTTTATGTAGTAAAATTTTTCCCAGTTTCAATTTAAGATTTGAGTATTTTATTTATCAATGGCATTTTAGTAAAAGTAGTACCTGGCCGGGTTAGGGTGTTACATGACCACTCTCTGGCACATGATATTGGGTTATATGAGTGAACGAGGGATGCAAGTTTTGTCGAAGAGCGATCATCTTCATGGGCACAAGGTGCCGAATTTGGAATTCTATGAGCATTGTGTGTTTTGGAAGCTACATCGCATCAAGTTTCCTAAGAAGAGTATCCACCGAACGAAGGGGATACTGGATTACCCCCACTCTGACTATTGGAGTCATTCACGACTTGAACCATTGGAGGCAACAAGTATTTTCTGTCTATTGTTGATGATTACTCAAGATTTCCTGGAATTTTCATGATGAAGCAGAAAAGTGAAGCCTTCACGAAGTTTAAGCAGTGGAAGACTTTGGTGGAGAATCAGACAGGGAAGAAGATCAAGAGACTTCAAATGGACAATGGTCTGGAGTTTTGTAATTTAGAGTTCAACAAATTATGCAAGGATGAAGTGATTGCCCGTCAACGGACCGTTAGGGACACACCACAATAGAATGGCGTTGCCAGAAAGGATGAACCAGACATTCTTGGTGAGATCAAGGTGCATGCTCACTAATGTTGGACTAGAGAGGAGGTTCTGGATAGTAGTAGTAAACATGGCATGCTACCCTTATCAATCGTGGACCTCACACAGGTATCGAGTGTAAGACTCTTGATGAGGTGTGGTATGGTAAGCCTGCTGATTACTCTTCACTGAAAGTTTTTGGTTGTCATGTTTACTATCATGTGGATGAAGGTAAGCCGAATCCAACATCAAAGAAAGGTGTTTTTGTGGGTTTTGGTGATGGAGTTAAGAGATTTCGAGTCTGGTCACCTTCTGAGCATAGAGTCATACTTAGCAGGAATGTGATATTTGATGAGAAGTCTATGTTTAACCCCCCATGTTGAAGGTTACTATTGTTGGAGACAACAAGAATATTGATAAACAGGTGGAGCTGCAAACTCTCAAAGAGAGTGAGTTTGAGCACTAAGGTGGAGAAGATCAACATGAGGATGTTTCTGATGAGCCAGAAACTTCAGAGTCCAGTGTAGGAGCTCAACAGTCTATAGCTTCTGGTAGACCAAAGAGAGCGACTGCAGGAGTACCTCCACAAAGGTATGGCTTCGAGGACATGCTGGCGTATGCTTTTTAGCTTGCTGAAGAGGTAGGTGCGGGTGAACCACAGTCCTACAAAGAAGAGTTTCTTGTGGCGAAGCCGCTTAGTGGCTTGCTGCAATGGGGGACGAGATGGAATCCCATGATAGGAATCAGACTTGGGAGTTGGTCAAACGTCCACAGGGAAGGAAGATTGTTACAAAAAAAGTGGATATACAAGAAGAAGGAAGGAATGGCTTATGAAGAGGGCATGAAATTTAAAGCTCGGGTAGTTGCAAGAGGCTTCTCGCAGAGGAAAAGAGTTGACTACAATGAGATCTTCTCACTAGTGGTCAGACACATTTAGATCAAGGTGCTACTAGCAATAGTGGCACATTATGACTTGGAGCTCGAGCGGCTAGACGTGAAGACAACTTTCCTACATGGAGAGTTGGAGGAAGAAATTTACATGACTCAGCCAGAAGGATTCCAGGTTCCAGGAAAAGAAGACTATGTTTGTAAGTTGAAGAAGTCCTTGTATGGACTTAAGCAATCTCCAAGGCATTGGTACAAGAAGTTTGACAGCTACATGCTTGAGCTGGACTACAACAAAAGTCCCTATGCTTGTTGTGTATATCACAGCAAGGCAGCGGATGGTTCGATGCTATATCTGGTTCTATATGTGGATGATATGCTCATAGCTGCGAGGTTGAAGTCTGATATCGAGAATTTAAAGGGGCTTCTTAGTGCCGAGTTTGAGATGAAATATTTGGGAGCTACTCAGTAGATTTTGGGTATTGAGATTTACAGGGATAGAGAGAAGAAGAAGTTTTTCTTGTCATAGAAGAGCTACATCCAAAATATACTGTCCAGGTTTGACATGTCTCCAGCAAAGTCCTTGAACAATCCTAGTGCTTCTAATGTTCATCTATCCTCGGTTTATGCACCGCAATCAGAGGCTAAGAAGAAGCACATGTCGTGAGTCCCATGTGCTAGTGCAGTTGGTAGTTTGATGTACGCTATGGTGTCTGCACTAGACATGATCTTGCACATGTTGTTAGTGTTGTCAGCAGGTTCATGATACAACCTGGAAAGGAGCATTGATAGGCTTTGAAGAGGATCTTCCGGTACCTTAAGGGTACATCTGATGTGGGGATTAGCTTCGTAAGTGATACGAAGTGCTTAGTGGCTGGTTATTCATATTCTGACTATGCTGGAGATGTTGACACGAGGAGATCGATTATCGGTTATGTATTCACTCTAGGGAGTTCTGTAGTGAGCCGGAAAGCAACTTTGCACACGACAGTGACATTGTCTACTGCTGAAGCAGAGTACATGACGTTGACAGAAGCTTCTAAGAAGGGAATATGGTTGAAGGGACTGGTTGGTGATCTGGGTCTACATCATGATCAAGCAGTGGTGTATTGCGACAATTTGTGCGCGATATGCTTGCCTAAGGATCAAGTCCACCATGAGAGGACTAAGCACATGGACATGATGTATAACTTCTTGAGGACAGAGAAGAGGATTAAGGTGAAGAAGGTTGGTACCGCGGATAATCCTGCTGACATGTTCATGAAGCCGGTTCCACATGGCAAGTTCCAACACTACTTGGACTTGCTGAATGTCTTAAGTGGGTGAATTCGTCCTAAGGGACATTGATGGCAGAAGGGAGAGAAGGATCAGAGTACATTGGAGGTTTCCGAGGAAGAGGATTTAAGTCAAGGTGGAGATTTGTTGATGTGACTTGAATCGGACAATCAGCTGCTACGATTGGAAGTCACGAGGGTCTCGCAGTCCCGTCAGCGAGTGCGGTCCAGGGGCAACGCCCCCCCCCCCCCCCGGCCACGATGTATGAGCTCAATGTTATTTGAGTTCGAGTTTTCGGTCTGGTTGTAACCGCTTTTCCTTTACCGGATTGGATTAGGGTTAGACCTTGAAAAGATACTATAAATACTAGTGTTATTAAAGCCGAGCCCGGCCGCTCGGCCCGACCGGTAAAACCGCCACCCGGTCACAAAATCAGCTCGGAAGAGTCTAAAAGCCGCTCCGGTTTTATGTAGCGGTTGGCGAGCGGCCGAGGCGGTTAACCCTTCGAGCCGATCGAGCCGCTCGTCCGGTTTTTTCCATTCAGCCACTAAATTTAATTAAAAAAATTGTAGAAAATTGAAAATTAAAATAAACCAAAAACATCGGGGCTCTCAAATTGAATCCTTATTTTCATTTCACAATTTCGAAGGAAAGAGATGAGCTCTGATTAAGAAATGTCCACTATTTATACTGATAACGTTTATTAGATACCGGTTCTCTAACGGTTTTTAAACGGTCTAATGTCGGTTGGACCGCTAAAGTGCGAGTCGTTCGTATTACCGGGTCATGCTTCGGTTCGGTTCTGACAACATTGATAAATACTATAAATACTCCTCTGTAATCTATAACATCTCAAAAATATAGTGAAAACTGGCTCTCTCCTGCCCCTTAACTAGGTAACACACATTGTGTTAGTGAACCACGTAAATCGTGTGCCGTGTTTGCACATACCTAATTAATACATAAATTCCTCAATTTGATGAATATCTAGAGTTGTAAGTTTGATTGTCATGATGTCATCCCTACCTCAAACGCCAGCTCGGATAAAAAGCTCGCATTTATTTCATTCATTATGGAAAAGGCTCTCGTTTAGATTTTCCCCGTAAATTTGGGAACGCGTCGGAGGAAAAGCTCTCATTTCTCACATTATCGATATTTTATTTCCCATCCTCTCCTCCTTACCCCGACACATAAAGTCTAATCCCCACCTTCTTTCCTCTTCCCTTTCTCCGAAGCTCTCATCTCCGCGGCAAAAATGGCGGGTCGGAAACCGGACGGCAACGGCCGCGGCGCCGGCGGAGTCCCATGCGATTTCTGCAGCGACCAGCTCGCCGTTCTCTACTGCCGAGCCGACTCGGCGAAGCTCTGCTTGTTCTGCGACCAGCACGTCCACTCCGCTAACCTCCTCTCCCGGAAGCACATCCGCTCCCAGATCTGCGACAACTGCAGCTCCGAGCCGGTCTCCGTCCGCTGCGCCACCGATAACCTGGTCCTCTGCCAAGAGTGCGACTATGACGCTCACGGCAGCTGCTCCGCCTCTCACGACCGCGCTTCTCTTGAAGGCTTCTCCGGCTGCCCCTCCGCCCTCGAGCTCGCCGAGATTTGGGGCTTCGATTTCGCCGAGAAGGAGAAGTCTGCGGTGTCTCTGGAGGCTCCAATTGGCGGCGGATTGCAGGACTGGATGGCGCAAATCGAGGGTTGGATGTGCGTTTCACAGGACGGAATCAGCTTCCCGGATTTGACAGTTCCCGTCGGCAACGCCCTGATTTTCGGTACTGGCGGGGAGAAGAAGCAAGGGACTGGTGGCTCTAGTTGCGGGAGGTACAAGCAGGTGATATATAAGCAGCTGGTGGAGCTGTATAAGCGAGATTTGGTTTCAGGCGGCGAAGGCGGAGAGATTCCGGTGTCGGATACGCCGAGCAGGAATTGCTGGGAGGGAACTAATCAGGCTAACGGAATTGATCCAGACTGCGGTGGCGAGGGATGGGAGCAAAAGGAACCGCCGATGGCGCCGTTCTCGTGTTTGCTTAACGAATTGCCACCGCCGGCGGAAGCAGAATCGAAAGCCACCACCACTACTGATCGATTCGTCGGAGTGAGCACACTGTGGAATGGTAACAGTAACAGTAACCAGAACAACAGTAACAAGCCCGCCGCTCACGGTACTACACAGGTTGGTGAAATAGAATTTCTCCGTTTCTTATTCATTAACCAGATCTCGAACTTGATTGACCATTTTGTTTAGCATCTGGCGATTACTGTGAACTCTACTATTATAACATAATGGGTTGAGGAAATTTATGCGTTGTTATCTTTGAATGTTCTGTGTGGGGGGTTTTGAAGCTTCATTGACGCCATTTTTGTACTGGTGGAGTGAGATTTGTGTGTTATTCTGTGTTTGTAGATATGGGATTTCAATTCAGGACAGTCGAGGAACCAAGAAGATGATGGTGGCTTGGAGGTAGGCTACGGCGTAGGCAATCAAGCAGGTTTCTCCATAAAGGGTATCGGCGAGTTGATCAAAGAATCATCAGTGGCGGGGGATATATACCAATTTGATTGTTCCTCCATTAGACACGAAGACATGGTCTCCTTCACCGTAAGCGCGCTTCTACTGCTTATAAATCTCTCTTCACACAATCCTCATTGCCTGCGGATTCTCATACGTTTCTGTTACTAATGCAGAAGAAGAAGTCGAACAACCCAACAATGAGCCAAGGTGCAGCAACGACGTCAGAGAGCAACAACAACCACCATCCGCTGTCAACAAAGGCGCCCTTCAAGAAGGCCTCTTCCGGGGAAGGGAGCGGTGTTGCTACGTTGGCCCCTGGAGGTGGGAGCAAGGTAGTGGATGTGGTAGTGATGGCGCAGAACAGAGGGAATGCAGTGCAACGGTACAAGGAGAAGAAGAAAACACGAAGGTAATGTAGTCTGCCAAAACCCTTTCATTACCTTTTGTTTGTACTTGTTCGTTTAGTAGTGTTGTTGTTCTGAGATTGAGGGGTGCTGGTTTCTCTGCAGATTCGATAAGCACATACGGTATGAATCGAGGAAGGCTAGAGCTGAAACGAGGAAGCGAGTGAAGGGACGGTTTGTGAAAGCCACCGATGCACCATAGAGTTGAGATTGGAGCTTCTATGTAGAACAAGGGTTCTTCTTTTCCTCTTCTTTTTCTGTTGTACTTGATAGATGATAGAACAAGCATGTTGTACATATACTTATGAACGGCAAACAGGCAAAAGAACAGTTCTTTCTTCTTCTTCTTCTTCTTCTTCTTGCTGCTGTGTGTGGCTTTGTTTTCTTCCTTCTTCTAGCTGACTGTTCTGGCATAATTTTCATCAACAATCTTGCCATCTGGGCTGTCTCCATATTCATTACTGAGTACTGAGTTTTTTGTGGACTGACTCCCTATTTTTCTGGGCCCAAATCTTAGTTCAAAAGGCCCCTCCGTCCATTGGGCTTTTGGCGCAAATGCATTGCAGTTCCAGCAGAGCAAACAGAGACTCCTAACAGCAAAAAGCCGAAGCGAAAGTCTTCTGGAATTTCTGGCCATGTCGGTCTGGTATTTTGATATGGCTGGCAGCATAAGTCAGTCCACTCTTCAGCTGATCTTATCAAACTCCAAGACTTTGAATCAGTCAGTCATGGCGTCTTCAATTAAATTTTTTTTTTAGAACATTACCACTACTAGCTCCTGACATCCACGGCTCCACGCTTAACAAACAATTCCACCTATTTGTACCACCGCCTTCATGAAAGCACAACATAGCCATTTGTGCACTCCCAACAGCAACTAAAAACAGAGAGAGACAGACAGACGAAAACAGAATGACGAGATTTACAGATGCATTCATGGTCTTTTCTGTTCTGTTCGCTGCTGCTGCTATCTCCAAGGTGGACTGCAACGCCGAAGGTATCGAATCGAGCCAACGTTAAACCTTTTTTTTGCTATGAAAGAATGACAGAAATATATGCATATGAGCTAATAATGCAACAAACAGGGGATGCTCTGAATGCGTTTAAAGTTGGAGTGGCGGACCCAAACAACGTGCTCCAGAGCTGGGATCCGACCCTCGTCAATCCCTGCACCTGGTTTCATGTCACCTGCAACTCCCAGAATTCCGTCACTAGATTGTTCGTACTGCCCTTTTACCTTCGACGTGATATTGTTGACTCCAATGTTCGAACTCAGAATGACCCCGTTTCTTCTGTTAAAGGGATCTTGGAGACGCAGGGCTGACCGGAGTTCTTGTGCCACAGCTGGGGATGTTGGCTAATCTTCAATACTTGTAATGATAACACTCCCTCCTTCGAGTTTTGCGTCTGTCACCATCCTATTGCACCTGTTCTTTTCCTAGAAAGCTCATGATTCTTTCCTGCATATGATTTGGATGAGCAGAGAGCTGTACGGTAATAATCTGAGTGGAAGCATCCCGGCGCAGCTTGGCAATTTGACAGCACTCGTCAGTTTGGATCTGTACAGTAACCAATTTACTGGCCAAATCCCATCTACTCTGGCCAATCTGCACTCTTTGAGATTCTTGTTAAGTTTCATTCTTCCCCTTCACCTCCAAAAATCTAACTGATTTACTACATGTGGATTATAAAAGAGTGAAATTTTTTTTGTTGGGTTTCAGGAGATTGAATAACAACAAGCTACAGGGCAAGCTACCGGTTGGTCTGGTAAACCTTGTGTACACTGGAAATTTGAGAATCATGTGAGTGCTTGATTCTTAAAATATTCAAGAACATCGTGTAAGATATTCATGGATTGACACTGATCTGTGATTTGTCAGGGATGTATCTCGCAATCTACTGTCAGGAACTACTCGATCCCACAATAAAACAGGTAATCCATCAACTTTGTGATGATGTTTCAGAGTGCAGCCAGAAACTCTGGTTTTATTATTGATTGCTAGCTGTGGTACAGTGAATTATGCTAATTGGAATGTTGTTGCGTGTGGACAGAACTTGCAATCACTACCATCATTCAAGACCCAAAAGCACCTCAGAGTTAAATCCACACACAATGATTTATCGACGCCTAAAGCACAGTTTAAGTTGCTTGATCTATAAAATTCTTGGCCTAGTTAATTGTAAAGGCGAAGAGAGAGGCAGATATACAAGAAATAAGAGAATAAGAAGCTACTAAGAGCGTTTTAGCCCTCCATAAAACCAAAGCTAATCAATATCTGGACCACGATAAAGTTGTGTTGTGTGTTTCATATTTTGTTACTAAATAAGGTACTCATCAATATTGCATGCTTCATTGTTCTCTATCTCAGTGAACTGCAGCTGCCAATCTTCTCCGATCGTCTTTGCGGACCTTATGTTCATCGCCATGGTCGTCATTTTTCTCCTTAACTGTCGTCGGTGTGCTTCTTGTCACTGCCATTATGGGCACAGAAGGTGGTATTGAGTCGATTATTGTGAGAGGGAAGGAGAGAGGTGCTTCATTCATCACCCTGTCATCTGAGCCAATCAAATAATCCAAGTTCAATTTTTGCTGGAGAGTTACTCACAAATATTGAATTACGAAGAATGGATTATAGACATGGCCAATTATTTGCTCGCCAAGAACAAATTAGGGTTTGTTTGATGGATCCATTCCTCCTCTATCAGATTTTGCCACTCTTATGGTGGTTCTTAGGGGTGGGCATTGGGTGGGTCGGGTGGATTTTGACCATAAAATACACTCACCCGCGCTTAAACGGATTGATAATTTTTAACCCACCACCCACCCACATTTAGTCTCAGGTTGGATCAGGCGGATGGTGGATGATGCGGGTGGGTTTGTGGGTTCAACCACATCACAATGTATATAATATAAAGGAGTCAACTTGACATGATAATAGGTGCAGAGAGTTATCTGGGGGAAACAAGAAGATGAAATATGGGGGAAAATGTCGAATTAGTTCTTAAGTTGGATAGAAATTCTATCATGAAAGAGTTTTCTACAAATTGAGATGATTATCAGGTGCAAGGAACTAAGGAAAATAATTCCAGAAAGGAAAGAGCGGTGATCTAGGCACAAGAATTAGAGGAAAAAATGAAGGGAAGAAGAGGGGATCGCTATTTGGAAGGGTTGGCTTTGAGGTTCAAACTCCAGGAGCAGTCCTAGTTTATGTCTAACGTCTCCACTCTCCCCTCTCTAGCGCCAACGACTTTGATCTTTTTGTTGTTGGGTTAAATGGGTCACCCGCGCATCCACCCACAACCCACCCACCACCCGGCGGATGGCTCTCAGCGCAACCCGTCACCCAACCACAGACCCACCCACTTAATGAAATTCGGGTCAAATGCGGCTGGGTCGGCCCAAACCCGCGGATGATCCGCCCACATGCCCAGCCCTAGTGGTTCTTCTAATACTCAGGATATCATGTTAATATTAATTTGGATAGAAATAACATCAAAACTATGTTTTTTTTTTTTTGTGTGTGTTGATGCTTCATAATTGGTTAGGGAGATTTGAATCTCGACAACACATTTTCTCATAATTGGTTACTGCCCCTATCATGGATTCATGGTGGATTGGTTAGTTTGTTGGCAGAGAATGACATTAGATGTTGTATAAAAGTATAAACATACCTCAAAATTGTTACCTATTTGGTTTATTTTATGCCTTTCATCTAATGACCATGCGACTCTAATAACTCTTTTCAAAACTTCATTCTCTCTGTGGCTTAAGATCATCCGCAAAGACGAGAAAGTGGAAATTTTTAACAAAACTCATTTTTTTTAACTTGTAAGCATGGGCGGAGCCAGAATTTCGAGATCGGGTGGACCGAAAAAAATTAAAATAATTATGAAAAATTACTCAAAATAGTATGTAAAATAAATTTTTTAGCTATATTTATTCCAATATAAATAACTAAACTATCAGCAAAACTCATCATTCATTTTGTTTTGTAGTCTATTCTTCACTATTGATAACCAAAAAATGCATGTTCACCTGGAGTAGTGAAAACTAGAAGAGTTAAAAGAAACAAATTCGCCTATCAACAAAATTGAATTTCATTGACATTCTTATTTTTGTTAATTTTGTACATAGATTAAAAATAGACGATAGTTTCTGTCATTTGGTTTCAGGAATTATAGATGGGAACTAAAATAATGAAGTCTTGAAGTGTGTAAAGAAAAAAGTACAATATAAATAACTAGTAATTGAACCTGTGTCCTTTAGGATAAAAGTAAAGCTTGACTACCATTAGGCTACATGGCCATTTCATTAAGTAATCTACTGGACCAGGTATACTTATAATTTTACTAAATATCCTTAAGGTACTCGGGGCCGAGATCATTCCCGGGTGGGCCGGGGCCCACCCTGTGATCATCGTAGCTCCGCCCCTGCTTGTAAGTGATTTGTGACCCATTTGGTTTGAGTTCAATTTTTTTTTTTTGCCATTACATCACTCTTTAAAAGAGGAAATCGTTTAGATACAAAGGAATAAAAGGGATCACACATCCCTTGAATGAAGCCAAGAACATAAATCGAACCTCGTAAACATTTGAGGCGACAAAAGCAGGACATGACGGGCCACATAATGAGCCACTCTGTTTCAAACTCTACCTATGAAAAGAACCCGATAAGCATCCATCACATCCAAAAGGGAGATTTTTTTTCTTGCAGAATGACATAAATCTTGTTGTCTGCTATATCGCTAGCCAAGCATTTGTCGATGATCAAATCTCTCATTAATACAATCGGTCTTTCATCAAAACCATCGAGGACGATTCAAATAACCAAGAGGCCAATGTTTGCTCAAGTAGAACGAAGGATAAGGCTTTAACCAAGCCCAATTATAAGGTAAATTGCAAAGTTGGTCACTAGAAGTACTAAAAAATTCATGTTTAGTCATTAAAAGTATTTTATTCAATTCGTGGTCACTAAAATTAGTTTTTCAGTTCAAATTTGGTCACTCTCCGTTAGTCTCCGTTAAGTTTAGCTGACGTGACAGTCAACTTTGATAGTTGACCGTTATATAAGGTGATGTGGCAATTAAAAAATAAAAATAAAAATTAACTTTTATAATTTTCACTTCATTTTCTTAACTATAAAAGAATAAAACTAAAAATAAGTATGGAAAAATTGTGATTCTCCCCTAGATCCCAAACTTTCACAGTTTCACCAGTCGCCAATCCCTCTCCAACCTTAATGCCAAGCAAATTATCCAATTCAAACCCCACATCGCAAACAAACTTCCGTCCATGCCAAAGTCGTCGAGCTCCTCAAATTCCCAAGGGATCACCATGGTCAAGCTCTCACCAACTCCGACATCCTGACCGTCCTCGTCGTCTCCGGCATCACCCTCACCGTCGCTCTCCCCAACGAGATTAGATTCTTCTGTTGAGTCTGTGGTGAAACCCATATTGGTCTACGACTTCAATTGAACCCTCTATCCGAGTTGGCCAAACTCATATTCGACTTGCGAATCTTTCTAGCGGTTGACGACGGAGTCGATTATGAGAAAGACCCAAAGAGGGAAACAGAACCCATTGACAGGAGACAATTGACGATGAAATCTAAAGCCGATCTGGTGGCGAGGTAGCGATGTGCGATTCCGACCTCCCTCGCTGACAGAGTTGCAATCCAGACTGCCCAAGGAATGAAGGAAGAAGAAGAAGTTCGATGAAGAACGAAACGTCCAGAAGGAAGAAACGTTTTCATATCAGCTGGAGTATTTTAGTAATACTGTGTCGTTTTACTACTTGAGTGATGTAATAGGAGTTAGCCGTTAAATGCACTGTTTAGCTTTAAATAGACGAATGGAAAGCAGCCAAGTGGCATTGCTCTGTAATCCATTTCGTCTTTGTCTTTAACCTTTCTGTTGGAGTATAAAAGGTAGAGGATGACCTCAGGAGAAGCTGAGGATCATACCTTCCACAAAAACCCTACTAGGTTTTCTCTTACTCGCCGCCGCTTCCTCTTCCCTTGAATCGATGGCTCCACCTTATCATCGTCCTCCTCCTCCTCCTCCTCCTCCCGCTCCCTGTACGCGCCCGCTCTTCCAGCGATTCAACTTAATCTCCAATGGTTTCTGCCGCTCTCCGACACCTACTTCGTCGCTGGAAAGTGAATCCCCCTCTGCCGCCCCTGATCGAATTCAATTCCGCTGCAGGACAATGCGGTGGTGACTCCCGAACCTGTTTGGGGATTATACAAAATTAATTTTATTTTTATTATTTATTAAAATGAGTTGGAATTGGTAAAAGGTTTAATTTTTAATTTTTAATTGCCATATTAGTCATTTAACGATCAACTATCAGAGTTGACTGCCACATCAGCTAAGTTTAACGGAAATTAAAGGAGAGTTACCAAACTTAAAATGAAAAGCTATTTTAATGACCACGAATGAAATAAAATATTTGTAGTGACCAAACGTGAATTTTTTAGTACTTTCAGTGACCAACCGTGCAATTTACCCCAATTATATTTCTCTGAAAGGCAGTTGTTTTCACTTTGCTGGCCCAATAAACGAAGCCCCATATGCTATAAGGCCTCAGTGAAAGCCCATACGCTGGAAATGCCCAGAACCAAGCCACCATCCTCCTGCCCAGCTTCGTCCAAACTGTTACTGAAAAAGGAGAAGGGAATTATGTTAATTAATTAATTAGTACCATATCATATATCCAAAATTAAGTATTAACCTTAATGATGCACGTAATCAGAATCCAACGCTAGGCCAGCCAATCTCCCTCGTAATTCCACGTTCCCTCCCCGTACACCTTGTCGGCTACCCAATTTCCTTGTACCCTTCCCGAAGCCGCCCCCAATAATTCGCCGCCACCTGTCCTCCTCCCGTCAACTCCTTCCCATAATTCCACGAACCGGCCTTTATCCCAGGTAACACCATTCCGCGCTCCTTCCTAACTCACCACCACAGTCGAATCATACGCCACCACGTGTCCACCCCAAGCCTTCACCTTCTTCCCCCCACTATATATTGAACGCTCACTTACCCTTCACTCCATCCACACAAACCAACAAAATCTAAATCCATTCCCCTCACAGAAAAAAGCCTTTCTCCCATATCCTTTATTTTTTTTTTTTTGTCTTCATCTTCATGATCCAAAACTCCAACGCCTCCTCCCGCCGGATTCTCACCTTCCCGGCGGTTCACCCATGCCAAAGCATCGCTCCGACAACTCTCCTCGCCTCTCTAATCGCGCTCTGCCGCTCCGCCTGCGACTACAAATCCAAGTCGTTCGGCAGCAATGTGAGGAATGCACGCGAAACCATTCGCCAGGTCGGCAACCTCCTCCTCCTCCTCCACGAAATTCGGCTCTCGTTCTCCCCGATCCCCGACTCGCTCCTCCTCGGCCTCTCGGAGCTTCACCTGACTGTCCAGAAGGTGATCTACCTCCTCGACGATTGCTCCCGCGGCGACGGCGCCCGGATGTGGATGCTGATGGAGTCGGATCGGGTCGCGAATCATTTCCGGGTTCTGGTTCGTGAGATGGCTACGGCTCTGGAGGTCCTGCCGTTGGAGGTTCTCGATCTGCCGTGCGATGCGGTGGAGGTGGCCGAGCTCGCGATGAGGCAAGCGAGGCAGACGAAATTCCAAGTCGCATCGGGTGACCAAGCAGCCATGGCGGAGGTTTTGACCATCTTGCGCAGGTTCGAGGGCGGCGATGATGTCCCCGATCGCGGAGAGATCAAGCGGGTACTGGATTACATCGGGGTGAAGAAATGGAGCGACTGTTACAGGGAGGTAAAATTCTTGGACTCTGAGATTGAGTTTCATTATTCCAACAAGGAAATGAAAAGAGAATTGGATGCGTTGAGTAGCTTGCTAGGTTTGATGAACTACGCTAGGTGCGTGCTGTTCGATTTCGTAGACGGCAAATCGGATCCGCCCGTTCACTGCGAGGGTGAAAGCCGCAACGACGAGTTGCTGGGTTCCCTCGACGGTGACAGTTTCCGCTGCCCGATTTCTCTTGAAATTATGAGGGATCCTGTCATAATCGAGACCGGGCATACTTATGATCGTTGCTCGATTCTGAAATGGTTCAGGGCTGGAAATGCAACCTGTCCCAACACGGGGAAAAAGTTGTCAAGCACAGAGCTTATACCTAATGTTGCTCTGAAGCAATTGATTCGGCAGTATTGCCTTGCAAATGGAATCCCAATTGCTGATTCCAGTCGCAAGACCCGGGATATAACGAGGACGGCGGCTGCAGGCAGTTTGGCTGCAGCAAATGCTATGAAAGCTGCAGCTAGTTTTCTTGCTGGCAAGCTCCTAGGTGGAGATTGTAAAGGGAGGAACAAATCAGCTTATGAGATCCGGCTTCTTAGCAAAACAAGCATTTTTAACAGGTCTTGTTTGGTGGAAGCTGGAGTTATTCCGTCCCTTATGGAATTGTTGTCCTCAGAAGACGACGGTACTTCTCAGGAGAATGCCATTGCAGCCCTTCTGAATCTCTCAAAGCATTCGAGAAGCAAAGCTTTGATTGTTGAGAATGGAGGGTTGAGATCCATTGTAGATATCTTGAAGAAGGGAGTGAAGGTGGAGGCTAGGCAGCATGCAGCTGCAACAGTCTTCTATCTCGCTTCAATTGAGGAGTACAGAAAATTGATTGGTGAAACCACAGAAGCTATCTCGGATTTGGTAGAGATGGTCAAAGAAGCAAACTACAGGGGGAAAAAGAATGCTCTCGTTGCAATCTATGGGCTGCTGATGCATCCAGGAAACCATTGGAGGGTTCTTGCATTTGGAGCAGTTCCTTTACTTCTCGATGTCCTGATCTCTTCGGACAGAGACGAGGTTGTGACGGATTCTTTAGCTGTTCTAGCAACTCTGGCTGAGAAACCTGAGGGGGCACAAGCGATTATTAGATGCGGAGCTTTGCCTCAGGTTGTAAGGATTCTGGCCTCTACCAATCCAAGGGCCACAATGGAGCACTGTGTCTGCCTGTTGCTTGCTCTATCCATCAATGGTGGTGAAGATGTGGTGGCTTATCTGGTGCGTACCCCTTCTCTTATGGGATCATTATATTCCCAACTCAGTGAAGGCACATCTCGAGCAAGCAAGAAAGCCGGTGCTCTCATTAGGGTTCTTCACGAATTCTATGAAAGAACCTCCTCCACTTCAAAGACAACAGTTCTTCCTCGGGAGCAATTTGTTCATGCGTGGTAAACCCAAAGCCATTTTTATCATTTGGGTATTCCACATTTTTTCATTCTTTTTTGTATCATTTCCAAGCATCTGTCATCTGTATATACACTTAAATTGTGTAGAGGATGATTGCTCTCTTTGTTGTTGTTCACATTAGCTCGGGTTTTTGAAGAGCTAACAACATCACATTGTCTTGGCTTCTGTATTTTTAAAATGAAGCTTTGTACAAAACTGCATATCTATTCTGTTGTAATTCATTTTCCTGTGTTGTAAATGAAATGACTCTCAGTGTTGTAAAAGTATAATGTGCTACAGATTCTCATATTTGATATACAAACAAGGCCTTCTGGTCAGCTTGATTGGATGTGTTCATGCTTCGTCAGCTCGACGATCTCATTGAGATGTCAAATATATAAACAAGGCTTCTGAGTCAGCTTGATTAGATGTGGCGATGCTTCGTCAGCTCGACAATCTCATTGAGATGTTGAGTGCTTTCTCCAATCTTGTCACCACCTTCTCCATTGTTGGTCTGTCCTGCTTACCACCTGAGCATGACAGGGCTAGATTGAATAGAATCTCAAACGCTTCAGTAGAATACTCCCCGTTAAGTTTTAGGATCACCAAATTCTGATATATATTTCCCCCGTGACGGCTGTATAGGAGGCCTGCAAAAAGTTTGAACTGAAGAAGATCAAGACCTGAAAGATTTATATGAAGTGTATGGAAGAAATCCATATTGGCTTTTGATGGAAATCTAGTTTCTTCTACTTCTTTAACTTTTTATTGAGCTGCATATGTATGTTGTGATTCATGTTGATCACCTTCTGTCCAGATAGAATTTTTTGCATCAGCACTATCCCAAAGCTGTAGACAACCCCCTTAGCATTTACATGGTGGTTCCTCTGATACTCAGATTCCACATAACCAAACGTTCCCCTCACTTTTGAACTCGCAAATGCCTGTCCCAGGTTGATAACTTTGGAGAATCCGAAATCCAACAGCTTCGCTTGGAGATTGGAATCAAGAAGAGCATAAAGATATATACGTAATTACTAACATAAGTAAAAACGGACAAAGAATTATACAAAAGCAAATCACACTCACTATACTTTCAATTTTCTTTTCTCTCTTATTTGTTACTTTTTTCAAACATTATCGGTTAATACTATTTTCCCCGTCCAATTTTCACCTTTTTTTATTCTCTCTTTTATTTTCGTCCTTTTCATTAAACACGAATACGAGCACGAATAGGCACGACACGATTCGAACCGTGCTTGGGCCTGGGCCGGGCCTAGCAAAGTTAACAAATGGGCTTGCATGGCACGACACGAAAACTTACGGGCCGTGCCAAGCACGACACGAAATAAATGGGCCCGAAGTGTGCCCATGCCGTGCTGGCCCAAGCACGGCTCAGCGCCCATGTACACTGGTGACCTCTCTCACGAATGTCTTCACATGGCCATCAGCCCATCACTCACTATATGCTTCACTGCAACGGCTTAGGGATGGCAATTACTCACCCATGGGTAATTAATTATACTCAAACCCAAGTAGATCCATTCATAATGGGTTGGGTATGGGTGAAGTGCATATGGGTTTGGGGGGTTTGTACAGGGGTTTGGGTAAGGTATGGTTATTGCTTCCATAATCTAAATGAGTATAGGTTGGATATGGATATCCATTTATTTGAGAGTGTTTTAACTACACATGCAAAAATTGGACCTATTTGTAAAACATGAAAAGTTTAGGTACCAAAATGTAAGACCAAAATGTAATTTTCCATCGATATTTTGAGGACTTATATGCAAAAAAGTAAATTTAGGTACTAATATGCATATCTATTAAGTTTAGGTACCAAACTGTAATTTGCATTTGGGCATGGATGCAAACCCAAATTCATTTGTTATAAACCCAAGCCAACCCAAGTAAATGGGTATGGGTACAAACACATCAAAGTCTACTCATATCCATCTATTTGGATTTCATACCCAACCCAATTGGGTTGGATAGTAAAAAACCCATGGGTATGGGCAAAATTGTCATCCCTATAACGGCTGGCCCATCAGACATTATCCCTCAAGTAAACCTTTCCTGCTCAAGCTGCAACAAAAACTTCAGGGGGTCGTTTGTATCCAGGAAAGTGGGCAGGGATTTGGCCCAAATTCGAGTCCGTCTAGGAATTTAAACAATTTCTTTGTTTGGATAGGTCTTCAAACAGCCAGAATTTGGGCCATAGGAAATTTTAAATCCGGCCCAGTCCGGAATTAGAATTATCTGATAGCTCCCTAGGTATTTTAAAATTCGGCCCTATTTTTTTTTTTTTTGTTCCCAGCGTGTCCCTACTTTCCAAAACCCAATCGTCTGAACTTTGTTTTCCAAAAACTCAAACCCTCGAAATCGCCATGTCCGCCACCACAGCCGCCAGGTTAGTCCTCCGTCTCACTGCCGTCAGGCCAGCCACCGCACGACGATTACCCGCCAGAACAAGGTCGGTGTTCTTCGTTGTCCCAACTGCGAGGAGAACCCCTCCTCCTTCTCTTCGTATTTCCAGGTAATTTTATTGATAGATATTCTCCTCGCCGCCGATCTGGGTTCTTCCTTTCATCCGGCGGATTTGGGTTCGCCACCTGTCGAACATAAAGGAAGAAGAGACGGTGAGATAGTCGAGCATGGGATTTTTTTTATGTTTGTTGTTGTAGGGTTTGTGATAAGGAAAAGGTTGCCACGACAATGGAGCTACGAATACATTTTGTTGAAAACGACCTCATTTTGAAGTGGCCCGATACTCGGATCAGTTGGTTGAATCAGCTGAATTTCTCGATTTAATGCAAAACCCCATTGACAGTCCTTATATCCTCAAAACTACCACACCCTCGAACAATATGCAGCAATATCGCAAGTAAAATCATTCATTTTTTGGTGAAGGATGACAATAGTATAAACAGCGATACATAATTTGGATTTTCTCTGGTGCCGCTCCCTTTTTGTTCTATCCCAAACAAAATACTGTGAAAATTCAACAAACGTATACTTCCTCGCTTCTGAGCATATCCGATTAATCTTCAACCATCCCAACAACATGGAAGTCTGAGCCCGCAATATAATCACAAAACAGTTCGCAACTTGGGTTGGACATGCATATATGAATAAGATATTATGAGATCACAACTCCTTTTTTGTTCTTCACCAAAACATGACAAAAGAGGTCATGGCTACTGTAAAATAGGAATATCGTATTTGTTTCAAATAAACACAACATTAAAATAGTGAGTAGAATAAACAACACATAGAATTCCAGTTACAGAAAGAACATCACCCAACAATGTAAACATAAATGCACCATTCACAATAAAGCATATTTTATTTGATGTTTATTTTGAGGGTCTAAACGCGAAACACATCATTTAAAGAAGCCAACTAAGGTAACATTCCGGCGTCACATGAATTTATACACATAACCTATTTCTGTTACCATCTGAGTTGTGTAGTATGGTTTTCGGAATTCTGAAATTTCAACACACATATAAGAGTTATGATAAATAAATTGGAACTTGAAGGGACATACCGAGATTTATTGCAGAATTCAACATTTATATGTGCGCCGAAACGCAGTAAAAAATATCGATTATATGGAACCACAAAGCGGTTATCCAATGACACACCACGAACGTTAGTAGATATCCCTGTATCACGCCGACGATATTTAGCAAAACCATTATCATCAATAATGGTTTGCTCACAAAACTGTTTTGGGAAATGCTTTGTAGAGACACCACCTTCAGTACATGGTGCATTACGATTTACGACCCAAAGCACCACATGGTCCATGCATCACAAATTTCTTTACAGCTCGATATCCTTCTGGATCAAGGTGGTGATTGGGTATTTAGAGGATATCACAGAATCGATCTCCTTCGCTCCACTTAATTTATTCTCTGCTGCTAGAAAACCCAACAAATGAGCATGGGGTAGACCCCTCTACTGAAACTCAATTGCCATGACATCTTAATACAACGAAAAAGAAAGAGTTATAAATGCCTCATTTGTGGTACATACGTCCTGTTGTGTTCCCAAAAAATTTCTTATCTCTAATCTCCGGCATTAGCTTATGCAACTTAAGTTTGAAGACTCTAGCAATAACATTAGACACGTTGATATCTTTCCGACCATCTGAATTGATCAAATCCACCATAAATTGGATCTCCGGCCAATTCTTATTGCATGTGAAGGTTATAAATAAATCTGGGTAGCCAAGCCACCTACATATTGCCATTGCATCCTGAAAATTCTCATACTTATACCGGGGACTACCTGTATGAGAAGCTGATAAAATAACATGTTTTCCAGTCAATTCTACATCTGAATCACCACGTAAAAATGCATCCAGTAACCCACTGACATAATGGGAGTGCAACTTTGACTGATTATTTCGAATCCAGTCAAGTCGTTCAGCTTCAACCAAAGCATATGCATTCACAACATACCATTAAAATAACTTCCCAACCAATAATACAGAATTTGCTTCATTGAATCTACTCTGGAGGCGATAAGCATAATAATCACATTGTGATAGATTATTGTCTTCCAAAGGTTATCATCCTCATCATCATCACAACTTATATCTGGATGCCACCCATCCTCCCCATAAGGAAATAAGATTGGATATTGTAGGGCCATTAAAGATGGATGGTGATAATTGATCCTTTCAAGTTGTGAGCTCTGATAGTGAACAATAATGTTTGGCTCAAATGTATCATAATCTGTTTCATCCACAATCAGTGTTGCTACATCATTCCTTGTGGGTAGATCATATTCTCTCCCATCCTGTCCATGCTTGGCAAACAACTTGATCTTCCCCTCCTGAACATTAGATTCAGTCATTTTTTGTCTTGTCATCCTGAATGTCTGTACCAAGACATTGCATTGCTCAAACATTAGTTGCAAGCCTTCAACAACCTCTGGGCGCAATGGATTATTCTGTTCACCATCCGAAAACAACTGGAGACGATTCTGGAGTTCTAAAGTAGATTCATGAATATACAACTGGGCAAACTTTGTTGCCTGGCCTTCTGAAAGGAGTAAGCTGCCGATGCTATGATAAATCTGACCACTTATAGAGAAAACAGACACACCATCACCATCATTTATACTGCGATCCACCTTACCTCCAAGTGAGATGAAGCAAAATACAGCATTATATAGACGAATTGCCTCCCGGAAAGGGAGACTAAGAGGTGATGCAGACTCTAATAATTCTGTCAAATATGGAGGTAGGTCACATCGCGGGGGCAATTTGACTTTCCCTTGCTTGCAGCACAAAGAAAACAACGAGTTGGTTTGGCTCTTAGTGTGTAAAGTGCTTTCCTCTCACAACATGACTGCTCCACATAATTGGCAGATGCACGAAGGTCCATCCAAACTAAAAGCATCTACACAGGGCAAACCTATAAACAAAATAGTGGCAATTGTAAAATTATGGGTTGATGCAGAACCCGACTCAAACATAAGCTTGAAAGTGAATACATACCACACTGACGTGTAAATGCCATAGGAACAGGATTAACTTGGCATCTGTGACACAAATAAATGCACCGAAGAACTCGAGAATGTTTTGATCTTAAGCGAGAGAACACCAATGCAAAATCTGTGGAGCAAACACCAATTTATGGTTGAGTAGTAAACAAGATAAGCAACTGGAGCAACGTAACCACCCTAAACTACAATTATCCTCAACTGTGGGGAATCAATTCTCCAGGATAGTACCACCACAGCTAGGGAAGAAGGATTCCGCTAAATATACTAAGATTAGTATCATAACTTAGCAATTCAGCATAAAAACAAAACTATGGCAGTTAATCCTCTAGAACAGAAAACCGGATACGCACAACATTGTCGAACCAAACCAAGAAATGGTATTGATTGATATGTAGAAGTAGAACCAAACTAAGAAATGGCAATGACTTGATACCAGGCAGAGCACCTAAACGTCGCTTGCTGGAGTGCTAACGTAAAACATTCCGACGTAATTCACGGGCGATTTGGGCTAATGCTTGCTCTGTATGTCGAAGTTCCATATTCAATAACTCAATTTCTGCAGTCCACCAAATTACAATACAATGTTTACTGACAAATCCAACAATACAGATATGAAACACACAAAGGAATCCACGAACGATACTTTGTTGTAGTCACTCCTTCTCCGCAATTTGCTGGGAGGTCGGACCTTTTGGTTGCGCGATGATGGCTCGCTTGAACCTTATGAGAAAGCAAATGATAACATGTAAGTTGCACACCCATGAAAATGACAGTAAACAAACATTTAAATCAAATGAGGAAAATGTTGAATTCTTTGCAATTACATTGACTGCCTGGGAGCCGACTATGAGGTCTAATGGACCTTGACGATGAGGCAGCATTGGTGTGTTGATTACGAACCATGGGGTCTCTGGAAGATGCTATTTAGCTCAACTCATGAGGCAGTCGAACACTACCAATACCTGCCAATTCCAGTCGCAAGAAAAACCGCACCGATGCTGATCCTCTAGAGTGACTGAGTAGATACTCCAGATGCCAAAACAGGGAAAGGCTAGGAGAAAACTCTGGATTCCAATCGGAGAAGGTCCTTGGAAGAAATTGAACCGCGTTATTGTGCCTGCCACTGAATCCTACGCCTCTTCCAATTACGGGCAGAGAATACAAATTCGAGGGATGCTAATTACCAAGAATCGGCTATATAGATGAATAGATGCTAACTCGGGAAACACATCAACTATGTAAACCGGAGGGAGAAGTGAGGGCCGTCGCGAGATGTGAGTTGTAGAGAGTATACCGGGTTACCATCCGTCGGGATGAAACACAGAGGAATGAGGAGACGATGGTTGAACGAAGCAGATATCGCCTGTGAAGTTGGGCGGCCTGAATAGCGATGGTGATCGGCTGGGGATGGCAGGAATTGAAAATCCCCAAACCTAGGTGTCCCTTTTCTTTTCTACTGGAAGTCCCCCGAGTTTTTTTTAATTGTTTTAAAAGGGAAAATATCTGTGTAAGTCCTTGTCTTTTACCCTTGTCGACTGATTAGTCCTTAATTAGTCAAACTTGCTCAATTCCATATATTTCCTCTCTAGACCCCTTTGCCTATGCATTTTTTACCTATGAATCTGCATTTAGGTGTTGCCTCTGCAGTGCAAGAACACGAAAACAAACCTAATCCAACCTTATTTGAGCTCATATTAAAGGGTAAAACATTAAGTACTCTAGCTTATTATTATCACAGGGGAAAAAATATAGATAGAATCGGTGGGATAGATGAATAAATGCTAACCCGTGAAAAACATGAACGGTGTAAACCCAAGGGAGAAGTGAGGGACGTCGTGAGAAGTGAGAAAGAGGGCGCTAACGACAATCTTTGGCGTTTTTTATGGAATGTGTGAACGACGGGAGGATAGGTATAGGAAGGCGACAGACCAGCCCCAATAGGAACATCGTCGTGGCCTTCTCTCGTGGGCTAGACAGCTGGTGTGGGCTTTACAAACTTAAAACTCAAAACAACAATTAAACATGTGAAATGTCGGACATGTAATGGAAATTGCTCTGGATGATGAAATTTGAAAACCCATCAATTTGGAGATCTCAATCTTAGTTGCAACTAACCTAATCTGGACAAACATACCCTGCTGTGCTTTCTAATCAACTTAAAAATATTAACAATCCAACCCAAGCATGAAACAGATAATTAAAAATCATTAAACTTAAATTATGGAGAAAATAAGAGTTGAGTGTTATGTTCATGGGTTTAATTCTAGGGGCGAACAGAAAATCTCAATTCTTTGGGAACAAACCAATAGTCTGGAAAAACATAATATAGAAAAAACGTAGATAATAAAGCTGGAAACTCAATGGAAGCTCAGGACATAGAAGATCACTCCAATGGCATCTTTCTCTTCAGCTTGTTTGCAGAACTGTCAGGACCTTTGACTGCTCCATAAGACTCTTCAGGGTTGCCAATTTGGTTTGCATCAGGTGAAGGTTGGTATGACTCGCTACTAGTGGTAATAAATGAAGAGGATTCATCCTTGTGCAGGGGCAAATCTTTCTCCTGCAGAGTACATTCAATTATAATCAAGTTGTTATGTGGCACTAACACACCCTAAGAGGTACTATTAACATGGGAAATGTGAGTTTATTTTAGTGCCAATATATGTAACACTATTTCCACGAATTTCCAACCCAGTTTCAAATAGGAGACAATCATTATTCCAGTTACTTAAGTCAGTAACACAAATGAAATCTAATCGAACAAAAAAATCATCATCTTTTCTAGGTGCTGCCTGCCTGCCTCTGCCACTCAAAAACACGAAAACGTACCTACTTCGAAGAAATTTTAGCTCATATTAAAGGGTAAAACATGAAGGACTCCAGCTTATTTGTGATCAAAGGAAAAAAATATATAGATACAATTGGTTGGATAGATGAATAGCTGCTAACACTATTTCTCCCTAAACTTGCAACCCAGTTTCAAATAGAAGACAATCATTATTCCAGTTACTTAAGGCAATAACACAAATGAAATCTAATCCAACAAAACACCTCGACCAACCCAAAATGTTTGAATCAATAGCATAAGTGTTTGAATTCATGTTTGAACTGGAAATAAAGTAAAAAAACCCCGATTTCCTAGCATGCATGAATATGATTCTCAAAGTCAACCAATATTCAATACTGAACATGTATAGTTGGAGTGATGAGTCAACTGACCTGTGTAGTGCCATCCAATATTCAGAGCACAGTGAAATCAACTTTCCCATCTTCGTACGGGTGAAATTAAATTTGACCTGGAATTCCTTTGTGGTACCCACTATCTCGAGGAGTTGTTCAGGAAGTGAAGTATTGTTTTGGCCAGTCTTGTCGAAAATTTCATTAGCACTGATTCCAAAGAATCGGTGCGCTTCATAGTCAAAGATGATAAAGGTTGCTGAGTTAGACTCGCTTTGCACCTCAAGCTTCACACGGTACCTTTTTTTTTTTTACACAAGCTTCACACGGTACCTAATAAGATGTGAATTGGAAAAAAAGAAAGTTTAGTTTATTCCTTTTCAATAATCACAGAAGTAATAATTCGAACTACTATGAGGAGCTTTACCTGGCAGCCTTGACTAGTGTATTTTTGTTGCATTTTACACATAAAGATTGGCTCTGCCTTTTTATCGGCTTATAGACACAGCTAGGGCAGCACATATCACACCATCCAGCCTTGATTTCGATGACTTTGCACTCAACGGAAAATTCCATTTCCTAATGTTAAATTATCAACTCAATCATTAGATAATAATCGCAAGAATTGAGAAAGTGTGAAATAAATTGAGCTAATCTCATTGTCTGGGTCCATCGACAATTCCAGAACGCAAGGGAAACAATAGGAAACTTCGGACCTGCAGCCTGTTCTACAAAGATGGGGAGTTCTGGTTCCACATTCCTGCGTTGGAAAATCTTTAGTCATCAAATCAATAGGTGGCAAAATAGGTTAGGAGCCTAGATTTGAACGAAGTCACCAATAAATACCTAGTGGTGAAAGCAGTTACTGCATGGACATCAGGAGTATCATACAAAACTGTAGACCCGGAAGAAGAAAATGATAGTTCCTCTGTGTAAATGTAAACAACGTCAGGTTTTTCTCTTCATCCATAAAATATGACACAATGGCAGCTAACTAATGCTAAATTTACCTTTGTATTCATGCACAGTAACAACAGTTACAACCAGTATAATCTGTCTATCTCCAGCTTAATCAACTATCTTATCTAACTGTTCAATAACTCTTCCCCATATGGTTACTTTGACAACATCTCCCCTACAGGCACATAATATACAGAAGTCCGTGTGTTATGAAAACTAAAAGGTAAACTGAATACTGAAGAATGAAAAGCCTATTTAGAATGCTGGATACTGAAAACATGTCCCCCAGTGGCAGTTGAAATAAATAAGTCCACATATAACCACCACTTTGACAATGTCTAATCTAGCTACTGTGGTTCTCTAGACTGAAAACTAAAAAGATAAATAGAAACTTACTCAATTAGCTTCATTTGCTGCTCCTTTCGAATGGTCCTCCGGGTAATATTGCTTGTTTTGATGACGTTTGAATGTTGAGCTAATGACGTTTGAATGTTGAACTAATTCACCAACAACATCTACGAAATAAATACGTGACATGAGTTGCAATGTAGGGGTCAGTACCAGCAAAAACAGACTGGGGTGAAGGCAAAAACAGAATGGGGTGAAGGATTAACCTGAGAGGATTTTTTTTCTCTTTCTTAGATGTAATATCACTTGCTTTCGTGAAAGTGAACTTGAAAGTAGGAATGCAGGGGATGTCAGGGATGTGTTGAACAGTCGTGTTCCGAGTAAAAGACATTACATATGCGTTGGCAATCAGTCGGTGTGTCAATCCGGTTGCTTTGATATCAAAGTCCTTGATTATGTAAACATGGTGTTGCTTCAGCAGTTGCTTGAACTTATTTTGCAGCACCGTAGGAATAAGAACCCATATGTCACTGCCCTGGGTGTCATAAAACAAAAATTAGAACGAGGCCACTTCATTGTTAAAATATGGAATTTGGTTCGCTGTACAAAACAAGATTACTTTTGAATCCATGAGGATCAAGTCCAAATGGAGTACTTTGTCTATCGTAACATTCACTCCCGGCCACAACCTAGAAACACGACAAATGGCTTGACCATAATTGCTTCTCCAAATCCAGGTCTCGCATTCTGCTGACTTCCATCTTGCAAAAGGCCAACGTACATGTGATAGATAATTAAAGTACTGAAGAATTAAATTATCTTGCCGATGCTGATACACAATTTTAAAAAAAGGCTTAGAAGGCTAAGAACCTGGGAAAATTGAAGAATGGAGAATTTGAGAATTGCAATACGCTCTGTGAAGTGATTCTAATGACATGGGGCATATATATTACGAATCTGAAAGTTGATGTAGTGAGAAAAATGTCCACGTAGACACGACCAACAACATCTTTTGAGTGGGAGAGGGGGTTGCATTCGATAACTTGGACGGGTTTTACGGGGACGTGAGGTGGAGATGGAATAACGGTAAGGAACTCAACTTCCAGGTGGTCTTCATGAAGGACCTGTAATGGATGTTAGCTGCCACCCTGGCTACCCGATTCTTGTCAGCTCATGGGATGGCCGCATCACGAAATGGGAGTTTCCGGGCCCTGATGAGGAGTCGAATCCATCGGCAGTCAAACGGAAGAAGAGAACTATTCGCCAGCATTTTCTATACTGAGTGAGGAGAAGGAAGAGAGCCATGTTCTTCTTTGAGGGGCATAGTGAAGGAATTGGGATCGACATCACCATAGTGAAGGAAATTAGGTCAGGTGAAATTGGCGGTCGCATGGCGGCAGGGGAAGGAAGAACGGAAGAGTTGACTCAATTGGAATAAGCTGACCACCTTCCACATAACCAATCCCTACGTGGCAGTGTTCTGAATCTGCTTCTTATATTTTAGAGACTAGTTACAGAACCCAGCTGGCCGGATACATTTCATCAATGGTATAAACAATAGATAGTAATTGTTTCAACCATTAACAACATAAATATATTCATCATCGATTCTACTATCACCACTCTCAAATGTATCTTCCTTCTTCTTAACAACATCGTTATATGTATCAGTGACTCCACTGCCCCCACCATCACTAGGGCCTTTGTTATTCTCCTTATTCATTGCTAACAAATTTGAAGGCAAAACTAATGTAAATATGAAACATCATTATCATGCAAAATAGTTTACCTTATCCAAGTCGTTTGCAATAATTGTTGGAGATGTGAACTTTCCATCTTTGATTATCTTTCAAACTATGAATTTACTCATGAGATTTGTAATTTTTCCTTGTCATTTATGTGATTTTCAATATATTAGCTCAATTTTTAGAGAAAAAAAAGGTGGGTTACTTCTTCAATCACTATTTTGGAATAGTTTCTCAACATCATGCAACTTTAAAAAAAAAAAATCTTAGTCATGTGCACTTCAAAATTACAAAGTCGGGTTCAACTTTTTCTTTCACAACATGAAGTTAGATTGAGATTCCCTATTCAATCAATAGTATAATTACATATGTCCAAAACCGTCCACCCATGCAATATTACTTGTCCTCCACTTTATAATTGTAACACGTCTTTTTGTACTCTCCAGGGACGGAGCTAGCTTGTATGAAGGGGGGGGGGGGTCATGCCCCCGTCCCCCTCTAAACTTGCGAAATTGGATAAAACGTGATTATGGAGCACAAAAAGTTATGGTAGTGTAGTGGTTGGAGAGTTAATTTACTCTCAGCATTTAGAGAAAGATGAAGAGTTCGAAGGCCGAATCCACCATTTTTCTCAAGTTTTTGCTTATTATCAGCCTTCTTACATTTTTATCTAAATTTTCTTCCTTTCAAATCACTTGTTCAATGTTGATTATCTCCTCTCTCTTTGTAAGTTAATTTCTTTAAAAATATATCATGTTTTATATTGATAGATAGTCAAATCTTGATCACTATAGTTTACGGTTAGATCTAATTTACAATTTGAATTTGTTTATGAGAATTTTTTTTTTGAATTATCATATTGGTAAGTATAGGAGACTATGAAAGACATGATTTTTTATAAAGGATTTCATAAGTATGGATATATGATTTTTTCAAATTTTTGGCGAAATTTTAAGTGGATTCTATATAATTTTTTTTTGTTGGTTTAAATGTGATATGTAAATCTCATACATGTGTATTGGAAAAAAATTTGGCCCCCCTACTTAAAAATCCTGGCTCCGTCCCTAGTACTTCCATGCCTAAATGACCCCATTATTTTGCTATCATATAACCCTTATAATTAAGTAAGTTACATATATAAGTTTCATGTAAAAGATGGTATTTTCGATAATGCGCATTTAAAATTCTTTCATAAGCCATTACAAAAATCTCATGAAATAGGAATGACAATTTTGACCTAGCCCATATTATTCGGTGTATTTGACCTGGTTTAAATTGGGCAATACCTACCCTTATAGGGGGCGGGTGGGTATGATTACTCTTTTTAACCCGTTTTTGTCTAAATTATATATAATTTTACTCAGATATATTGCTTAGGATTTTATTTTTATTGTCTTAACAATAATAAAGTTGTAAATAGTTTATTAGCATCATGCCTCCACCATTAAAAGGATCTTGGTCATTCTTCTCATTTCGTTGCTATCAAACTTGAAGGCAAAACTTAAACTTATGCAAATATGAAACATCATTATCATCATGCCAAACAAATTTATCTCATCCCAGTCATTTGCAATAATTATTGGAGATGTGTTCTTTCTCATTTTTTATTGTCTTTCAAACTATGAATTTACTCATGATATTTGTAAATTTTCACTGTTATTTATGTGATTTTAACTCCATTACCTCAATTTTTAGAAAAAGAGGTGGAGGATGTCCTCTTCTACCACTATTTTGTAAATAGTTTCTTAGCATCATACAAATTCAAATAAAATCTTAGTCCTTTGTATTTCAAAATTACAAAGGTCGGTTCAACTTATTTCTTCACAACATGAAGTTAGATTGAGATTCACTATTCAATTCAATAATATAATTACATATGTCCAAAACCTCCACCATTGGAACAATAATTGCCCTCCACTTATAATTGTAACACATCTTTTTGTACTCTCATGAATAATACCACCGTTATTTTGCTACCATATAACCTTTATAATTAAAGAAGTTACTTAAGTTTCATGTAAAAAATGTTATTTTAGGTAATGTGTATTGAATATTCTTACATAAGCCATTACAAAAATGTCACGAAAGAGGGATAGACAATTTTGACATAACTCATATTATCCGATCTATTTGACATGTGTTAAAGTGGGCAATGCATACCCCTTATAGGGGCGGGCGGGTGTGAGTATTCTTATCGGCCTCATTGATTCTAACATCCTCAATGCTCAACCCATTTTTTTCTAAATTTTATATAGTTTTACTTAGATTGCTTAGGATTGTGTTTTTATTGCCTTATAATTTAGGATAATAGTTTCTCAGCATCATTCCTCCACCATCAAAAAGGTCTTTGTCATTCTTCTCATTTCATTACTAACAAATTTGAAAGCAAAACTTATTATACAAATATGAAACATCATTATCATGCAAAATAAAGTTACCTCATCCAAGCGGTTTGCAATAATTGTTGGAGATGTGTTCTTTCCCATCTTTGATGATCTTTCAAACTACGAATTCACTTATGAGATTTGTAATTTCCACCGTCATTTATGTGATTTTCACTAATCTCAATTTTAGAAAAAGAGGAGGATATTCTCTTCTACCACTAATTTGAAATAGGTTCTCAGCATTATGCAACTCCAAAAGAAAATCTTGTCCTTCGCACTTCAAAATTACAAAGTCTGGTTCCACTTTTTTCTTCACAAGATAAAGTTAGATTGATATTCACTATTCAATTCAATTGTATAATTACATATGTCCAAAACCCTCCGCCCTTGCAACATTACTTTCCCTCCACTTTATAATGGTAATACGTCTTTTTGTACTCCCATGTATAAATAACCCATTATTTTGCTACCATATAACCCCTATATAAAGAAGTTACATAAGTTTCATGTAAAAGATGGTATTTTAGATAATATGTATGAAAAATTCTTACATAAGTCATTACAAAAATATCATGAAATAGGGATGGAAATTTTAACCTAATCCATATTGTCTGATCTATTTGACGTGCTTTAAAGTGGGCAACCCATACCCCTCATGGGGGCGGGCGGGTATGAGTACTCTTCTCGACCTCACCCATCCTGACATCCTTTACATGTTTTTTCTAAATAATATATAATTTTACTCGGATTAATTAGGATTTTATTTTAAATGTGTTATAATTTTAAAATAATATAGTTGTAAATAAATGAGAATCTAAACTAACTATATTTTATCATGTTATCACAATTGCCATTCCTAATGCGAGAGGGATTGATGTAGGGATGGCAATTTCGACCTGGCCTGTTTTACCCGACCTGTTTGGTCTGTTTTGGGGCGGGTCCGACCCGTCCCGTAGGAGGGGCAGGGCGGGCATGGGTACCTCTCGTCGACCCGACCTGCCCTGACCCGCCTCATTCTCGACCCGTTCTTGCCTAAATTACATGTAATCTTAGTCAAATTACTTAGAATTTTTCTCATATTACCTCATATTTTAGCTATAATAAAGTTATAAATAAGTGAAAACCTCAATTTTTTTCTCGTTGAATCAGTCGCTTTTATTTCTCAAGGAAAGGTAACCGATACAACGAAGGGGGCTTCCAAGGAGGATGTCCCCCGATATATCACTCAACTAGCTGAAACTAATCTCACCTGCTCTCGAAAACTAATACTTACACTTTTCAAATATAAGCCTATAAGTAACCAAGATGAACAAAAGCATCTCGAATCCCTCTATCCCCATGAGATATGAACATTAAGTCGGCTCTAATTAGATCAACAATAAGTTATGGCGTTCTACATAAGGTTCCATGTACCACTCGGCAGCGTTCTTTCCAGATATAAGACACTGTTATACACCACAGCAGCGCGTGCCACTGTCCATGAGAACTCCTGCTGATAAACCCTGTGATAACCTGCATCATCGCATCCCAATTCTGAAAATTCAAATGAGGTATATGAAGCTGCTCATAGAGTCTTTGAGAAAAATTGCAGCAGAGAAAAAGGTGCTCACGATCTTCTACTCCTGTGCCACATAGTGGACAGGCAGCATCTTTAATTTTCCCCCACTTCAGCAACTTGTCTCGAGTGGTGATAGTATTTCGTATTATCAGCCAAGCAATCAAACTAAACCGAGGAGGACAATACTTGCTCCAGATGAGCTTATACCAGCAAACTTTAGCCTTCTTCTTGCGCAAAGTTTCCCAAACTCTTTTAACTGAGTAAACCCTCATCTCCTGCGATTCCCAAAGTATGTCCCATTCTGCTGTTGAATCCATGGTGCAAGAACACCACGCAGCTTCAGCGGCCTTCTCCAAACCCAGGAACTACTATACTGCACTTTCATTGACCAGAGATCTCCTTGCCTGCACTTATATTCTGCCACCCATGCCACCCACAAGGTCCCAGCTTTCATAAGAAAAAACCAGAGTAATCGAGCAGCACAGGCTTGGTTCCATGCAACCAAATCCTTTAACCCAAGACCACCTTCCATCCTAGGCAAAGCCACAGAGCCCCATGCAACCTTTGCCTTACCCATATCATTACCATGCCATAGAAATTGAGAGCAAACCTGCTGGATCTTCTTCAATGCTTTCTTTGGGAGTACAAAAAGCTGCATCCAATATTGAACTACTCCAAGCAAGACTGAATCAATAAGTTTCAGTCTACCAGCATATGTTAGTTTCTTGGCACGCCATGATTTGATCCTTTTAGTTATCTTGTCCACAAGTATATCAACCTCTTTAGAAGAGAGCTTTCCAGACATCAGGGGAAACCCCGAGTATCTGACAGGCAGAGTACCCTCCTTGAAACCAGAAAGATGCAGAGCATTGCTCTTATACTGGATAGCCTCTCCTCCAAAAATATATTTCACATTTTGAAGGGTTGCTCTTGAGCCCTGATAGCTTATAGAAATGGTGCAGGACCTCTTTAACCTGGAGGATTGCCTGAGCAGAGCCAGTAGTAAAAACCAGAATATCATCCGCAAAGCATAGGTGATTTAATGAGACCCTCTGCATTGAGGGTGAAAAGGAATTCTACCAGTCTGACTTGATGCAAGCAACATAGTTGATAACCCCTCCATAGCAATGGTGAACAGGTAAGGCGACAAAGGATCACCTTGCCTGACACCCTTTCTAGCTCTGAAGAACCCACAAATGCTGCCATTTATGTTGAAGCTATAATGGGCAGTTTGTAAACAAGCCCTGATCCACTTCATAATTGTTCAGGGAACCCCATCGATTGCATCATAAGAAAAAGATAATGCCAGTTAACTGAGTCAAATGCCTTCATGATGTCAATTTTGATTGCACATCTAGAAGACAGGTGACTTCTATTATATCCATTCACAAGCTCCTGAGCCAACAGAATGTTGTCCATAATGCTCCTACCCTTAACAAATGCTGATTGTGTACTACTAATAACCAATGGCATAATATCACTAATGCGCCTGGCAAGTATCTTGGCTATTATTTTATAGAGCAAGTTCACACATGAAATAGGCCGATAATTCTTTAAGGTATCAGCATTTGATATTTTAGGGATAAGGGACACAGCAGTAGCATTCACTCCACTAGGGAGATTACCTGTTTTGAAGAAGTAGAGAATCCCATTAATGATATCCTCCCCAATAATTGGCCACGTCTTCCTATAAAATCATGCTGAAAACCCATCTGGCCCTGGCGCTTTTTGAGGATTCAAGCTGAATACCACACTTCTAATCTCCTCTGCTGTGATTTCCTTAACCAGATTAGCACATTCATGATCAGGTAATCTTTGTCGAACCAGCTGGTCAACTTCCTCTCTACTTGGATTAATCTCCATATTAACTTCCCCCAAGAGTTTTTTGTAATATCCCAGAACCTCCTCAACAAGCTGCTCAGCCTGATACAATTCCACCCCAGAGTCTGTAACCAACTTCCTGATAGCACGTTTAGAGTTGTGAATCTTGACAGCTTGATGGAAGAAATTGGAGCTCTGATCTCCAACTTTCAACCAAGAAACTCTCGATTTTTGCCAACAAAAGCTTTCATATGCTGAGATTATGTGATTATAGTGATCCTTCTTAAGAGAAACAGCTTCAAAATTATCTGAGGTAGGGTCTTGATATGCTGTTGTTTGGGCACGCAATAGTTCCCCCTCAGCCTCCTTAACCTGGTCCTGCAAGTTACCATACACTTCCTTATTGATTTTCTTTAAAGCTTGCTTAACTCGACCCATTTTAACTTGAATAACCTGTAAAGGGGACCCAGAGACTTCACCATTCCATGCTTCTTCAACTATCCCCAAAAAGAGAGGGTGCTCTGCCCAAAATTCGAAGTACTTGAAGGGCTTGGGTAGAGATTTTATAGGAGCTACTGTAGAAACCAGGATCCCACAATGATCAGAAAATGGAGCAGGTATAGCTTCCATAGTGCAATTTTTGAACTGCTCAATCCACTCTATGTTAACTAAGCCTCTGTCAAGACGTCGAGCAATAGGGTGTTGAGATTGCCTATTTGTCCAAGTAAATTGTGGCCCTGTTGTTCTATAGTCCACCAATTCCATCTCATCAATCCACTTATTAAACTCCTCCATACTTGAAGTAATTGATCTCTAATTAGAAGTCTCCTGAGGGGATCTTACAGTGTTAAAATCTCCCCCAATTATCCAGGGATAACCTACCACTTTCAACTGAGTAATCTCCTTATAAGTTTGTACACTTTCATTTTCATCATTAGAAGCATATACTGTTGTAAAGAAAAAGGAATCCTTATTTATATCTTCTATCAAGCAATGAATAAAATGCTTTCTTTGCTTTACTATCTGTACCTTAATAGCTGGATCCCAAAACAACCAAACTCTTCCCAAATTTGAATCATAACAGTTGAGACACTTCTGCCACCCCATAAAAACCTCATCTACTGCTTCCTCTGCTTTATTTGCCTACACCGTAGTCTCAAGGACTGCTACTACATCTACTTTACTCCTACGTAGGACTTGCATCAAGTCCCTCTGCTTGGAGGTTTTTATTAAACCCCCTTACATTCCAAAACAAAACGATCATTTCGAAGTAGGGGGCTTCCCCCCACCCTTCTTCAAATCTTTCTTTACTTCTTTTTTCTTTGGTGCTTCCTGAATCTCCCCCTTACCCACCTCCTGATCACTCAATTTCCCTATGACACTGAAGGATGAATTTGAAATTTGAATACCTTTAGAGCTATCCTGAGAGAGCCAGATGCGAGGTTTTGCCCCATTGACTACTCTTTGAAACTCTGCTTCAGAGGGTAAATTTTGTGATGCCGAAGTAGCCACTTCCTGAAAGGATTTCTCTAAATTCTGAGGGACCACTTTGCTTCCCCCCACCAGACTTGGAGTAGAAAATATAGCCATCAGTTGAGGATCATTATCATATACAACCACCTCCTCACCCTTATCCAGGACTTTCTGTTGATCCATAGTCACACTCTCAGTCATACTTCCTTCCTTTTTCACTAACTGGTTTTGTTTATTCAGCCCCTGAACTGTAGTCCCCTCATTTTGCACTGACTTTGCCACCCACTGCTTACCCTGATGATCAGCACATGAGCCAGTAATGCCAAAAAGATGACAGACATGGCAAATAGGGGGCAAGTTGCAGTAGGTGATTCCAATGCGTATGGAGGAGTCATCATCAGGCCATAACAGCACATGATCCAGGCATTCACTATCAACTGTGAGCTCTACCAGGACTTTGGCAAAGCCATGCCTGTCCCCCATTCGGGTTGTATGATCCATACCCAGTGGAACCCCAATCCAACTCGCTATCCTACTCAACCCCTGAAAATCATTATACTCTAGTGGAACATTCATCAAATTCACCCAGATCGGCAGAGCCTTCCTCCCCAAATCCTCATAACTAATACCTGGAACCCAAGGCCGAAGATACAGCAGATTGTTGAACCAGAACCATGGGCCATTCTCAAGAATCCAATCACAAACCTTCTGGTTGGGCAGTTGAATGAGTAGCATCTTGTCATAGAGTAGCGAAACCCTAACCAGTCCATCTCGCCCCCACAGCTTATTGACCCAGCGACGCAGCACATACAGTGAAGGCGGATCTTGTAAAAACTGATCAACTAGGCAATGCTTCCAGCGAGCTGCTCCTGCTTCACGAACAGCCTTGGGCATCCTCAAACCGCCATTGATAACCTCGAGTGGGATATATGTAAGGCGATTGGCCTCAGAGATCCCAAACAGCGACGCCCAGGGTTTCGAAGGGATCCCCTGAGAATCGCCGCTCAGTGTCTCTGAAGCCGAAATGGGTATCGCAGCACTCAATTCACTCATAAGAGAACAGAATAAGAGGGGGAAAGGAGCTGCTCCGGCGCAGATGCTGGAGCCGGCGGCGAGGAAGTCGTGAACCCTCAGTCACCGAGCAGTCGCACTCTCTCTCTACACTGTAAATTTCACATAACCATATTTTATCATATTATGGTTTGTTTCTTGGTCTTTTAATGAAAATAATGAATACTTATTAAGTTTTTCACATAAATTACATACCCATTGGGTCGACCTACCCCGACCCGCTCCTCATCATAAATTACCGACCTGGACTCGACCTGCCACGGAACGAGTATGGTATCGAGATACCCGGCTCGGACCTGGCCAATTGTCAATCCTAGATTGATGCAAGGATAGGCAGCTAAAGTTAAATAGTGGAGGTTGAATAAAAAAAATGCAAATTTTACTAAGCCGCTATTGTTTTTGTCTTTTTGGTAGCATTAAGCAGCTATTTATTTGTACCTCAATTTTATTTGCCTATTAAACCATCAATTAGTAGCAAAACGGCCCATATAGATAAAAAGACTAAATATTAAATAATCTTTCCGTACTGTGCGGTGAAAGGATGAAAAATTGAATTGTGGGAGTGGAGAACTCTCCATATATGATTTGTAGGACAAGTTGAGATTCATTTAATCATATTTTTATTGTCATGCATGCAATTTGAGAAAGATTATGACTTTGATGCTTTTGATTTCTTTAAAAGATATTTACACGTTGTTGATGCTTTGAGATTCATCAACCATCTAAATCAAATAGAGAAAATTCAACACATAATCTTTAATGAATTCTTTTGGGTAAATGCCACATTTGGTCACTAAGATTATTAAATCGTATCATGTTTAGTTATTAGAAAGTTTTAAAATAAATTTTGGTCACTCGAATTACTGGAACATGTCACATTTAGTCACTCTCACGTTAGCCTCCGTCCAACTCCGGTCACTCGAATGACTGAAACATGTAACATTTAGTCACTCTAATTACTAAAACATGTCACATACCTGTTCCAGTAATTCGAGTGACCAAAATTGATATTAAATTTTTCTAGTAACTAAAAATGACACTATTTAGTAATTTTAGTGACCAAATGTGGCAATTACCCGAACGCAAGCAAACGCTACCGTTTGACAGTAGATGGATCCTTTTGCCTACCACTACCAACCAGCAAAGATGAAATTAAAAAAATTCCCTGCCACAATCACAAAGTATCTCTAACTCCGATGGGCCTTTCCAGCAGACCCGACACTCCCGAACCAGACACCGAATCCTCTCTCCTCCTCCATCCATCAGAAAATCCGCCGCCGATCTCCTCCAAGGTCCCAGAGGACAGTTACCACCTAGCCTACATAATCCACTTCACTCTCGGCTTCGGCTACCTCCTCCCATGGAACGCCTTCATCACCGCCGTCGATTACTTCTCCTACATCTACCCGGGCGTCTCCGTCGACCGGATCTTCGCCGTCGCTTACATGCTCGTCGGCCTCATCTGCCTCGCCGTCATCGTCTTCTACGCCCATAAATCGGACGCTTATATCCGGATCAATGCGGGTCTGATCCTGTTCGTCGTCGTCCTCCTGGTGCCTCCGGTTCTCGACACCACTTACATCAAGGGTCGGGTCGGGTTGTACGACGGGTTCTATGCCACCGTCGGGGCTCTGGCTCTTACCGGGTTGGCGGATGCTCTGGCCCAAGGTGGGCTAATTGGGGCCGCTGGGGAGCTGCCTGAGCGATATACGCAGGCTGTCATCGCTGGAACAGCTGGCTCTGGTAAAATTTCCCCATTGCGTGTTCTTCTTCTCTCTACTTCGGCTTGAGCGTTGACCTCCGGCTGTGAAATCTGTGGGTCTTTTCGTAATTTGGTTGAGCAGTAAGGTTGTGATTTGATGCTTTGAGAATCCACATTTGAAGCAATTTTGTTCCCTTCTGCAACTTTTGTTGTATGTGAGATGAAACTCGAACTTCGGCTCTGAATTTAATGTCTAAGACTCGAGTTCCTTTTGATGACAATGGCTAGTTTCATCATACATTGAGTCACTGCCATCATGATGGAGATCTAGAGGGTAATTTATATGCTTGTTTCATGGCTGATTTCAGTTTGATGAAAGGAAGTCTTGATTTGTATGATTGGGTTTGTTCTTATAGTCCAGGAAGGTAAGTTTAAATGGAGCAGTGCCGTTCACTTAGTTGCAACATAGTAAACTCTTACAGCTAAATTATGGCTTTAAGGAAGCTAGATTTCGAAATTACTTCATCCGCGATGAGAAGTTCGACTTGCTTTTCTGTAGCTAATTTTTTGGGTGTAAATTTGTTGATACTATGTGGGACTATTGCTGATCTAGGAGTGCTTCCTTGATCGGTGACAGCTGTTAGATTTTGCTGATGAAAAACTGGTCATGATGACCTTCTAAGTTCTAACTATGTAAACCATATATGTGCAGGGGTCCTTGTTTCATTTCTAAGAGTCTTCACCAAAGCTGTGTATTCACAGGATCCAACTGGGATCAGAAACAGTGCAAACCTCTATTTCATAGTTGGGATTGCAGTCATGGGCATCTGCATTGTCTTCTACAATGTGGCACATAGACTCCCAATCATGCAGTACTATGCTGATTTGAAGGTTCAGGCTGTAAACATGGAAAGAGACAAGGGTTCTATGACGGGAGCCCAATGGAGATCAAGCTTGTTGGGGACAGTGGGGAGTATCAAGTGGCACGGGGTCGGGATCGTCCTAATCTATGCCGTCACCCTGGCCATCTTTCCAGGCTACATAACAGAGGATGTGAAATCCGAGGCCATGAAGGATTGGTATCCAATCCTCCTCATATCCTGCTTCAACGTGTTTGACCTTGTTGGCAAGTCAATGACTGCCCTCTACATGCTTCAGAACTGGAAGGTTGCAGTTGCTGCTTGCTTTGCCAGGCTGCTCTTCTTCCCTCTCTTTCTGGGTTGCCTGCACGGCCCTGAATTCTTCAGAACCGAGGTCCCTGTGTCGGTGCTGACTTGCCTCTTGGGACTTACCAACGGCTATCTGACCAGTGTGCTGATGATTTTAGCTCCAAAGTCTGTTCCTTTTCACCAATCTGAGACTGCGGGGATTGTCTCTGTCTTGTTCCTCACTCTTGGTCTGGCTATAGGTTCCATAATAGCCTGGTTTTGGGTCGTCTGATGTATAATCAACGCCGGCTCCGAGGCCGCTTGAAGTGTATGCTTTAAACCAGGGGCGCAAACTGATGTATGGAAATGGTGGCAGCACTTTCCTTTGTATTCATTCTCTTGATTGTGTATAAAGCAAACTAGATCCGTCCCCAATGCGAAAGGAAAACTGGGGTGGGATGCGCATGATGAAAAACTCTGAAAAGTTCCAATTTTTATGTAAATTTGATAACCTTGTGTAGCCTACTTGGACATCAGAAGAAAGCAATCGCTAGCCTTTGTTTTATTACGTGTTCGCATGAAATTTAAGAGCGTCGCTGGTTTAAAAGCTGGCTCTGGTTTTGAAGCTTATATACGCTACTTGTTAGTTCTTAAGTAAGGACGTTTACCTTCTACGAACCTAGTTATAGTTTTTACTAGGCTTAATTGCAAGTTTGGTCACTCGAATTGCTACAAAATTTCACGTTTGGGCACTAAAATTGGTTTATTCCATTAGTAGTCACTTAAATTAGTTGAATAGTCCAAGTTCGGTCACTCTCCGTTAACCTCCGTTAGACTTTGTTAATGACGACCGTTAAGTGATGACGTGGCTAACAGAAAATCACAGTCAGCATATTTTAACCCTAAAAAATCACTACCCGACCCGCCACGTAAGATTTGCCCACCATATCACCTTTCCCTACCCAACCCGCAAATCAACCCAATAATCGACCCAACCCCAAACCCAACCTCCCGAATCTAAAAAGTAAAATCGACTTCCTTCCTCCTCCTCCTCCTCCTCCTCAAACGCCCACCTCCTTCCCCGACCATTCACCGAAGCCCCCAAAATCGGCGGCCGCCACCCGGCCATCGCCGGAGTCAAAACCTACCTCCGCCGCTACGGATTCGCAGATGGGTTTGTCGTTGTGCAGAAGGACATGGATTTTCTTGTGGACAGGGTTTGATTTGAGGAGCAGCTCGCACTTGGATCCGAACTGCTCCTGAAGGAGCTCGTACTCGACGGATTTGACGTTGAGCGCGATTCTAGGCCTCATTACGTAAGGGCTCGCCTAGGCGCCGATCAGTTTCACATCTCCGCGTGCTGCTTCGGTATCACCAGCCGGTTCAGCTTCCCGACGTCGCTCGGCGTCACCACTTTGTCGAACTTGTGCTCCTTCTCTTTCGGCATCGCCGTCGAAGACGGTCCGGCTCCGCGGTGGAGATCGGGATCCGCATCGCTCGAGCTCCCGAGGGACAGGTCCACGAAGTTGAGCAGCCGGTTGTTGAAATTGAAGGCCGCAGAGGACGGGGCGGGGGCGGCGTGGTGGTGGTGGTGTTGAGGGAGGAAGTTTCGGTACTAGATAGCGGAACGAGATGCAGCAGCAGAAGAAGATGAATATTGAGATGAGGGATCGTTGTAACTGGAAGGGAAATGGAGATTGGGGGTTGGAATTGCGGAAGCAGCACCATAGTCTTCTTCTTCAGATTCAAGGGGGTCGGGTTTGGGGTTGGATCGATTATTGGGTTGGTTTGCTGGTTGGGTAGGGAAGGGTGACATGGCGGGCAAATCTGACGTGGCGGGTCGGGTAGTCATTTTTTAGGGTTAAAATATGCTGACTGTGATTTTTTGTTAGCCACGTCATCACTTAACGGTTGTCATTAACGGAGTCTAACGGAGGTTAACGGAGAGTGACCGAACTTGAACTGTTCAACTAATTTAAGTGACTACTAATGGCATAAACCAATTTTAATGACCAAACGTGAAATTTTGTAGCAATTGGAGTGACCAAACTTGCAATTAAGCCGTTTTTACTACGAAAGTGATTTTCTTTGTCTGATAATGGGTCGGGAATCAACCTTCCAGCGACCCTTCCTGATTAAAGTGCCTTTCGCTAATTGTACACATGGCGCATAGCTACGATTTGCATATAAATATTGTAACTCGTTGATCATAAGGGTTAGGTCATCCTGAGTTCTTGACGATATCACATTAAAAAATTTCTTTTATTCGCCGGCATGAGAGCAGGAGGCGTAGCGCCGTCGCCGCAGGGTGGTGAGGCTGAGGCCCACCTCTCCTCCCTCTCCTTCGAGGAGCACAGGGAGCAAACCACTGAGTCTGCCTCGCTACTTGGCGTCGTTGGCATGAAGCGAGAGAGCCCCGACTGGAGAGCAGTGGTCGTCACCAGCAATGGAGACCAAGGAGCAAGGAAGTGGGAGGTGTCCCTGACAAGAGGTAGTGGTGAAGGTCGGCTTGGTTCGAAGAACAAGGGGTGAGAGGGCGGCGAAGGTTTTGGGCATTTAGCTGCCTGTTTCTAATTATAGTTTCGCAATTTTCCCCCAAGGCGACCAAATCATATTTTCTATTTACATTTTTTTAATGGGCTGGCGGAATGGTGAAAATTTGAATATCAGTCAGATGCTCGAGCGGTTTAGACTCAAACATTTTCGATCGCACGCCAACATGTCGTTTTTGTGTGTGGCTTTTCCACTGATTCGAGCCGGACTGACAGTTTGGTCCCAGTTTTACCAATGGATCTATCGGTCCGAACGAACAACTCGAGTCAGTGTTCAAAACATCTATTGCTTTCCATGTGAGGATGAGAGTGTAGTGATATGGGTTATATGATTTGAAAAGTTTGGCATGGTTGAATTATTCAACGTATTTTAAATATTTTACAAGCTAGTGAGATGGGGTCTTTATGTTTATTTACCATCTGAATTCTTGGAATTAGATGGGAAGAATGATCTTCGATTTTAATACATTCTCGAAATAAAAGATAAATGGGTTTTAGCTAAGATAGTGTTATAGTGTGAGGCAACCCATTTTTCACTTGAATGCAATTCATCTAAGACTTCTCGATGTAATCGAGTAAGGGTCGTTTGGAGAATATGAATTTAAATCTATAGATTATCAATAATTTAAAGATTCTAAATCTTCGGATTGTTGAAAATAGATTTTAAAATGTTTATTGTTTGGTAACTGTGATTGTTAACATTCAATGAAAATATAAATTTTAATTTTTAATCAAATAACATGTTTATCCTTAATAAAATATAGAGTGGTTCGAGAAATATTAAAAACTTTGTTGATAAATATATAAAAGAAAGAGAAAAGGTAGGAGAGAAAAAATCTCACAAATCAAGATATAGAATCTCTCTGATTATGAGAGATTTGAAATCCGTAGATTTTAGAGATTTGAAATCTTTAAAACTAAAATCCACAATACAAAAAGCAACAAAAAAAAAACATAACTTTCTACAAAGTCTACGGATTCAATGAATCCACGCCCTAAATCTCGTTGTCCAAACAACCCCTAAGTCAAATGATATATTGCTAGATTTTAAGTTACTAATGACTCGCTCCTAACGATTCACATTGATCATAAGCAATTGGGGTTGACGAGTTTCATGACTGGGATATGTCTTTGGTCGGGGACAAATAAACATTTAAGTGTGGGGATTTGAAAACACTTTAAGTATACACTTGTGACCCCACATTACTTAGGTTTTTGTATGCCAAAATTATAATACTTAGGCTGCATTTTGATAAAATTTATGCTAAAGAGTCGATGGTTAGAAAAATGAAAGTTTTAGCACCAGTTAGTTCACTTTGGGCATTATTCGTTAGGAACCACTTGTTGTCATGTTTTATAATTGTGTAGTGTTTCGATGATGCTTAAGGTCTTACATCATGATGCGATTGAGGATCAATTTACATTTCATTTGAGCACTGTTGGGGATCAATTTACAATACAAAATATCAAACAGAAACGATAATGAACACACAGATTTACGTGGTTTCCCCGTTCAATGTGAACGAGACTATTCCACGACCGAAACTATACGATTCTTTTATTCAGCTTAACTTCAGCATACAGGTTACATACGTATATATATGAGCTAGGGTCCTCAAACCCTAGCTAGACTATCGGCTAATCCCAAATCCGATACATAAGTTAAGGGGGAATGGGTCGAGCCCACATATACATTAACAGCCTCCCCCAAATTGACGAGGATCTCTCATCATCAATTTGCGAGAAAGATAGAAGCGGCGCGCAGCAGTGAACGACTTGGTTAAGAGATTGGCTATCTGGTTCTCCGAGGAAACATAGAACAACCGAAGAATGCCATATCGGACCAAGTCACGTATATAATGCAAATGGACTTCGATGTGCTTAGTGCGCTCGTGGAGTACTGGATTCGTAGCAATCTGGATGGCACTCGTGTTGTCAACATAAAGCTGGAAATGACTAGCACACTCTACACCCAAATCCTCCAAGAGTCGACAAAGTCATACTAGTTCAGAAGTGACATCAGACATAGCGCGGTACTTAGCTTCGGTAGAAGACTTAGAGACCCGATCCTGCTTTTACAACGCCATGAAAGAAATGATGCACCGAGGCGAACACACCACCCCATAGTGGAGCGTCTAGTGTCAATGCAACCTGCATAGTCAGAATCAAACAATGTCTGAAGCTCAAAAGAACCCGTCGATGGAAGGAAAATGCCGACCTCCCTCGTGCCCTGTAAATAACGTAATATGCGATGAACCGCAGCCAAGTGATCTGTACGGGGGGCAGACATAAACTGACTGACAATATGAACTACTTAGGCGATATCCGGTCTCGTAGAAGTCTAGTAGATAAGACTGTCGACCACACTCCGATAGTACTTTCCCCCATCAACCAATAAATCGCCAGACTCACGGCTAAGTTTCAATTTAAGTTCCATCGGAGTGGACACAGAGCTACACGAATCAAACTGGGAAGACTCAAGAAGATCAGTAATATACTTTGCTTGGCTAAGAAGAATACCAGCCAAAGACCGCTTGACTTCCAGACCTAAGAAATATGAAACAAGACCGAGCTCCTTCAAGCTAAACGACTCGTGTAAGCCCTGCGTGAGAGCCGCAATACCCAGAGCATCATCACCTGTCACTATCATATCATCAACATATAAGATAAGCACAACGAGTCCCACGGAAGTCCGCCAAGTAAACAAGGAGGGATCATTAAGACTCTGCTCGAAACTAAGAGATAAGATAGTAGAGTGAAACTTATCAAACCACGCCCGAGGTGCTTGCTTCAACCCATATAGTGAACGACGCAGAAGACAGACCCGATAACCTGGTGGATGTTCCATATAGACTGTTTCCTTGAGGTCGCCATGCAGAAAAGCATTCTTTACGTCCTCTGGTAAAGTGGCCACCCTCTACATACCATGTGCCGAAACTTGTTCCCAGTCTTGTTTTTGTGGGTCAACTTACTGATCAAGGTTACTGTGTTACGTTTTCACCGTCTGGTTGTGTTGTTCAGGATCAGAAGATAGGGAGGGAGATCGATAGGGGCAGCAAGAAGGGGCATATTTTCTACCTCGGCCAGCTGCAGTCGCCATCATCATCTGCGGCGTTTGCTCTTTCTGAGTCTAGAGATCCTTATGTGTTTTCGAGTCTACCTCTTGATAATTTTCAGTTATGGCATGCTAGGTTGGGCCACCCTAATTCTAGTAGACTTATGACCATGTTTAAGCAATAGTAGTTTGGCACCCATGTTAAAGCACAATGTTCGTCGGATTTTTCATGTACTAGTTGCATTGAGGCTAAAACTACTCAGATTTCCTTTCCTTCTAGTCTCGCGGTGAGCTATGATACTATGTTAGACAATACAAAATATCAAATAGAAACGATAATGAACACATAGATTTACGTGGTTTCCCCGTTCAGTGTGAACGAGACTATTCCACGGCCGAAGCTATACGATTCTCTTATTCAGCTTAACTTCAGCATACAGGTTACATACGTATATATATGAGCTAGGGTCCTCAAACCCTAGCTAGCCTCTCGGCTAATCCCAAACCCTCCAAACCTGATACATAAGTTAAGGGGGAATGGGCAGAGCCCACATATACATCAACAATAATAAGGAGAGAAAGTAGTCATGATACATGTCACCGCCAAGCCACGACTTGGTTACGGCAATGACGCATATCAGGGATAGAAGAACTTCACATCATAGTCATGGTTGCACAATATCTGGTCGTGAAGCTGCGGCACGAGGCGAAGAGTTTCACGGTCAAAAGAGAGGTGGTTGCAACCAGGAAGTAAAAATCACGATCGTGACAGAGATCAAGACGAGCCAAATCAAAATGCCTCCAAAGGCCTTCGAAGCGACATCGTACTACAGGTCACGACTCACGACCAAGGTCAAGCCATGACCTAATTGTTGATGCATGTTTTGATGATGGTCACGACTCTGAATCATGACTAATCCTCAGGTCCTGCCTTGTATCTGTGATGTGATCCAAAATTCAGCATAAAAGCCCCTACGTTTCACTTGAAAAATGAGAATCGACCTAAAGTGAGAAATTCTAGTTTAAGGCAGTCCCTAGTGAGAGGAAACTCATTGGAAGAGGTAAGAAATGAAACTCAAGAGCCAAAGAGAAGGTTACGAATCTAAGAGAAGTATATGACTTTAACCTTTGGTTATCATATGTTTCTAGTTGCTTAGTAGAGATAAATTCGGGTGTCTATACTGATTTCGGTATTTAAATATAAATCTAGTTATGATTTTTAATATATTTATATCTATTGATGTTTTATCATGTTCATCCTTGTTTTGACCAAACTTTAGTGTGTTGTGGGCCTTGACCTAAGAGTGAGGATCCCAATTAGGTCGAGGTGAACACACATCAATAAATGACTATTATCGATTGCATGACTATTGAGTTGTTTAGTTGCTCTTACTTTGAGTGAAAACCTTTAATTGACAATCTAAACTTAATGCTTTGAGTGTATGCATGTCCCTCGATAAACTTAGCTGCATCAAAGGGACTTTGAATGCATAACCATTGATTGATGGCTAGCTTCGGACTGTATGCAATTCAGAAGATTAAGAATGGTTTTTTATGGTTTGCATCAATCGCGTTTTATTCTACAACTAGATATAAGTACAAATAAAAGAGATTGAACCATTATGTGTCTGTATGATTGGTAAATTTTTTGAAATTCAATAACACATGTATGAGAGGACAAGTGGTTTACTCTCTATCGCGAGAGGAAGAAACCTTTTCACATAAGGATATTAGCTATCTCAAATATTTCATAAATAATATTTGACTTTTTTTCACTTCGAGAAAGATATCATGTAAATTGTATAGAACAATTATTTAATCACCATCTCATAAACCTATATTGAGACCACAATAATATTCTTGAAAATGAATTGTTCAAGTACAAATTACTTAAGATTATTAAAACAGTGAAAATATAACTTTGAATTACTATTCAACAGAAAAACAACTTTGAATTTACTTAATCGAATAGATAAAATGCAAAACTCGCCCCTTTTCTTTTCTCAAAATTTTTAGCCTGACGCAAGTGCAAAATCCACCCCCTTCACTCTAAAGTTAACCTAAAAAAAAGCAAAACTCAAGGCGGGGGACAAAGCTGGCAAATAATAAATATATATAGGCTCAGTTTGGCCCTGCGGTAGTTTTTGCAGAAGCAGCTTCTGGCTTGAGCTTTTAGAGAAGTACTTTTCAAAAAAATCAGTTGAATGTTTGACTAAAAAACTATTAAAAGTGTTTTTTAATATGAGAGGTTGTGTAAAATGACTATAAAGGACTTATATTATAAACTATGAATAATAATTCTAAACAATAAAATGTAGTCAAAATGGATCTTGTTAGACTTCTTTTATATTAGATAATATGTTTTTATTATTTATTTTATTTTTAAAATGATATAAATGAAAGAAAATTATGTTTTCTAAAGTAAAATTAAAATATGGGAAGGATAATTTTGTATTTTCAAAATAGCTTTTCGCAGAAGTTTCAAATCGGAGCTTCTGCTTTTATGTTATACAAAAACGCTTTTCGACTTTTCAAAAACCGAGTTTTAGAGGTATTTGCCTTGCTTCAGTTTTTAAAGCCAAAAACACTTCTAAAAGCCGGGCTAGATATAGGCATAGATCAATTGAGTGGGCACTTGTGAAGTTGGAATCAAGTTTCTTGTCACGTTAGGTGACAAGAACACCTAATTCACGCATTTTTTCATTTATTCACGCCATATTTTCGTTATTCACGCCATATTGACATTGTTCACGTAAGAGTGTTGCTAATTCACGCAACCGATATTGTTTAGTCACGCAACCTGGTGTCAATTCACGCATATTGTTATTTATTCACGCCATTTTGAAATTAAATTTTAGACGTTAAAATATATCAAAATGGATGTCATTGTGTAGATTATGATCAATGCAACATATTTTTACAGACTAATTGAGAATCCAAATTTAATTCCATAAAATATAGCCAATACAAATTATTAGGGGGAAAAAGTCTGAATTTTCATTTACGTGAATAACTTACACTCTTACGTGAATAAACATAGTATTACGTGAATACACACAAAATGGCGTGAATGAATACAAAAATACGTGAATAAATTGACATTAGGTGTTTTGTTACCTAACGTGACAAGAGATGTTTTCCCCTTGTGAATTGTGATTCCAAAATCTAAACCCACCCACTTAAATCCTTTTCACTTCCTTCGATCTAAGCCGAGGTCAGATGACATAACGCAAAACCAAACACAACGCGGCAAAGCTCTAAACAAGTTCCTCTTTGGTCTCTCTCTCTCTCTCTCTCTCTCTCTCTCTCGTTAGCTTCATCCATGGCCGAACCTCCTCCCTCAACACCGGCCGCCGCGCCGGGATCTAATCCTCCTTCGGAACCCGGAAACGGCGTCCCTCAATCGGATCCAGCTCCCTCCCCATCTCCGGCGCCACCACAGCAATCACAATTCTCGATCGCTCCCCCGCCCAACCCTAACCCTAACCCCAACCCCAGTCCTACTGCCAACTCCACCAATACTCTGGTTCCGCCTCCTCCGCCTGCCTTTCCTTCTGCCTACGGTCTGCCACCGCCGCCTCCAATGTCTGGCGCGGCTGTGCCGCCGATGGCACCGTCGTTTCGTCCAATTCTTCAGTTTTCTCCGCTTCCGAATTACCAAAACCAGACCGCAAATGGCGTTCAGCCTCCAGGAGTTAGTTCAGGTACGGTCATGACTTCCGCTCCACCGGCGATGCCTCATTATCATGTTCCACCTGGTCAGCCGATGCTAAGACCGCCTTATGCTACATTACCCAACGGTTATCCGCCTGTGCCCGGATCTACTCCTCAAGGAATCATGGCCCCGCCTGGTGGGTTATTCTTGTTCTACCCCTCATTACCTACTTTGTACCTATCTTTCTCTCGATCCATATTTATCAGTTCTGGGTTTTCTTTTTATGCCCGTACTGTTGCATAGTAATCTGTGTGCTGGATAACTTGGATGGCAGTGAAGTAATTTAATGATTAATGATGTGTGATAGTTTGTTTTAACAAAAGGTTATTAGTGGGGATTTTGGGAGGAAAGGGCATCGATGACCCTGGTGTTTTCTCGTACAGTGTCTTGATTGATTACGGTTGGAAGGGCTTCATTGATATTGCTTAAGAGACTATCACCTTCTTCTACAACCCTGTTTTGGTATGCACTGCTTAGTTCCTTCTGATTGCATTTAGAATAATAAATATCCTCTGATGGTGCAAGTGAGAGTTTACTGTTTTATTGCGCTAAAGAATCAGCATATCGAATTCACTGAGCGAAAGACTAAAGCACAATCCATTATGTTCTAAACTCTCTGGTTGTGCCATGTTTATTTTAGTGGGCATCTTTCTGGTAGTTGTAAGGATTCTTTCCCTTTCATGGGTTTATGAATTGCCAGCAGCAGACCATGTTAGCAACTGAGTGCTCCTTGGCATTTTACTCTAAGGTATTGACCAATCCTTCAATTTCAGTCCTTTTTGTTCTTTTCCTGCTCCTTGTGTTTTAAATCTTAATTTTGGACAACTAACAGTTGGGATAAGTTAAAGTAGCTATAACATGATAGTCTAAGACCGGTCATCCATAGCTTGTGTGAGTCAGAAGTTGAAAATCTCATGCTACTCAATGTCAATTATCTGCAATTTGGTGCATGGGGTAGTTTGAAAAGGCTGCCAATAGCAAGTGGATGCATGACTGAGGTAAGTGAAGCCCATTTAACATATCTGTGTTTATGAATCCGATCCTGCTCTTCTTGATCTTTGCCTCAGGTTATCTGTTCAACTGGTGATACTTGATGCCTATGGTACCGTCTCTAGTGTGATTTTATTGTGTGGTAACTGCATTAATTACTCTTCATAATTCTTCCTTACGCATAAATTGTGGTGGGATGTACAGTTGCTACCATCTTGTGTTGTTTGTGCTTCTCTAATATGTTGGCGTAGTTGTTATTTTATCTTATGCAGGAATGCCTCGCTATCCTTCACCTTACCCAGCTATGATCCGTCCCATATTTTCTCCACGCCCACCTGGTGCACCAGTTGTACTTCCAATGACTCGTCCTCTTGTTCCAACTATTCCTGGCGTTCGTCCGATTATCCCTCCCATTATTAGGCCAGTTATACCTTCCGTGACACCAGCGGAGAAGCCTCAGACTACAGTCTACGTGGGCAAGATATCTCCAACTGTGGAGAATGACTTTATGCTCTCCCTTCTTCAGGTTTGTGATAAAGTTGTCTTCTTTGACTTCATGCTTCTTGTCTGTGGGAAAGTTGATTATTGTCACTGTTTTTTTTTCTAGTTTCTTATCATGGTTTTGCACCAGTGCAGCTTGATCCTTTCCTTATTTTGTTTATTTTCTCTCTGTTACTTATGGAAAACAATTCATGAAGTCGTGTGGAACGGTAAAGAGTTGGAAACGTGCTCAAGATCCTTCTGATGGGACTCCTAGAGGCTTCGGCTTTTGTGAATTTGAAAATGCTGAAGGTGTTCTCCGTGCATTACGTCTGCTCAGTAAATTTAATATTGATGGGCAGGAACTGGTGGTATGTTATATTTGGCTACTTCTGGTCACGAATTGCTGATTTTCTGTTCACTTATTATCCGAGTACATTACTTGGTTTTCTGATCTTACTTATGGATTGCAAATTGCAGTTGAATGTTAATCAAGCTACACGAGAATATCTAGATCGATATGTTGAAAAGAAAACTGAAAATTTAAAGAATCTCATGGAAGGGACGACTAAGCAAGATGAGGCCTCAAATGACACAGAGAAGAGTGAACCTTCTGAGTCATCTGAAAAGGCTGGACCTGTGAAGCCTTCTCCAAATGTTTCTGAAAATAACAATGAAAAGGGTGACAAAGGCAACCATGACCTGGCCAATTTTGGTATTGTCACCACTGAAGATAAAGAAGGTGACAGGGCAGCACGCGAGAAGCTTTCTAACATGATAGAAGAGAGGCTGAAGACCAAACCTCTGCCACCACCACCTCCTCCTCCACCTCCACAACTTCCTAGTGATGGTTCTGGCAATCCAAATATCGAGCAAACCAAATCAAGGGATGGGGACTCGGACATTGATGCATTGAAAAATGGTTAGTCTTCTGAAGGGATGTGTAAAATTTACTCTTCTCCATGGTACGGGATAATGTGTAGTTCCACAGCCAAAAATCGTTTCTTTGATTGATTTCGTTCTTGTTCTCAATTTTCCAGATGCTGCTGAAGAGAAAAATAATGATGAGACGAGTAGTGATTACAAAGCAGCAAGTGAACATGATAGGCCTGAGGTAAGCTCACCAGACAGGAACAGAAGGTATGATAGAAGGGGCAGAGACAAGGGCAGAGATCTTAAGCGTGAAAAGGACCGAGAGATAGAAAGATATGAGAGGGAAACAGAAAGAGAACGGGTTAGAAAGGAGAGGGAACTGAGAAGAAAGATGGAAGAGGCTGATCGTGAATATGAGGAACGTCTAAGAGATTGGGAATATAGAGAGAGAGAAAAAGAGAAACAACGACAGTATGAGAAAGAAAGGGAGAAAGAAAAAGATCGCAAGCGGAAGAAGGAGATTCTTCATGATGAAGAAGATGAAGATGATGATTCTGGGAAGAAATGGCGGAGGAGTGTTATAGAGGAGAAGAGAAGAAAAAGGCAACGGGAGAAAGAGGAGGACTTAGCTGACAGGCTAAAAGAAGAGGAAGAGATTGCTGAGGCCAAGAAGATGGCCGAAGAGGAAAAAATGTTACAGCAAGAAAAAGAGGCACTAAAACATCCACATGCAGATCTTGTGAATGGTAGTGAGAAGCCTGCTTCTCCTTATGACATGTTTATGGAAACTGCAGATGAAGTCATTGAACAGGGTGGCGAGGGTGATTCTGTTAGTGCCAATCATACAGGTGCTTCTGAGAAAATTTAGGCTTTGTATTTTCCTTTACTGATTCCCTTGGCTGGTTTGCAGATTATAAAATTTGTTGAAACTTTATATTACAGGTGATGAGGGCGTGCAGAATGGTGCTAGTGAGGTTTCAACTGTGCCGATGCTCGAATCAGAAGTGCAGCAGCAGCAGAGTACTAATGCTCCAACAAGAAAGTTGGGATTTGGTTTAGTTGGGTCTGGAAAACGTGCTGCTGTACCTTCAGTGTTCCATGAGGAGGAGGATCCTCATAAAGAGAAAAAAATGAGGCCCCTAGTTCCCATAGATTATTCAACAGAGGAATTGCAAGCCGTTCAACCTGTTACTGCTGGAGCTCAACCACCAAATCTAGCTGCTGCTGCAGAATATGCAAAGCAGATATCAAATATTGCTCCGCGGGAAGAGAAATCTGAAGTTGAAAGGGACAATAATAAACGTTCTCAACATAGGTCTGGTCGGCGGGACAAAAATGATGAGTATGGTCATCAACGATCCAGAGAAGAGAACAGAGATAAGAGCGGACGAGACAGAGACCGAGATCATGGTCTGGATAAGGTGAAGACCCCTGATAAACAGAAGCTTTTAGATGCAAAACAGCTGATTGATATGATTCCGAAAACCAAGGATGAGTTATTCTCATACGAGATCAATTGGACTGTTTATGACAAGGTACATTGCCCATCTTCAGCTGTCATGTTCCCTAACTATATTTGTCATCAAGTTCCATAACATAGCGCTCATGTGAAGCTAATGATCCTTGGTAGGGCGACTTTTTCCCTTAATGGAGCTTGGAAAAAAGTTTGGTACCATACTGATATTTGGTATATACCAACCGTTTTTTCCCAAGATGTCCAAGGGAAAAGTTGTCAAGGCCTAGCACTAGCAAGCAGGGTCAATACATACATAATAGAATGAGACCTTATGGACATGGGAAAAGTTGTCCAAGGGAAAAATTGTCAAGTCCTTATGGACACATGCCATTTATTTACGATAGTGGGCCTCTATGGTCCTCCTTTTTCCTGTTTTGCAGCACTCGCTACATGATAGAATGAGACCATGGATTTCAAAGAAGATTACAGAGTTTCTGGGAGAGGAAGAAACCACATTAGTAGACTACATTGTGTCAAGTACTAGGGAGCATGTTAAGGCTGCACAAATGCTGGAGATGCTTCAGTCCATACTAGACGATGAGGCCGAGATGTTTGTGCTCAAAATGTGGAGGATGCTCATCTTTGAGATTAAAAAGGTGGAGTCAGGCCTGGCTTTGAAGTCCAAATCATGAGGTTGGTGATTTCTGGTTTTTATGAGAGGGATAATATTCAGATGTAGGACTATTATCGTGGGAAAAGAGTAGTAGCACTAGCAATGTTCTTTCTCTGGATTATGCTCCGGTTCGATTTTTACTTTTCGAGCAGGTGGTTTTCCATGAGATGAGCTGCTCTGTTGCATTTGCGATTTAGATGTGGAAGACGAGATTAGATGTTGAAAGTGTGTTTAGAGGAATTGCGTGATGGTTTTGGGCAAGGCATGCAGAGGGACTGTTCTACGCAATGTTGTCAGAACCGAACCGGAGCATGACCCAGTAATTCGAATGACTCGCACTTTAGTGGTCCAATCGGCATTAGACCGTTTAAAAACGGTTAGAAAATTGGTACCTAATAACCGTTATCAGTATAAATAGTGGTCCAATCAGCACTTTATTAATCAGAGCTCGTCTCTTTCCTTCGAAATTGTGAAATGGAAATAAGGATTCAGTTTGAGAGCTCGACGTTTTTTGTTTATTTCAATTTTCTGCAATTTTTTTAATTAAATTTAATGGCTGAATGAAAAAACCGGACGAGTGGCTCGATCGGCTCGAGCAATTAATCGCCTCGGCCGCTGTCAACCGCTACAGAAAAACAAAGCGACTTTTAGACTATTCCGAGTTGATTTTGTGACAGGGTGGCAGTTTTACTAGTCGGGCCGAGCGGCTCGGCTCGACGTTAATAATAGGGATGGCAATTTGAACCCGGCCCGCCGGGTAATACCCGACCTGACACGCGATGGGGCGGGTATTACCCGACCCGCATTAGCGTGGGGCGGGGCATGGGTATCAACTTCCGACCCGCCCTGCCCCGCCCCACCCTATTCTTACCCCATTCTATGTCAATTTTTTACCTCATCCATTTATAAACCTCCTATTTGGACTTTTATTCGACTATTTAGTTTGATCTTTCAACTAAATAGACTCAATTACTTATTATATTATCACTATTATTCATTCATCAAGTATTTTCCCCTTCGTTTTATCATAAAAAGTAAAATTGTGCGTGTATTTTTCTCAAATAGCATGTAAGAGTGGGTTGACCCGCCCCGCCCCGTTCCCGCGCGGGTATTACCCACCCGACCCGTACTAACGTGGGGCGGGGCATGGGTATTGACGTACCCACCCCGCCCGACCCATTGCCATCACTAGTTAATAACACTGGTTCTACGGGACGTCCTTGGATAGAAGTTGGAAAGTGAAATTGGGGTATTTGATATGCAGCTTTTTTGTTCACCATGCATTCAATTTAGTTAGAATAAAATAAATTTTCATTATAGCCGCGTCACTGAAGTATAGCTATCTCATTGTGGCTCAGATGAGAGTAAAATCTTTTAACCTGGTGAACAAGAGGATGTTGTTTGCCCAATCACTGTTGCATGTGTTTTGCTTCTGAAGAATCATCGGACCACAATTCGCAACGCTTGTTTGAAATTATTTTCACTTCCGTCTTAAGTTGTTGGGATCTATTCTGATGCTCTGCAGGGATTTGCTGTTGGAATGAAATGCATTTTCAAGAGGGTGTCGTTTCAAGAAAATACAATGTTTACAACCAATTATGATATTTTGGCATTTGTGAATTGAAAGAAACTCAAATATTTTTAGGAATAAGATTGAGAGTGTCTATGTGGTTATCAATCGAATTAGCAGGGCAATATGTGAATGTTCCCTCGCACATAAGTTGGTCTCTCCTCAGGAAAGAGTCTCTCTTTACTCTTTGTTTTTTGGAAACAATTCTGCTATGGTCTTTCCACCTCTATGATGATTTACTTCTGTAATTTCTCCTTCTCATGTATCTTTATTCCCTTTGTACTTGGAGTTAGTTCATTTCTCATGGAGCCTCCACTTTTTAGATGAATAAATATATTCACACATTCATAAAAAAAAAAAAAATTCACTCATTCATAAAAAAAAATAAACTGGTTGTCAATTTCAACTTACTGTTGAAATGATCCACTTCGTGTTTTTTCACAGTGAGATCAAACATTATTTCATACTAAGTTACAAGAAAGATGTACATTTATGAAAAACTAGAAATTAGATCTAAAAATGGTTCCATCATTCCCAACCAAGCAACACATTTTTTTTTTAATTTGGCCGGTTTCAGTAATGTACTTATTCATATCTGGCTTATTCCGTTTCGGAATATCTTTGGAAAAAAAAACCCAAGCAGCACATTTCCATGAACATTGAGAAGAGTCTTCTGATAATGCGGGAGCAAGAATTTGACAGTGACATTTCTTCTAGACAAACACATTCATATCCATATTCTTGCTCTAATTTTAGACCTTTCAAAAGAGCTTTTGCTTCATTTGGGATAAAATAGAACAAATGATAGTTACAGCTTGTCTATGACAAACTTGTCCATGGTTGTTAATGACCACAATGACCCGTTGGCTGGAAATTAATTAAAAACAATCCATCATAGTGGACCATCAAAAGGATTATTTGGTGGTGGAGAAATTTGTGGCCGGTTATCCCTGAGCTTAGTATTTTGGGGAGAGAGGGGGGAGACTAATCGGACATGACGTTCAATTAATAATGTCCCCAGAGGTTGCCTCGCACATGGTTGAGAGGCTAGGGCGATTGATTCCCGAAGACACATTCATTCACGGTGTTTTTGGTGTTCCAGTAAAGGAAAACAACATGAAAAATACTCCGAGTCTGGAGAAAGTCCTTGAACGATCATAACCAGTTAAAGAAAGACTTGGAACGAGTAGGGGGAAATGGTGAAAGAGAGAGAGAGAGAGAAGGGCACTCAAAGTACTAAGCGCATGAGGGTAAGGAAATAAACAATGGGAGATGGACTCATCTGGATGTTTGCAAATTTCCAAGTCCAAAAGTCATTCTAATCTTCCTTCCCGACAGGAATTCTCTGAATAGACTCCAATTCATGCAAGATGATGTTTCACTCAATCATCTCATATTTCCACGTTGTATCTTCTTGGTTTGTCTAACCTTTAACTTTTTTCTATTATTGCAGCCCACTCCTAATTTATGAAGGAGTGGTATCCATGGTCTTAATCAATCCATGTCTCCATCCCTGAATCAATCACCAAATTGTACTAACATCAAGGACTTTCATTGAGTCGCAAAGACTCGCTTAGATCCAAGACGGTCTACTACTCTTCATGGCCGAAAAGTAGGTCTCCTATGGGAAAATATAAGCCTTTGACAAGGCGACACCACAAAATCTCGGGAGAGTGAAGGAGTCGCTTTGCGTGCTTCGCCAAAATAGCCAAGTTGAAATCTTTAAAACTTCTGAATACCAACCCCTTTCTGTTTTGGGAGAGCAAAAAACTCCCCTTCTTCACTAGTGCAAAGTCTTTTTTTTTTTTTTTTGCATTGACCCACATCAAAATAAGTTGATAATTTCTACCCAATAAAAAGTTGATAATGAGATAATCCATCTTATTAGTGAGTTACATTAGAAGGAGGAAAAAATACATGATGTACGACGGAATAGCTTGTATGACTACTTTGAGATGGACTTCCTTCTCCTGTGGGACATGAGAAGACTCTTCCTAGATTTCCCGATATTTTCCATCCTTTGATTGGAGAATTGATTCTTTTTTTGAACTTCCCCACTCAGTCAGAACAACCATGTATCTTAAGTAACCGTTAACATAAGTAAGGCTAAAATTCACACTGAAAAACACAGATGATTTATTGATATGGATTTCCTAACCTGTGATAGCTCCATACTCATTAATGATCCCTAAAATTCTCCCAACCACTTGTTGAGTGACTTTCCCAAAAGTAACTGTATTATCTGTGAACCGACAATCGGTGAGGACACGACATCTAAGGTTGAGCTTAATGCTCTTGATGTGATCCTAAGAATGAAAACATTCGACATAAGAATGAAAAGGGAGAGAAGTGCCCCCTATCTAATATCACGAGACGATGAGAAGACTTAGTAGTTTCACCATTGAAGATGATGTGAAATTCATCATACATATACTAGCTCGGGCCCATTTGCACCACCTATAATCAAATCCATAATATTTCAGAAGGGTTTCCAAGAAATCACAATCCACCAAGTCATAAGCTTTTCAAATATCCAACTTAATCATCATGTCCCTCATTCTACCAAGCTTATGATTTTTGAAATGACGGAAGGCTTCATGAATATAGTCTTGGATGAGACGACTCCCCCCTTGCGAATGCAGTTTTAAGCTCCAAGATAATGTTTGAGGTTTCACTTTTTGATTCGGGGACCATAGCAATATGAGTATCATTCCACCCTTCAGGCATGTTCTCTGTTTGAAAATAAACCATGCATCTCTAATCATAGAGTATCTCTTACTTTTGTTCTAGAAATGTATATAAAATCGGGGAAAAAACCATCAGAACCCTACACCTTCTTTGCTCTCAGGCTGAAAAAGTACTTTCCTTATTTCCTTTGCTAACCAAAGCATAGGGATAGCAATAATATATGTAATCGTGGATATCCGCCCGAATTCGACCTAATTGGGTAGGGAAAAACTCGAACCCGAAGGGTTTCTAGTGGGTACGCTTAAATTCTGAACCTGAATGTTCTCGAATAATGGATGGACATGGTTTTCTCACTATCCAACCAAAATCCGTCCGATTATACACATGCATATGTATTTTCTCTAGAAATATCATTATTTTTCTCTAACGTATTTATATTTAGCAATACAAATATAATATTTTCATGAAATTGTGTTGTTTACTTGTTTTAATTAATTTTCTTCATTCTAGTGATTTATTGTAGCACTTTTTCTCTTATGTAATGTGAGTATAGGTGTGAATGTTAACATATTTAACAATACAAATTATTATCCATGGATAATCGTGGATACCCGAAACCCGAACGGGTATGACATGGTTTTGATTATCTACCCGATTCTTATGTGGGTATGTGTATGAGTAAAATCCGAACTATTTTGAGTAGGGTAACGGATATGTAGTATCCGCCCCCGACCCATTGTCATCCCTAATTAACTACTCTAAATACTTTCATAGGAAACTTTTCAAAATTAAAATGATAACATCATATAAATGACTCATCTAAAATTAATTAAAAATTACTGTTATATATGGCTAATACCAAATTATATGATACATGTTAGTTGCAAAATGTATTTTGCTTTGTGATGGTTTTAGTTAGAATATTAAATAAGAAAATAAAACATATTACATATAAAGATAAAATGCTCTCTCCAAATTGTGAGCACCTGTTCACATGGTTAGATTGGAGGCCACATCCCCTCAACTGATTTTAAGAGCAGAGATTGGTTGGCTTTGTGAAGGGATTGAGTAAGGAAAAAAGAGTGGAGCCAACCATCTTTTTATTGGGGGTTTAATATTTAATTGGCGTTTAATGCCTATCACAATTTTCTTTAATTTCTTTCTTATTCTTTTTTTTATAAGGGTGATATAGGTTTTTATTTTTTTCGTGATTAAGGTACTACTTAAGTGATTCAAACCTAATACCTTCTAGACTTGTAGTATTACCACTAGGCCAAACCTTTGTTCGTTTAATTTCTTTCCTCTCTTTTGTGCTCTCATTTTTTAATACATGTTAGAATACACCTTTAATACTAGTTCAGTCTGTTTGAATACTTGTTCGACGCCTTTAATACTTGTTCATATTTATAATGACGAACGAGTATCCAAAGCGCCAAAAAAGTATTCAAAGGCGTCGAATAGATATTCAAAAGTGTCGAGCTAGTATTCTCATATTCGAAACTAACAAATATTCAACACAAATGAATACATATTAATAGGCATCGAATAAATATTAAAAAACATCAAAGAAGTCTTCAGAGTATTAGAACAAGTATTCAAAAATGGAAAAACACAAGAGAAGAAGAAACAAAAAAAAAAGGTGGGTAAATTCCAAGTTTGGTCACTAGGTTTACTAAAACATGTCATGTTTAGCCACTAGAAAAATTAATATCAATAATGGTCACTAAGTTTAGGAAAACATGTCATCTTTGGCAACTCTCCGTCCAACTCCGTTAATAGAGACCGTTAAGTGCTGACGTGGCAAACAGAATCGCCTAATCAGCCGGATTTAACCCAATAAAAATAAAATCCAACCCGCCTCGTCAATAAAACCAACCCAACCCACGATCTAACCCTTTATCTTCTTCTCTATTTAACCCGACCTGAACATTCTTCATTCTTCCTTCCACCTCCTGCTTTCCCCAAATCCACCACCACCGCTACCTCCTCCCGCAAACCTCTCCCACTCCTCTTCTCTACCCGCCCACCCTATTACTTCCATTCTTCCAACATTATACGATCACTCTCCGTCGGCGAACGCCGATCGAAAGTCAAAAGATGGGGGAGAAGAGAAAGAAGGAAGACACCTGAAATGGCTGAAGATTTTGAGATGGACGACGGTGGCTCTAGGGATAGGAGGAATAAGCAAAAAGTAGAGAAGAAGAGTTTCGGCCATCGATGATAAAGAATAAGGAGAAGAGATCCTCCGCCCATGCCAAACTCAAACACCAGAAGAAGCTCGAGAAACGCAATACCAATAAGGCTCATGAACTTGCCGACAAGTAGGCGCTGGAACTCGGCGAGGAGGTTGCAACCGATTTCCCTTCCCCTAATCGTACCTAGACTATATTTGCTTGTTAATTTTTAATTGGAATTAGAGAATTTCCAAGCTTTTTCTTTGGTATTTTGTACTCTTGTATGCTGTTGATTGTATTTTGTAGAGAAGTGGAGAGGGAGCGGTGGGGAGAGGTTTGCGGGAGGAAGGAGGATGAAGCGGCGATGGTGGATTTGTGGAAAGCAAGAGGTGGGAGGAAGAAAGTTCGGATCGGGTCAAATAGAGAAGAAAATAAAGGGTTGGGCTGGTTTTATTAATGCGGCATGTCCATTTTTTTTGTTGGGTTAAATCTGGCTGATTAGACGATTCCGTTTACCACGTCAGCACCGAACGGTCTCCATTAACGGAGTTGGACGGAGACTAACAAATAGCGACTAAAAACATGACACATTTTAGTAAACCTAGTGACCATTATTGATATTATTTTTTTTCAGTAACTAAACATGACACATTTTAGTAAACTACTGACCAAACTTGAAATTTATTCCTTCTTTTTCCTTACCCAATTTCTTTTCAAGTCAATCAATATCAACCCTCCAAATCAATTGATGAGATGTGGCTTCCAATCCAACCGTGTGAGCAGGTAGTCACAAAATAGACGGTGAGATTGTCTGACGGCACATCCGTTTCCCTCCCAAAAAACCGCGCACCAGACTGCTAAAACGGCAAAAGGGCCACATCGCCCAGCAGGAACAGTAAACGACGCCAACTGAGCACAATAAATGACAGGAAAAATCAGGGGTGAGTGAAGTGCCCCCAAGACAAAATTGGGAGTGTGGGTTTCGCTGCTTCCGCCTTTCTTCTGCTCTCCAAAGAAGGGAAGAGAGGGCTTGCTAGAGGAGAGATGAGGAAAAATGGCGGAGGACGAGAGCTCGAAGAAGCGAAGGCTGGACATCAATTGGGAAGAATTTAATCGCCAGACCGACGATATGTATTTGATGCCAGAAGTCGTCCGGCCGAAGAGGGGCAGTCACACTGATGATCAGAACCCCCGCCAACAGTGCACCCCCTCGCCGCCGAATTCTGCCTCTGAAGACGGCGATCACGGGTGCACCTTGAGGGCGGAGTGCGCTAAGCTGCCTGACGGGAAGCTGGAGGAGGCGATTGCGAGTAAGAGGAGGAATCTGGCGAATGTTGGTAGTAAATTGCGAGACGGAGGGGGGAAACTCCTGTTTGCCATTGCAATCTATGAAGAGGAGCGAGAGAGGAGAAAATCGGGCAAGGCAGCTATGGTTTGCCTTCGTTTTTTCTTCGGTCTACTCCAAAGCAATTTTGCTCTGAATTGGCTCTTGCATGTGTTGGTTTTTGTTGCAGTTTAGCTGCTTAAGAAACTGGTGAAATTGGGTTCTTAAATGGAAGTTCGGTTTCATTTTCCTTCCCTTGGTTATGATCGTGATCATTCCTAGTGGGGGGATATTTCGCTTGTATACAATCTGCTTCCACTTGACTTGAGAATTTGAGGGTACTTCATGACGGCCCATGTGCTCTTTGATCAGTGAGAAACTGAGAAGAGATGTTGAACTGTGCAATGTTGGTCACTTAGGTCTGACAACTTATTGCAGTGCTTGAGCATGGACCATTAAGCTTTCTGTCTATGTTTGCCAACCTTGAATTATAATTATTTGGATCAAGAAGGTCATTGAAATTCAATAGAAGTATGAAGTTTTAGGTTTCTGCATGATATTGACATTCGTTTGGCAACCATACCACTGAATGTCATTGGTTTGTATCTCAAGAAGAATTAATCTTCTTTATCCATTGGACAAATCATGATGCTTCCTAGGAAGTCTGCTGTTAGGATTTAGCTTCTCCTTTTATATATGAATGCCATGTGTAAGTACGCAATTTCGTTATGTTTGTTTATGCATTGTTACAATGACCTTCCCAGCCAATTGTTAACAATCCTCCTGAAGCAGAGTTTGTAAGTTTCTTGTCCCAAGTGGAAGGAGTTACACATTGCTCCATCTTATTGGTAAAATGAATGATTGTTTGGCTTTTGGGGGGATAATTTTACAGAAGAGTAGATATGGAATGTTGATTTCTTGGTTTGTTTGTTGCTTTTGGTTGTACTGGGCCAACTCAGCTGCCACGTGTTTGTGATCAAGGGGAAGCGACAATTTTGGTTTGGCGTTACAAAGTTTTCCCCTTAATATAGCCAAGGTCTTATTCATCCTGGTTTTGACTTTTTAAGTTCCAACTTTTCACCACAAAATTGTCTAAAAAACGGAAAGATGCACAGTGAATTCCATGATAGAGCCCGTTGTCATCTGTTGATGATATGATTTATTAGTCAATCCAGGTGTTAGTGCTATAAATGATGCTTTCATTGAGGGAACTTCCTTTTAATGATTTTTTTTCTCCATTCCAGGCTGTTGGTGAATCTAAGCAATCCATACAGTCGGCAAATACAAGTACAAATGGTGAGTTTCACTGTGGCTGCCTCTTATTTTAAAAAATCTGGTCCAAGCAGAAACTAAGTTAGTGATGGCAATGGTCATTGTAAATACATTAGTGGAATATGCAACCGTTTGAAGCATGAACATAAGAAGAACCCTGAGAACCGAAGTGTGTTCTGTAGGTGCTCCAGGTGGCAGTAAAGAGATGGCATCTTCTGAAATTCATTCACAATCGCGTTTTGGCTCTCTTTTCAGTAAAAAGATGGAAGATAAAGTATGCTGCTTTACTTAATATTCTTACATGGCTGTTAATTCACATCCGCTCCACAAAAAACTTATTGTTACTGCCTTGCTATGTTTCATTTAATAGGCAGATCATAAGGCTGCCAAGGCATTTGATAGAGAACTATCTACTCTGCGTCCTTGTAGCCCTCCGAAAGGGAAACTCAATGAGGGTTTGTCACAAAATGGAAGGCGGAAAAATGGATCATCAAAAAGACGAGGTTCTCAATCTTCTGTTGGTTGGAAGGACAAGGGAATTTCCTCTGATTCCTTCTACTCTAAAGGGCAAAGTGCATCTAGACATTTTTCTAATGGGTAAGTGGTTCTCGTTTACTGTGTTTGCTTACACGTATCCTGTCCTCTTGGTTTTGTTACCTAAATGTTGGTGTGATTTCTATTTCTTATCTGTGGTGAATTATGTTGAAGGGCCAGTAGAGGTAAGAATTTGATGCCCTGTATAAAACACTAGTGAGATAGTCTAGATAAGACTTTTAGTCTAGATGAAAACTAATGTGATCTGCTTTCCTGATCTTGAAGCGCCCTGTAAGATGAAATAACTGAATAGCCAATCTGGGGCAGTGGTAATGATACTCTTGATCACTTTAACCAATACTGTTCATTCAAAATTTGATATGCCTGACTATATACTGTTCGTACTCACTAATGGGAAGCAATTTTTCTGAGAGTTTGCCTCAACAGTGTGTTAATTTAGACTTTCATTTGCAGCATTTTATCTGTCTATCTCATGTTCCTGCTGTTTACTGCAGCGCAGGCTTTTCTCGGATTGATGTTTCTTTCCCTCTTTTTTCAGTGCTTTTGGTAGAAAAGAGGAATCTCCAGTCTCGCCTTTATATAGTCTCAGACCTAGAAAGGCAAGTACGAAAGAACACAATACCTGAACTTCTTGACACTAAGCTCTACTGGTTATTTGAGGATATATATGGTTTCTCTTGCCTGAATCATTATGTTTGGTGATGTACTGAGAATAATTTAAAGTTGAAAGATTTTTGAATGTTCTTGAGGGGCTATAGAAAGAATCAAGGGGTTCCTTTGTAGCTTATTTTATTCTAATCTTGTGAACAGAGGGAGACTGTGGTTCTTTTGGATGATGATGATGATGAGGTTCTGGAGACACTAGATTGTGCAAATGAAACACGTGATGAATGGTAAGTTCAGCTTCAAATGGTGCTTTCTCCTTTTGTTCTGTTTTGTTTTCTTTTGCCTGGTTCCATAGATTAACAAGCAATTGATTTTCCCTGTGACCTTCAGCCTGAAAGATGCTAAAATCTACTACCCGTCTAGGTATGTTTAAATTTGTAAATTGGGCATAGTTAAGTTAAGAAGGTCAAACCAGGGATGGTCCAGGATGCGACTATTGACTTCTTGATGTTGATGTAGGGATGATCCAGAATGTGTTGAAATCTGTTTCCAGGATATAGACTGTCTGGCTCCTGAAAGTTTCTTGACATCACCTATCATGAACTTTTACGTACGGTAAAGTGAACTTCATCCTGGTTACCTTCTGTTTTACGGTGCAAACTGGTAGATCTTATTACCAAGAACCAAAGATACTCCGAACACAACCAATCAGGAATATGAAAGCCTATCATACCAATAGGATACCACAAAAGGGCTTTTCTTGCCACTATATGGGTGTCAGTTAGAATGACCATCTTAATTAGTTCAGTGATGGAACTATGTGTAATTTTAGATGGGCTACAGTAGGCCCTTCAGTATATAATGTGGTTCTCATATGTTTATTCATATGTTAAGAAAACATTATAAAGTGACAAGATAACTGACTATTATAAAGCACAAAGCTTTTCTCCATTAACTGGTTAACGGTGTTTGCGAGTAATGGAATTCACTTTTGCCATCTCCTAAGTGATAGAAACAGAGCTGTTTATTGGGTGTAGCTGGTAATTGTGGTGAATGTTTCAGCCTTTCATCCTTGTTCATCACTACTTGAATCTGGAATATTGAGGTGGAGTACTGTCCACGTTTTTATTTTATCTCTTGTTTAGGTACCAAGAGATGCAGGCTTCTCCATCACAAAAGGCTACTTGTGATTATCACATATTTAATACATTCTTCTACAACAAGCTTAAACAGCAGTTGTCACGAAAGGTAGTTGAATTGATTGCTTCAGAACCGTGGCTGTCTGGGTATGTGATGTACTATTGTTCACCTGTCATCCACTTTCATGTGTAGGGAGGTGAAAAGGAATCCCTCTTTGTCAAGTTTAGAAGATGGTGGAAGGGTGTGAACTTATTTGAGAAGGCATACATACTGATTCCTATACACGAAGAGTAAGTTTCTTTTCAGGTTCATTGTACAGTTTCTCTAGTTGCTGATTGCTGCAAGTTGTCAGCTTCCATTTCGTATTTGAAGCTCGTTAAAAATGAAAAAAGTGACTTGCTTCCCAAGCTCCCTTCTTCCCCTTGATTTGGCGTAATCGTGTTATTATTCATGGGTGCTGATATATCAGTCTACACTGGAGCTTGGTGATCATCTGTTTCCCAGAGAAGAAGGACAACAGATCAGGACCAATGTTGCTTCATTTGGACTCATTAAAGCTCCACTATAGCAGAGTTGTTTTGGAGGATATAACTAGGTGAGATTAAAAATACCTTGGAATTGGGCAGACTTACTTTTGTAACTTGGTATTGGCTGTTTCTGGTCTTTAGTAACTATTCAAATAGTTAAAATAGATCTCTCACATCACAATTTATTTGTCATTATTCAGTGAAAAAATTATTTGTCATTGAATAACATCTCCTGCCAATTGCAATATCAATTCACAGCTTTTTGAGAGAAGAATGGCAATATTTACATCAAGAAGTTGCTCGTCAGTCAGATGTTGAGATCTCTGACAAAATATGGAAGCGTCTTCATAACATTTCTTCAAGAAGAATCGAGGTAAACAAGTGCCCCGAGTTTCAATATCATATGATGTTTGTGTTCTAGGATTGATCGAGTCCAGCAGCTCATGTATGTATTCTGAATCCTAAATCAAAATGCCTACCAGGTTCCACAACAGAAAAATGATTATGATTGCGGTATCTTTGTACTTTATTTCATGGAGCGCTTCATTGACGAAGCCCCGGAGAGGCTGAAAGAAGTGGATCTGGACATGGTAAATTTTTCTTCACACCCACACACTTTAAGATTTATAATTTTTTCAGTCTCTAGTTTTCCATGTCATCTGAATAAAACCTACGAAAACTAATGCTATCACATATATACAATTCTTTTGGTTGCAGTTCGGCAAGCAATGGTTCAAACCTGAAGAGGCATCTCGCTTGAGAAAGAAAATAAGAGATTTGCTCAAGACCGAGTTTCGTAAATTAAGAAAGCGCAGCATTGCTTGCGAATCATTGGCTGTCCCTTCCGGAGGATCAACTTCAGCAGAAAACAGTAATTCAACTGAGTCGTCCTGACTTTGTACAGCTCAGATTCAGGGTAAAGAAGACAACAATGAGTTGCCTATGTACATCCCGAGAAAGAGGAGAGGAAAATTGTGGATACCCATTTTATCTTGGGCTTGAAATAACAATAGGTAGAGTAAGATCGAGTTCTGAAGCCCCTCTTCTCTTTCTCTCTTTTTACGGGTTTTGGCTTCACCATCAAAGACAAAAGTGTACAGATATAGGGGAAGTACAGCAGTTGCGGGAATTTTGGCACATAAAGACAGAGTAGTGTCCACCATTCTTAGCAGTTCAAAAGACTGTTGTACCTCTCTGGATGATCATCTTTTCATACATGAAGTACAATAGCCCTCCGTTTTTGCAATTCATTTCTAGAGACACAAGCAGTGTGGAGGGAGGAAAGGTGAAGGGTTGTTTTCTTTTTTCGTAATGGTGAGCAGGTTAATGGTGGCCTCTAACACCACGTCCTTCAAAGCTGGTCTCTTCTTCCCAGCATTGCTTCATGATCCCTGCCAGCGACTCTGGAGAGTGCTCCGGTCGAATGTTCTGCGTATTCGCCGCAGCAATTTTAGCAATCAAAATGGACAAAACACCATGCTTGCCTACTCTATACAACTTAGTGTCTGCTGGTTTTTGTTTACCTTACGAATGGCCGGAGAAGTCTGGTGAGAGAATCCGAAGTGGGTAAAGGGTGCATCGCAGCAGTAAATCTCAAAAATTATGTGTTCCCAACTTAATTACTTTATTATATATTTGGGATTTGGATGGATTTGTGGGGTGGGAGTTATACTTAGGTAGTTAGGTATCCGAAAATGGGCATGGTTTCACGAATTGAAAATGGAAATGAGGATAGATTTAGCAAACCTTCATCTTAAACCCGCCAAATTACCATCTCTAATTGCACACAATTCTACTAAAATTATCGACTACTTAGGCCCCTTGTACTTTCGCTTCAATCAACAACACACCCCTCAACTTTCATTTTTACAAACCTCTTCTCTTGACTTTACCGAACACACCGTCTTTTTGCGATAACAAACCGTTAGTGATGGGTCAAGGTCAACAAATAAGGAGGGGGGAATCTGAAGAAGAAGAGAGAAAAAAAATCCTCTTACCAGATCAAAACTAAGTCAATTACCCATAAGAGTTCAACAGAACGACATACAAACAACAGTACAAGCTCCCCAATAAGAGACAGAAAAAGAAACACCATCAAAAAGTCATGCTTCATCTGCAATATGATTCCGTAAAGCAACATCCAAAATGGTGGCCGATGCAGTTTCTTAACAGGCCTAAAGAATCAAAAAATTCCTTTACATCACATGCGGTATTGGATCATTGGTTACTTGTCAAACTCAGTGTGTGGTCTCAGTGCTCAGTAGTATAGCAAAAATTCTATACGTTGGTATTATCTAAACGCACCAATACGATCACGAATCATTTACGTAGTTCCTGCAGCGGGGTGGGGTTGGGGAGTTTTCCTCAGTATGGGAATAACCTTTTGCGGTTCTTCTTCTTCTTCTCAGGAGTGGCAAGTATTGCTTTCACCCCATATGTAGTCATCTGGAAGTTCTCAAAGGCCTGAGAAACTACTTCCACCTGTGTGACAAGGAAATTCGGCACCGGGTTTTGGTTCATATCAGGAGAGACCCATTCATTTGTCACATGAAACCAAGAAATGTTACCCTTGCAAATTTCTTTCTTCAAAAATAAGCATAGAACAAATTTACTAACCAGTTCAGGCTTCTTGGCGTACACGCTCACGATCTTGTCCTGACAAACAGCAGGGACTAAGTGACTGATGCGCTCCACTGGTATCGTGAATCTGTCCGTGCTGTCATAGTCCTGAGAAAGGAATAGATCAAAGGAAAAGTCAATGTGATTGGAAGCTTCAAATATTGTATGTGCTTGGCAATGAATACTGATCTACACTCTCTAGTGGAAGCCATGATTGCCTTCTTTACATGACAGTAGCAGTCACATGGGGAGACAAATTAAGGGTAAAAGTTGGCTTGGGTTAAAGGTTATTAGTATTTAATAGTACCTGAAAAAACTTGACGCTGGGAGTGGATGGACATCGCATGAGGAAAAGATCAAGACCGGTAAGAAGAAGCAGAAACAAAAGTAAACAAGCAAAGGAGTTGAACCGCCAGAATTTTACAGTTAGTTACCTCTCAAGAGGATTGGAACTTCCACGGGTTAAGTCGATCTTGACAGTGCTCACAGCAATATCTTCTTCCTTGAGTGTAACATCACTAGATCTCTGTTTTGAGCAGGCAGCGGATGTTGGTTGAGAAACAAAATAGTACTAGTAGTATTTCTAGAAAGCAATGAGAGCACTTATGTGTCATGTTACCACCTGGGAGCATATAATGTCCTGCGGAGTGACGTCCTTGAAGTGGTCTAGATTTTCCTTTGGAACCGCAAACTCATTGCAGAACTGGAACCCATAGAGCACAGAGGCAAACATTACAAAAGCTAATAAAGAATAGGCAGCGACAGCAAGAGAGAACACTCTCCCACTCCACACCGACATATACAAGTTCGCCTCCTACCTGGTATAGATCTCTTCTCCTGATGCGTAGAACCAAATCTCGGGCCTCTTTGAGTTCTGGTCTTTCGTCAACTTCAATTCTTTTCAATATTGTGTCATCCAGCTGTGCAAACATTATAAAACAGAGGACACTGATGATTAAACAAAGGTGGAATAACAAAATGACCCGATGATGAACTCGGATGATAGACGTTCAGAGTCGGTTGATGTTCAAGATGTTCAGACCTTCCAAAACTCTCCAGGATTTTGAACAGCGTCAGCAATTCCAAAGGCCTCATTTGCTTTGGTTAGGGCATCAACAGCCATGAGTTCTATCCCCTGAAGATTAGAGAACCCGTGTAAACTTCAAACATCATAATATTTTATTCCAGAATGTAAGGAGTTTCACCTTCACTTTAGCATGTGTATAGATTGTGCGGTGCATTTCTGCTCGAGTCGAAAACAGCTTGTATACCGTGATATCTACAAACAATGAACCATCATCATCAACAATAGTGTACAGTGAAGTAGCTCCAGTAATTTAGGATTAAGTTCAAATAATACTAACAGTCTTTGGCACGGTAACAAATCTCATCACCCAAAACCCTCATGGATTCCATTAACCTGGATGTCAACAAAGCACCCAGAAGACAAGTTCACATCAAAATAAAATGGTCCCAACTTCTCTCCCTGTGGGTCATATGAATCAACTTTCAGCCTAGCAGCAATTACGGTAACATGATGTTTGTTTCAGATAAAAGCTTTCATGAAATCATACGCAGGTCAGAGTAAAAGTGCATAATCTTTGGAGGAGTACACACCTCGCAAACATAAAACCACAGCCAACTCCACAAGCCCAAGAATCCCGAATAAGGTAGTCAAACCTAAATAATGAGTATTGGGATTGGCAAAGTAAAATGTAATCATCACAAACAAGAATATAACCAAGATGAGGTAAAAAGAAGAAAAGATGACGCACTTGTCAACATCTACTCCATTCCGGCCGTTTGCAACAATGTCATAGAGAAACTGCTTTCCAGTGGGACTCTACACCCAAAGAAATTTCAACAATTAACAAACTTAACGCAAGATAAACGTCTAGATAAAGCTCATAATGCGAGACAACTTACATTGTGAGAACCATGTTCAGTACTTGCAACGACCATTTCCTGCCAAAAGAACAGAGAAACAAGAGTAACTGATATCAGTTGGTGTTCATTATGCATCTACTAATGGACAAAGTTGAGTTGAGGAGAGGAAAGAAGGGAAAATTAGTGCCATGTGACTCTAAACCTTTGCTTTCTTTAGGCATTCTGGTTCAATGTCAATGTGGTGCTTGTCAACAATGTAGTCTATCATGCTGATAGACATGTCCTCATGAGACCTGAAAACAAACTTTGCCCTGTCAACTTTGGAAGTGTCACAAGTCATGCTGGAGGAAGTGCTCATCCTTAAGGATACTCATCAGAGCATTTTATGCTCTAGTAACCTTGGATATGAGAAACTCTCTCAATACATCCGATGACAGATCATTACCGCAGGCAAAATTGAATCTACTAACCATGAGGCGCCATTAAGAAACAGAGGAAGAAATTGACGCTCAAAAGTGTGGCTGAATGGTCCATGGCCGATATCATGCAATAATCCTGGAAAGATGAGAGAAGCAACAGGTAAAGCAAGAAAAAAACAGCTACATACAGAAACATAAAAAAGCAAAATACACTTCACTCACCAGCAAGCTTCACAGTCTTTATATCAAAATCCTCAATGGGAAATTCCGGATCCTTTACAGGTTGAAACAACCATTCAGAAAGGTTGTCCATCAACATAAAAATCAAAAAGAGGTTTAACAGAACATTTTAGCCTCCGTACCTGCTGAGCTCTGAGACGATAAGCTACTTCTCCAGCCAAATGGTACACCCCTAACGAGTGCTCGAACCGAGTGTGCACCGCTCCAGGGTACACCATGTTTGTTAGTCCTGCAAACAAGTAATTATCACTCAGTGGAAAGAACGAGTAAATCAAGGTACAAAACGAATAGTCTAGGAATGGATCTCCGAGAAGCGTTAACAATCACCAAGTTGCTTGAGATCCCGAAGCCTGCGTCATGGAATAACATAGTCAGAGTTGTGTTCTTGATTATGAGAAACTGAAGTTAAAATTAACATGTATGGACGTCGAACTTGCCTCTGAAATTGTTCAGTATCGACGAACTTCAGAGCAAGCTGAAACACAATGAAGAGAAACAGAATCCATCGTCAAACTCACCAACCCTTCCTTCCAGAAACAAAGGTAGCTAATAAGAGAATGATCTCTGGATCAAACCAACAAGAGATCATATTGTCAACGAACGCACTCCACATTAGAAGAATTAGAAGCGACTGTTGCTGAAACAAGTAAAGAGAGAGGAAGAAGAAAAAAGAAGACCGAAAAAGGACGTAGAAATGCTGCTTCCAAGAAAGAGTCAAAATGCTAAAACTGGAATGCGATCGCTCGACGTTACGGAAGCTATAGGCATTCGCGTCCAAGATTTCACTAAAACGTTTCGAAACCTTAAGGACGAACGGTTACTTGCAGACTACCAAGGATATTCCTCCTACGCAACATCGGCGTTCGTTTCATCAATTCCGTGGACGCAAATCAAATCTCCGTTAATGGATAAAGAATTCCGGCCAGAGAGCACAAACTGGACTAGCTCAACCATAAACACAGATTCCGCCGGCAATCGAGTAAAACTTCAGATAGTAATTGATAAATCGGATTCGATAGCTAACGAACAAAATCGAACGGAACAAACAGAAGCAACAGCGGCGCAGAAAACGAGTTGAAACGGAGATTACGAACACGCATGACCGACGAAAACGCCGGAGGAAAAAACGATGGAAACGCACTAGCGAGAGGAAAAGCAGCGAGAGTATGTACCGGCTCCAAGTAGATGGTGCCATGGACGTTGTCGAGGATTTCCTTCGAGAATCTGCGATTCTGGCAGTAAGACGCATAGTTGGAGGCGCAGTAACCGTCGTTGGAGGAAGCTCCCATCGTCGTCGGCCTCAGCTCCGGTATCGGACTGCGAATGCGGGAACGCCGCTCTCACTGTAATACCTGGAGAAGACGGAGGAGGAGGAGGAGGAGAAGAAGACGGCGATGTTAAAAACCGAAAGCACACAGAGAAAGGAAGCTACTAAGTAAGGCCGGGAGAGACGATTACAATTCGAATTTCTTACGAGAGGTGATGGAAATGGTGGAGAAAGAGAGGGAAGATAGAGAAGCGGCAAGGAGGGGAGGTATAAATAAGCACTGGAGGAGTGAGCAATTTTTCGGCGAGAATGGGGGACTGAGCAGAGGTGGTGTGGTGAATTGGCAAAGTGCCGCCAAAAAGCTGGATTTCCATCCTCACGCGCTCGGTTGCACGCTCGAATCGCGTGGAGGTCTTTGTTAATTGACAAGAAATTAGTAAAGACTAAAGATTAAAGAACATTCCGTCGGTGGTACTGACGGGAGTAACGGCGGGACATGCAATTATGAGTAATTGATATCGATTAAAGTGAACGGTAAATTAAACCGCCGTCTTTAACTGTCTCTCCAATTATTTAGGAGAAATACTTACCTGGTGGTTTCCCCAGCCAGCTGGCTTTGGTAGGGGTGCGTCATTGGCAGCTACAATTTGCACTTTGCGAGGGCACACGTCATCACAGAATATTGGAATTTCATCTTTAAGAAAGACAGAATATTGGAATTTAGACACGCTCGTGGGTAGAGAATAAAACAGAAAACCTGCTTTCGTGATGCGCAAGGCATATAAAACTCCTTTGTCTGTAAGTATTGAAGTCCTCTCTTCTGTAAGTACCAATTATGAGGATTGTCGAATCAGAATATTTTCGATTTGGTCTTTAACTATCATACAAAGTACAAACATGCAAACATCGTTCACTAATTCTATGTTAAATTCATAATAATAATAATATCATTAACATGAAGCCTGGAACTGCTCAGGGGACTCGAAGGACAGAAGCCTGGAATGTCCTGGGCTTCCCAAGCCCCAGCTCCCCGCAAGCAGCCATCTGGTCCTCAACTCTGCTCTGCTAACAATGAGCAGTTTCCTTGTGCTAGTAGATTACGGAACTCGATCATTCTGTCTATGCTGGTTGGTATGAATTGGGAGCCACAGTGAGGATTAAACTGAATGAGATTAATCTTGCACGGAATGGCTTTAACTAGATAGATCAGCTTCCTTGCATCCTCAACGCTGACAGACAACAACAATCAGATCCACTCAAGATTTCAGACCAGAAGGGAAAAACTCCAGTGGAGTATGGACCAACGAGTGCTTTCACAAGCCATGAGAAAAGGTTTATCAGCATCTAACCTGTCAGTTACACCAGCAAGCATTACATACTCCAACAACAGCACTTTGCACTTGTTCTATAAGTGAAGCTCCTGACGCAGTGTGTCGAGAAGCAAGCTGATATTATGCTCGCAGTTGGCATGATGCAGTTTCTTACCTGCAAATATATTTGGTTGTGGGAAAGTAGGCGAAATCTTTATCAATATGTGAGCTTCTGCTTGTTAAGGCAACACAGCTCATGCTGGGATTCACTCACCTCATCACTTGTTGCACTTAGACTGACAGCCAAAGCGGAGTTCGATTCATGGAGAAATCGCTCGAGTTCGGGAACAAGCCCGCCTGCAGAAACAGTGGCCTTCCGGGGGCTGAACTGAAGTCCTTGCTCATCCACCATTATGTACTTATATTAAATTTTCAATGTTCTGAAGAGGTTCTGAAGAGGTTCTTCCATTCCCTACGAATCATCAAAAAGTAGCAGCCATTTAAAATTACAATCAGTTTGTTACAGGTACCACTTTAGATCATCTAAATCAGAAGTTATGTTGACTGTTGAGACTACACCTACTATGAAGACCACGTTAGTGATACAACCAACTTCACTTGTGAGCAGATGCATTGCAAATACAGCTTGCTCTACTATCTCGGCTGCAGTAAGATGTCTTGTCAAACCCATCCTGCAAAATCGATCAAGGAAATGCAGCATGAAGCAGCCAAGAAACATGAAGAGATGATAGATAGACTTGGATTTCAAATGGGAAAGGAAGAAAAAGTTTCCCTGCCAGTGTAGCAGAACTGACAAGTCATAGCACATCCCACCTGACTCGAAACACAAACTGTCGTCCTACCTCTCTATCACATGGTATCACGACTGCTTCTATAACAAGTCTATCATTCAGCCTGAATAAAATTCGCAACATCCTGTGAGTTTCAAGATCAATGAGAAGATTCTCGTAGCTTATTCAAGGTTCGAGACAAATCACAAGCAGGTATAAGTTTTGAACAAAATAAGGAAGAGACATGGCGCAAAGCATTCTATCAAAATGGAGGGCAGGAATTAGCATTTCAGAAGGTTAAAAGGATTACCTTTCTAGTTCCATCAGACGCAGATGAAGAACGCACCGAGGGGTTGGCCGTGTCTGAAAAGAAGCGGAAGCCAAGAGTGAAATTGAGGGCGAAATTATTTGGTACTAGAAAGGTAATTGGCAGAATCAAGAAGACGCTGGGCGCCACCTAGGCGAGGAGGCACCGCCCAGGCCGATTAGTCGTTGCCTAGGCGAGATTAAACGTCGAAAAAAATGATAAATATGTAAGTTTAGAGTGCAAGATCAAACATAACATTCATAAGTTTGCTGATTTCCAGTTCTGTAACTGGCAATATTCAAGATAACAATCATTCAAGTTGTAACATAGAAGGAAACAAACATAATAAAACATGACAAATGTTAAGATAAGTCATAAAGGCGATGACAAGCTAATAAACTCCAAGTTGATCACTCATCATCTTCATTCATATAGTTCTTGTTAACCACAACATCCTCCTCGAAATGAATGACCTCACTTTCCTCGTCATCTTCTTCTTCAGACTCAAACTCCTCATCGGCAAGGTCTCTCACTAATCTGGCACTCCTGCGAGGTTGAAGATTCTCACTAGCTCCCTTGCCTCATCAAATGCCAATTCTAATTCTCTTTATCATCTAAAGCCTAAAGATGAAAAGAAGCTAGAGAATCAATCGAAAGAGAAAGAATAATTAGTACCTTCAATGCTATAGACCGACGGCGAGGACAAGTCACGACTGGGCACTGGCGATGCTGGAGACCGACGACGCGCGATTCTGGAGAATGGCGGAGAGGACGTGGCGCAGCCGGCGACAAAGCCCCCTGCTGCAAACTTGCGATGCTAGAGAAGACGGCTGGAGAGGAGGGATGAAGGCAGTCGACTGTTGGAGAGAAGGGAGAGAGGTGACGAACTCGAGAGGATGGAGAAGACGGCTGGAGAGGATGAGTGGGACTGTGGGAGGGATGCTGCTCAGCTGATCGACTTGCCCATTAGGGTTTTCCCCTTTTCGGTCTATCCAAAACGCACAGCTCCATCTTTTTTTTTTCTGGGCGTCGCCCACAGCTTGGAATCGCCGATCCAACCTAGTACTCGCCCCCTAGGCGTTCTTCAACGCGATTCCACATTTATTGCGCCCAGCAACTTCGCCCAGGCTTCCTCTCCACGTTTCCTCCTCTCCTAGCTACTAAACGCGCCTAGGCGAGTGTTCTTGAACACTGTATACTGATTGAGGACCCTTCGACATTCAAGTCATACTTAATAGAAATTAGAGGAGGGGAAAATACCGTATATTGCTATATGCAAGTCCAGCATCAACACGTATTATTTCTGTTAATCACTCAACGATGATAAGTTCACTGCTAATACGAAGTGATAATATCCAGGTAGACTCATTGGACAATACCTATTGATACTATGGATTATGGAACTCCAATAGTAGCAAAATGGCAATCACCTCTAGAATACAATACTCGGAAGAGAACCCTCAGAGCAACGACGAAGCAGGAGATGAAAGATCCATCACATCCAAATTCATTGCATCACCTTTCCCCATTTCCGACACCAATACATTTGGAAGCCAGTTGATGCCCCAGCAGTGATGCACATGCAGGTCCTCTTTCCAGTGACATCTCCTCTTTCCATATGCAAATACAGCCATGGTCAGAAGTCAGAACTAATCCTTGTGGTCACAAAGCAGATATGAAATGTTAGGCTTGCCCTTCCAGAAAGTACCATGATGTATCTAGAACTTGTATGCAAAGTGCCATTTTAGTTCAGTAAACGGGAAACAAACATGCCACATTACCCTTAAACTGGAAAGCCCAATTGAATATCTCAGGTAGATTTCACAGTTATGATGTTTTCCTCCCAATCCACATCAACAGGTATGTGTGTGATTGGATTATGGACAGCAACAATAAATGTGCTTGCAGGGAAACTAATTCACAGGAGGTAATAGAAAACCTTACCAGTACTTAATCAAGCCATCCCAACTGCAGGTAGCCACTTTACTTTGTTCCAATTGATGCCATTCACACCCAATGCACACTTGTTCATGGCATTTTAAGGTCCTGAAAACTTTGCAGCTCTTCCAGTCCCGGACTTCCCAAAAAGCCAGCCCCGGGCCGCCAGAACCAACACCTACCCTCACCATCTCCCGACATAACAAACCGCCCGTCGGGAGAGAAATTGACCTGGCAGGCATATCCTCATACAATGTGTCCAGCAAACCTCTTCTTCTTATTCAACTGAAACCTTTACCTAGTGCTATATATAAGATTTGGTTATCCAAACTCTCTGCTGCTAGCTAGTTTGAATTGGGATGAACAGATATCGAAGGCATGGAATGCACGTGAGGCTTACTGATATACTTAATCACAGCAGGTATCCTGAATTCCCACACAAAGCGATTTATCATCGCTTGATGCGATGAATCTACTGCTGTTATCCACGAAAGTGATGGTGTTCACTGCCCCTAAATGCATCATACTCCTGAGTGATCTGGCCACTATTCATATCCCACTGCACTATTTTCTTATCACTCATCCCGGCCAACAATACATTCTGCTTATCTTCATCAGGATTCAACTTAACAACATAAGGAACCTTTCGAGGTTGAAAATTTTGAAATCACCTGACCAGTCTCAGTATCCCAATACTAGATATTCTTATCATACCCAGCGGACAGAAACTTAGTCCCATCATTCATGTAACATATGCCTCTAACTGCCTTAGAATGAACGACTCATGTAAGTTCTCATACACTAGCCTAAATTGAACACATCCCAGATCTTCACCTTCGTGTCCATCCCAGCTGAGAGAATCAAATGCCCAGATTTGGGGAAGAATCTGATGGCGGAAACACCCTTCGTATGCCCGCTCGATGTTGCGTCTTCCACAAACCCTAACTTGTGATTCATCCGGAGCGGTGGATTTCGCTGGAAGGAGACGCGGCGGAGAGGAGTCTGGAGAGGAGCTAGGGGTTTCGAGCTCAGCGGCGGCGCGCTCTTCCATTCCTTCGCCGTCGTTGTAGGATGCTTGGAGAGTATCCATTTTTCGCTGTTTGTTCGACGGCGATTTTGCGCGGGAGGTGAGAGCAAACAATTCCGAACTCCGAAGACTACCAACTAACTGGATTTTGTTCTGAATGGGCCATATGTTGTTGGGCTCCCGGATTGCGTTAAGGCCCATTCATCTGCTTGAATAGAAAAAGAAAAGGTAAATTGGAAGTTTGATCACGGGAATTGCTAAAAATTTCACGTTTGCCATTAAAATTAGTTTATTTCACTTATAGTCACTAAAATTAGTTCAACAGTTAAAGTTTAGTCACTCTCCGTTAGTATCTGTTAACTTTTGCTAATGTGGCAGTCAACTCAAAAAGTTAACCGTTAAATAAATGACATGGCAATTAAAAATAATTAAATTTAATCTTTTACAATTTCCACTTCACTATAAAAATAAATAAAATAAAACTAAAAAATAATTATAATTATCATCCTCGGCTGCCAGCTCCACATCTTCGCTTCTTCTCCTGTCCCAAGCAATCTCTGAGTCATCGATCGACATCCAAAGCAAAAAAAAAAAAATTTAACTGTTACAAAAAAAATGCAAGGGCAAGAACTCCATCGCCGATAACCATACAAGTTCCAATCAAAGCTAGGCCGAGCAGAGCTTTCTGCAGAAGCTTACTCTTCTCCAGAGCAGATTTCTAGCTGGACGCCTGGACCTAGTTCGATTCCGGAGATTTGCAGCGGACCCATCTTTCTTATACTCGGAGAGCTCCTTATCTGCGAGCTGGAAATTGGGGAAAACAGCAAGATGGGCATGGCGGCAGAGCAGAGAATACAGAGCAATAGTGACACCTTCACCATTATCATCAGCTCTAAGCACAATGAAGTGTTGAGAAACCGGGCAGCAATCACAAGCAAGAATAGAATGCACAAGACACACGATTTTTACGTGGAAAACCCAAATCGGGAAAAACCACGGGACCTTTGTCCAAGCCACAACTCCACTAGACTTTGATGGGATTACAAGTCCTCTCTAGACTAGCTAGAGGATTACAAGCACCTCAAGAACACCCTTCTTGGATCAACAATCAACCACAATAGCTCTCACCAACATGGTGGATAACAAGAACAAGAGCAAGATAAAGAAAGGTTGAGAGATACCCAAAAACAGATTCGTACACCTTCTGTCCAGTAGCGATTCCCGACGAACTAGACCTCAGAATGACGATCCCTTCGGTCAGAATGAAGCCCAGACAATTTCAAACCCACCACCCAAATTTCAGGATGATCCAACGGTTCAATCTTCAAGAACGCTCACTTGAACAGGCTGTCCTGCTGCAGAAACGAAAAACTGTAGCTCTTTCTCTCTTCTCTCTTTTTCCTTATCTCTTCTCTTTTCTTGATTCTCTCTCTGGAAAAAATGAAAGGCTGAACTCTCTTTTCCCTTTTTGACCAGATAATAACTCTCTATTTTGAAAAGAAAGGATCTTCTAGAAACCAACCAAAACTCAAACTCAAACCGGTTAATCCAACTACCATATGAGTTGGACCAACCCAACAAATTTCCCCCTCCAGCTCATATGGGGGGTAGCACCAAACCTACTTCATCTCGACAGAAGATATGTTTCCCACTTGGTAGAGACTTAGTCATCATGTCCGAACCATTGTCATCCGTATGCAGGGGCGGACCCAGGGAGGATTGGGGGTGTCCCCGGACACCCCCAAAATCTCGGAGAAAAATTATCGAACCCCCGGTAGTAGTTTGAGCCTAGGAAAAAAAAGGAAAAAAAAATAGTTGTTAATGGGATTTGAACCTAGGACAACCTAGTTATTAGCTAACATGTTTTCCACCACACTACAACTCATATCTTGTTGTAAATTTAAGATACGGATAGTTATAAACATATTAATTTTATCCACAATTTAACACCAAAACCCTAAAACTAAACACAACTCACATTCAAAGATCGCAAAACAAAAAAAACTGCGGGCTGCGGCTGCTCATCCTCGCCCTCCTTCACCGGCCAGCGACCTCACCCTCTTCCGCCGGCCTCACCCTCCTCCGCCGGCCTCACTCTCCTCCGCCGGCCTCGCCGGCTCGCCCTCATCCGCCGGCCTCCTCAACCTCCTCAGCTCCTCTGTTCTTCAACCGTCAATATTGGGGTACAACAGCGGACAGCCGAACAGCGTAATCCGCTTCTCAATCCCTTTCAACCTCTCCCCAAATCTCCTGAACACCGCCAACGGTTCGTCATCGGAAGTCCACTCATCGCTCTCCCCAGGTAAATTGAAGAACAGCAAGTCCCAAATCTCCTGAACACCGCCAGCGGTTTGTCTACTCCCTCTGCCCCAGGTAAATCCGCCATTTCAATTGTCAGTTTCACATGTAAACATGTAAACAGTAGTTTTATAGTGGGGAAGCATAACTTGCACCGGCATTTCAATTGATGATTCATGGATTGACAAAGACAGTAGCAATACAAGTATACAAAGATTAGGATCGCCTTTTCAATTGTTAATTCCAATTGTTAAGCAGCAGTTTTACAGTGGGGAAAGTAGCGGTAGTTTTACGATGGAATTTCAATTCTAATTTTATGTACATTCTATGCTAGATCAGGTACCAATGGAAAGATATTACTCAAGACAAGTCCAATCTACTCCTAATGTTCAAACTGAAGGTGTTGAAGCTAGTGGGAGTAGACAAGCTCAAACCTTTCCTCCTTCGTCGATAGTGGGAGCTCCTCAAATACAAGAACCAAATCTTTCAGGTTCAGTCAATCGAACTCCAGAAGAAAGTGAGTCTTTCTCAGCAGAATCAGATAGAGAGTTTGATGAAAACTCTTTGGTGCTAGATCCGGCATTAAGAACTAAGATATCTAGCTTTCATCCCAATGTCTGTGACCAGGTTAGAAGATTTTATCTTCAAAAAGGTCCTATTCAACCAAAGAGTCATGCTTTTCCCGCCAGAAACTTTAGTGGAAGGCAACGTAGATTCCAGGCTTCTTGGTTTAAGAAGTATAATTGGCTTGAATATAGTGTCTCAAAAGATGCTGCTTATTGTCTATATTGCTATGTGTTCAGTAAGCGAGGTGGGAGTAATGATGGCTTTATTGGTGAAGGATTTAGAACATGGAATAAATTGAAAGCTTTTGATGATCATGTTGGGGAGCATAACAGCTACCACAATAGAGCTAAAAACAGTTCAGAAATCTGTTCACGTTCTTGTGGGAAAAACTAGATTACAAGAGATGAGAGATCGAGGATGGGAGTCTCTACTTGAGGATGTTATCTTGTTTTGCACTAAGGAATCTGTTCACGTTCTTGGCATGGATGATGAGTATGTTCTTCCAGGACGATCAAGGCGCAAGGCTCCACAGATCACAAACTTGCATCACTATCAGGTTGAATTGTATTACTCTGTTCTTGATATGCAGCTGCAAGAGTTGAACAACCGTTTTGATGAGGTGAATACTAGGTTGTTGACTTGTATGGCTTCTCTTAGCCCGGAGAATGAGTTTGCTGCTTTTGACAGGGAGAAGCTGGTTAGTCTTACTCGATTTTATCCTACAGAGTTTGGTAATCTTTCTGACTCTTTTCTTCTAAGGGACTTTGAGAATTACTATCATTCTGTGAAGAATGATGAGTTATTCCATGGATTAAAAGGAATTGATGAATTGTGTCAGCTGATGGTGAAGACAAAAGTGAATCTATCATATCCATGGGTATATTTGCTTCTCAAAGTTGTATTGACTTTACCGGTTGCAACTGCAAGTGTGGAAAGAGCTTTTTCAGCTTTGAGTTACATCAAGAACAAGCTTCGGAATCGACTAGGCGATCAATTTGTGAATGATTGTCTCGTAGGATATATTGAAAGAGATTTGCTGAATACTGTAGACACGGAGTGTATTTTAGAATATTTTCAGAATATGAAAACACGACGTGGAAATTTGTTGTAACTTGTATTAACCAAATATTTGTGTTGTTCAATATTATTCGGATACTTTTATTATTTAAGAATTATTCTTTTATTATTTTGAAAGCGGACACCCCTATTCAAAATTCATGGGTCCGCCACTGTCCGTATGCACCTTGTTGAGCTCCAACAACTTTTCTTCCAAAACATCACGAATCCAATGATATTGAACATCTATGTGTTTCGACCTTGAATGGAAAGTAGGATTCTTGCAAAGATGGATTGCACTTTGACTATCACAATAGAGCACATACCTCTCTTGCTTTATGCCCAACTCTTGAAGAAACTTCTTCAACCATAGCATCTCTTTGCAAGCTTCTGTCACGGCTATGTATTCGGCTTCTGTTGTTGATAATGCAACACATTTTTGCAGTTTAGATTGCCATGAAACTGCAGCACCTGCAAAAGTCATCATGTAACCAGAAGTCGACTTTCTAGAGTCCACATCACCTGCCATGTTAGCATCGGTATATCCATCAAGTATGGTCTTGCCGTTACCAAAGCATAGACACACTCTAGAAGTACCTCTCAAGTAGCGAAGAATCCACTTCACTGCTCTCCAATGTTCTTTCCCCGGATTGGAAAGAAACCGACTAACAATCCCAACGGCGTGAGCAATATCCGGTCTTGTGCAAACCATGGCATACATCAAGCTTCCAACAATAGATGCATAAGGCACATTCTTCATTGCTTCTTTCTCTTCATCACTTGTAGGACAATGCTTCACACTCAACTTTAAATGTCCTCCAAGTGGAGTACTAACCGCCTTAGCCTTGCTCATGTTAAACCGCTCAAGAACTCTTTCAATATACCTTTCTTGAGACAACCGAATTTTTCCATTCCTTCGATCCCTAGAGATTCTCATCCCTAGAATTTGTTTCGCCGGTCCTAAGTCCTTCATGGCAAAGGATTTACTCAACTCCTTTTTCAATCTATCAATCTCTCCAACATTCCGACCCACGATCAACATGTCATCCACATAAAGCAAGAGAATGATGAAATCATTTTCAGCAAAGTATTTCACAAACACACAATGATCGGAGGTAGTTCTTGCATACCCGTTTTTGACCATGAATGAGTCAAATTTCTTGTACCATTGCTTTGGTGCTTGCTTCAACCCATATAAGCTCTTTCTCAATCTGCATACAAGATCTTCTTTGCCTTTAACCTCGAACCCTTCCGGTTGATCCATGTAGATTTCTTCCTTTAAGTCACCATGAAGAAACGTCGTCCTCACATCGAGTTGTTCAACTTCCAAGTCCAAACTTGCAGCCAACCCAAGCACAACTCGGATAGAAGACATCTTCACCACGGGAGAGAAAATTTCTTCAAAGTCAACACCTTTCTTTTGGTTGAAACCCTTCACAAATAGTCGCGCCCTAAACCGAGGCTTTGAACTAGTTTCCTCCGTCTTTAACTTGTAGACCCACTTGTTCTTAAGTGATCTTTTTCCTTTGGGTAGTTTCACCAAGTCATATGTGTGATTCTCTTGCAAAGACTTCATCTCTTCTTGCATTGCTTTGTTCCACTCCTCCTTGTCTTCATGATACATGGCTTCTTGATAATATTCGGGTTCTCCCCCGTCAGTCAACAATAGGTACTCATGAGGGGAGTACCAAGTGGAAGCTTTGCGATCTCTTGTTGATTTTCTTGGTTCGGATAGAGGTTGCTCTTCTTCAACTTGTTCTTCTTGCTCCAATTGCTCTTCTCCTTGCACTTCTTGATCTAGTGCACCTTGGGGCTCATCATGCACTACTTCTTCAATATTTTCATGCATTTGGGATGGAGATATAGGCTCCAAATTAACCGGACCAGCTGCTGTATTTTTCTTCTTTTCACCCCTTTCGACATCTTCACTTGTCTCATCTTCAAGAAAAATCACATCTCGGCTCCGAACAAATTTCCTTGCAATTGGATCCCATAATCTGTACCCGAACTCTTCACGCCCATAGCCCATGAATATACATGGCTTTGCTTTGTCATCAAGCTTTGCTCTCTCATCTTTTGGAACATGAACATAGGCTTTGCAACCGAACACTCGCAAGTGTTCATATGAGACTTCCTTTCCCGTCCATACTCGTTGAGGCACATCACCCTCCAATGGGACCGATGGCGAAAGGTTGATTAGATCAACCGCGGTCCGCATTGCTTCTCCCCAAAATGATTTAGATAGCTTGTCATGTGAGAACATACACTTGATTCTCTCACAAATTGTTCTATTCATCCTCTCGGCGACACCGTTTTGTTGTGGAGTCTTGAGTACACTTTTCTGTAGTTTAATTCCATGCAATCTGCAGTAGCTTTCGAATGGACCTCTATACTCTCCCCCGTTATCAGCCCTTACACACTTCAACTTCAGGCCGGTTTCCCTTTCCACTTCAGCATGAAATTGCTTGAAAACATCTAGCACTTGATCCTTCGTTTTCAAAGCATATGTCCACACCTTCCTTGAGTGATCATCTATGAAGGTAACATAATAGCTTGCACCACCAAGAGTTTTATCTCGCATAAAACAAACATCGGTGTGAATTAGATCAAGTACCTTACTCCTTCTAGAAGGTGGAAATCTATGAAATGCAACTCTATGAGTTTTTCCGGCTAAGCAATGAACACAAGTTTTAAGAAGAGTACCTTTAGCTCCGGGCAAGAGTTGTTTCTTGGACAATATTTGCAGCCCCTTCTCGCTCAAATGACCGAGTCTCTTATGCCAAATCTCAATGGAAGAATCTTTCTCAGCAACATTGATTCCTCCCTTGCTATGCTTTGCATTCGTCATGTAGAGCGTACTTTCCTTCTTGCCTTTAGCCACCACAAGAGAACCTCTTGAGAGCTTCCATTTTCCTTCTCCAAAATAGTTGGTATAACCATCATCATCAAGCTTTCCCGTGGATATCAAATTCAGCCTCATGTCAGGAACATGTCTCACATCCTTCAAGACTAGCTTGCAACCCGTGTTGGTCTCTAGATGAATATCACCCATGCCAACAATCTTTGATGCGCCATCATTTCCCATCCTCACACAACCATAGTTACCGTTTGTGTAGGAAGAGAAAAGATCAACCCGTGAGGTCACATGAAATGAGGCACCTGAGTCAACAACCCATGTACTCTCTAGACAAGCAAGGTTAACAAAACCGGCATCACAAACAATGACCACATCACCATCTGTGGCAGCAACAGTAGTATCATCTTTTTCTCGGTTTTCCACACCTTTTTCTCTAGCTTGTTCCCGTTTCAAGATTCTGCACTCTCTCTTCATGTGTCCGGGCTGGTTGCAATGATAACATGTGATTTCTCCTCTTGGTCTTGACAATGATTTTGATCTCCCTTTTGATCTCCCTCGGCTGTTACTTCGATTCTGAGAGTTCTTGAAGTTGGAATTTCGATTTCTGCTTCTTCCACGACTTCCAGAATTATCCGCCACCAAAGCATGTGACTCTGATGTAATCCCCAACTCTTTTCTCCTTGCCTCTTCATTCAACATGCTATCCTTGACAATGTCCATCGTCAACTTGCCATTAGGTGCTGAGTTGCTAAGTGAGACCACCAAAGTCTCTCAACTATCCGGCAAAGAACTGAGAAGTAACAATGCTTGCACTTCATCATCAAGTGCTAACTTCATAGTAGTTAGCTGGTTCACAAGCACTTGAAAGTCACTCAAATGCTCCGAGACACTATGCCCATCCTTGTACTTCAAGTTCACAATTCTTCGAATGAGTGAGGCTTTATTTTGAGCCGATTGCCTCTCATACATGGACTCCAATTTCTGCCACAATTCATCTGCTCTTGTTTCTTTTGCAACATGATGAAAGATGCTTTGGTCAATCCATTGTCGAATGATTGCTACCGTCTTTCTATGCAAGACCTCCCATTGCTTCTCGGTCTTGTCTTCCGGCTTCACGCTGCCATTTTCAATTGGCTCATAGAGATCCTTGCAAAACAGAATATCCTCCATCCGTGGCTTCCAAATAGAGTAGTTGGATGATGTCAACTTAATCATTGCTCCACTTGAGTCATCCATTCTTGCCATTCACCAAACACAGCCCCCAAACAACCTAATGCTCTGATACCTCCATCGCCGATAACCATACAAGTTCCAATCAAAGCTAGGCCGAGCAGAGCTTTCTGCAGAAGCTTACTCTTCTCCAGAGCAGATTTCTAGCTGGACGCCTGGACCCAGTTCGATTCCGGAGATTTGCAGCGGACCCATCTTTCTTATACTCGGAGAGCTCCTTATCTGCGAGCTGGAAATTGGGGAAAACAGCAAGATGGGCATGGCGGCAGAGCAGAGAATACAGAGCAATAGTGACACCTTCACCATTATCATCAGCTCTAAGCACAATGAAGTGTTGAGAAACCGGGCAGCAATCACAAGCAAGAATAGAATGCACAAGACACACGATTTTTACATGGAAAACCCAAATCGGGAAAAACCACGGGACCTTTGTCCAAGCCACAACTCCACTAGACTTTGGTGGGATTACAAGTCCTCTCTAGACTAGCTAGAGGATTAAAAGCACCTCAAGAACACCCTTCTTGGATCAACAATCAACCACAATAGCTCTCGCCAACATGGTGGATAACAAGAACAAGAGCAAGACAAAGAAAGGTTGAGAGATACCCAAAAACAGATTCGTACACCTTCTGTCCAGTAACGATTCCCGACGAACTAGACCTCAAAATGACGATCCCTTCTGTAAGAATGAAGCCCAGACAATTGCGAACCCACTTCCCAAATTTCAGGACGATCCAACGGTTCAATCTTCCAGAACGCTTACTTGAACAGGCTGCCTTGCTGCAGAAACGAAAAACTGCAGCTCTTTCTCTCTTTTTCCTTATCTCTTCTCTTTTCTTGATTCTCTCTCTGGAAAAAATGAAAGGCTGAACTCTCTTTTCCCTTTTTGACCAGATAATAACTCTCTATTTTGAAAATAAAGGATCTTCTAGAAACCAACCAAAACTCAAACTCAAATCGGTTAATCCAACCACCATATGAGTTGGACCAACCCAACAAATCTCCCCCTCCAGCTCATATGGGGGGTAGCACCAAACCTGCTTCATCTCGACAGAAGATATGTTTCCCACTTGGTAGAGACTTAGTCATCATGTCCGAACCATTGTCATCCGTATGCACCTTGTTGAGCTCCAACAACTTTTCTTCCAAAACATCACGAATCCAATGATACCGAACATCTATGTGTTTCGACCTTGAATGGAAAGTAGGATTCTTGCAAAGATGGATTGCACTTTGACTATCACAATAGAGCACATACCTCTCTTGTTGATAATGCAACACATTTTTGCAGTTTAGATTGCCATGAAACTGCAGCACCTGCAAAAGTCATCATGTAACCAGAAGTCGACTTTCTAGAGTCCACATCACCTGCCATGTTAGCATCGGTATATCCATCAAGTATGGTCTTGCCATTACCAAAGCATAGACACACTCTAGAAGTACCTCTCAAGTAGCGAAGAATCCACTTCACTGCTCTCCAATGTTCTTTCCCCGGATTGGAAAGAAACCGACTAACAATCCAACGGCGTGAGCAATATCCGGTCTTGTGCAAACCATGGCATACATCAAGCTTCCAACAATAGATGCATAAGGCACATTCTTCATTGCTTCTTTCTCTTCATCACTTGTAGGACAATGCTTCACACTCAACTTGAAATGTCCTCCAAGTGGAGTACTAACCGCCTTAGCCTTGCTCATGTTAAACCGCTCAAGAGCTCTTTCAATATACCTTTCTTGAGACAACCAAAATTTTCCATTCCTTCGATCCCTAGAGATTCTCATCCCTAGAATTTGTTTCGCCGGTCCTAAGTCCTTCATGGCAAAGGATTTACTCAACTCCTTTTTCAATCTATCAATCTCTCCAACATTCCGACCCACGATCAACATGTCATCCACATAAAGCAAGATAATGATGAAATCATTTTCAGCAAAGTATTTCACAAACACACAATGATCAGGACGATCCAACGGTTCAATCTTCCAGAACGCTCACTTGAACAGGCTGCCCTGCTGCAGAAACGAAAAACTGCAGCTCTTTCTCTCTTCTCTCTTTTTCCTTGTCTCTTCTCTTTTCTTGATTCTCTCTCTGGAAAAAATGAAAGGCTGAACTCTCTTTTCCCTTTTTGACCAGATAATAACTCTCTATTTTGAAAATAGAGGATCTTCTAGAAACCAACCAAAACTCAAACTCAAACCGGTTAATCCAACCACCATATGTGTTGGACCAACCCAACATGAAGCACAATGATGAATGGAACAGAACAAAGTAGTAGTACAGAGAAAGCTGGTTGCATACTGAAAGTCCATTTCCCTCGTTTGGAGGAGACGATGATAATAATGAAATGGTGGAAGGAGAAAGCTATACCCAGATGGGCAAATGTGATCGACAGGGACGGGTTCGACTAGAAGGTGGGTGTGAAGTAGATGTTGAAATTGGTGTTGCATTATTCGGGGGGTGGCGAGTGGCTTCCCCAACAGAGGTGTCGCGGCGAGGTCGGGGAGTCGAGTGCCTGTCGGATAGATGTCGAGATTAGGTCTTTGACCGGAGAAGAAGCGAAGATGTGGAGCTGGCACCGAAGGTAAGGGAAGGAGTGTAGGATGATAATTATAATTATTTTTTTAGTTTTATTTTATTTATTTTTTTACTGAGGTGGAAATTGTAAAAAATTCAATTTAATTATTTTTCAATTGTCACGTCACTTATTTAACGGTCAACTCTCTGAGTTGACTGCCACATCAGCGAAAGTTAATAGAGACTAACGGAGAGTGACCAAACTTGAACTGTTGAACTAATTTTAGTGACTATAAATGGAATTAACTAATTTTAGTGACAAACGTGAAACTCTTTAGTAATTCTAGTGACCAAACTTGTAATTTACCCAAAAAAGAAATTGAATGAAAGCTTGGATAGAAATTAAACATTGGATCGGACGTCTCGTTAATGTTATAGATCCCGCAAACGGAGAATTTAATGGTAGAAAGAGAAATGTCAAGAAATTAATTCAATTTTTTGTGACATTGAAATTTAAAGGTCACATCCAATTTCTGTGAAAACAATCAATTTTTTTTTTAGGAAAACAATCGATTTCATTCTTCAAGTTATGGATTAATAAAAATAATTATTGAATAACGCAATAACTGTATTAAAAGTGAATTTATGGTGGTGTCTAGTAACTATAATGAACATAGAATTAGGGCAGCAAATGAGCCGAGCTACTCGCGAGCAACTCGAGGCTCGAATCGGGAAAAATTCGTTCGAAACTCGACTCGTTTACTAACGAGTCAAGCTTGAGCTTAGCTTTGTTAAGCTCGCGAGCTAGCTCGACTCGGTGGTTTGTTGAGCTCAACTCGTGAGTTGGTTCATTTAGAGCTCATGAGATGTCTCAACATTGTGGTTTGAGGGCCAACTTGATCACCGACTTATGGACGAATCGATCTAATTTGGACTTTCATAATTAATAGGATTATTAAATTATACATCTCACATCATGTGAAGTTTAACATGTTGAACATGTAAGAAAATATGCCTTAATTTTTAATTCTATAAAGAAATTATGTACAAAATTGTTTCGATACTATGAAATAATATAATTTGAACTAGTTAACATTTATTAACTAAACAATATGACACCTACAAATTATAATATAAGATTAATTAATGTTGAACAATTAATTATTTATTTATCGTTACATCAATCACATGTACCATACACGATATACAAAATGAATGTATCAAATACGATCTAAGAATTTAGTAAACAAGTTTAGCTCGACTCGACTCGTTAATATATGGCTCGAGCTCAGCTCATTTGTTAACGAGTAAAGCTCAACTGGGGAAAAACTTGGCTCATTTGCAGCCCTATATAGAATTATGGTTCCATACCAATCCATATGAAGATAATTATTCAGCACACTAACATCTAGTGAATTTGTTTCTATATTTATGAAATTTTAAAGGTTAAGCATGTTATAAAACTAAAAAAAAACTTCTATTGATAATATAAAAGGAGTTAGAGTGTCTCCTAGATATATAAGTAGAGCTTCTTTGAGTTAGTTTTCAAAGAGAATGAGGTATATGTAAAAATGAAAGACTTGAAGTAACACAACATTTGTATGGATATAACCCTCGAAAAATGTCCGTGATGAAACACAAAATTTTAATTGTGAAGGGATAAAAAAAAGCTCTTGTGTTGGTCTTTTCCGGTAGCAACTGTCTGCTCTTGCTTCGGAGGTATCGGTGATGTGGTTTGGACTCTCGAGGAAAAATCTTCTCATCTTGTTATCCATTTTTTTCAAGAGTCGTAATTTATAATCAAGATTTGAGTAGTTATCTATCCGTTAATATGCGAGTGCGCAACATCTCCATCCGTCTTGAACTCTTTATTTATATAAAAGTTGCCTTACAAGGTATTTCAAGAATAATATGACACTTGAAGCTAGCCCCACCTACAATATTCTTCTTGGTTATGCCCAATTTTATAAGTAGAAAGTTTAAGAATAATATGATAATCGATATTAATATGTTTAACTCCTTTTAAAAAAATCATTGTAATTGTCCTAGAATTGTGGTTGGACTCAATCTACATGGTAGATCTTTCCACTTCAACCTACATCAGTCAAACAAATTGTCTTTATCTCAAGACAACGAGTTTCAATAGTTTCACTCTATTGATCGCTTTCATCTGATCTTAAGCTTCTTGTTAAATCGTTCAGCCAAATGGCAAAACTTTGTTCTGTGAGACAGAACACATAATGACAAGGAAAACAGAACACACTTATTTGGACTACACAAGTGTCTAGAGCAACTGCAAATTTTGACCATAGCCAGCATATATGCATGTGTTTTATTGATACAAGACGGCCAATTACCATTCAACGAAGCATCCTGTGGCTAAATTGGTAAAATGAACAATCCCAAAGGTGAGCGCACAAATGAATGATGATGAAATCATACAGCATGCACAATGCAGAGATTTCCACACTTAATAACGAATACACACAAATGTTTGGTTCAAGGGTTCTTCATCTTGATCCTTAGCCTCCTCGCAACCTGGGCAGCTTTGGGATGAACTGGCCTCTTGCTGCCATCGGACTGTTCCACCTCCACCCAATTAATCACCTTCAATATGACGGATTGAGGGACCTTCTTACCATCCCCGTCTGCATTCATGCTCTTACTGTTACTGCTATTCCCTCTTGATGATGATGATGAAGATCTCTTCATGCCAGTTTCCAATGCTTTCTCCACGAAATCCATGAACCATGTCCCGGCTTCAGACTCGATCTCCTTGCCCAGCTTGATCGTGCTACATAAGCTGGAAGAACCATTGGCAGCAGCAGCAACACCAGCAGAAATAGTTGTGGTGGTTGTTGGTTTCCTGTTCTCATCATTCTCGCTCACTGCTTCAAGTTGCAGCTTCCCAAGAGGACTAGATGGCATCATCTTTCTCTCGGAGAACACCTTGCCAGCCGTCGATGATCTCAGGATCCTTGAGCTGGTACCAGAACTCTGCTTCTGCTCAGAAGGGAAGGCAGCAATGGACTTGTACAGGGCTGTTCTTCTTTTTGACTGGTGGTTCATGGAGTTGTGAATGAGTTCATTCAAGATTGGAAACTCTTCCTCTGGATTCTTCAGTACTCGTTTATTGTTGTTGTTGTTAGCCTTTTGATCAGCTTTCGGCGTCGATTCCACAGCAGTAACAGTAGGAGTAGTGGCTGCTTGAATGGAGAGCATATCGTTCACTGCCTGCGCAATTTGGGAGTGGAATTCTATGAACTTGTCGAAACAAGCAGATGGGGCTTCTGGCCTTGCTGATTTTGTCAAATCAGACAACATTCTGCAAACGAATTTACCCCCAACCCTTTAGAAATTCAGAACTGGAATCAAACAGAAAGGAATCAGTTCATTAGTCATTACTTACCTGAGAGATCGGACTAATGTTTCAGTAGCAGAAGCCTCTCTCAATGCCTGGAGAGCCATCTTCTGAGCAGTTTCCCTCTGCTGCACTGCTTCCTGTACATTTGTGACCACCAAAATTTTAGACCCTTCTCTAGTTTTTGCTTTTCAACTAGAGAAAAAAAAAAAAAAAAAAACAGATTGCTGCACACCTTCCCGAGCGTGCTTAGCTTTCCCGGCAGACTCATCGGAAGACTGGTTTCCGGGCTGCCGTAGACCGAATTAACGGACTGAGATTGCTGCTCCGCCGCAGCATTTGTGGTGGACAAGTTTTGTGTTTCTCCGCAGCCCAATTTCAGGGAACCCACTACTTTGGCGTTCCTCATACTCGGTGGCGACGTCGAGCTTTTCTTCCCCTGAAAACAGGCAACGGGGCGAACTTAATTATATGATCAAGAATTCAAGATCGGCACAAATTAAGGAGTAATGGTTCAACTTGAAAGAAGAAAAAGAAAAATGTACCTACAGATGAGATGTAGGGGCTGCTAATCGGGATTCTGGAGTCTCGATCGCCGCAAACGCTTCGACTCCTGGGGAACTTGGAAGCCGAAGAAGGCGCCGCGCAGCTCTTCCTCAGCAAGGGGCTCTCCGCCGCCGCCAACTTGGGATTATCCGCCATTTTCGACAGCAATCCGCCGCCTAGCGAGCATCGAAATCCGCTGTTGCTCTCGCACCCGTCTTTGCTAATCACCGATCTCCCTCTCATTATCATCGGAGACATCAACGGCTTCTTCGCAGAGCTCATCCTCTGTTTCGCCGGCGTTGCACACTGATCGAAATCCAACGGAACCGGTTTCAACGCCATCGGGGAACCAAATTGATTCCGATGATCGTCTCCTCCTCCTCCAATTCCCCAAGAACCTCTCCGATTACCGGAAGCCCTAACCTGGAAATTGACCTGGTTGCCGCTTTCTTTCCTCTCCCCTTTCCCTCTCAGACCCATCAACGGCTCCGGCGTCCCCATCAACGGGTGCCGTCCGGGGAGCGGCTTGGCGCCTTTCACGACCGGGACCGGCGACCCCGGCTCCAGCCTGTCGACGTAGATGAACTGACCCAGCTGCATCTTGTTGCTGAGGACGAAATCGTGCTGCTCGGGAGGCAGGGAGACGTAGATGGAGTGCGAGGAGTCGGAGACTTTGATGTAGAACCCATGTTTGGGGAAGAGGGATTTCTCGTCCAGGTCGGCGGGGACGATGTCGGTGACCTGGAGGAGCGAGCTCCGGTGCTCGCTAGTGGGTTTCGTCCCGGTGTTCATTCCTTCAAGAAGCTTGGACAGGATTCCCGGCGCCAGAGCCGCCATTGGAGGGTGACGTGGAGGAGGATGATGAAACTGAATTCGGCCAGCAGGAAGAAGAAAGAGGGGAACTTGGAAGAGTGAAGGTAAAACTGTGGGTGAGAGTGTGAAGGGTTTTAGATTGGGTTAATGGAGGTCATGGGGACGGTGAGGAAGAGAAGGGGGGAAAAGGGCAGAGTGGCCGTTGGCAACGGTAAGGAAGGGAGAGAGAGAGAAAAAGAAAGAAAATAGAGTGAGAAATTTTTATTTCATTTCGATTTTGTTAAAAAGTTAGAGGGAGAGAGCGTATGGAACGCCGAACGCTATTGTTTGGTACGTTGCGGCAACGGTCATGTGAGTTGGTGCGTCTTGTCGTAAATGAGAATTGAAAATTGGATTTTGGTTTTGGCTATGGAGGCTGATACGTAGAACTTGTCCCTTCGTTTTGCTTGTAGATCGAACTGGGTACACGTTGTTTTGGGTGCCAAGCCGCAAGTACCATGGGAATTTTTCCAAAAATAGCACTGTTTTAAAAAAAAAAAATTAAAAATAGCACCCAACTCCGAAAAATTTCAAAAATAGCACCCTTTTTGCAAAACCGCCACCCGTACCATCGGTTTAGGCGAAAACCGCCACCTGGGGGCGCATTTTTCGATGAAAACCGCAGTGGCAGGGGCGGTTTTACAGATCGCACCCCCACCATGCGGTTTGGTTGCAGACCGCACCCCACCATGCGATCTGCTTTTTTTTTTTTTTTAATCCTAACTTAGGTGGAAACTTCAAAAGAACGTATCTTTGTGTTCGGGTATCCGATCGTCGCGAATTTTTTTTGATTCCGCATAACTTTTTGAGATCTTGCAAGTCGAAGACTGCCGAAGGTGGTGTGGTCCCACCTTCGTCCCAAAAAATGTCGTTTGCTACCCCGAACGAGCTTTTTTCCGATTTCGTCAAACTTTGGACAAAAAATGTCGGCAGGTCCTGGTACTACACACAGACTGCTTTTACTGTGCATTGTGACCTAAATGTAGTGTTCTATCCTGGCGTGGGGTGGCATGTGGGCGGGTGTTGGGTGTTGCCTATTTGGAATCGGATGGGATTTGCCAACTCGGTTGTGATGGAACTCTGATTTGTTTGTTGCTGGTTCGGTTGGTGGTTGTCGACCGCGTTGGTCACCAACCAACCAGAGACCTTTATATGCCTGGGGCCTGCATAGGTGTGCGGATCGATGTTTATTCAGTTGAGAAGGGATCGCAGTGGTTGGAGATGTAGCGGGTTGGGGGATGTGTATGTTCTGTATCAGAGAGGTTGAGACAAACAGTGTTGTCTTGTTTTTGACAAAATCGGAAAAAAGCTCGTTCGGGGGTAGCAAACGACATTTTTTGGGACGAAGGTGGGACCACACCACCTTCGGCAGTCTTCGACTTGCAAGATCTCGAAAATTTATGCGGAATCAAAAAAAATTCGCGACGATCGGATACCCGAACACAAAGATACGTTCGTTTGAAGTTTCCACCTAGGTTAGGATTTAAAAAAAAAAACAGATCGCATGGTGGGGGTGCGGTCTGCAACCAAACCGCATGGTGGGGGTACGATCTGCAACCAACCCGCATGGTGGGGGTGTGGTCTGTAAAACCGCCCCATGCCAGTGCGGTTTTCATCGAAAAACGCACCCCCGGGTGGCGGTTTTCGCCTAAACCGCTGGTACGGGTGGCGGTTTTGCAGAAAGGGTGCTATTTTTGGAATTTTTCGGAGTTGGGTGCTATTTTTGGATTTTTTTTTAAACAGTGCTACTTTTGGAAAAATCCCCCATGGTGGAATGTCAATCTCCAGAGAAAAGCTAATCTCTCGTCTAAAATTTGTTATATTGCATTAGAAGTCACTCGATTTAACATCCGTTTCATCATTGCTAACTAATCGTTTAATTTTGTTACGTTGTCCTATATGAGAATCAACTATGATCGATGGCGTGACCAATAGCTCCACAACGAGTGAAAATCAGACATTTCTTCCTTCTAATAGTGGACTGAGCAGCAAGAGCCAGTAGAGTTGAAGCGGCACTAGCAAACCAACAAATGCAACAACTCCATCGCGAGAAATTGTGAGCACAAAGGTGTGTGGGATGAAGGATGACCATTTCTTCACAATGCACCAGGAATTTGATGAAATAACCAATGATGGAGAGGATACCTTGTTTGAGGTTTGATATGTCATCATACATTCGAGATGAGAACCTCATTGCCTTCGTTAATCGTTCATGAAGGTCTTCCCAAACTTCACTGTTGTGTTGAACCACAACATCCTGCAAAACAGGCCGTTGGAGTCAACCAATAACCAAAACACTGGCTTGATCCCAAGCCGGCCGTAGAGGATCATCTGGAAAAGAGGAAGAAGCACTCGGAACGATCAACTGAAACTTGTTTCTAAAGTGGAGCCTCGGACGCGTGAACGTTTCATGCGTTGGGGTTTCGTAAACGAGAACTAAGAAAAAATGAAAAGTACTGATTTATTATTTTCTTGTGAATAAAACGTAGAGGTTAAGTACATATTTATAGGGAGAACCCTACAAACCGTTTCCCTTCTGAACAAGGAAACTCAATACTAGACCGACTCCTAACCGATTACTTTCTCAACAAAAAGTAATAATATCCCAAAATAACTTAATAATAATAATAATAATAATAATAATAACACCAACCAAAATTAGTTTAATGACCCAAACGGTCAGAAAACGTGTACTCATCAAAACTCCCCCCTTCAAGCAGCCTCGTCGTTCCACTCGTCCTCTCCTCCTCCGAAATCGCGATCAAAGCGAACACCTGGTTGTTGGACAACGATGACCGAATGTGAAGCGTTCATCACAGTTGTAGCAGAGACCACCACGACGGCGTTGAGCAGCTTCTTTCGGGGTTAGGTGCCAAATGACTCACCTACTAGCGTGTGGGGGTCCTCGATTCTGCGGCGGCGCAGCCATAGGATTAGGAGCTGCTTCGTGAGACACGACCACCGGTCCCCGCGGCGCTCCCCGCACGGCTCCCCGCTCGATCGTGATCTATTATTCTCGGTTTTTCGCCAAGCGGTATGCCTCCTCGGTGTTCCGCGGCTCAAATGAACTAATGTAAGATGAGATTTCCGGCTTAAGTCCTCCCATATAAGTTCCCATGACCGCATCCTTGACTCCTTGCTCCATCTGTGGCAACGGTTGAGAAGCTTCTCGAAGGCTTGCTGGTAATCTTCCACGGTTCCCGTTTGCTTGATCTTTCAGAATGCCTCATGCCCAGTCGTCTTCTCCGATGCCCTGAACCTTTTCCAAAACTCGGCACGGAAGTCTTCCCATGTCATCTCCATCCCGCTCTGCGTGAATTCCTCTTCTATCCACATGATCCACTTATTCGCGTCTCCCTTCATATGAAACGACGCCAATGCCACCTTTCGTTCCTCCAAAATGTCCTGGTACCTGAAATACTTCTCGATCTTAGTCATACACCCTGTAGGCTCCTCCTGCCATGTAAACTTGGGAAATTCCAAGGATCGTCGTTCGGCCCTTGAACCAAGCGGTTGCTGACTCCTCTCCCAGTCACGACCTCCCCCTATCGTCGTCGTCCGGTCGCTGCCCGTTCCCTCCTGTTTTGGGTGGGCGGACCCCGAATCCCTTGCCCCATTCGCGCCTAGGCCAGCCTGATTCGTAACGGGCCCCCTCCACGACTCAGATCATTCGCCGACGAGGTTCAATCGACTGACGAGCCCACCAGTAGCCCTCCCTCGCTCGTCGACCAGTTCAGGACCCTCGAACACCATCCCTACTCAGCCGACGACCGATCCCTCCCTCGCCTCATTGCCTCGCTCGACTCTAGCCTACCCGTGATACGGTTGCTCGCCACTCCTTCCAATCGACTTCACCACCCTTCCTTCATCTTCGTCGAACACCAAGTTCCCCCAAGCCATCCCTGTGAGTGGAATAGCCCAGCTCCTCCCATCCTTCCCGGTCGACTCCCCTTGAGGCGGTGGGGTGGTTAGAGTTGCGTCGTTGTCCTCCGCCTTAGAACCCGCCTGGGTTGTCTCCAACCCCTTGATTTTTTCCTCAGGTGGAATCAGGTCAACCGTGTGTCTCCTCTTATCATCTCCGCCCTTGTCTGATCCGCCCGCTATTAGTGCCTCAATCTGAGCCTCGATCCTTCATACGAAGACCTCTTGGTCCTAACGTAACTCCGTGCGGACTGCGGCGCCCATTTGGTCAATTCCCGTTTGCAGCTCGAGGTGTATCTGGCAGACTTCTGGCTGGATCGCCGCTCGTCCGTCCTTGAGGCGCCCGTTGTCAGCTAGGAGTTGAGCTCACTCCGCTCCCGCAGACTGGAACTGTCGATCGAGCGCGTCGATCCGGCCTTCAGCGTCGCGCAACTGGTGTGCGGCGGCGGCGACATCAGATGCCGACGTCGTCATGTTCTTCTTTGGCGGCATGGTACTCGGCTCCTGGGTTTCGTCGAACAAGGCTTTGATACCAATTGACGTGTGAACGTTTCACGCGTCAGGGTTTCGTAAACGAGAACTAAGAAAAGCTGAAAAGTACTGGTTTATTATTTTCTGGTGAATAAAACGTAGATGTTAAGTACATATTTATAGGGAGAACCCTACAAACCCTTTCCCTTATGAACAAAGAAACCCAATCCTAGACAAGCTGCTAACCGATTACTTCCTCAACAAGAAGTAATAATATCCCAAAATAACTTAATAATATCCAATTAAACAATAATGATAATAATAATAGCCAAAATTAGTTTAATGATCGAGACGGTCAGAAAATCGTGTACTCATCAGCCTTGTGCTCATGGACCTCACCAAGGAGTGATAGTTTGCATTTGTGAGAGGCATCACCGGTTGTAGAGTTGGAACTGCCATTAGCGATGTAGTAGGAATCCGAGGATTGATTTTCGCAACATCAAAATATTGAAAAGTTAGACAGAGAGAGATGCAATCGAGAGAGAAATTAGGGTTCTGCGTTTATCTCAACAATCAGAGAGGTAGAGCAATCATAAAGAGATTACGATGGACAATCAGAAAGAAGAGCAACAAAAATGAAAGAACTAAATCGAAGGAATAGTTGGTGAGAGATTCAACCAATTAGAAGCAGAGAAAAGACGAAGTGATGCAGGAAGGAAATATTAGTCAGATCAGGAGGGCAGAATTGAATTAGGGTATGAGAGAATTTGGGGAAAATGGAAATGAAGGAGAACCAGGAGACACGAAGAGATCAATTCTCTTTCTGTGACTCTTCTCTTGTATTTCCAGATTGGGCCCAAAATGTCTCACAAGCCCACTAACGGATAATTGAAATGAAATGGACAAAAACTAAAGTCTGCTATCTTCAGCCCATAATTTGGACAGAGAGGCGATCATCTTCTTCCTCAGAGTGAAGAGAGCCTCGAGCAGTTGCAGAGAACAAAAACAGAGGAAAGGCAGAAACATAGTAGCACAGCCAGAGGAGAGAACACAAACGAATTTTAACGAAGTTCCCCAATCTACCGGGTACGTCCTCGTCCTAGACTCAGTACTTCACTGAGTTCTAGGTGACTCTGATTTTTATTGATTTAAACTATCAAGCAAGAAGATAAAAATACCAGACTCAAGAACAACAAAACGAAAGCAATGTAAAGTCACCCGGATCCCAATCCCAGACCCGTTACACCGTTAATCAAACAGATCCTGTGCCTCTGTTGATTAACCCACTATGCAATCAGCCCTATACCACTTCTTGCAAAAAGCACCTATCACTGTTCTTCATGAAAGGTATAAATACCCTTTGTTGGTCGACCGTTGCACTTGAATTTCTTCAAGGAAGGTAATTTTTGCAGTTTAGGAAACTTTTGCAGCTGGCTTGATTTCCTTCGAGTGATTTCCGACTTTCCATTCTCCAACAATCTCCCCCTAAGTTGAAAATAGCGAGTTGCCTATCGACCCTGCAAGAATTAACAAACTATCTCCACCCAACAGAGTGACATCAAAGCAGACAATAACTTAACTAGATTAAAGCAAACATTCAGTTAAATAACAACCATTCAGATCACAGCCAGGTCGGGCAAACCAGCAATCATCCAACATACATCCAACATTCAAAAACACTATTCACGACCACAGCCAGGTCAGGCAAACCACAGGCTCACACAAGGAACCACAGCAGAAAGTCAATCAATGATAAAAACGAACTCCTCCCCCTAAGGATAATCTCTACGAGGAAATAACTTGCTCCTTTCTGATACTATGCTTCTTCGTTGTCTGAATCAGATCCATAAAGAGCACGAAGAGCGGCAGCAAACGACTCCAATTCTGGTGCATCATCCGAGATGCTGCTAGACGAGTCAGAGTCGGAGTCACTGCTGATAACTAGTATGTGGTTGGCGTCATTCTCCCCCTCAACTGCTATTTCCAGAAGATCCATAACATCGTCGGCAGTGAGATAAAGGGAAGGGGTGATGGTTGCGAAGGGATGAAGATTAACCCGCAGGCGAAGAAGGAGAGATGTGATGAGGCAGCCAAACGGAAGAGGAGAAGAGATGTTCACATCACAGAAGGAGATGATAGAGCCAAAGAACAAGGGAGCATAGTTTAGAGGGATGCCATGAGTAGCATGAGCTAAGACCCATAGTTCAACAGGGGTTATCATCATCAGATTTCCAGAGCGAGGCAAGAACACTCGCGAGATGAAAAAATGGAGAGCTCTGAGGGAAGGTAAAATGGCAGAGACAGGCATAGAGAGATTTGGACCAGGAAACTGACCAGTAAGCTGATGGAATTCTTCAGCGAGATCAAAGTTAAACAGACCGAGTTCAGACTCGTCTGCAAGATTCTCGCCATTGACAGGGATGTTAAGAGCACGCTCAATTTCAGCGACAGGAACAGTGAGAAGATTTCCAAAGACAAGGGTGGTGAAAAAACGGGAGTGCACAGTAGTAAACCGAAGGTTTGAGTAAAAGAACCGGACTGCATCAGGACAAACTATGGTTGAAAACTGGTGGTACAGAAGAAAATTCCAGCCAAGATTTTGGATAAAAGGACGCACATCAAGTCCTACCTCAGCCAGTTCATCAAGTTGAACATGATAGGTAGGTAAAATCTGACGGTTTTCAAAAAACAGAGTGTGGCGATGGGCATTGGCTGGAATAGGATCCAGAAACATAGTTCCTGTGAAGGTACGAAGAAAGAGAAGGGCCATGGCTAAAAAGAACTATGAAGAGAACAATGATAGAACAGACGAAGCTACTAAACCTATAAATACTACAAGGAAACCACCAAAAGAGGGAAAGCAAAAAACTTACCAAAACACACAGAGCAGGAAAAAAAAGGAAAGAAAAACTGAAGAACGGAAACACCCAACCCTAACAGCCACAAACGAGGCAACTCATGAATTCAAGGCAGTAATTGAAAAGACACTACATTAAAAGCACAAAGAGAAGGAAACTAAAGATTACAATACAGAAGCATCCCAAGCAATCAGCTCAGGATCCTGTATCCCCTATCATCTCAGTGAGAGATGACAGCGAGCGAAGCCCGATTTCATAGCATAAGAAATTAAAGCGATCAGCAGCAAGGGGCTTAGTAAACACATCGGCCAACTGAAATTCCGTAGGAATGTGATGCAGGGAAATAAGTCCTTCCTTAACAAGTTCACGAATAAAATGATATTTAATATCAATATGTTTCGTTCGTGAATGCTGAACCGGATTCTTAGTCATGCAAATTGCACTAGTATTATCACAGTACAAAGGGATAGAGGAAACTTGCAACCCATAATCTTTCATTTGACTCTTAAGCCAAAGGAGCTGAGCACAAGAGCTGCCAGCGGCAATATATTCGGCCTCTGCCGTGGATAGAGCCACAGCTCCTTGCTTTTTACAAAACCAGGACACCAACGAAGTACCCGCAAATTGACAGCAGCCAGAAGTACTTTTTCGATCAGTGAGACTCCCAGCAAAATCGGAGTCAGTATAACCAAGAAGATCAAACTGATCTTGCTTAGCATACCAAATACCGACATCACTTGTGCCTTTTAGGTATCGAAAAATATGTTTTACTGCTGTTAAATGACTTTGTTTTGGTTGAGACTGAAAGCGAGCACAAACACACACAACATATTGGATATCAGGTCGGCTAGCCGTTAAATAGAGCAAAGAACCTATCATGCCACGATATTTAGACTCATCAACCAATTCACCAGTTTCGTCTAAATCAAGTTTGACATTAGTTGCCATAGGAGTTTTTGTTGAAAAGAGACAGCAAAACAGTATTCATTAAAGGCATCAAGATCTTGAAGATTAATGATGTACATATTATTATGCCTAGACCCAACAAACAGAATCAATCCATCACTGATACGTTCAACTATGCAACGAGAAGACTCAAAACTGACTTTGTTTCCACTACTACATAACTGACTGATTGAAAGTAGATTATGTTTGAGTCCTTCTACTAAAAGAACATTATTTATCACAGGTAGGGGATTTTTTCCTATGGTTCCTGTTCCAACAATAGTGCTGAAACTGTCATCACCAAAAACAACCCTTCCTCCACGTTTGATCTGAAGAGTAGAGAAGAGTTCTTTCTTACCAGACATATGGTGGGAACACCCGCTGTCAAGATACCATAACTGATTTGATTTAATACTACCTGATTCATCATCCTGTGAAGACATTTTAGTCTGCAAGTCCAGATCACTGCTGAAGGCCATAAATGCCAGATTATCTTCTTGTTCCTCGTCTGGCTCTGATGCATAGTCGCTCCAAGTGGCTTTCATTGCTCGCTCTTTTGCCTTCAAGGTCTGTGGACAGTGAGCTCTGATATGGCAGGAGTGAGCTTCTTCAAGGGCAGGCTCTGATACCACTTATTAGTCAGATCAGGAGGGCAGAATTGAATTAGGGTTTGAGAGAATTTGGGGAAAATGGAAATGAAGGAGAACCAGGAGATACGAAGAGATCGATTCTCTTTCTGTGACTCTTCTCTTGTATTTCCAGATTGGGCCCAAAATGTCTCACAAGCCCACTAACGGATAATTGAAATGAAATGGACAAAAACTAAAGCCTGCTATCTTCAGCCCATAATTTGGACAGAGAGGCGATCATCTTCTTCCTCAGAGTGAAGAGAGCCTCGAGCAGTTGCAGAGAACAAAAACAGAGGAAAGGCAGAAACAGAGTAGCACAGCCAGAGGAGAGGACACAAACGAATTTTAACGAGGTTCCCCAATCTACCGGGTACGTCCTCGTCCTAGACTCAGTACTTCACTGAGTTCTAGGAGACTCTGATTTTTATTGATTTAAACTATCAAGCAAGAAGATAAAAATACCAGACTCAAGAACAACAAAACGAAAGCAATGTAAAGTCACCCGGATCCCAATCCCAGACCTGTTACACCGTTAATCGAACAGATCATGTGCCTCTGTTGATTAACCCACTATGCAATCAGCCCTATACCACTTCTTGCAAAAAGCACCTATCACTGTTCTTCATGAAAGGTATAAATACCCTTTGCTGGTCGACCGTTGCACTTGAATTTCTTCAAGGAAGGTAATTTTTGCAGTTTAGAAAACTTTTGCAGCTGGCTTGATTTCCTTCGAGTGATTTCCGGCTTTCCATTCTCCAACAGGAAAATGAATCCAGACAATTAACACTTTCGAGAAACTCAAGAAAAAAACAAAACCAAGGAAAATCAAGAACAAGATCGATTTGTGGCTCAGATACAAATGTAAGAACAAAGAACAAAGGGAAAACCATTTTGTTGGTTTCCAATTTCCATTGATCAAAGAGGAAAAGTTACATTAATCATTTACAAACCTAGTATATATAATGAAACATAAAAGTCCTATTTAGTACACAAAATAAACAAACACTACAAAATAAACCTAAAACTATACAAAAGTTACAATTAGGTTCCCATAACTTTTGGTTGGACAACAATGGGGCAATTAGGACCAAGAACTAGGGGTGTTCAAATGGTTACCATGGTTATAACCAAACCAAATAAGGCTAAATTCCATTAACCATGGAATACAATATCATAACCAAACCGTCCAAACTGATACAACAACCAAATTAACCAAACTAAGGTTTAATCGGTTGGATTAATTGGTTAACCAGATTAACCAATATAAAATTGCATTATCATTGACGGATGAAAATTTCCCGGTTAATGCAAAAATTCGTAATTTATATAATGAGTAAAACATAACAATCAACACGTAGTTATAGTTGACCCTTAACAAAAATACATGCAACTAAGACAATTATCTTACGATTAGTATAGAAGTATTCACCTAACAAAAATTTATAACAATGGTATTATGGGTTAATGAATTGTTGTGTTTGTGTAAATTGACTTAGTCTCTTAGCAATTATCATAGGCTGGAAATGACCTTCCTTTCAAGTTTTCATCCATCATAATGTATGAAATTTATCTAAATTAGGCGTCTATATGTTGTGGTCTACACTTTACATATACAAATATACACTATATGAGCAATATTGAGCTTTATATTTTATGAGTCTAACAGGCCGTTTGGTACCAAATGAATCGAGAATTCATTTCATTGTAAAATGAATTACTGTGTAGAATTCATTGTCAAATGAAATCTTGTGTTTGGTACATCATATTCAAATAAAATGAATTGCCATGTAGAATTCATTGTCAAATGAATTCTTGTGTTTGGTATGTATATGTATAAGTCATTTAGTTAATAAAAGAGAATAATTATGTCATTCTATTATAATTAGTAAATATATAATGACAACAGTACATAAAAATTTATAAATATATAGTTTTTTTAGTTATCTATCAAAAGCATGACACGTAAGTATTCCATAATAATGACAACAGTACATAAAAATTCTGAAAAAATCTTACTTGAACTATTTTGTTGATTTTTTTTTATTTCAACTAAATCATGACGCATTCAAGACTCCTATGGTTGCAGAAGGGGGAATTTTACCTAGAGCTATCTTAGTGGGCTCCAAAATTATGACCTACAGGGTGTGAACCCAAAAGGGATGGCTTGTAGGTTGAAGAAATCACTGTATGGGCGGCCATAACTTTGGAGTCCACTAAGATAGCTCTAGGTAAAATTCCCCCTTCTGCAACCATAGGAGTCTTGAATGCGTCATGATTTAGTTGAAATAAAAAAAAATTCAACAAAATAGTTCAAGATTGATTTTTTCAGAATTTTTATGTAGTGTTGTCATTATTATGGAATACTTACGTGTCATGCTTTTGATAGATAACTAAAAAAACTATATATTTATAAATTTTTAATTTTACATAATTTATTTAATTTTTATAGACGATCATAAATAAATTTTTCGTAATGTTTGATTTAATAATAATATTAAGTTACATGGTGTGAACCCAAAAGGGAGACCTACAGGGTGTGAACCCAAAAGGGATGGCTTGCAGAAGGGGGAATTTTACCTAGAGCTATCTTAGTCATAACTTTTGGGCGGCCATAACTTTGTGCTCCAAAATCCGAATGTTATGAATTTTTTTTTATTCCGCATAACTTTTCAAAATCTACAACTTTAAATATAATCATAATTTCAAAATGTACATGGATTTGTGAAAAGTAAAGGTAAAGTTATTCTCAAGGTCCCGTATATCCACAAATAGTTCATGTTTTGAAAATTTTTATCCTAGTAAAAGTTGTAGATCTTGAAAAGTTATGCGAAATGAAAAAAAAAAATCGCTACTATCGGATACCCGAGTGCAAAGTTACGTTCATTTGAAGTTTCGGCCGAAGTTAGGAGTTGATCGAAAAAAGAAAAAAAATTGGACCAAACCGCTGGGTGGGGTGGCGGTTTTGGGTCAAACCGCCACCCCACCCAGCGGTTTGGTCTTTTTTTTTTATAACCGCCCCCTAGGCCCGCGGTTTGCATAGAAAACCACGCCCCCGACAAACGGTTTTCGTGTAAACCGCAGGGTGGGGTGGCGGTTTTTGAAAAAGGGTGGTATTTTTGGAATTTTTTGGGGTTGGGTGGTATTTTTGGAAATTTTTTTTTAAACAGTGGTATTTCTGGAAAATATCCCGAAATTTTGTGCGAGGCAAAAAAAAAAAATAGAGGAATTCTGTTCTAGGTCATTCAACTTGTTTTCTTTTACAAAAGGGTGCTTCAACTTTCAACAACTTCTTGTGAAATAAAGAAACAAAAGGGTTTGTGCGATTGTTTTTTTTTTACGGGTAACTTGTAATTCAATTAACCGGAGGAAAATGGTACATCATCCAGCCGTAGTTGATCAACAAGGAAAGTAAGTGGATTATCAAGCCACACTTCTTTGCTATCCCAACTAGTCCCGTTGTGAGCCATGATATGTGCTGAATTATTCGCCGATCGCCTTACTTGTTTAACACTTCCCGGGATGGAGTCTGCTCCTGTAGAGACGAGAAATCCACTTGCAGATGACTCCAATCTCGGTCTGCACATCCTGAGCTTGCACTACTTTCTCAACCAACGCAAGTTGTCAACTTCAAGCTGAAAGCGATGGAAACCCAGCTAGTGCGCTAATTGGACTCTGAAATCTGCCGCCAGCGCTTCTGCCATTTCCACTCCAAAGGAACCACGAACCATCTTCGTTGCCGCAGTAAGAAAGCGCCACTGATGGTCTCGATAAACTGCTCCCAGACCTATCCCATCATTAGCCAAAAGTCCGGCATCCGTATTGATCTTGATCCACCCTTCCGACGGTCTCTCCCAACGTTCCGCATGCGCGTCGCCTGGGACTGCTTCCTCGGGGACTTGGTTCTTCCTGTAGTCATCAAGAATTGAAAGTGCACGCTATAAAATCTCGTCCTCAGGCCATTTGGGGCCGTTAAATAGATGTGCATATTGTTCCTTCCATATCGCGCTTAGTACCATAGCCCACGATTCCGCCACGTCTAAGCTCTCATGCTTCATCACCTCCGCCACCCATTTCATGCAGTCCGACGATCCATGCACAGTAAACGCGCTTTCCCACGGTGATCCTCTCCATATCCGGCTGCTCCAACTGCACTCGAGGAACATGTGGTGTTGGGTTTCCTTTTGGTCACGGAACGGGCATTCATCACTCCGTTGTGGATTTCCTTTGTAACCATTACCCACTCGCCAACGAAGGCCGGCACACAGAAAGTCTTGTGCACTGAGCAAGCTTCTCCACATGTAGCTTGGTTTGCTTCCCGGCCGAGCTTCCAATATAGAACAATTCTTATAGTACTTGGCGGCTATGATCTTGGCAATGAGAGATGTCGGTCGTTGGGGACATTGTAATCAATATATTTTTGTATTTTTTTATGTATTCTAATTATAATATTTAATATTATAGATTTGTATTTTAATAATTGAAAATGTATATTTTAATGAAAATGTCATTTTTTATTGAATCTGATCCTTTGTATTAAAAACAAACCAAAATGGTTAAATCCAGTACAACAAATGATAGAGGCAAACCACTATCTTTCCTCCTCGATTTTTCTTTAGTCGGATCAATTATCGCCTTTTCCACCAATATTCTTCGTTGTACTTCATTAATACTATCATCATTCCTTTTCTTTTTCTATTCGGCTTCCTCTAGCTGCATTCTCGCTGTCAATGCTTATCTGTTAAACTTGGCCCTTAGAGCCTGCCATAGGTCCCCTAACTCTTCCTTCTAGTCTGCTCTACCATGTTTTGGGTTTCGTCAAATCCACCTGTAATTCAGGTTCAACCAAATCCTGCCCTGTTGGTGAAGGGTTAGGATAGTAGAGCTTAGGATGTCCCACCATTCTGCAAGAGAAGCAGTACATAGGTAGGTTTTCATAATTCAAGTCATAGGTCTGTCTTGATCCTTTGAGATTAAGTGTCAGCTCATTTTTTAGTGGGGTTCGGATGTCCTTACCCACCCTTATCCTGAGTACACCATTACAGACACATTCCTTTCTACTATCCACCAAATAAGTGTATGTCAAATCTTACTCCAATCTTGTGTATCATCTCTTTGTCTGCAATGTTGATGGGAGATTATAAATTTGCATCCATATTTCCATGATATGAATATCCTCTACTTTTGGTTGTTGGAAAGCCTCAGCTTGCTTAAAGATTAGCAAACTATTATCGAAATGCAGGGTCCTCCGAAGAGCACTTTATCATGATCGCTTTTGTTCATGAACTGGAAACCATATAGTTGGTCCCCAGACTCTGATATTTGGAAATTCTGTTGCAAGTTCCATGCCTTTGACAGAGTTATTTTCATTGATTTCAGGTTTGGTTTCTTGGAGGACACGATTCTACCAGTCAACCCTAGCAGACTGACCGCATGACCAAGAGCCGAGTCAATATCATCATCTTCCACCACCAGCGCTTCGTCATCCGCCAGTTTGATATGCTAAATCTTATCCTAAAGTATCTAGGCCATTAGGGGTGTTCAAACAGTGTGGTTACCATGGTAACCGTTTTAATAAGTATTATTTGGATAATTTGGTTTGGTTAATTTGGATAATTGGTTTGGTTTGGTTAAAGTTTTTAGCTTGTTTGGTTTAGGTGGTTTGGTTTGGTTTCAGACACTCCTAACCAGCCAACCCAAATTAACCAGATAAATAATTAGTTATATATCTAATATATACACATACTTAATACTTTGAATAACCACTCAAGAGTTAAACATTCATCCTTTTAGACTCATAAAATATAAAGCTTTATATTGTTCATATAATGTATATTTGTATATGTAGAGTGTAGACCACAACATATGACCGTCTAATTTAGATAAATCTCATACATTATGTTGGATGAAAACTTGAAAGCAAGATCATTTTCAGCCTATAAAAATTGCTAAAAGACTAAGTCAATTCAAACAAACACAACAATTCATTAACTCATACCATTGCAATAAATTTTTGTTTGGTGAATAAATCTATAGTAACCGTAAGATAATTGTCTTAGTTGCATGTATTTATGTTAAGGATCAACTATAACTTGTGAATTGAGAAATTAACCAAAAATTTTCTCACTTAATGATAATATGATTTTATGTTGGTTAATCTGGTTAACCAATTAACCAAACCGATTAAACTTTAGTTTGGTTAATTTGGTTGTTGTATTTGTTTGGATGGTTTGGTTATGATATTGCATTCCATAGTTAATGAAATTTAGCCTTATTTGGTTTGGTAATAACCATCGTAACCATTTGAACACCCCTACGGGCCATGCCTCCTTGACCGTCTGTATCCGTTGTCGCTTCTGCCATCGAACCACTCCCCACCTCTGTAACTTTTGGTGGGGTTATCGATAATAGGGTTTTCTTTGTCCATCTCAAAACTCAGGATTTTCAGAAAAACTTCCGAAAAAACAAAAATATCACTCCCTTACTCTAAACCGCTTGAGGCAGGTTAGGGTTTCAGACAAAAGACGAGACCCCAAAGGGTTCTAACAACACCCCTCGGAAACTCTCACTCTAGATCCTTTACCGCAGGAGGCTGTAAAGGGATCTAAGCAGGTGAAAGACACTATAGAGAAACTCTATGAATCAAGACAGCCGTCAATCCCAAAAGGCTGAAGAAAACCTAAAGCAATCGCGAGAACCCTAGTTTCGAAACTCTCGTTAGACAAAAAAGTTTTTTTTATTGGTGTATAATTGAAACTAGTGAACATGAGGAACTTCATTCAAATCACATAATATGAAATTCTTTTCTCGTTTAACCGATCAATATATCCGGTTTTGACCGAAATTAATGTATTAACTGGGTTTATTTAAGGCTTGATACGAACTCCTTTCCAGTCGATTTGATGACTGATACTAATTGTATCCGATTGAATTTGAACCTGATTAGAGGAAACGGGTGTGACAACCATGATTATTAGTTTATTACAACTTTACTACAAGTCTACAACCAAGATGCTTTAATATTTTTGTTGCGTATTGTCTCAAGCGGCAAAAAGCTTGTGTCTCCATAGTGGGCCGGCTCAGTTGAGACAAGGCCCAGAAAACATTGGAAGGTTCAGCCCGTCAGTAAATGTAGTAACCCCTAGCTTCGTCGATTCATCCCGCTGCGTCTCCAATTTTCTGCCGTCTGTGCTTCCTGGTGTTCAATTCCGTGCTACCTGCTCTCCATCTCGTGACAATGGCGGCTGCTAATCCTGCCCCTCCTCGCGCCCTCTCGGCTAAGGAGCTGGACATTCAGATGATGTTGGCCGCCGAGGTCCATCTCGGAACCAAGAACTGTGATTTCCAGATGGAGCGATACGTCTTCAAGCGTCGCAATGATGGTATAAATCGAGTCCTCCTCGTTCCTTTCACTATAGATTGATGTAGCGTAGCAATCGAGTTAAGTTGTTACCTTTGTCCTCCATTTTTCTTGTTGACATGTTAAGCTGCTGAAAACTTAGTGTTGGATCCTTCTGCTTTATGACGTGGCCTATAAACTCCGTATGCTGTCCTGGTTTCATAGTCGTTATGCCCTTTAATCTGGCTCTTATCTTGCTTCTCTGTGGATTTCAGCTTAGTTTTTCGCTTTAGGGAAAATGGTTATGTTTTGGGCGATTTACTTAGGGTTTAATCAATACCAACTGTAGATTTGTCTTAGGGTAATTCAGCATTCTGTTTTCAAGCAGAATCTGGGTTGTTTAGTCCTGACTCTTCGATTGAACTTAGGAGAAGTATAAACGTAGAAGATATGGCTCATGGGTTGTCCAGTTCATTTTATTATCAATTAGACTCAATTACCAGTGGTTTGGATATGTCGATTGAAGCAAGACCCAAACCAAATCCTCCTGTTCTGACGCTGGACGACCCAAACAATACCAGAGCAACATCGGTTGAGAAGTACAAGAACCTCCCCAAGCTGCCACTGATAAAGGCAAATGCAGTCGGTGTGTGGCACGTGGATGCTGCGGAATTGGAGGTGAAAGTGCTGGGAGAGGCTAACAAGAAGGTGAAAGTCAAGATGAGCGTGGAGGAATGGAAAATGTTTGTGGAGAAGAAGAGGGAGGTTGGGGAGAGGTTGATGTGGCAGTATGCACAAGACTATGAACAGAGTAGAGGGCAGAATGCTGATATTAAGATGCTTGTCACTACTCAGAGGTCTGGTACTGCTGCTGATAAGGTCTCCGCCTTTTCTGTCCTCATTGGAGATAATCCCATGGCTAATCTGCGTTCTCTCGATGCACTTGTTGGTGAGTGAAAGGCTATCTCGATTGTTTGCGAAAGAGCATTCTTTGACTCATGAATTTGCAGTTTTGCGATTAGTTCATCTCTTTCTGAATGGACGCCAATCTTTGTTTTGCAGGAATGGTGGCATCAAAAGTGGGGAAGCGTCATGCGTTGTCAGGTTTCGAAGCATTGAAAGAACTTTTTGTTGAAAGGTTACCACTTCGTTCCTTTTGGGTTTCATTCTTTTCCATTTCCATGCTGTATGCAGTTGCCTTAGTCTTTTTGTTGTTTAAGGTGTCAACTTGTTGTTCATGAAATTTGTGCTCGACGTTGTTTACTAATGTGAGCCTATTAACCTCGGATTGTTCTTCAATGAATGCTAAGTGTTAATTGACATCTAAGTACCCGATTCCTAATATATCCGAGAGCTTGCTAATGTTGTACAAAGAAGTTCTTCAATTGGCTTCTGTTTCTTCTCTCATCAACAATTGATAGCTTCCTGCAATTTGCCCTTAAGTCGTGTGATTGAAATTGCATTATGACTCTGGTTTACTCAATCACCAGTTTGCTTCCTGATCGTAAGCTGAAGACACTCTTGCAGAGGCCTCTTAATGATCTTCCCGAGACAAAAGATGGTTATTCCCTTCTTCTCTTTTGGTATTGGGAGGATTGCCTAAAACAGAGGTTGGCTTCTTTTTCTTCCCTCTTTGTTAAAAGCAATGGATTGCTCTAGTTGTTGTTTGCTGAGGCAGAAATTCATGAGCTTATTTCGACTTCTCTCCTTATCATCGCCTTAGGTATGAACGTTTTGTTCTGGCCCTTGAGGATGCATCCAGAGATATGCTACCCATACTAAAAGACAAGGCTTTGAAGGTTGGTATTTCCATGGAATGTCAATGCATATGTTTATTCCCACCCCCCCCCCCCCCCCCCCCCCCCACTTCAATGCACAATTCTTTTCCCCGATTCTCTTTTTCTGTACCAGTTTTGCTTGCATTGAGGAGCTGTTTGATGTCTTTAATCCCAGAGCATGTTTATGCTGTTGAAGAGCAAATCAGAGCAGGAGCGCAGATTGCTCTCATCCTTAGTGAATAAAGTAAGTCTGAGTTTAAAATTCAATACATTATAAAGTTCAACATTTTGCATTTCAAACAGCTTCTAAGTTCGAGTTTTTAATTCAATAAGGTTGGTTCTCTTACCTATAGTTTTAACCATATTAAAATTTCAATTATTTGTGCAGCTAGGTGATCCTCAAACTAAGGGTGCATCAAATGCGGAGTATTATTTGACAAATTTGCTCTCTGATCACCCCAGTATGAAGGTGGACAACTTGAAGCACCTTATCTTCTCTATTTTCTCATGTGCTTATCTGCCATTTAGCTGACCGATTAGACTGTTCTTTTCTACAGGCTGTAGTCATTGACGAAGTGGACTCCTTCCTCTTTCGCCCTCACTTGGGCATGCGAGCCAAATACTATGCCGTATGTCCTTTTCATATCCTTTGATTTTATTTCTTCCAACTGCTATTCCGGACAACCACTTTATCTCTCCTTCCCTTTTGCAGGTCAACTTTTTGAGCCAAATTCGACTAAGCAATAGAGGAGATGGACCGAAGGTTGCAAAGCGTTTGATAGATGTGTACTTTGCATTATTCAAGGTACCCAGGATTTCAAGAAAGAATGCACCCTTTTATGTGTACTTATTATATTTCGGTTACATAAATATATGGGTATATACATTTTTCAAGGCATATGATATTGAACCATCTTCTTCTCAGGTGTTGATCACTGAGGCAGGTGTTAGTCAGAAAACGGATAAAGACAGCAAAATTGAAGATAAGAGTACTTCTGGTGCTTCTAGGGAAGGGAAAGTTAAAGCTTCACAAGAATCTCATATTGAGATGGATTCACGACTTCTTTCAGCTCTTTTAGTGGTAAGTTCAAATCCCCCTCATGTCCCTCCCGGATTCACGTCAAGATGATGCTTTTCGCTCAGTGCTGCTTGCAATTCATGCTTGCCTTTTTCCTAATCTCATCAGGGGGTCAATAGGGCGTTTCCTTATGTTTCAAGTAATGAGGCTGATGATATCGTAGAGGGCCAGACACCAATGCTCTTCCAGCTGGTAAGCTTTTCTCTGTGTATTTAGCTTTGAAGGCGAGAAAATCAATGCCATCAATAAAACGAGAAATGACCTTGTATTTAGCCAATAAAACAAGAAAATCAATGCCATCAATGACCTTGGATTTTAGCTTTGAAGGCGATTGATGCTTTGTTGATGCAGGTTCACTCCCAAAACTTCAATGTAGGAGTTCAAGCCTTAATGCTGCTTGATAAAATCTCTTCCAAGAATCAGATTGTTAGTGATCGTTTCTACCGTTCCTTGTATGCTAAGCTTCTACTTCCAACTTCCATGAATTCCTCCAAGGCAAGTAATTAGCCTCCCTCTTTTGTCATTTAAGCACCTAAGTATCCCATTTATGCAAGTGAATAACTTCTATCTTCCTCAATTGTGTTCTTCAGGTGGAAATGTTTATTGGCCTAATCCTCAGAGCCATGAAAAATGATGTGAACTTGAAGCGCGTGTCTGCATTCGCAAAGCGCCTGTTGCAGGTTAGTTGTTATATTCCTCTCTCGGTTGCATGAGGGGAATACTTTCAACTACTTTCCGACTGTTTGTGTTCGGATAAGGGTTTGATTTCATAAGTTCTTGAACAGGTTGCTATGCATCAGCCACCTCAATACGCTTGTGGATGCCTGTTTCTACTCTCTGAAGCTCTCAAAGCGAGACCCCCTCTATGGTACCGAAGCTCGATCTCGTATGCTATTCACCCGTTTTGCTGGGCGTGACATTTTATTTTCTCATTTCATACACAACCCATGACGTGCAGGAATTTGGTGCTTCAGAACGAGGCCGTGGACGAAGAAGATGAGCATTTTGAGGATGTCGTTGAGGAAAACGACAAGAAAGATCCTACTGATCTCCCTACAATGGATGAAAGTATTGAGAAGGAAGACCATGAGCATGAATCTGACTCTTCTTCCGAAGATGAAGAAGAAGGTAAGACTGTCGCCTCAAGTTCTGACGACGACGATGATGATGGTTCAGACGATGATGCTGGTCAACTGCTAAGAGTAGATCATTCAGAAAAAGTACAATCGGAACCGGAACCGGAACCTAACAAGGATGATTTAAAAGCTGATACTATACTGGCTAGAGCTCCCTTGCCAGGGGGTTACGACCCTCGCCACAGAGAGCCATCTTACTGGTATTAAACCTTCTTTACAAAACGAATGAATTGTCCTTGTGCTTTGCCTTTGTTTTTGAGCTTCTATTTTCTTGGTGGAATGCATAGCAATGCTGACCGTGCCAGCTGGTGGGAGCTTCGAGTACTCGCTACCCATGCCCACCCTTCAGTAGCCACCATGGCTGGAACGCTTCTCTCTGGCGCCAACATAGTCTACAACGGAAACCCTCTAAACGACCTGTCGCCGAGTGCTTTCCTCGACAAGTTCATGGAGAAGAAACCGAAGCAGAAGGAATGGCACGGCGGCTCCCAAATCGAACCCTCCAAGAAGGTGTTTACTTTTTTTGAATGCTTCCCGGTTCTTGACAAGCTCCATTCTAGTTGGATTTGTGCGTTTTTATTGACCTTTGTTATCTCCCTTACGTCAGCTCGACATGGACAATAACCTGATCGGGCCGGAGATTCTGTCCCTGGCCGAGGAAGACGTTGCTCCCGAAGACGTCGTGTTCCACAAATTCTACGCCAACAAAGCCAACAGTACGAACCCCAAGAAGCAAAAGAAGAAGAAGAAAAAGACCTCTGCGGAAGAGGACGCCGAGGATCTTTTCGACGCGGGAGATGGCGGCGCTGATGATGACGTGGCCGGAGGCGACGAGAGCGACAACGAAGAGATTGAGGAGCTGCTGGACGCTACATTGGATCAAGATGACAGCGGTGAGTACGACTACGACGATCTGGACCAAGTCGCCGGTGAGGACGAGGATGAGTTGGTGGGTGACGTTAGCGATGTTGACATGGAAGCCCTGTCGGATGTCGCCGAGGGAGAAGATGGTAGCGACATTGAGGTCGGAGACGCTGATTACGGCGATGAGGATGAAGAGGAGGCCGCTGCGGTTGATACGAAGAAGAAAAGACGACGGCCAGGGAAGATCGGCGGTGGTAAGGGTGCTTCCCCGTTTGCGAGTATTGAAGAGTACGAACATTTGCTGAAAGATGAAGACGATTATGGAACTCCCAAGAAGGAGAAGAAGAGGTCCGGCAAGAAGCCAAAATCGCGGAAGAAGAAGCAGAAAACTACGACTGGCTGACTGATTGATTTCAAACATTTATGATACATTACAGATGCATTGTACACCTTAATTTAAGCTCTTGAACATTTGAGCGGAAAACAGAGGAACAAGCTGAGCTACTGGTTGCTAGAACAACTACTACTATGGTGCAGGCGTGCAGACGGCAGCTACATAACATTGGTGATCAGTTTCAGGAGAATGCCACTCCACTGTGAAGTTCATTGCAGTAAGTGTTATTCCAACACTTGTAATGACAACTAATAGAAAAAGAAGAGATTATAGGAACAATATGTCACTCGCTCTGCTATGAAGTTTTATCGAACATGTCATACACTATTTTTTAACATCAGATATGTTCATGTACTTTGGAAAAATGATCAAGTATGCAAACTCTATCACATCGCGATGATCTAACAATCAAACATTGATCTCGTGTACACATGTATAGTAGCATCCAACTAAACAAGCTAAAAAGATTTAAAAAAAAACACTATCTTGGTCTAATAATAGCTCATTGATGAAATAGTTAGAATAATAATATGAAATCAAGTAGAATTTGATAGAAGAAGAAATACCCGACACTTAGACTTTGCTTGTCCCCAAGTAAACACAACTCACAAATTCACAATCATACAACTCAACGAACACTAAGAAGCATCAATCGAACCTAATCTTATGTGGTAAAACAAAAGCGAACTATTCGGTTTAATAATATTTAAGTATTATTAAGTTATTTATCAGATCTATCCAATATTTTTCTATAAGCATGTACATCAATCAATAAACAAGATTACATCATAAACTTATCTCCAAATACCCTACCATTCTTCTCCCCTTTCCTCCCAATTTCTTCCTCAAATTGCTAGTTCTCCTTCTAAACCTCTAAATTCCTAATTCAATTCGATTCTCAATTATCATAACCCCACCCGAAAACAAACAAGATCATTTGGATTCCTATCATCTTTCCACTTCAATTTCTGGCTTTCCCATTAATAACGGATAAACATTCCTGAAAGCCAACTGTAGTGTACGTGTGCCAAATTGCAATGGAGAGGACGCAAAACAGCGGGCCTCAGGCCTGGCCTCCCAATCCAGGAGCCATCCGGGCCCCATCGTCTGGGCCCACTCTTCACATCCTTTTTATACTTATTATCATCACCGGTTGTACCTGGTTCAACCGGTACCGGTCATAAAACCGGCATGACACCACCGGTATGACCGGCATGATCGATATACGAATCTCTAAGTAAAATGATTTTATTTTAGTGAATTTAATTGATAAAATTTATTTTATTATTTATTTTATGAGTATAAAAGTTAAATATTGATGTTATTTGTTGGATTCAGGTATAAATGTTTAAGTATTGACGTTAAATGTCATGTTTAAATATGAGTATTTATAATTTTATTTGTAATATTGACCGGCATGAACCGGCACAAACCGGTATGTGCCACCGGTTGAACCATTCCACTAGCTAAACCGTCACACTGGCATAAACCGGTTTGACAACCTTGCTTATTATTATTAAAAAAAGCAACACCGTAAAAAGCAAACAAAAAATTAGGGTTGGGCATGCGGGCTGGTCATCTGCTGGGTTTGGGTCGATCCGTTTGCATTTTATCCGAATTTCGTTATGTGGATGGGTATGTGGGTGATTGTCGGATTGTGCTGGGAGGCATCCATTGGGTGGCGGGTGTGCGGGTGACCCGCTCAACTCAACAACAAAAAGAACAAAGTCGTTGGCGCTGGAGAGTGGAGAGATATTTCGAATTTCAGCTGGATGATTGATTTAGAGACGTTGACGAATACTAGGGCTACTCCTAGATTGAATCTCAAAGCCAATCTTCCAAAATTTGACTTCCCTCTTCTTCCCTTTGTTTTTTCCTCTGATTCTTGTGCACAAATTACCTCTCTTTCCTCCATTGAATTATTTTTCTTAGTTTCTTGCACCCGATAATCATCTCCATCAATAGAAAACTCCTCCATAATAGAATTTCTATCCATTTTCAGAACTAACTCGACATTTTTTCTTCTTATTCCATCTTCTTGTTTCGCCCGATAACTCTACACCAATTATCTTGCCACTTGAAGTGAATCTCAAATTTGGAGGGTGACTGGATGTTGAAATCGATTTTTATTTTACATATTGACATTAAACAGGGAGGTTCTGAAATATAAATATATCATGTCAAGTTGACTCATTTATATTATGTACATTGTAATGTGGGTGAATCTGCAAACCAACCCGCATCATCCGCCATCCACCCGACCCATTCCGAAACTAAATATGAGTGGGTGGTGGGTTAAAAATTGTCAATGCATTTAAGCGCAAATAGGTGCATTTCATGGTGAAAAATCAAAATCCACTCGACCCACCAATGCCCACCCCTTCCAAAAATCATATAAATGTGAACCTTCCCCTGCCTCCTTTCCATTCCACCACCACCCTCGACCTTTTTTGAATCAAACACTCTCCTCTCTCGTCCTTCCCCATTCGTGAACAGAGAAAAAAAACGTTTCGATGGCGAAAGTAGGGAAGCTAACGAAGCTGAAATCCGCAATTAAGAAGTGGCCGTCTTTCTCCGCCGCCAAGCAGACCTACCAGCATCATCACGAGCAGCAGCAGCAGGAGGCGGAGGCGGCGGCAGAGTCTGACGAGCCGCAGAAGATTCTTCACTCTGTCTACGTCGGGAAGTCGCGGCGGCGGTACCTTTTGACGACGGAGGTGATGTGCCATCCCATGTTCCAGGAGCTGATGCAGAGGTCCGGCGGGTTGGACGCCGACGGCCAGATCATCGTCGGGAGCGAGGTGGTCCTGTTCGAGCATTTGCTTTGGATGATCAACGACCAGATCAATGGCGGCGGGGACAGAGATTCGTCGTCACAGGCCGGGTCAATGGAGGAGCTGGTTGATTTCTATTGCTGCTAGCTGGGATTGCTGATAACAGAGGAATATTTCTATATGTTTAATTGTAAATTGAGTAGTAGCTTATCAAACGTTTTGGCGGATTATGGGTAGAGTTATTTTGGATTGATGAGAGGGAAGAACCAACCTTTTCTCCTCTCTCTGTCTCTTTTGGATTCTCAATCTTCTGGGTCATTTGGCTTTAGGGGCACGAATAGGGTTGTCGGTTCGGTTCGGGTAACCGAACCCGAAACCCACAAAAACCAAAAACTCGAACCCGCCCCCTCACAAACCGAAACCGAACCCGAGATGCTCTTATGTGGGTTTCGGGTACTGGAACCCGAAATGGATGTTGGTGGGTTTGGTTCGGGTGAAACCGAAACCGAACCGGCCTGAAGTTTTTTTTTTTTTTAGTTTTGTGATTTGAATTTTACATTGTACAAAAAAATTATATTCTTATTATTTGTACATTCTTATTTTACCATTATGTTTAATTTTATGGGACATGGACAGTATAAAACTAATATTTACATATTAGTTTATTATTAAAATATTATTTAATTATTAAAATATTTAATTTTATGTATTCTATAACTATAGACATACTATTAACTATTAAAGAGTATTAGTAGTTTAGAGACAAAGTAAAATACTTAAACATATTTTATACGTAACTTAATCATATCTTATTTAATTGTGGATTTTCGTATAATTAAATGTTTTAGTAATACCATAGGTCCAAAATTGAAGGTATATCAACTATCATATGCAAAAAAATGTTTGGTGTTTGGCGCAAAATTATAAATAATTTTGTTCAACATAAAATACGACAAACATAGATGAGATTATCTTCAACTCGTAATTAAACACATTAGTTTTACAATTCTCAAATGATAACATCCAAGTAAAATAAAAATTCATCCACCATACAAGATAAAATACTACTACCATTATCACTCCTCATCAGGCTCTACATCTACATAAGTCTCATCATTCTCATCAGAATTGTTGTCGACATAGTCTTCTTCCACTTGTGACATAGTAGGACTCGAGACCAAAACATGGGTAGCAGGAGAGCTTCCATTGGGTCCTGCACGAGAGCTTCCACTAGGTCTTGCAGGTGCACTTGCACTCCGAGCTTGAAAAGCTACATATACTGGATAACATAAACAATAACAAATTGTTAGAATATGACTTGATCAAGATAACAAATATAAGAATAAAGAGAAAGATTAAAACCTTACCATTTTGAAATACCACTTCATCATCACCCTCATCTTCTCCATCAGCCACCAACTCGGAGTCTGAAGATCTTATCCAATCTTCACAACAAATCAACACCTCCACAACTTCAGGGGATAAGGAGGTCCTAAACGAATCTAAAACTCGACCTCCTGTGCTGAATGCCGACTCAGAAGCAACAGTGGAAATAGGAACAACAAGAATATCCCTAGCCATCTCAGAAATAGTAGGATATTTCATCCCACTTCGCGACCACCATCCCAAGATGTCAAATTTGTATTCATCCTCTTCTGAACCCACCAATGCTCGTGTAACCACTTCATCATCCTCCTCCTCCTCAAGGTACCTATCAAACTCAGATTTGGAACTTTTTCTGGTTCCTTTCAGAATGGCATCTCTTTTCATTTTCCTGAAATCACCCCAAATCTTCCCTTTCTTCTTCCCATCTCCACTTCCACTAGGTTCTTGCACATCTTCCTGAATCACAATGGGAGAACTGCCAGGAAGTCCGAGCCTATGCTTGTAATGGTCAAACAGAAGACGCATTTCATCCTTCACCTCTTCGACCAAAGCTTTACCCCTGCTCTCACCATACACCTTTTTCAAAGCTTGTTCAAGATATTCAACTTTCCGCCTAGGATCTAATATGACTGCCATATAACACAACCGATTCATCTTTGAATTCTCCAACTCATCTTCAAACCAATACTTGGCAAGTTTGGACTTGATTCTATCAGCCATGCAAGACACCTCAAAATCTATACCATTAGCCCACTCAGATATCATAGTATACATTTCACATACCTCATCAAACAAGAGGTGTAAAGTCACATATGAAGTCCCAGAAACTCGAACAGTCAAATCATAGAATAGCTTCAGGTAATCAATCAATCGCCCCACACTAGACCAATCATCAGAAGTCGTGATACCAAGACTTTCATTTCCATATCTTTTTTCATTGAGATGTTTCTTGAATTTCTTATCATTTCTAGCTAATGTGTGAAATGCTTTCTCAAATGGCTTTGCAGATTCCAACATCAGATACGTTGAGTTCCACCTTGTAGCTACATCCAACGAAACAAATTTCTTCGAAGCTATCTTTTCAAACTCAATGCAATCTTTAAATTTTCTGCTCCTAGCCGGTGTAGATTTAACCCACTTCACAGATTCTCTCACTCGCTCCACAGATTTACCAGTTTCTTTAAGCCCATCCTTCACAGCCAAATTAATAATGTGAGCTACACACCTCATCTGCAGATATTTTCCATCCAAAATATCTGATCCCCACTCTTTCAACTGTTCCTTCATATGGATAGCAACCACATCATTGACACTAGCATTGTCCATTGTTATACAAAACACCTTCCTAATGCCCCACTCCACCAAACAACTAGCCAACTGTTTTCCAATTTCACTTCCAGAATGTTTTGTAACTTGGACAAAATTAATAATTCTTTTATGCAATTTCCAATCTCTACCAATGAGGCTCCCAAAGCTAGAACTAATATCTTGAAAAGGGACGAAAGGAAGAAACAAAAGTTATCAAATTATCACCAGGACCCCAAAGCACAGCTAATTTTCAATTGCAGCAGCAAACCAAGTAGAATCCCACCATCAAACCAAGTCGAATCCATCCACGACACTAAACAACAACAACAACAACAACAACACAACCACTACTCACAAACAGAAAACCAAAGGCAGAAAATCAACCCAAAAATTGACCATTCCCTTTGGAGCAAAGGGAACCCAGAAAATCAACCCACAAGCCACAACCAAAACAACTCAACAGCAAGCAATCAGAAAGCAATCAAAGGTAGAAGCTTACTGGGATTCCATCTTTGTTTTGTACGGTGATTTAGGATGTGACCAAAGGCAGAAGATTCGAACCCAGAGGAGTTGCTCGTGAAATCGCCAATCTCCACTTCTGCACCCTGTCGTATGCTTCTGGCTCTTCGTCGTCGATGGGTGGATCAGCGACGAGGAACACTGAATCTTTGTGTTACCCAGATGCGGCCGACGAGGAACAGAATAACAGGGGAAGGATTTGATGGCAGTCTGGCGGCGAGGCGACGGATTTGATGGCAGTCTGGCGGTGAGGACGATGATGGCGGCGCGGCGAGGAGGCTCTGTTTCGTCTCGCTCTGTTTCGGCACGAGGTGGAATGGAACGAAGCGAAAGAGACGGCGACGGCACGAGGTGAAGGCTGAAGGGCTGAAGGAAAAACCCTACAAACAAAACGACAGCGTAGAACTAAGCAACATTCGGTTTTTCGGGTTCCCTCTCGGGTTTCGGCTTTATGAAACCGAAACCGAAACCAAAAGTCACGGGCTGAAACCGAAAAAACCGAACCCATAGACACTGCTGACGGTTCGGGTTAAACCGAAAACCCGAAACCGTTTTGACAGGCCTAGGCACGAATGCTTCTCGCTTGTATTAGTGTTTAATTTGAAATGCACTGATCTTTTCTTAATCTGCATTTTCAGATGTTCTCGTCCTTCATCAATAGCTTCAATCTTGCTATTTTTTAGAGATATTGATAAACTAAGTTATGTATTAGTTACCATTTAAAACTAAATAAGTTAGTGACGTAGTCAGACTCTGAGTCGATTGAGATTCTTTGAAGTTTAATAATACTAAAGTTTATGTAACTAATGAGTTTTGAGTTGAGAGGTTCTTAGATGAGTTAAAAATACGAGGTTCTAAATTTTAAAGATCATACGGAGCCTTATGCATGTAAAGGGTTTTGTTGTCCCAATTTTTTAAGAATCTTTAACCCCTCTCTTCAAGAATTCCCTCCGTAACTGTCACTGCCCACTGGTTGAAGTTGGTTTTAATGTATTGGAAAGCGCTAGTTTATGTTTCTCTTCCATCAATAGTATTGATCACTATGCATTTTAGTGGTAAGCATTATCATTTACTTTTGCTTCTTAAGAATCTATGATAATTTCTTCTTGTACATGAATTATGTTCCCCCAAATCATCATCCACTTGTTGTACATGCTCACTTAACTTCTACTTCTGCCAAATCAAAAAAATGATAACTTGATTTGAACTTATAAAGAGTTGTTTTCTTATAAGAGTATAATAACATATTGTTATTGTCGTTCAATTTTCCTCCATCCAAAATATTATATCAATATTTTATATTGTTACGAAAATGAACCAAGCACACCATAATCGGCCATCGTCTATCTAGACAGTGTCATGTCATCATCCACACCTTCACCACACAGATCGCCTCAAGCTCTCAATCAAACTCAACTCCATTAAGAGTATCATCATGTTACGAGTATAGAATTCGGAGTTAAAGTTACAGATTCTCAGCACACCATAAGTTAAATGACCATGTAATACAAACCAGTGGCGGATCTAGGGGGCCGCCCCTGGGCCAAGGCCCAGCCCTTCCCATATCCAGAGCTAATATAGCCCTTTTAGATTTTCGATTTTAGATATTCGTTTCAATGTTCGATGAGTTACGGTCCAATCCTCTCCACCTCTTTTCAAATTTGACCGAGTACTCTACCCTATTCTCGATCCGCCGCTGATACAAACCCCTAGCTACCATTTCAGGTACCTACCTACCTACACCTTGATTACAGGCACAAGGGTCCCTCCCTCACTTTGGGGGGTGTTGGCCCTATTTTTGGAGCTGGCATGGCGGTCGAGCTATAATAATATTTGAACGAACAAAACCTTATTGCTTGCTGCTCTGCTGCCTATCTTTTCTTTTCTTTGCCAGTAAGTTTGTCCATTACTCTCCTCCAATATATCCTTTTCAATTCATCACTGCTACCAAATTTTGGCACAGCTTGTGATGGTATCTGTAAGCAAGAAAGAAACAGCATGTACTTATATACAATATTCAACTTGCTTTCTTTATTGTTTCATTTTCTCCCTTCTGGTCCCAGACGCCATAACCCGACATTTAAATCAAAACCCACTGTTCCTTTGTCACGTTGGAATGGACAAACCAACTTATTCACAGTCTCCATCCATGCGCGCCAGTCGCCATCTCATCTCTTCTCTTCCACAACAACAGCTGTCATGCCTAGCTACACAGTGGTCGTGTCATAGTAGTCCTGCGTAGGCAGGGCGAGCATGGATACTCTCGTCGATCCGATCTGTCCCATTCTCGACCCGTTCTTATCTAAATTACATGTAATCTTAGTCAAATCGCTAAGGATTTTTCTTTTATTACATCATATTTTAACTATAATAAAGTTGTAAATTAATGAAAACCTCAACTTCTCCAATAATTTAACTACATTTATCGTAATACAATTTGTTTTCTTTGTTTTATAATGAAAATAATGGATATTTCTAATACTTTCCGTATAAATTGCATACCCATTGAGTCGACATGCCCCAACCCGCAATCCATGATAAAATACCTGATTTAGACCCGACTTGTCACGAGATGAGTATGGATATCGAGATACCCTCGAGCACGTGGAGTAGTAATAGATCGATCCATCGATCTTCAACCAAAATGTTTGTACCTATTGGCTGCGACACGACACACCAAGATGGCTTACTTGGTCTCTTTCTTTCTGGTTTTGTTTTGGCTCGATTATGTACCTTCCTTTTCAACACACATTTATGCTCTTCCTTACCTTTCTTATTTTATGGATCAGTACCAACCAAAATGATTTTGGTTCCTATTCTATTTTATCCATTCATTGTCTCTTATCATGATGTTCCACCCATTCTTCCCTACCTAATTGTGTTTAATTAATCCTTATTCATTCTGTTCCCATGCTAAGAAACTGGTATATCTTGTCCTTTTTCTAGGGCGAGATAGCATGACTATTCCTAAGTGGGTTGGAAAAATGACACCTCATATTAATTATAGGATTTTAAGGTAATTAATTTGTGTTGCATTTAATTATTTTGTCTGAATTAAAAACCCATAATAATTACTTTTCTTTTTTCAATGCAATGGTAGTTGTACCAGTACAATGGTATCTGTGTATAGATGCAATGGTAGTTAAAAAAAATGAATGTAATTAATCTGAGTTAATTGTATAAGTTCAATGATAGTTGTATCAGTGCAATGGTAGTTCAAAAAAAAAAGGAATGTAATTAATATGAGTTTTTAATTTTCAAATATTATTAAATGCAACACGAATTTGATAAAAAAATAACTATACTTAATAGGCGTGTCATTTTTCCAACCCCTTAAAAGGGTTGGCAAGCTAACCGGCCCTTTTTTTCTCGGTATTCTCTAGTTATTCGTCGGCCCTAATCACAACAAAATTTTACCATCTAAAATAATTTACAGCAGAGAGGTTAAGTAAGATTTTATTTTCACTATTGAAAGGGCTCTTGTCATCATCCTATCAACGGCATAACCAAAAATTCGAGTGAAGAGGGCGTTAAACGGTAATTATAAAGCAGGAGGAGGAGTGAATATTTTAGCAATTGCTTTACTTGTCAATTTTATGACATTTTTTTTATTATCAAAATGATTATGATGTACTTTTAGAATTTTTAACTATGAGTAGAGTTCGTCACCCCCTTCTCGCCATAACATAGCTTCGCACCACTATTCTAGATATTCAGTATCAAAATGAGCCATGCCATGCCATTTTGACCATCTATCCCTATAACATTTCTAAATAAAAATGTCCAAAGAGGGATAATGGAACTATGGGTTGGAGCTTGGAAGGATACTAATTTCAGAAAGTTGGAATAGAAGACTGGGTGGGGAGAACTTTCACAAAAAAAGTTAAGACTAATGATTTGAGTTGTTAAAGATGCTCTGAATTTTTTGAGGGAGGGAATAAGATTAGGAGCTAATTAATAATTTCAAAAAATACTAAGCATTAGGTGGTTGGTAATGTATGCCCTATTATTTTGTATATTAGGTGTGAATTAAAGGTAGGGAAAGCAGCTTTAGCTTGTTGACAAAGACATAACAATGAATTAATGAGTATTGAGTAAACCCCCTCCTGAAAATTCAAGTATCTAGTTAAGTAGTGGGTGGTTAATTATGCACAAACCAACAAATCTTGGTTGGTGGGGGCCAAAGCCCTAATTCAAGTTAAGTTCCATCCCCTATCATCTTTCCAACTTGTGCTTGTGTATCATTTTATAACAGGTTTATTTTTGTGTCAAATTTCATCACATCATACTAAGAATATATTAGTGTACTCAACCCCGTTGTTAGATAATCGTGCATCATTTTCCTCAATGTACTTATCCAAATAAACATGCATGATATTGAAAATTGCAACACACCTATGGTTTAGAGAGAACATTGGAACACAAGTTTTCTTCTCCCATTAATCATCAACTTAACTAGGATCCGGTCCCAATCCATCGTCTCAATTGCCATCGACGTGGGTAGGATCCGGTCCACTACTCAACCCAAGCAAAAGGCAATCACAAGAACACCCCTAGTTATAACAAGGTGGAGACTTGGACAGTTTGAAACTCACCACCCTCAAAAGGGATCTACAATTGAACTTCTCACAACAACTCCGAGTTACGTTATTAGGATCTTGACACGATATTACAACTTTTAATGATCGAGAAATCTTCTTTTGGAATCTCAACGAACCCCATTTTAAGACTGTACAAGGTACCGAGATCCAACTATCGTTTGTGATTAAATGACGAGGTGATATATTATGACAATCTTACGAGGAAATGTGTAGAAAAAAAAGATAAATATGAAATCCCTATAATGTGAACCAATCACTTCGAAGTTAGTTATTGTGACAGCTCTGAGTATTACTAGGTCATTGGTCTCATCTCTTTTGTGTCGCATATTAATTATCAACTCTTTGTACAAATACACATAGTCATTTGGTTTTGGTGATAGTTAAATTGATGAATTGTCATCAATGCATGCATAATAATATACATGTATATTAGAAAATTGGTGTATTATTGTAGTTTACATCGTTTGGTTTATGTGATATTTAAATAAGTTATGTGACTTTTTGAGTGAAATGTCACTTTTACCTTTTGTTTTTTTATATAAGAAAGTAACACACAAAAAAATGTAGGGACATAGTTGGGAGAAAAAAAAGACTCAACAATCTCACCAAAAACTTGAGATTTAACTATTACTCATTTTGAGTGATAGTTTGTGTCATTTCAAGCAAACAATACATGTATTGTTTGTGCATAAAATTCAAAAAACAATACACTATGGACAATACATGCATTGTAACTATCTCAATTAAACAATCATCAAAACTAAACGACCCCTAAGTTCCATTTCCACCAAATATATTAAAAAAATCCCCACTATAGAAAATCGAAGGGCTTGCTACCGTTGGACTTGAAAAGCTCAAATATTTGAGTGCATGGCCCAGTTAAGACTAAACGAATAACGGCCCAACAGGCCGACAGCCCATTACAGCTCGGAACTTCAAACTTTCCTCAAACTCGGTTACTCGCTGCTCCACCTCCAGGCGATCGCCCTCCTGTCTCTCCTCCACCGCTTCCCCTGGCCAGCCGTGGACAGTAAACAACCACCAGTGCACCTTCCGCGGAGGAAACCACCGCCGTAGAAGACGTGTCTTTCTTCCCTGAGAGGCAGCGGAGTCACACTGTTTCTCTTCTTGTGCTACTTTGTATAAGGTGGCTCGTCTTCTTTTGGATTGTTCGCCTACCATTTCAAATCATTTCCAGTTTGCCTTCCACGATTCTGAATCGCTCAAAGCTGGGAGCTGACATTCATTGCTAGGGGTTCTTCCCTTTTCATCATTATAGTGCATGATGCATCGTTAAATTCTCACTAATTTATGGCTTTTTTTGATTCTGTTCTTTTTGGCTAATTTTGCAGTTTCAGCTGCGGCAGGGATGTCTAGGTTTCGATCAATCTGGCAAGCCTCTTTGAATGCCACCAAGAAAGGTATTTTCTTTTTCTATGGGTTTCTCTAGTGGGTGCTCTATTTGGCCTGATTGTCATTTCGCTTGATCTTAGATACTGCATTATTCGTTGGTTTTGCAAAGATAGCTTTTTGTGTGTGTAGCTGTAGTATATGGTAATCTCTGCTTATCCTTTCTTTCACCTGGTATTCCTTGTGTGAAATTCATACTATCTGCCGAATGCTAATGGTAAATGTCACACTATGAATTCATATTATCTTTAAAGTAAACCATGACAGTTGACCCGAATAGTTAACCACTCGAACTACAACCTGCTTAATCGTGAATAGCATAAGGTAGTCCTTGATAGAGATAATATATCTCCCTGAAGTTAGGAACTGATTGTTAGCCCTGTACTCCACTACTCTGTTTCTGTTGCATATCTTCAGGGAGACTCTCCGTAGGATTAGCTTCTCATTGTAACTACCTGATGTATAAATACATTTACACAATAATGAATAGACGGGATTTCCTTTTCCATATCAGTCCTATTGTGCAGAAGTGATGAGGAACGGCAATGTTGAAGGAGTTGGATATGGAAACACTTATTAGGATTTTGTAATACCAATTGCTTGACATGCTTTTATTGCGGTAACTACTGTTACTAATAGATCGAGTGGAGATGTTTTATTTTTAGATCAGGGAATCAAACACTTAAAACGAGCCCATAAAGTGGAAACGATTTCACTGCATTGCCTTTACTATTGGATTTCTAAGATTGAATAGAACATTAGTGTACAAGATGGTTTCCTTATTTACTTGTGTATGGCCCCCCCCCCCCCCCCCCCCCCCCCCCCCCCCCCCCCCCCCCCCCCCGCCCCTGCAGCTCTTACATGAACCTTGAAGACTTGATGCCTCCTGCCGAAAGACTTATTTTCAGCTTCAACTCAAAGGAAGAACTAAAGAAATGGCATCTATATTCAGATTCAGAGGTATGGAGGTACAGTATCTTGCCAACTTCAATGCTTCATGCTGTGCCTTCCTCTCTCTTCAAGCTAGGAAATTTTTAGATGTTTGGTCTGGTAGCTGTTACGACTGAGGCGAACTCTTCAAAGGGTTAAGAATTCATTGAAATTGTCAAATACTCAAATGTCAAGATTGGGGTCCCTAATTACTCCTCTAAGAATTTCTAAATATTTTCAGGTCTCTCCTCCGCTTCTTTAGAGATTAGTGAAGTGGACAATGGATTGAAAGGTACTGTGCATTTAGTCCGATTTGCTTAGTACAGCCCTCTCAGATCTCTGATCTGGCCATGTACCTTTTGTGCTTCTCATCTGTTAACTGTACTCATTTTGTTACCCAATAGGTGTGTTCTCTGGGAATCTATCAGTAGATCTAGCTGAGGATTCTAAGTGGAACATACGTAGGGGTGGCTTTTGTGGAATGCGTTCCAAGAAGGTAAATATATCTTTTGATCGATAGAATATGTGTGAATGAAATAACCAGAACCAAGTGCTGAACTGGAATCATTCATTGCGAAATCTTAGAGATGTGACTAACTGAAAAATATGTGGAATCTTTCCGCAGTTTGATGGTTTCATTGATCTCGATTCATATGATACGATTGCACTAAAGCTTAGAGGTGATGGAAGAAGCTATATATCAACTGTGAGATTTGTGTCTCCTTCTCTTTTATTCTGATTCTAGGCAGAGCCAAAATACCATCCATACTGTAATAATAGTCACTTCTTTCCAATTGGTGCTGTAATTCTGCCCTTAAGATAGAAACTCTTGATGCAGATTTATACAGAGAATTGGGTTAATTCGCCCGGACAGCTAGAAGATAATTCCTGGCAAGCTTTCGTTCATGTACCGAAGGACAACTGGTACATTGCAAAGGCAAGCTGTTTCCTCATGCTCTCATTTACTAGTTGAATTGCTCTCAACTGCCACTAACAAAAAGACGCATCGAATTGCGATTTCGGTATTCAGATTCCACTTGCTCGATATCTACCGACTTGGAGAGGGAATGTCATAAACGCAGAGATGGAGATGAATCAAGCCCGCATTCTTGGCATCTCGCTCTCTGTCAATGCAGAAGGTGGTGTCCCTGGTGCCAGAACTGGTACCGGTGATTTCAAGGTTGAGCTCGACTGGATCAAAGCCATTCGAACGGAGGAATATACCTGATGTTTCAGTCCCCATCGACTGTGATCCTCGACAAATCCAGGTTTTACGCACCTTGCATTGAACTGCACCTGTTCAGACTGCAGATTGCAGACCCCCAGTCCAGTTGTAGGAATGAGTTTCTAAAACAGTTTCCGAAGTGGGTGAGAGATACTCCAAACTGCTGAGTTTCTGTAGTAGCCCACGAAGGTCATGCCTTCTGGTTGCGCGGCCATGGTTCCTAGACTTTGAGACAGGCAGGCAATGCATGTCCAGTTGTAGTTCTGCAAGATCAGATGTATCTTTGTAGATGGGTGTGTTTAGGACAGTATGGTCAGAAATAGCACTGCAAGTCTGCAACTAAATAACTATATCGTTGTGTTCATAAACGTAACCAAACCATGGTTAATGTCGAATGCACAAAAATGATTTATTGTTAAGATACTTGTTATCCCTGGCTCTACTTGGTGATTACAGTTTAAAAGATCGAAGAAGATATTTATGGATTGGGTGACAAAAGCATTAATCGTCAACCGATGTAGTGTGGAAGATGTCATTAGGGGGAGTTGATACTTAATAAGCCTTATATTATATTAACTATGCAAACGATATTTGTTGGAAGAATTGAATTGAATATTCATTATTCATTCAGAAGGTGAAGGAGGAACTAGGAAGGTAGGTCCTATATTTGGGAAGAAAAGGCCTCATCTGTGCAAGTCCTATGAAGAAGACAAAAGAGAAGCAACTGGCAGCTTGAATAGATCTTTTATATTAGTAGATGGACTTTGAGAGAAACAAAGTGAATAGGGATGCCATCTTTCAGAATTCTTTTATGTTTTTTCGGTGGACATCATTTCAGAATTCTAAGCCTTTCTAATTTGTATGCAAATACGTAACCGCAGACGATTTGACTGACCATGTTCTGCCACGACATTTGCATAATAATTTTATTTTTTTTAATTAAATTTAGAATTGAATTAATAATTAATATTCAAAATTTTGTTTTTGGATTAACTACAACACTGCACGGGGTCGATACACACAGTGCCTAGTATTCATCGTTTACGGCTAGGACTACTCGGGTATCTAATCTCATTCGCTCCACTACTTTCGTCTCTCAGTCCAAAGGTAACTTGGGCCTTTATTACTTGGACTATATTCGCGATTTATTTCCATATCCGAGTAAATAAAAACGGGAAGGTTTACGGAGTCCTCTCTTGTATAGTTGTCTACGACCGCAGGTTCAGTTTCTCTTACTATAAGCGAGCGACGGAATCCCCATAACCCATAAATAGGGTCAAACCTTATTTCATGATATTTAGCTCTTTCTTATTCTTAAACAAGTGCCCGCGAGGGGTTCTATTTTCTTGAATATTCAATTTCTGGATTCCTTCCTATGCTATGTAGCTTTATATAACTCCTTTAAAGGTTATGCGCAATACAAAGTTCATGATGCAAAACTCCTTTGGTTCAGATATTGTGCTTTCCACGCTGTATGTTGGTGCATTTGGTTGGAAAGAAATAGCAGAATCTTTAATGGTGTCTCGAGGAACCCGGTTCAGATTGCTAGAAAATCCCTGAAGAGTGTTGCAGGATGGGGAGTTGCGAATGGAAAGATCGATCGTTTGGGTGTTGCTTCCTGGATTCGAGAATGTCTCCGTCAGATTCAATGATTGCGATCTCACGGGCTGGTCTTTCGGATCTGTAATGAGCAGGGGGTACTTGCTGGGTTTAGTCTGTTGGATCCTGTGTGTCGCTTATCCTTGTTTTTGCTTTAGTTTTGTTTTGGCCTGCGCGTCTGCTCTTCTGTTTATCGTTTCTTGGCTAGCGGGAGCGGTCTGATCCGCTTTGCTAGGTTTCGCTTATAGCTTAGGTCATGTTTTCTGTTTAGATTTGATCTTTTTCTGTTCCTTTTGTCCGCCAGATCATTCCTCCTGATCTCCTTTTGTACAGCTTTTGGTCACCTTTCCTTTAATAAAGTTAATCACCTTCATAAAAAAACTATTATAATAGTAAAAATCATTTTTAACTCTGAAAGTCTTAAAATTAAAAAAAATCCCCTTTTAACTTCAAAGGAAGAAGAAACCATATCTTTTGCGATCGATAGTCCGTAAGTTTCAAGTTGAAAACAACAATTTGCAACGTACAGTCAGATGATTAAATTAGTATATTATTGAAAGCATATCAAATGTTCCCGAAGAGACTAATATTGAAGAAGATAAATGTCATTTAAATGTTAGAACTTGTACATCCATATTACTATATTACAGATTTGAGTCGTCATAAATACGGAACCGAAGATAATAAAGTAGATCAACAAAGAAGGAAGGAGAGCTGAGCGGGGGGCCATTCCTCTTTCTCGAGCTCTCCATTTTCTTCCCCAACAAAGAAAGCATTTACGTCTTTCTTCTTCTTCTTCTATTTTCCTTCTTGCCTATTGTAATCAATACTTCCATTTGCTTTCTCTTCTATTTTTATTTGGGAAGGCCATCGAAAGAGACCAATCATACTGAAACACAGAAGAACCTTCTGGACATATCTTTTTGTACAAAATCAAAGTGTATCTGACTTTGAAATTTGAAGAATATTAAGATATTGATTATAAACATATACATTTTGGAAATAAATGTCATATGCTAAATTTAGAACAATACACGTATCGAATTTTTACAGAAAATCTACATACACATTCAATAATGATTTGAAGCGGCTGATTATAAGATATATATTCATAATTTTTTTGGAATGGGTATTTTTGGTGGATGTGAGAATTTTTTGGGCTAAGTAGTTTGACCATATAAATGTATAGGGTATGCCTACTATGACATGCATGTCACGGTGACATGCACTTTTCGGTCGACCTATTGCTGAAGGCGTCGACCGAATCGACTAATTTGGGGAGCACGAGAAAGTATTGCGGTCGACCTCAACGACCACCTGGTCGACCGCACTTAGTTTAAGTTGTTATTTTTGGTCGACCAGAATAAAACCTGGGTCGGCCATTTCATTGGCGTCAGAAACAACATGGTCGACCACCTAAGGTATATAGGTCGACCACTTGATGGCAGTCATTAACAAAATGGTCGACCGAATGAGGAAAGAGGTCGACCAGATAGAAGATAAGTGTTCTATCAAAGTGTCCAATTATTTGACGTAAAATCAAGATCAAGTGTTGGTTTCGCGGTCGACCTAATCCAGTACGAGGTCGACCGAATACAAGAAAGTCACCCTATGGCCCGTGTCTTTTTTGCTTATGTATGTCGATTTGTGTGGTTCTTTTAATCGTATAAATTATGTTTCAAACCATCATAATTAGTCATAAATAATTATAACAAGAACTCATCAATTCATAGCATAACAACTAAAAATAAAACAGAAATCATAATTGTTCACACTTAAAAATAAAACTAAAAAAACAACAGAATAACACTCAACAATCGTTTTAACCACTAAAACACACAATATAAAAACTCATTTCTCCTACTCATCTCCCCCCTCTCTCTCATCCACATTTTCTTCATTGGTGGTGCTAGCATGATGGTGGTCGGATGTGGTGGGATGCATGTATCTTCCGTTGAAAGATCGCCACTCATCTCGCATCTCATTCACGGTCACCTGCATTGTGCTCATCTGGGCGGTCATTTGCCCCATGTAGTCGTGCATGCCAGTCATCTGGGTGGACATCTGGCCCATGTACTCGTACATGCCATCCATGCGCTCCCACACACGCTGTAAGGTGATCGGTGGAGTTGAACTCTGTGCCTCCGCCATTGGCTCGTCTCGAGCTCCTTCATCACCCTCATCATCATCATCATCATCATCATCATCATCATCATCATCATCATCATCATCACCACCATGAGCATTGTTTACTCTGACATACTCACCATTACGCAGCTCAAAGCCCATCTTTTTCAGAGATGAAACAGTATAGAACTCCTGCCTTGAGATTCTTAACCCCACCTCTTCACTTAAATTCACATTAAAATGCTCAAATAGCACAGTGAGGATCATCCCATAGGGAAGATTCCTGTTTGAACTCTCTGCAGCAGTAAGCATGTGGTTAAAGATCAAGTATGGCAAGTTCACCTTCTCGCTTAACAGTAGGTTGGTGAGGAGCTCCATGTCGAAGTAGTTGACTGTCTCCCGATGTCCACCCTTTGGCAGAATGTTGTAGGAAAGCATGTGGTGAAGAACTCTGGCTTGAACTGTTAGGTGGTTACTCGTTGGCCTATTGCGCCTCTGAGCATCTTCCTCTTCATCAAGACCACATACCGTCTGGATTTGCTTGGCTCTCGTGAAATGTGTTTCATTCCAAGCACCGTAAGAATTGATTCTCTTCCCCTCGTTTGGAGCCTCAAGTACTTGCGCCAACACATTCTTGCTGATGCGCATCGCCACCCCATTCACATAGGATTTGAATGCGTGAATGGATCCATTTGCATTGCGCTCGTAGACGATGTTGTTGTAGAAGTACTGTACCAGTTTTGGGTAGTATGGTACATTGAGAGATGTCACCTTCAGCCACTCTTGGTCGATGAAGGGTCCCAGAAACCCGTAATTCTCGAAATGAGAATACGCATCCGTCGTCAATGGCCTTCCAGGAGCCACCCTGCGGTTGTGCATTCTCTTCTCTTCATAGTTGTCACTTTGATCCTTGGTCTGGAACAGTTTGGGATTGAAATCTTCCCATTCCGAACTTGAAGCAGCAGCTTTTTGTGACTTTCTTTTCTTATTTTTGCCAGACATTCTGCCATTAAACAAGCAAGAATACACGTTAGTCACATTTTCGAATTAAACAATACGCGGTCGACCACTCCATAAAGCGGTCGACCTCAGTTAATTTAAAACGAGAATGGGTCGACCTCAGAAGAATCATAGGTCGACCTCAGTTAATTTAAAACGGGAATGGGTCGACATAAACGAATTTTTGCCTTCATAGGTCGACCTCAGAAGCATCATAGGTCGACCTCGGCTAAATTGAAACGAGTATAAAATGGGCCAAATCCTCGTACCAATTGAGTGCAAAACAGATCCGGTCGACCTCATAATTAGAAGAGGTCGACCAGTGTTAGTTTCGCACAAATAATTCAAAGACAATTGCACAACTCGAACTTTTGCCTTCATAGGTCGACCTCAGAAGCATCATAGGTCGACCTCGGCTAAATTGAAACGAGTATAAAATGGGCCAAATCCTCGTACCAATTGAGTGCAAAACAGATCCGGTCGACCTCATAATTAGAAAAGGTCGACCAGTGTTAGTTTCGCACAAATAATTCAAAGACAATTGCACAACTCGAACTTTTGCCTTCATAGGTCGACCTCAGAAGCATCATAGGTTGACCTCGGCTAAATTGAAATGAGTATAAAATGGGCCAAATCCTCGTACCAATTGAGTGCAAAACAGATCCGATCGACCTCATAATTAGAAGAGGTCGACCAGTGTTAGTTTCGCACAAATAATTCAAAGACAATTGCATAACTCGAACTTTTGCCTTCATAGGTCGACCTCAGAAGCATCATAGGTCGACCTTGGCTAAATTGAAACGAGTATAAAATGGGCCAAATCCTCGTACCAATTGAGTGCAAACCAGATCCGGTCGACCTCATAATTAGAAGAGGTCGACCAGTGTTAGTTTCGCACAAATAATTCACAGACAATTGCACAACTCGAACTTTTGCCTTCATAGGTCGACCTCGGCTAAATTGAAACGAGTATAAAATGGCCCAAATCCTCGTACCAATTGAGTGCAAAACAGATCCGGTCGACCTCATAATTAGAAGTGGTCGACCTCAGGAAAAACATAAATCGACCTCGGAAAATTTAAATCGATTGAAAGCCAATTGTGCTTTCAAAAGCCGTGCAGTTCAGTACATTAGACCACCTTGTAATGCACTCGAAGACACAAACGTTTATGTCTTCGAGTGCATTGCAAGGTGGCCTAATCTCCTGCACTGCACGGCTTTTGAAAGTCACAATTAGCTTTCAATCGATTTAAATGGCCCGAGGTCGACCTCAATATCATCACTGGTCGACCTCAATAAGTTTAGCACAAATAAATCAAACTTTTGCCTTCATAGGTCGACCTCAGAAGCATCATTGGTCGACCTCGGCTAAATTAAAACAAGTATAAAATGGGCCAAATCCTCGTACCAATTGAGTGCAAAACAGATCCGGTCGACCTCATGAATAGAAAAGGTCAACCTGTGTTAGTTTCGCACAAATAAAACAGAAATAAAATCGCTTGAAAGCCAGATGCGGTCGACCATGGTTATGAAAAGATCGACCTCATCTGGCAAACAGAAGGACAAAGTCCCTCTTTTGAAGCTATAGATGTAAATAATATCGTAGCACAACTTCACAGGTCGACCTCAATATCATCATAGGTCGACCTCAGACTGTACAACAAAAGGAAAAATCGATTGAAAGCCAGATGCGGTCGACCACGAATATGAGAAGGTCGACCTCATCTGGCAAACAGAAGGGAAAATCAATCTTTTAAAGCTACAGATCTAAATAATAAGGCCAGAAATCTCAACTCGAACTTCACCGGTCGACCTCAATATCACATAGGTCGACCTCAGTCCATAAAACAGAAATAAAATCGATTAAAAGCCAGTTGCGGTCGACCACGATGATGAACAGGTCGACCGCTTCTGACGAACAGAAGGAAAAATCTATCTTTTACATCTTTAAATTTTTTGAAAACAAAAAGAAGAAGACAAGAATCGACTCAAAAGAAAAAGAGGACTGAAAGCTATACCTTGTTCTTCTTCTAAGTGATGAGGATGAAGCTTTCTTTGAGTTTTTGGAAAATGGAGTTTTTGGAAAATGGAGAAGAAGATGAAGAAGGGAAAGGAGAGGAAGAATGAGTGGATGTGGTGGGCTAGGGTTCTGATTGTGGTGTAGAATGAGTGGGAGAGGGTTCCTTAAATAGAGGATTGGGGAGGTTTGGTCGGATGTTGCAAACAAACCGGTTTGGTCGGCCGAATTAAATACGCGGTCGACTTTACCAACTTGTTCGGTCGACCGTGTGTGTTCAGGTCGACCGTTATTTGTATGAGGTCGACCGTTTTATTGCTATTGTTTATTTCAACCAACAATCAATTAACTCATAAATTATTAAGATAATTCGAAAAAAATTACAATGCAATCACAGTTATTAAAATATAAATAAACTCATAAAAACAATAGAAGAAATTTAAGATTGTTTTTTGGGACTTTGTTTCGGGCATTTAGGGCGAAAATGACCATATTTCCCACATTTCGAACACTTTCTTAAACTTTTGCCCGATGCAGTTCGTGCTGACTTGAATGTCCCCTTGGTCTTCCCAATTTTTGGATCTTTCACACTTCGAAGGGGTGCTGGAGGGTTTGCCGGTGTGGTGTTGTCTGTTCTCTCCCTCGCGAACTCAATTGCCCATTGAGTAAGGTCGTCCAACGTCTTAGAGACATGATTAAAAGCAGATTCACTACCACACGCGATGTCACATAAACGCTTACACTTTAGAGCCAATCCTCCATGTCTTATCATTCGACCAATTTTCTCTGCCACATCACCTCCAACTCCAGGATGACGATTTAGTGTTTTCGCATTTTGGGTCCATCGAAGCTTGAACCACGACGAGGGTAGTGCGGTGTATCCCATATTTTTTATTACTGTAAGCATGTGTCTGCATGGAAACCCCTTAGATTCAAATAATGCACACTCTCATTTTAGATCTTGATTGGACGTAGTAAATGTTAACCGCCTTATCCGATCTGGGTTCATGTAGTTCTTCAGTATGAATGTCTCTGTTCCATCTGATTCAGTTCTTCTCTCCGCTAATACATAAGAAGCTTCGTTCTCTAGTTCAGACTTGAAGATAGCAAATGTACGATGAGTGTAGATACTTTCAGCTTGCATTTCCCAAGTGCGAAGGGCATGCTTGCAGACCAACCTTGTGTGCCTAGAAGTATAATCATCCTGCACCTCCGTGAAACGCATCCCCTCCAGTGCTTCATCAATGCCCTGAACAAAACGTTGCAAGCTGTATTGAGTTCCCACATACCCATTTATCCAATGGTTACATGACTCACATCGCGAGGTTGATTGGAGTCCACCGAAATAAATATCCTTCAAGTATGCCTATGCCCACAGTAATTTGTCAGCGTACAAATCCTGCAACCACTTATTTGCAGACAAACCATGCTGACTAATCAAATGCTCCCAACGCCTCTCAAACTCCTCAATCGATATTCGTGCTTTCGCCAAGTAAGTGAATGCGCTAACGAACTCCTTATTATGAACGGCCGTTGTCGCATTTGTCTCAATATGCCAAATACAAAGACGGTGAGGCACTCCAACCAGAACAGTAGCAATGGCACCACGCATAGACTTGTCTCCGTCTGTGATCACTGAAGTGGGCATCTTAGAGTTCATACACTCCAGAAAAGTATTCAACAACCAAACATAGTTGGGGATTGTCTCGTTATCCAACTGGGCAAAACCATATATGATGTTACGGTGGTGGTGATTTACACCAACCATCATAACAAATGGTCGATTGTACTTGTTGCGCTTGTAGCATGCATCGAACGCCAAGACATCCCCAAAAAAATAGTAATCTGCTCTAGATGTGGAGTCCGACCAGAAGAGATTGCCTAATTCACCTTCATCGTTGGTTGTGTACTTGAAGAAGCTGCCTGCATCAGAGGTATGTTTACTTTGCAAGTAACTTAATGTTCGGTTAACATCTCCTATTATATCGTCGTCAACTGTTCGGGATTGCTGAACAGCATTGTCCAAATCCTTTGGAGTGTACCCCAGATTCTCATATCCTCCAACTTTATTCTTCATGAACTGAACAATGTTGCATTGTTTTATTCCTGACTGTCGCATCCCTATCGCCAGAGCCTTGTCTCCTTCACTCACATTTCGATGAGACCGAAGGAATTGAGTTTCTTCTTCATTGCAGCAACGATGTGAGTGCTTCCTCTCAAACTTAGAAACAACCCACATTTTCTTATTCCGATCAAAGCGTACAGTATACGATGCCTTGCAATAATGTCTTGTCATCTTACGATGTTGTCGAGTCCGACCTTCTTTATCTATATGCATCTTATCTCTAGTCCCCTCTCTCGAACATACAATTGTCCTCCCAATTGCTACTCCTCGACGATTCCTCCGAAGATCTCTATGTCGAACGCTAAATCCTTTCGCTTTAGCATAGGAATCGTAAAATTTCTATGCATCTTCTAATGTTTGGAACTCCATGGAAGGAATTTGTTGTTCATATTCAGTAGCTTCTTCATCATCCATAAATTCTTCTTCAGCACCCTCGGTTTCATTATCATCCCCAACCACTTCATCATCCGTATTATTTGTATCATCTAAATTATCCATAGCTCCTTCTTGAGCATCCTTAGGTTCCTCATCGAAGTTAACCTCATCATCATCTCTATCATCTGTATCATCTCTGTTATCCATCCTGAAACGATCGGAATACGAACTTAATGTCAAAAACATACACAATTAGCGCTCGTCAGGTCGACCTGAATGAACTGTATGGTCGACCTTATTACTAAATAACAAACATGCGGTCGACCAGAATTTACTGAAAGGTCGACCTAATCATATAATTACAAAAGAACGGTCGACCGTATGGTGAAGGTGGTCGACCGAATGGTAGGAAAAATTTAACCACATACAAGCATTAACAAGCACATACGAGACATACCTTAGCAAAGAGGTCGACCACTTATTGTTACGGTCTACCGGAATAAAAATAAACCGCCACCAACACCCGATCACAATAAGAGCGATGATATTACAACTTCACTCCAACAAATTGCATAAATCGAAGTACGATTAAAGTATTCAGACTCCCATCTATTTATAGATAATGTAGACGAATTCCTTATCCAATTGGTGAAAGATATATAAAATCATAATTCGACAAGGACAAGTACACAAAATCCTAATTGTACAAGGACATGATTCATTCAGGTCGACCTCTTTGCACAAATGGTCGACCGTCTTGGGTAAATGTGAAACAGGTCGACCTCTTTACTGAAATGGTCGACCATTGTTTATAAATGTGAAACAGGTCGACCTCTTGACACGAATGGTCGACCGTATTTTATTAAGGCCAAACTTACGAGATTCCATCCATGTTGTACATGGTTTTTTACTTTGCTACGGTATCATAGGTCGACCTTAAGCGTCATGAGGTTGACATGTGCTTTGCCTTTGGGTATGCCCGCTTTGAGTATGTGGTCGACCACTTTTTCTAGACGATTGAAATCGTAAATTCAGTCACATCCATAATTGTATAACAAATCTAATAAACGATAAACATTCAAAATCCAAAATCAAACGATCTCGCAAATACAAATTCAATGTATGGTCCAAATAATGCAACATTGTAACTTAACGACTTCATTTCTTTGCTTTTTTGTTTGAACTCTGTCTCTCTTTGCCTCGTTCCATGCATTCATCTACTACATGCTTGAAAAGATTTTCTCATGCAAGGTTTTCAAAATGTGTAGCCAGATACCATAGAATCTCCTTTCGAGCCGGTAATTTGTGTTCTTCTCCTATCTGCATTATGCCATGTAACATTTCGTTACAACTAAAAAAAGTGTAAATTAAACAACTGAGTGTGTTTGACGATATACTCACCACTCTATCAAGATCCTTGGATCCATAGCGCATCCACTGCATGACGTGCACACCACACTCAGTACTATTCCTTTGCCGTTGAACTCGCAGCTCATCAAAATTGAAATCTCCAAAACTTGGTACTCCTACATTGCTCATGCGCTCCGGTTTGAAAATATCATCCAAATTGGACAACTACACACAAATAATGAATATTTTAAGTTTCTAGCATAATACGTGACGCTTAACAGTCAGAAAATTATAGGAAACACTTACCAATTTCTTGCATAGTGCTGATTTACGCCTACGATTCGCCTCACTAGTTGAAGGTAGACTGTCAAGCAAAAATGCAGTTTTTTGCTGGACATTGACGAGATACAGAAACCAATGACGTGCTTCATCGTCAAGAACTGGCATAAATATCTAGCAACGAAACACTCACTATATGTTATAAACAGCGAATAAAAACAAATGCACTTTCGAAATTTAATGATAGAGGGACATTGACTAGACTAACCTTCTTGCATGCACTGACATTCGACATAAAGACCACGCCATCATTCATCAACTTGTTACGAATTTGTCTGGTCTTCATGTTAGCGCGTACCATTTTCTGCACCATGTTTTAGTTGAGATGAATTGACATGGTACAATATAAATAACTAGGTTATGACAAATAATTTGACATTACGGCTCTTACCGAAAACATATTTGGCAAATACCACACATTTGGCTCTTTCACATCATGTTTTTCAGACATTGTTAGTGCCCTTGCACACAAATCCACTACCTACCATCCAACAATCAAACACAAAATCATCATAAATCGTAACATAAATAGTGCATAATTCATACGAAAGTCGTAGTAGTATAGTACTTACTGATGAGCAAACCCAGCTATTCTCGCTAATGACCGAACTCAAATAATGTCGTTGCACGTTTTCAGAAAAAAAGTCCACAACGGTCAAACTGCAAAAATCAAAATAAAAGAAATGTCAATTGTGATTTGCAACGTACAGGTCGACCTGTTCACAGTCACGGTCGACCTTATTGGAAACGCGGTCGACCTCATAACCGATCCGGTCGACCACACGTACTAAAAAACGTCTTACTTGTCCCAATTCTTGTCCCCGGCCTTCTCTTTGGTAACAACATAATACAAGTCTTCAACTGGATTTTGAAAATTTTTGGTGAATCCTTCTAGACCCTCCACTTTCATGACCTACAAATCATAGTTAAAATTAAAGTAACATATGAACACAAACACACATTATATATGAATATGTAACGTAAACTTACCCCGTGCTTTTCGAAAGGACTCTTAGATTCTTCTTCATCGCTATCATCACTAAATAATTCTTTTCTTACAAATTGATCCTTCTGTGGAGTGGTGTAGGAGTCACTTTCATATCGCGGTCTCTTGTACTTAGGAGAGGAACCCTTGCTGCCATTCGTTGTTTCACTCTGTCAAACATATAAACAAAACAAATTAGCACTAATGATAGTAATACTAATATCTTCAATCACATATGAATATACTTGGATACTTTTAAAATGTGCACTTTCAATAAATCGTCTATGCTCTGGTAGCAATTTTCAGAGTCATCATGGTCTTCTTCCTCTTTACCAAAGTCAAATTTCTTTCCTTTATCATTTCTTCCGCCATTCTCCATTCGTTCTGCACTTATATCTTTGATAGCACCTTCTAGCCTCTCAAACCCGTCATGCATCATCCCAGTCATATCTGTCAGTCGAACTGACAATTGCTCCACTCTATCACACATGGACTTCTGAAAGTCATTGAGTTGTGTTTGACACACCACCAGCTTCTCTTGTGTGGCTTTCAACAATTTCATGATTTCACCCAAATCTTGATGCAGTTTCTCATCATGCGTCATTGTCTAAACAATTTCAAGAAAAATTTAAATCATAATTCAACTACAAATTTCTACAATTGACCAAAAAAAATACGTGGTCGACCTGACATAGTATTAGGTCGACTTGGAAGACATAGTGACTACCACAACCATTAAGGTCGACCTCTGTTATTCCTAGGTCGACCTATCCAGCATGAAAATAACAATTAACAACAAAAAGTAAGTTCAAAATTAAACCGAAAAAAGGATAGGTCGACCAGATATCTGGCGCGGTCGACCTTTTCAAGTACAACATAGTCATACAATCAAAGCCAAAGTGGACATTCAGGTTGAATAACCAAAAAAACAGGAACGGTCGACCTTGAAACCCATTAGGTCGACCAATTGGGTTACCTCGCAAGTACAGAAATCCAAGTGTTGTGGCCTAAATTCAAATACGCAGAATTGTCTCGTCAGGTCGACCTGGTTGACGTCACGGTCGACCGAATGGAATTCTGCACCCAACAATATATCAAATTAGCCGGTAGAAATCACGCATTAGAAAAGAAGACGACGAATGGTACATTAGGTCGACCTCACCTTAGACCTGGTCGACCACTTCCAACGCGTACAACAGCAACCGCGAACGATCTTCTTCACAAAGGCTCTTAATCGGAAAAAAACCTCATTCAGACTTGGAGGCGTTGAAGGGGACTAATATTCGTATTTATAGAGATTTAGGACGTCAATGGGTCGACCCAATTCGTTTCCTTGTCCAATTGTGGAACCTTTTTGGTGTTGGAATCCATATCCAATACGGATACGGTGTGAAGGCGGTCGACCTCTTCATAATGCGGTCGACCTGTTAGATGCACAAGGGTCGGCCTATGAGATATTTGGGTCGACCTTTCATTCTGTTAGACCACCAAAGCGGTCGACCGTATTATGTAAGAGGTCGACCGCGTCTTGAAACCCCACATACATGAATTAGTCCATTCGGTCGACCGCATGATGGATTAGGTCGACCGAAAAGTCCATGTCACGGTGACATGCATGTCACCGTAGCAAAATCCAAATGTATATTAAGGTCACCCATTGTTGAAGTTCAATTAGTAGTTGATCTTTTTCGTGGTTGCAAATATTTATTTAAACAAAATATCAAGCTAAAGGAACTAATTGAATATTAGAAAGAACGATTATTATATGGTAATGACACTTGCAAGTGGATGGATACAATAACAATACCATTACCGGCAACACAAATCCAAATCAAAACCAAGGCAGATACAAAGAAAGGAACTTTATTATTATTATTATTATTATTATTATTATTATTATGTATAAAACTGGCCGGTTTCTGGAGACTACTATTTGGCAGCCACCAGCTAGAGCCAGCCGCTCTTTCTTTCTTCCTCGTTCACAATTCCCTCTCCCATCTCCAATTCCTCCACCCGAAAGACACAGGTGAAAAGGAAAAAGCTAGTTCCTTTCTTCTCCCTTCTTTACGCTTTCCCTTTTTCACTTCCACGGAACCCCCAAAAAATGCCAACAAGCCAGCTTCCTACTCCATTTCTAAAACTGGGTTTTGGGTTTGCTCTGTTCTTTTAAGCGTTCTATTGGGTTCTTGTTCGTTGTAATTTGTCGACAAGATAAAGGGGTAAAGGATTGAACTTTATTGACAACGGAAACAGAACAGAAGGACGCAACAATGGCAAATCTGGGAGAGAATGGCAGCAGAGCTAGTGGCAGGGACTTGTATGGAGTTCTGGGTTTGCACAAGGAATGCTCTGCCACTGAGCTAAGGAATGCTAACAAAAGACTTGCTCTGGTTAGTCTTCTACCCTTTTCTTTCTGATCATGGTGTTGCATGCACGTGTAATTTGTCCCATTTAACTTAAATTCCAGCTTGATTATGAAAAGGGTTGATCAAAGGTTGAAACTTTCTGATGAAGTGTGTCAATCTGGGTGGTGGGTCAAACATTGTCTTACGATTTTGGCCTTTTGTTTAAATTTCCTGGGGATGAATTTTCAGAGATGGCATCCAGATCGTTGTTCAGGTTCAGGGAACTCGAAGCATGTTGAAGAAGCCAACAGCAAGTTCCAGGCAATTCAGCAAGCCTATTCTGGTACTTCCCTCCTCCTTCCTTAAAACCGTCTTAATCATTAATAAAGTTGTGCTCTCTGGACACCAGAATTGTGCTCTCCATACGTCACATCATGTTGGCAACTTGAATTATATTAAAAAAATTAGGGGTTTGACAATAGAAAGTTGGGGGAATTCTGGTGGGTTCTTCTTTGTCTGGTTCTGTCTTCTGCATGTTTTCTCTGCCCAAATTCCCAACTCTTCTATTTTGTTACTTTGTTTAATAAACACAGTTCTGTCTGATGCCAACAAGAGGTTCCTATACGACGTCGGAGCCTACAACAGTGATGATGATGATGACCAAGATGTAATAATCTCCTTGAGGTTTCATGCTTCAGTTCTTGTGTGCTCCTTGTAAACATAAAGGAAGCCTTTTGGTTTGCTTTGTTTTGATTTGTTTTCAGCTAGAAAGATCGACTCTTAGCCATTGATTATGGTGTTATGTGCAGGGAATGGGTGATTTCCTGAATGAAATGGCTGTCATGATGAGCCAAACGGAGCCTACTCATGATGTAAGCCTCCTCAGTCTCTTTCATTGACAGAATCCCAATTGTAAATTTTCTTCACCATATTAGCACAAGTTCAGGACTTGCTTCAACCACGGCTTTAGCATATTGATTGACTTCTCCTTTGGAAATGTGTGAGAAATGGCAGGAGAGTGGGGAAGAGAGTTTTGAACGGCTGCAAGATTTATTCAATGAAATGTTCCAAGGTGACACTGAGTCACCATTTGGAGCTTCTTCCTCCCTGGACGGTTCCTCGTCATCATCAACGTCCTCGTCGGCTTCCTACACTTCCTACTTCCAGAGCTCCGACTTGCCTTATGCAAGCAGCAATCCTGAGCTCAAGATGCGCAATAATGACATGAAACATTCACTTAACCAAGCTTCTCACTTTCAGAACTTCTCTCTAGGGGTAAGCTACCACACTTGTCTTTCGTGGCCGCTCTATAGAACTATTGATGCACACTGAATGACTGCATGATTTGGTTCTAGAGTTGGAATTCCTGGTAGCTTAAGCTAGACCATGCTTGAAGTGATGCAGAATGTGAGTGTTGAGTCACTAATTTGGATGTGTGTTGCCGAATAAATGGGCACTTCTGTATTCACATTGTATTCAAATATAGTTCATGTCCTTCAGGAATTGAGGTTATTGCCCTCCATGAGCCCCAAGCATCAAGGTACTTGTGCCTATGAGTTCGTGGAAGGAAGAGAACTAATATTCCTCTGCCATAAAAACATGTTCAATTCAAGTGTAGTCTTCGGAATGAGGAGCTTGCATTGTTTCCAGTTCACATGCTTAATACGAAAACTGAAGTATGATTGGGCATCTTAACTTAAACGATTAACACAAACGTGACATTCGGCTTCATGTTAATGAAGACAGGTGGAAAATCGGAAGGATTTCAAAAAGGGGAAGCCAGCAAAAGGAGGAGGAATTCAGGGAGAGCTCGGCGGTGGAAGGAGAAAGCAAGGTAGGAAACATAATATGTCATCGTTTGGGCGTGCGTCCAGTGACGACATCATGTACATGCTTGGCAAATGATGGTGAGCTGCAGCAACTTGATCGATTCAGCCTGCTGCAATGGCTGGTCCAAACTATGGAGCTGGGAGGCCTAACCTAATATGCACACAAGGTGACGATGCAGGAGCGAAATAGCAAGACGAAAGAAGGGATTCAGCAATAGAGGAAAGGGTTGTCTTGTAAAGAAAAAGATGAGTATTGCCTGTCTGGAAAATGCTGCTGCAGATCTTGTGTGCCTCCACCTTGTCTAAGTTGTAGAAGTGGCCCTTGAAGCCTACTGATGGATTTTTTTTTATTTATGCTCCTTGGTGTCAAAGTAGATGGAAAGGAATGATCTTTTCCTTGGCAGCATTTCTGCCAATGCTTTCTTTAGCATTTTGTTGGGTTCAAACTTCAAATGGAGGTAGGAACAGTGGGATTCAAGTCTAATGAACTCAATCAATCACATAGGTGTCAAAACATAGCCCGACCCGATTAACCCGCCCGATCAATCCGATCTGCAATCCGATCGCAACCCGAATTGACTAAAAGTCAACAACCCGTAACCCGCCCGACCCGTAACCCGATTGACCCGCAACCCAACTAACCCGCAACCCGACTAACCCGCAACCCGATTAACCCGAACCCGATTGACCCGCAACCCGATTGACCCGCAACTCGATTAACCCGAACCCGATTGACCCGAACCCGACTAACACGTAATCCGACCGACTCAACCCGAATTTCATCTAATCCACTTGAATAATTAGAAAAATATACAATACATAGTTATTCAAAATAAAGTTTTTCATTCTAAACTTAAGTAAAACTATTTTTTCATTTCGTATAAGAAATTTTAAAAATATGAAACTCACTTGATATTACATATTTTAAGAAAATTACAAAAATTGAAACATGAAGGTCACTTGAGATCATGACAATATTAATATAATATATAAATTAAATTTTTTGTTAATTTAACTATTCAATAAAATTATCAATTAAATAAAGTAAAGTAATGTATTTGGTAACTTGATGTTTTTAAAAGAAGAGGAAATTTTGGTGTATTCAAGTTTTTGGAAAGAGAAAGAAGAGATAAATTTGGTTGTTTGAATTTCTTAGAAAAGAAACAAGTGGGAATTTTAGTGGTTTTGATATGTGGGAAGAGAAAGAAGTGGGAAAGTTTGATTCTTTTGATTATGAAAGAGAAATAAGGAGGGAAACTTTTGACTTTTCAACTTTTTGTAGAAGGAAAGAAGAGGATAATTTGGTTCTTCAATTTTATGGAAGAGAAAGAGGAGGGTGTTTTAACTACACATGCAAAAATTGGACCTATTTGCAACTTGAAAAGTTTAGGTACCAAAATGTAAGACCAAAAAAATTTAGGTACCAAAACGTAATATTCCATCGATATTTTGAGGACTTATATGCAAAAAAAATTAAATTTAGGTACTAGATATGCATATCTATTAAGTTTGGGTACCAAACTGTAATTTGTATTTGGGCATGGGTACAAACCCAAATCCATTTGATATAAACCCAACTCAACCCAAAGTAAATGGGTATGGGTACAAACCCATCAAACTCTACCCATATCCATCTATTTGGATTTCATACCCAACTCAATTGGGTTGGATAGTAAGAAACCCATGGGTATGGGCAAAGTTGCCATCCGTAAACAGAAGGTAGAAAGAGGGAAAGAGGGTTAATTTTGGTGGAACAAAAAAGTGGCGGTCAGAACCAAAATTTTGGAGCCAAAAACAATTGGAAGTGGCGGGTTAATTTTGGTGTTGTTCTCATTAAAGCAAATTTTTTGGAGTCAAAAGAATTTTTGGAGGCAAAGCAATTTTTTGGATAAAACAAATTCTCCCTTATTTTTTAAAGATAAAGATATTGTTTGGTAATAAATGCATTTCATAAGTTATAGAAAATTCATTTTGAAATTAAATCTTTTTGTGTTCAGTATTTATAATAATTAATTTTCAATTCAATCTTTTGAATTCTACAAAATTAAAAGTAGTTATATCAATTTCGAGTAATTGAGATGAAATTTTCAAATGAATTTCACAAGGATTTACTAATTATAATAGAATGACATAATTATCCCCATTTAATAGCTAAATTACTTCTACATAAATTATTTGACGCCAATTAATACCGTAAGATGAACGTCGATAAGAATTTGATTGCATCGCTAGTAGCATATACTAGTTATTTGATATTTCTGCTTTGATAGTATCATTATGTTGACAAGTCACAACTAGATTGCATGGTTCATGGACGAAATATTAGAAAAGAACTAATTAATAGAATACAAACACACAAGAACACTTGTGATATTCTGCGTATGGGACAAGAGACGTTTTTTAGAAGATCGGTTTTCATTGAATACTTTTTCGGTCAGAAGTTAATAAGGGTGTAGTTGAAAACTTTTAACTGTATTCACGGTAAATGAAGAATACATAACAGTTAAATTAATTACCGTGATTAGAACTATACAATCAAATACGGGAATTTTTACCGTGACTATTAACATACTTTTTAGTACGGGAATAATTACCGTGAATAAGTTACCGTGACTAGAAACCAATTTTCCTGTAGTGCAATGACATATGGTTAGGGTATAAGTTATGTGGTTAGTGTATAATGTATTGATGGTTTAGGGTAGACAATTAACAACATATACTAACTTAATATTGTTGATTGAGGGTAAAGCTAAGTGTATAGGATATATGCTATTGAGTAAGTTATGATTGAAGTCACAATAATTTTACTATATTTGATAGCTAATCTTTAATGGTTCAATTTTTAGGATAATTCGAACAATTTTACAAATAACTCGTTTGGCAACAATTTACTAAAGTTATTTGGGCAATGAGTTATTTTGAAATAACTCCTTTTATCACTATGCTTTTGCCAAATACCACACGCCAAATACCAGATTTGCATGGTTATACTAAACGAGATACTTTAATCCAATTACTATTGAATTAATACTAAAATATCAAATAAACAATTAACGGTGTCTTTTGGTTGCAAATATTGATATCACCATTACTATTAGCTATAATACTTTGCCAATTATGATTAATTACATAACAAGTTTGCAAGTCATACAAATTGATTTAACATTTTGACTAGTTTTTTTCAAAAAAATAAAGTATATATATACGAGGTAGAAATAAATTGGTTAAAAAGTTGAGAAAATATTTCAAATTAGTGTAATAAAATGTGTAAGTTGGTAATGAGTAATGAGTTAATTTACTTGATGCGCTGGCCCGAACAACCCGAAACCCGACCCGCCCGCAACCCGTCCGACCCAAAACCCGATGAACCCGCAATCCGATTGAATCCGAACCCGCAACCCGACTAACCCGCAACCCGTTTGAACCCGAACCCGATGAACCCGAACCCGATGAACCCGCAACCCGACTAACCCGCAACCCGTTTGAACCCGAACTCGATTGAACCCAGCCAGAACCCGCCCGATTGACACCTATAGGTAGAAGGAGATATTCAGTAACTCATTGAGATGATGATCATGGTTCGATTTGGTCTGATACTAGCCATGAATGTGGGGCAAATTATCATCAATCATCCCACTTTTAAAGTTGATGAGGATCAGGTTATCAATACCACACTTTAAAGAAGAACTCAAATGATGGAACCCAAAAAAATAAAATTACCCAAGAAAGGGATCCGATGGAAGTTTGTACACAATGGATTAGTTCTATAATGTATTTGGGGTTCCTATGTGCATGCATCTTAGTATAATAATATGAACTTTCCCTACATGGAAGGAAGAGAAGAGAGAGCCAAGTAAGTAGGGAAGAAACTAATTCCTCTGACCTGCTGAGTGCTGACTGCAGCTGCCAGCTAGCTCTCATATATTTTTTGATAATGAGCTAGCTCTCATATATATGAAAAGCATCACTTGTCACGTTAGGTTAGGTGATAGAACACGTAAGACTAGTTCATTTACGTCATTTTATATTTATTCATGCTATTTTATGTTCGTTCACGTAATACTATGGTGATTTACGTAAGAGTGTAAGTTTTTCACGTAAATGGAAATTTATACTTTTTCTCCCTAATAATTTGTATTGGCTATATTTTATGAAATTAAATTTGGATTATCATTTAATCTGTAAAAATATGTTGCATTGATCATAATCTACACAATGACATCATTTTTTATATATTTCAAAGTTTAAAATTTTATTTTACAACGTGAATAATTAACAATGTGCATGAATAAACATCAGGTGGGGTGACCTAACAGTATTGGTTGCGTGAATAATCAACACTCTTACGTAAATAACACAAATATGACGTGAATGACACAAATATGACGTAAATAACGCAAATATGGTGTGAATAACCCAAAATTAGGTGTTTTGTCACCTAACGTGACAAGAGACTGCACTCCTCATATATAATACCACACTTCTACATGACTTCTAGGTGTCATATTCTATTCCTATGACTAATTTCTCAGTTCTCACGAGCTCCTTCTCTCTGAGTTCCCAGACCAGGTCATCATAGCATTTCGTAGAAGACTGAGCTTGCGTATCTTTAGTATTTTTATTATTAGTTTGTACTCAAATATTATTTAGGTACTTTTGGTATTATTTATTTATGTTACTTGTTTGCGTTGGATTAAGATTTTTAGTACGTATGTGTTTAGGATTTGAAATTTGTTACTTTGTAGAATAGGTTTCATATTTTGGTTAGGAAAGGAAAAAAAGGCGCCGACCTAGTAGGAAAAGGAGAAGGGATTGCAGGATTTCCTAGCCTATAAATATGTAATCATTCTCTGGATTAATGCATACGAATATTGAACCCAAATATTTAGCTTTTGTTCTTTTATTCGCTATTTTCTTTGTTATTTCCTTTGAGAATTCTTGTTTTAGTCTTTTATTCTGTTCGACTAGTAAAAACGTCATCCCCCACGTCACATCACCATAACAGTTGGTATCAAAGCCCAATTCTTAGGAAGACGAGTAAGCAACCAACGAAGTCCATGGTTACCAGCAACATCGAAGGGTCAGAACCCGACCCTCTTCACCCACGGTTGCACGCATTGGAGGAACGGCTCGAAAGCTTTGAGGGTCGTATGACTCCTTTGGTCGAGCGGGTCAAAACCCTAGACTACAAAGTCAACTACATCACTAGGATGATGGCAGAGGGTTTCGCGGAAACAGAGGCGAGGAACGAGCAGTGATTCTTTCCATTGAAGGATTTGGTGCGTACCATCGCCACCCAGAACATCATAGCGGATCGATAGCTGGAGGCGATGGCCGACTCCGACGGACGAAGCAGCAGTGCTACCGCAACTCTGATCGCGGCTCGAGCTCACGAATGAACACCTGCAACGCATCAGAGAAAATGAAAGGGCCTTTGATCGATGAAGAAGAGGCGACATCAATCCCAAGCCGCCGTTCGTGGTGGGATTGTCGATGGGAGGCGGTAGCGGAATTACATGACTAAGTGAATCTCAACCCTTTGTTTAAGTTTTAATCTAGTGGTTGTAATTAATTTCATTTAATGAAGGGTAAGGTAGTAATTACACAAGTTATTTCTTATTTTTCGAGAAAGTGTAACAAAGAACTGAAAGAGCATCGGTCTTTCACCTACTTAAAAGATCTTTGTTTTGCACCTTGCGCCGATCACCATCCTTCTAAAACATTTATGTTGACCTTTCCCGAGTAAATCAAGCAAGATCATGTAGAATTAGGACGACCCTAGCCACTAGAAACCCGGCTCCTAGGAAACATATCAAGTGTGGGGAATTTAGATGCCTCGATTAGCATGATTTAATCGTATGTTTGTTTGGGGACAAACAAACGCTTTAGTGTGGGGAATTGATAACACCTAAAAGAGGTGTTATTTGGCTCTCATTCTTGAGGCATTTGCATGCTAAATCACCATGTCTAGGCCACATATCAAGTTAGTTTAGGTCTATTTTCGCTTCTAATTGAAAAACATCCATTTTGGCATGGGTTAGCTTGATGTGAAGGTTTTTATGGGGAAATCAACTCCACTTTGTCGTATTTTATGCTTTTCCAGTATTTGTGATGAATTTTCAGAACTTATATTCATCTAGGATCAATCGGGAATCAATTAGAGTTCATCCGAGCACTATTAGGAAGCATAGGAGTAAGAAGGGAAGAAAAAGCACAAGTTACGGCCACGTCACGACCGTGACCAGGTGATGACCATGTTCGCAGTAGCCTAGAACTTCAGCAGACAGCCAACAAAAGTAGAAAGTTTTGACACTTGAATCGCAGCCAAGGAGCTTTTCGACCGCGATAAAAATCGCGGCCGTGATCTCACGATGGAGGCCACAATCTCAGAACTTGAAGCCGATGTCAAGACGCGAAGTTTCGGGAGGTTCGGCCCCGTTTCACCCCAATCACGGCTTGGTCATCCTCGCGACCATTGGGTCACACCCTTTAGGTTGTGATCTATGCATGACACTATAAATACCCCTTCTTCTGTACTTGACGAAGGAGAGTCGACTAGAGTGAGAAAATTTGGGTTTTGTGCAGTTTTTAGAGAGGGAAACAGTTTGGGAGAGTTTGGTAAAGGTCCAATCCATCCAAAGATCAAGGAAGAAGGTGCAATCCAAGGAGAAGAAGATGATTTTCAACACTTCCCCTCTATGACTTGTATCTCTAAGGTTGTTTAGGGAAGATGAATCCTAGCTTATAGTTTGTGTATGAGTCATATATAAGCATGATTATGAACCTATTTATCTATGTTTGTTGATTTTTATGCATAATATTGCTTGATTTTGATTGATTTGTTCTTAACCTAGGTGATAGTTTCATCACCGTAGGTCAAGAGTGCTTTAGACATCAATAAGTGTTGGATTGTTTGTATCTTATTTGTCTTAGTTGCAACCTAGATTATAGGGAATTATCATTGTCTTGCATATGAATTCATGGTATAATTGAGTTTGACAGGGTACTTAATGCTTCTAATTAGGGTTTAGATGTGTGAATGCCTCTTACCCCGATTGGATGACCTAGAGGGTTATCTTGAGGTCGAGGTGATCATCCTCTGTTAGTTAGATTCTCACCTAGTTGATGCTTGTCTATTAAATGTGTTACCATCGACCTGCCCGACTTGTGTGCGGACGGATTTAAGTCGTTTAGAGGAGGTAGAACCCATCACTAGTTAGGTAAATCGGTTGAGGTGACATTGGATTGGCTATCCTAGCTAGGAGGGGGCCGATTGCATGACCATTGAATCAATCCTCATCTTCGTGACCTCCGCACCTCAAGATACCATTAGATTATCGCCCGTAACAACCTTTAGCTAGAGGGAATCGTCCGTAATAACCTATAGAAGGAATCAACCATAGCGAAAGGATAATCTTGCTTAATTGATAGATGAAAAAACACGAGTTAAGAAAAAAACATACATAAGAGATGGAACCCCCCACCCCCAGCCCCAAGGTAAGTCCTGGTGAAAGGAAATTTGTCTAATCGACAACTAAAAAATGTGAATTAATGAGGAAAGAAATGTTTAAATGTAAGCCTTAACAAGTCATACTCATATGATGTACTCTCCCACACTCCATCATTCAGACCATTTAAGCAAATTTTTGTTATTTATATATGAATGATAATAATCTTATTAGGGTGACTAGTCTTAAGGTGTCGGATTTTGAATTTTAATTTGTAGAATTAGTGTAATATGATGATATAACATATGATGACAACTAATTAACGGATTGCTCTAAGCCCTAGACCTCCAATTTTGAGTTCTATCCATAAACCCTAACCCAAACCCTAAATCTCTAAACTCATAAATCCTTCAAATTAAAGTAAATCTTTAATGGTTTTTGTGCAAATTCATGTGCTTTATTGTTCATCATATCATAAGTGATGATTGACATCATTTTGACATGAATCGCATATTTAAAATAATGTTATGAAGCAATTGTACTGAATACACTCAAAAAAATGATTAATTGAATCATGCTGTAGCCTGCTGTCCATTGCTACTTTCTCTGTTTTATTTTTTTTTAGTTCTTTTTCACCAATGCGAAATGACTGCGAAGCCATTTCCACCACTTCCTTTTAATCTCATTCCAGACCTCAGGGTTCCTAAATGGTTGGCCTGTTTCTGCAACATGATGTCAAAAGCGAGTTTCTATGTAGAAATGTTTTGATGTAGAAGCGTAAAATCGTAAGTTTTAAAGTGGAGTTTTTAACTATATAAGTTATAAAAACTGAGATTTTATGTAGAAGCGTTTTAGTGACATAAAAATGTAAAATCGTAATAAGTTTTAAAACGCAATTTTGACTACATTGAACACGATAGCCCTCTTTGTGTTCTTTTGTTCTTTGGAATTATCTGTGAATGATAAGCATAATCATCGTTGTCATTGAATTGAATAGACTTTGTTCCATTAGATGAAAGTTACATCATAGTACTGCCACAATCCAACGACTTAGGGGTCGTTTGGAAGTTGCGATTGTCAAATAGATGTATTGTTGAGAATGCATGTATAATATTATACATATATAGTCGAATTTGATGCATTGTAGAATACAACGTTTGGTATGTGTGATTGTTTATGTCGCATCAGCTAAAAGCTGAGACAAAACAATCTCAACTCAACTATCTCAACAATCACAACTAAAAGTTGAGATATAACAATCACTCAAAATGAGTGATAGTTTATGTCACATCACAAAAACAATTCATGTATTGTTTCTGCTAAAAAAACAAAAAAACAACAAAAAACAATGCATTGTAAACAATACATGCATAATGACAATCTCAACAAAACAATCGCAACTTCCAAACGACCCCTTAATTTCGAACGTTTATCAAAGCATTTACTCCGAAAGTTATGTGATTTGATGCTTAAAATGCAACCATCAAAGTCAATATAGTTATTATCTAAACACAGTTTACAAACTCATATACATCTGACGTTGGTCACACAAAGGCTGAACAAAAAAAAACTGATAATGAAATCATGACAGTTGGAAAAAACGTAGGAAAAGAATGCTCCTAAAAAGGCTGTCAAAAACTGCCAAACAGGTGGCGATCTCTTGTTCAGATTACAATTTACAACATATTTCACCTCCAAAAAAGAGCATTTCTTTCCCTCTGCATCACCCATCCTGCGTTGTTTTATCATTACCCAACCATTCATTCTTTACACCATATTTGCTTGATCAAGGTTCTCCCAGGCTGGCACCAATGGCTGCCTTATTGACGTGACTTTGAATCCCCTCCCTTGCTCCGAAAGTTTGAAAGCGAAAAGAAAGATCTTGGAGCTGCAACAATTGTGGGTTCGCAGATTAGTAGGTTTACCAAACCTTCTATAAGGACTTATAAGCTCAGCCTTGAGTTTAGCTAACACCACTACTAAGCATCACAGATTACATTAGCTCGGATCGTATGGAAGTCCCGATTAGGGATGACAATCAAACTCACGATCGCGAGTATCCGTCCGCCCCCGAGTCCCGACCCAGTTAACACAGGCAATCCCCGCATTGACTGAGTAAGGGGCGAGTACAGATAAAATCCGCAAAAAGTTTGATGGGTATGGGACGGGTATATGATTTTAGCCTCCCCATACCCACCCCACCAAGAGCATTTCTTCACATATTACAAAATACATGGATCAAATCGTAACCTATCAATGATAGTAGGGTAACTCGAGAAAATAAATAGTAGAAATTAAATTGAAAATTTGCACGTCAAATTTGAGGTATAATAGGTTGTTTATGATATAGTAGGTTCGTTTAGTGTTATAATTGAAAATTTGCACTTCAAATTTTAGGTATAATTGCTACCTCTAGCCTAGCCACAATCGTGCTAATCTCTATGTGGAATCCTAATGGGCAAGGCAAAGTCTCTGTAGAACAAAGCCCAACGTGGGATTTGGTCAAAGTTCCCTTATTGACGGAAGGACAAATCACAAGCAAAGAAGTACAGCAGAAAAATATGTCACCTTTGATTGCGCTTCCAGAAACATGATCATCCCTCAATTTGAAGTTGGCAGGAGGTGCTGGAATGGAGGTATGCAGAGCTTGAACTGAAAAACAAATAAAGAAAAAATCACCTCATGCTCCATGATTGGCAAGAACCGAAATTTGAAAGTAAAAGAAGGAAACTAGGGAGAAACAGAAGAGAGCCTTTACAAAGATAGCCATGTGACTCAGAAAAGAAACACCCCATCACTATATACATAACTCATGTACAAACTTCAAGGCATGAAAAATTCACTATTCTACGGTTATATTCCTGATGCAAGTCACCTCCATCCACTTTCCGACCGAACTCTTAAGATACATAGTAGTAACATGGGGGTTTCCCCAAGATAGGAAAATCAGTTCTTCTTTTTGGTGGGAATAGGAAAATCTGTCCATCACATATGCAGCCCAACTTTCAAGCACACAGAAAGACAGAAATGTAAACATGTATACAGCACCAGCTAAACATGAAAAAAGACTGTAAGTTACCTTGCTCATTGAATAATTCTCCATCATTAAAGCCGTCATCAGAAGGATGGCCATGTGAGAATCCCATCCTCGACTTCCTCAAGTCTTCCGACGACCGACTGGCTGGATCTCGCCCATCTTCTGTATCATCATCTCCTTCAGAAGTAGTTGCAGAAATCCAGTCAGCCAAAGTCTCGCCACGGCTTTTCCTTCCGAACTTTATCAACCTTTTGAAACCTCTTGTTGCATCTTTTCGGGAGTGGTTATGTGATGAACTAACAAGAACAGGTTTCTGAGCACTTCCCCACTTCTTTCTCATTCGAGCAGCAGCATCTGCTTCTGCTTGAGATAGGGAGTGAGAGTTCCATGATGCGGGGCTCCCCATTGGAGAATCCACAATAGCATCAACATCTGAGGTCTCGTGTTGATAAGAAAACGGGTGCATGTTCCACGAGACAGGGCTTTCTGCTGGTGAATCTTCTACAGTAGTGAATGCTGAAGGCACTGACGCAGGCAATTCAGCAACTGATGAAAAACTGACCTGAGATCTTTGAGGGTCACTGTTGTCTGATTCTGACATAACCATCTTCTCAGATTCCTGACTCTGTCTCGACTTACCATTACTATCAACATTCGTACAATCTTCCACCTCAGTTGTTTCGAGCTCCTCTTCTCCTACATCCCTAATCACGTCAGAACTATCCTCCATTTCGAAAGCAGAATCTTCAAATTCGTCTTCACTTCTCAAAGCCTCAGAGACAGCTGATGATGCTTTCATTTTTGCCATACCTGGTCCCGCATCTGGACCTATCCCATTTCCCTTCTTCAAGAAGGTCTTTGACTCGGTCTGATTTTTATCAGATTTCAATGATGCCAAAACAGTTGCATCGGTTGTGAGAGATAAATCCTTGAACTCGGGAGGACCAGCAGTACTTTTCCTCAATGGCTGAGAACGTCTCGACTTATTGTCTTCTTTTGTGAGTGGTACATCTTCTCCGTTGCTCTTGCTGCGAGAGTAGCTTCTCGCCTGAGAACGGTTTGTGGTCTTGCCAGCTCCAGGAAATGGCTTTGTGTTCTCTTTCCTGAATTCTGAGAAGTTTGGAACTGATTGTGCTAGATGATTTTCCGATGGTGTCCTTCGCTTTCCAGAACTCGGGTTGGAACTTTTCACTGCTGACCGTGGAACAGGTGCTGCTGCAGCTGTCCGAGGAGTTGACGAAGACATATTCCGGGTTGATGTGAACTTCTTGTTCTGATCAGCTGCCTCAGTAAATGATTTGTCTTGTCCATAAAACTGCTCTGAATAGTCCGGGAGATCTTCATCCTCATCGCTTTGGATTAAGTTGACAGGCAGCTGCCAAAAAGTGAATCTCATTCAGTGAGAAGGGTACAAGTCTTGGTGATACAAGAAAGGTACAGACCATTAGGCAAAGCAGGCAACAGTAGGGAAAAAGGTCAACACTCATAAAAGTTCTCAGCATCAGCGCTCCCCAACACTCATAAAAGTTCTCAGCATCAGCGCCCCCCCCCCCCCCCCCCCCCCCCCCCCCCCCCCCCCCCCCCCCCCCCCCCCCCCCCCCCCCCCCCCCCCCCCCCCCCCCCCCCCCACTATTGAATAGACAGATTCATTATACCTGCTGTTTCTTCGCGCTCGAATGAACAGAGAATGATCTCAGTTTCTCAGTACGTCGACGAGCACGTGAATCCTGCTTATCAGCAGATGCTGAAAATTTAGATTTCATCTCGGCCTTGCTTCGATCAAGGTTATCATGCATAGCCTTCATCTTAGCTTCCTTCTCTTCCCTTTTGGTAACCCACTCTTCTCTTAGTTTTGCATCCCTCTTCTTCATGTACATTTCATAGAACTTTCCTCTAGAATCCTCAGAAAAACTTAGGTCAGAGAAATTCCTTCTCAATGAGCTGCTGTAGTCCGGTTGATCTAACATTTTTGTAGGCAGTGTGTTGAACTCTACTGTATCACTTTTTCCAATTGCTTCAAGCTCCACTTTCTTGATCTGAAAATGCATGAGAGAACTCTCCACTGCTGCTGCTGATGTTTTGTGAACCAAACTCGCTGTCTGTTGATCAACCTGTATCTCCATAGGCTTGTTTCTCCTATTGCAGCTTGAATGATCCCCTGGAACACGAAGTTTATGTTCTGCGAAAAGCTTTTCAAGTTCGTTTGCCTTCATTTTCAGCTCATCATTCAGCTCCTAATTTCCCTTTGATTGTCTTACCCTTTGAAATTGCTCAATAGATGATGCTTGGGCAGTAAGGTGACTTCCCTGCAAATCCAGCATTCTTTTACCTAAATTAACTGGCTTGCTGCTTCCAAAAGGAACAGCACTCTCATCATTCCTATCCCGCCCAATAGAAACTGACTTTTGCATCTTCACTATTGTTGGTGCTTCAAGGTTTCCCCCCTTTGTTGATTCCCTCCCAGAAAATGCAACAGTCTTCTTCCCTGCTGGCTCGGCTTCACTGTTAAAGGATCTACACTGAGACTGAGATGCAGACTGATCGCCTCCAACCTCTTTATGTAGAAAGTTCTTCGGTCTCCCACCTAAGCCACCTTCAAACTGCCCTGAAAGAGATCTACCATGATTCCTAGGCCGTGAATGATTTGGGAGATGATCTCTTACCTCAATGTCTTCAACTCTCTTCCCAAATTCACCATCTGGGACCCTAAGCCACGAATGATTTGGCTTGCCTTCAATCAGCACAGGATCCTTATCTCCGCCCAAACTGTCTTCCTTACCCGATGTGACCACAGATCTCTCCTCCCGAAAGCCTAGATTCCCCGCTCCAGCCTGAGATACCCCTTGTTCTGTCCAGTTAACTTTATCATCCTTCAACTCTAACTCAGGGCCCTTCCCTTCAACACTAGTTGTCTGCGACTCACCCTGACCTTTCAACCCAAAGGCAGAGCTGGGATCAGGTAAACCTTTCAAGTCCTTGCTATTATCCTCGGATGAGAAAGAAAAGGCAGTAGCTTTGGCTTGGGAGGCAGCAGATGATGAAGAGGGTGTACATAATGGGCTATCTGTGTTGCTTCCATCTTTTTTTTCGTTGCCTATATCTATGCTCATATCACTAGCTCCACTCCATCTCCTCAGCACAGCCTTTTCAGCTGCAGATACAGATGACACATCAGAGGATAATCTCCTTAACTCTGCAGATTTCCCCACAGATATTGACTTGCTACCAGAGTTTTCCTTCTGCTTGTTCTCAAACAGGTTAATCCTGTCTTGAACACTTAGCCGCCTGGAAGATTGGCTTGGTAGTCCAGGTGATGATTCAGCAACAGCTCCTTCCTTCTCTTTATTCTGCTGTTCAGGAAGGGAGAAAGATGTATGTTCTCTAGTTTGAGGTTGGATAGTTGCGTCCAGGCTTCTTTGTTCTTGACCTGCAAGGGGTTTCCCTTGGAAAGAAGGTTGGTGGGACCCACATGGGTCTTCATTGGAGTAATCAATTGACATGTCTGATCCCCATGATGACCGGACAGCTTGATCCTCGACACGTAGCTTCCATTGACTGATCAAATCAACTCGTCTCTGGCACAGTGAGATATATTTGGTACAAGCTTCACTGCAGACAGCACACAACAAAAAGTTTAGTGATGTCTGAAGAAGAAAATAAAGAAAAGGGATGCCATACAGCATGAAAAAGTTCTATTCTATTTAAGTAAGATTTAAGAAAATAAATGCAGAGGGAAAATGTGGTAGGAAGTACAGGGAAATTGGACCCTTCAACCAAAGAAAACAGCCTATTAACTAACAGCAACCTATCACAAGTCGACATCCAGACATTGGAGGAGAAGACATTAAGATCGAATTATGTTTTATTAGCTTTATTATTTTGCCATTTTCCATTTTGGGACCATTTGAAGAAATCTGAATAATCTGATCAAGTATATAAAAGATAAGTTAAGCAATTGCAGGTTGATCAAAAGGCTAGTGCATGCTCTTCTAGCTTTAAACTCGAAAAAGGAAGCAGATTTGAGCAAGGCACGAATAAATGAGGCGTAGACAACTTCTGCGACATTCCCAAGAGTCACCAAAGCACTCACTTAAGACGATAAGCCCCAAAGCATTCTGCAAAGAGCTGGAGTTCCAATATACTTTCAGGGTAGAAACCAGCAGCTAAAGCACGAGCACAGGCTGTAACTAAATCCTTCCTAACCGCACTCAACCGAACATCTATTGCCCTCAGAAGCTCTTTCCTGCAGAAATGGCAGTTAGGAAACCCATCTCAGTTAATACAATAACAAAAACAGCTCCAATTTTATAGCAAGTGCATGAAAAGTAACTTAAAGTAAACACTGATGTTCATGATTACACCTGTCGACATCAAGTGAACATGTTCAAACCTACATGGTATTTACGAACAATCACGACGAAGAAACATAAATTCCAGCACAGCTGAAATCCACACTTTGTTAAAATGAAAAACAGGAAAATGGGATAGGGAGACATACTTTGTTGCATCAGCTCCTCCCAAGGAGCCTGTACCATCCTCACCTGGACAGTTATCCAATTAACCAGTAAGCGTACAAGTAACAGCACATAACCAAAACAAAATTTATATATATTGTGCAAGAGAAATTCAGTGTAAATTAAGATGCCTACAGGCCCAAAGCTAAGGATGCAAACATAGTAAGAGACACCTAGTATTTATTTCTCAGCTACAAAGTAGATGTGATTGATACGAACATGAAAAACACATTGAAGTTCCTGTGATGACAAAGACCCCTAATCTTACTTTTCCCCCATTTTATATCAATACCACGGCCTTTCCACACCAAGCTTCAGATTTGATGAATTATCAGCCCCCAGGAACATCATTGTGTGGCACTATGGCTGACAGGGAGACTAATATGTTCTTGTCACAAAGTTCCATATGGCTAGACCACCCTGCGCCTATTGGTTTTCACCCCTTTAATGAAAACCTCTGCAGAGGCACTCAAGGGCTGCCCTATTCTCAACTCTTCCCAAGACATTGCTAATCTCAAGCAAGCAACATTGCAACTGAAACACAAAAATGATTCAAGTTCTCAAAACACAATTCTAATCCCAAGGCCAGTACCATCTTCAGACCAATGCCACGAAATATTGACCAGCAAACACTTCCAAGTAGTTCCAACCACCAAACCCCTTCCATCTCTTGTGAGACATTTTCTTTTCTTCCTGATTAATCCGTCTCGCTTGAGTTGCAACCAGGCATACCTTATCCCTATCAACAAATCGAATAGAAGCCAAAGACTGCACACAGGGATATTCAATAGGAGATCCTGATCCCACTTTTCCATTGTATCATACATTTATAAAATAAGCTTATGGCAAAAACATTTGAAACTACATTAGATCCTCTCATTACAACCACCATAAAGGAGAGCACTTTAAGAAACCCCCTAATTAGAAACATCGTGGAAAGAAACAAGCTTAAGCATTTGAAACTACATTAAATTCGTTCATTAGAAACATCATAAAGGAGACTGCTTTAAGCAGTCCACTAATTGTTTCTCGTCAGGGGAAGAAATAAGCATACCTGGCTACAAAACAGCTTTCAGCCAGATCAGACCATATTGCACCTAAACCAGACTCTTTCCTAATGTAGCAACATTTCCACATGCTTTTCTACCAAAAAAAAAAACATTTCCACATGCTTCTATTTAGCTGAAAATCGCAAGTTATGGATTTTCACACCTATTGGCTATTGCAACCCAACCATTACATTTGAAATGAAAAGAATAAGATGAATTAACATTTTATTATTGTGGATAAGCAGTAACATAATTCATGAGCTTGAAATTACTCAAGAAACATGGCATTTTTGTTTCTTTAACAAAGTCAAAATTATCTTCAGGGAATTAGATTGCCAATAACAGAAGAACACACCTGAACTAGAAACCTGGCCTCCAATCCCCTGAACGAGAAAGTACGAAATCGGTGAAAAGGCCCATTTACCTATACCAAAAACAATCTGCAAGACCAAATGGTAGTTATTACCTGAGAGTATATTTTCCGAGCTCCTTCCAATTGGGACATCTCAGCATCAAATGTGTTCACCATCTCCAAAACCTCGGGTGTGCTGACAAACCGCACAAACCTGAAAAAGAAAAGAATGTAAATAATATCAAATGTTGAATGCAACAAGAGAAGAATTGGCATAATCAACAACAACGAAGATTAGGTCTGCAGGTAAACCTCTCCAGTGTTCCTTTGGTGAACCAAGTCTCGGCATTTCTACGATTGCCAACTTCAAGTTTAATCGAATTAACTGCCTGCGCAACCTGCTCTTCTGCAACCTTCAAATGAGTCACGAATGGCTTGACTAGTCCTGAAGCAAGCTTCTCCGTAATCCCATTCCTCGATACAAACAGCTCACATCTGCCAAAACAATATTAAAGGAACAATAATCAATAAGAGCCCACAAATAGGCATTAGAAGAAGAAAATCCCACAAAGATAATACTCACCGTGAGCGCCTTGGGGACAGTTCGAACACAGCATAATCAAGAGATGTATCAGGCCTCATTGCCTTCTTTCTAATAAGCTTAAGCCACCGGTTCAGTTCTTAATCCCACCATAAACATATTCACTCCTGTACACAGAGTCTGCAGATCGTTCAAATCATTCATGATCAGGATTCGTAGCTATCAGTAATCTAGACACCACCCATATTGCCACTAGGAAAATGTCATACAAGAAAAACAATCAAATTAAGACGGTAATGCCCGGAATCCACCAAGTGCTAAATGCGGGAATGCTCAGCAACATCCTACATGGACGGATCTAAAGCCTACTACGTTACTCTAAATGGAAAGAGGGAAGCTGATTCAGAGCCTCCAAGCATAGCCCAGATCTGACTGGTCATCAATCCCAAACCCCAGAGTGCATTAAACTGGTAAGCAAATGCGGACTAGCTTAAACGACCCCAGAGACCAAATTCAATGCCGAAACCGGACCAACAGACCCATCAGTGAGGGAAAAAAGCACTCACTAGTAGCAGAAATCAAAGGCACCAACTTCGAATGCACAATGGCGGAAAAGGAAACGACTTTACTAAAACATATCCGGAATTTTGAAAGGAAATGTGGTCAAAGCATTACCTTGGAGGAGAATGAGAGAGATCGTGGGAGATTCTCAGTTGATTCGTGTTTCAAATGAGAACTTGCATTTCGTGGTTCTTTCAATCCGGTGGGAGGGGAAAGGAAAGACTTCAACTTTCCTAGTGGGGCTCCGCGGATTGTTTGTGGGCGGGGGGAATGGGAAGAGAACCCTAAGCAAATCAGAGAACCCTCAAGCAGCTCAGAACTATATCAAGGTGTTGGGGTTTCTTCCCAACTGGTTTTTCTTTTGCTTTGCTTTACTTTACTTTCTCCACTCTCCCTGGAGGACTGCGTGTGAGCTTTGTGTAGTACAGTGGAGGGGAAAGAGCAGAGAGCGTTTGAGGTTTTGGCTGAATTGGCTCTGCCGGTGTGTGTTTGTTGTGTGTATGTGTTTGCTTGCTTACGTTTGAGTTTTTTTATTTTTTTGTGTTTTTTTTGTGTGTGTGTGTTTTTTTTTTGTCTTTGGCATTCCGAATTCCGATGATAGTTCAGATAAAATCCATTTTCTATTCTAGTTTATAACTAGCGGTTACCCGACCCGTTGGTCGGATGAATTTTGATTTGTTTATGGTAATAAAATTTTTCATAAATAATTGGGAGTTTTCTAAAATAGTTAATTCATTACTTCAAAGTAATCTTTATGGTATTTGTTGATTATGGCATTGGCGATAATTAATTAAATGTATTTTTTATCAAGTCATCATAGTTTATCTTAGAAAAAAATTTGCACTTCTTATTGTCGGATATGAATATGGAGTTCGAAAGAAATATTTGTCATTTAGAATTTGTGGGAATTGAAGGTTTATAAAAAAATCAAGAGAATAACGAAAAGGTTATATGCTTAGAAATCTCAAATATGAAAAACATAAAAAAAATCTTATTGTACAAATTAGTATAATTTAGTGTATAGACTTGTTTGAATAATAAGTGGAGTTGTGAAGCGTTAGATACTAATGTTTATTGTCAACCCGATTTAGCCCGTTAGCTCGATCGAGCAAATAGGTTGAGGGTTAATTGTCCAATCATTTTAGAAAATTTTCAAAAAACAATACACTTAAAAGGTCCAAAAGCAATCACTTGTTAGGCAAGTGAATGATCTGCTACCAATTAACCCTAAGCATTGAATAGGTGTTCCACATCCCTTCTCATCGTCACTCTTGGAAAGAGAAACTCCATGTAACATAAAGAGCATAAAAATGCACCAAATATTAATGGAATCAGAAATATTCACTATTTTGAATCAAAGAGCTTCTTTAAACTCACCAAACTGAGTTAATTAGTCTTTTGCATACTCCCGGAATCACCTATTACATGTAACGTGACTATAAGGAAACACAAATAACAACCAAACGACATTTCATACACCACTATACTAAAAAAGAGAAAGAAAGCATATGAAACTTGGACCTGGCATAGATTGAAGTGCAGCTGGTGGGAATTCAGCCTCTTAGGAATCACTTTTGCAACTGGTGGGAAACACTGCATCATAACAAAATTATTTAAAAACATAACCACATAAAAGGTTGACAAAGAACTAAATGACAGAACAAAAATAAAATAGGCAAAAGTTAAATCAGATAAAAAAGACTCTAAAGAAGCAATCGCATAATAGCTAACTAAACTGAAATTTGATCACCTCTTTGACCTATTTCCTTCTCAGATTCTTCGTCTTTTGTCTAACAAATCCAAAGTTGTTCTATTACGATGACTAAGAGCCTTTCATAATTTTCTCTTGGTTATTGAAATTTCACAGTGCACAAAAGTCATTGTTGAATAGTTGTATCAATAACATGAGTAGAAAACAAAAAAGAAGCATGGTAGAAACATGTTGCTAGTTTATTGAAGGAAATCATTATGAAGAAAAATGGGCTAACTGCAACCACACAACTTTTATTCATACAACCGTACATTGTAGTTCAAAAATAAGCTAAAAGAAATTTAAAGTTTTGAATATATCAAAACTAAGCTGAGAAACATGAACTGCTACATAGGCAAAATTGATCCGAGTATAAATAAACAGTAATACGTAACAGCATATAAACTAACTTAGGACACTAACTTTGGTTTTCTTGTTTCCCGCTCATCATTGGGTAATTGAAACTAAAAGGAATTATTGTATATATTCATATACATCGGAATCTCTAAGCAAACCAGGTATTCCTTTTAATTGAAAGATTAAAACAAAGTTACATAAGGGGAACTCTCCCAAAAGCCAAAGCAAACCTCTATCCTCAAGACACGACATAACATCTAAGCATACTACAAAAACATCTGGACAAAATAGAATAAGAAATAGAAATGTAAGATACACATCCAAAATCATTTTGGAATTTTTTTTTTGGACAAAAACTGGAGGAAAATATGGACAGAAAACCAGCAACAGTAGGACGTGTAGCGAGCACATGGCACAAAAAGACCGTCAACCCTTTGTTCCCTATCATAAAAGAACCTATCGTCTCCAAAATCCCAAAATTCTAATGAAGAAAATTATCTTATTAGCCCACACTATCTCTATATTTGTGGCCACCTCAATAATCTCATTGAATCATTCTCTTCCAATCTAATCCTGAGCTCTTCATCCCATTGAGTTCACAACACATATAAAGAGCCATGAATCTATAGAGTCGTATCAGTCCAAACAATCTCTAGATTCGTGCCCACCTCAATATTCTCATCGAATATATCTCTTCCAACATATTCCCAAGCTCTTAATTCCATTGAGTTCACAACACGTATAGGGATCTTGATATTCTACAAACTCGTAGTCGATCGCTGGTGATTAGTAGATCATCCATATGCTATTATCTTTCGCTCGCATCCCTTAATTCGTGAATTTCCTTGCATGATTTGTGCTTCAACAAATAATAACTTGCGAATGTTTCTCGAATACTTCTGTTTGGATTTTTGTGGGCTAACTTGGTGTTAGACAATGCGTAAATCATTTTAACATAAATTAATTTGTTTAAATCACACAGCTATACGCATTTAGGTAAATAAGTCTTTACTCATTCCTAACATCAAGGTAAATGACACTAAATAAATACACTCATTACTTGATTTGGCTACATCAGGAAATACTACATTTCAACCAACTAACACTAATATGACAAATAATAAGTATACTTTTTGTTACCCATAATTCGACAAAGCCTGATGTGGTTGGTAATATGATAAATTAGACTGCACAATACCACAATGGTTCACTCCTGGCCCAATCAGTCAAATCAAGCCCAGTGGGCACCTAGGTTTGGGAAGGGATGTTTGAGTACAATGGCGCACTGGGCGAACTGTCAGGCACGAACGTTGTCACTACCTGAGGATTGCCTATTAGTTATTAATATTATTGCTCCTCTATTGTAATGAACCATTTGTCACCTCCTTCGGTGTACTTGGAATAAAAGGGTTACTCTTTGTTAAAAAAAACCCAACCTACCTATCTAACCTTACCCAACCCACCTGTATTTTTTGCTAAAATGAAGGTTTAAACTTGAGTGAGCCTTTCCTTTGGTGGAACCCGTCCCTTTTGGGTTGGTTCGAGTTTTGGGTTACACACCCACAGATACCCAGCCCAACCCATATTACAATTATTTTCCTAAGCTTTTGTTCTCAAAACGTTTTGTCGTATACAAACATATTTGTGAGGAACTTCAGATATTTTCTTCTTATGGTCTCAATAAACTAATGTATTTTTGAGCTGAAAATTTAGATTTAGAGTTAATATAAGCCACGATTCGCTTTTTTCTTGTAAACAATTATAGAAGTATAACATATTTTTGTGTTGGGTTGGATTATTATTTAAATTTATTGTCTACCCGACCAAACCTAATAATAAAAAATTAGTAGGGTTCTAATTTTTTTGAGTGGGTTTGAATTTAGTATTTTCAAAACCAAAATGTATAAATCAAGTGATTAAAATGACTAAACCTGAAACACCTGAGTGCCATGTAGTTCAATTCTGATTATTCATAAAAGTAATGCAACATATTTTGGTACAAATCCCATCTAGCTTTGATGTCATTTTATGGGAGCGAAGGGTGCTAGTTTTACCATTCTCTTTTCATTATTTAAAAGTATATATATATATATATATATATATATATATATATTCATTACTTGGCAAGTTAAAAAAAAAGTTACGTCCATGGGTTAGTGGCATCATAAGGAGTTGGACGGGATGGGAGCAGTTGGTGGTAAAAGGAGAGGAGGAAAGAAGTGGGTTGGGCACACTAACTGCCGAAATAAATAAATAAATAGTTCTCCGTTGTTGTATGCCATGTCAGCTTCCGAAAATCCCTCTAGATGCAGGAAATTTTGAATGGTGGTGGCAGTTTTACTTTTCAGCTATAAATGATACTGTAGACTCAGTCCGTTAGTTCATATTTGATTATTTATATTTTTATATTACGTTTAGTTCTATCAATCCATTTAAATCTGTTCATAATTTTTTGATCGAGATGATACATAAAAAAATGATATATAGGTAGTACTTTCGGAGAAATAAGAATATAAAATATAAAAATGTATCATTCATCTCATTTTCATAATGATAATTAAGCCCCAACTAAAATGTTATTGGTTAGTTGATTGTCAAGAAAGATAGAGTACAAAAACTCACTCGAATTCCCACACGACCCATAGATAGTTTGAAACTCAATCTTAAACCTCACAATCTGCATAAAGGGTTCAATGCTCTCTTTTTAGGAACAATATGCTAGTAATAAAAAAGAAATAAAGAGTTGATGATTCAAGTCAACTATATACTAACAACTCGGCTAAGAGGGGACCATTAAAACTTGAGAGCAAACGACAAAATTAGGGTTACCTCCAATATGCTAATAGACTCGATCAAAATAATAAGGTACAAAATTAGACATTCTTTATCTATCAGTTCCAGTAGGTTGAATAAAGAATCGACCTAGCTGCCAAAACCATAAACCTAAAGGTCCAATAGTCACCACTCTCCGTTGTACAACCAAATTTTTATCTCAAGAAGCGTATGTTTCAAAAAAAAAACCAATCTCTAATCCTCCTTCTACAACACCATTTATTGAACTTCATTCTAGTCGTCGTGGATTGATATCGGAGTTGAAGTCTTCTACTTGCCTAGCTTAAATCCCCAATAATGAAATCGTAGTGCAAAGAGATACCAAAAGAATGATTTTCAAAGGCGGCCTTGTATTGGAAAGTGAAAAGGCGCAAACTATTGCATGACGAAGGGAATATCGGAGGAAGTTAAAAAGAGATAAGAACACAGATAAAAAAACACTACATCTAAATTTAAATTGAAAAATTCAAGGACACAACATGTAGTAACAGAATTAGTTTCTTCTATGTTAACCAATTACCAATTTACCTTTAGCAAAAATCAAGGCGATAGCAAAAATTATAAATTGAGAAAATTACATGAAATTCTACTATGAAACTGAAAAAAGCACATACGGTAGACTTTCAGTGGGCTTGCTAATCATGATGGAAAATTCCTCCAATTTTAAGAGTAACTTTGTGTATATTTTTGTACTAAAAAAATACAACAAATTTGTTTAGTGTAATTGGTTGTGATTGTTGTCTTTGTTTGAAGATATCCGAGTTCAAATCCACATATTGATATTTTTATATGAGATAATAATTAATTGTAAAGACAAAAATGTCATTCCTAATTTCACTCTACTTGCAGAAAATCTTAAATGGAGACAAGTTTACAAAACTCTCCTATATAATATATTACTAGCACAGGGCCCGACCCGTTGGTCGGGAAAATTTTGTCGAGAAATATAGTATATTATAATGAATATAATAGATAATTTGAAATGCATAAAATGAGTATTTTGTATCTTACTTATGCACATAACATTTTTTGAAGTGATCTAACTATGCAAAATGTGTTTAGATCTTATGAAAAGAGAAATTGCATATAAATTGAATGAAAAAAGAAATACATATAACTAATATTCATTCATTACTTAATTAAACAAAATAGTTGAATATTAGAGTTGCTTCTCATAATACATACATAATCAATTTTTAGGATGAAAGAGAATGTCTCTTATAAAATTCAGCATGTTATTTAAGTTTTTCCCAATAGAGAGCATTTTTTTACCACACCGTTGGTTATGAATTTGAAGTTGATTTGATTTGAAGTATATAGTACATGCTTCTAAGTTGTCACTAATAGTTAGTTGGACAATGTGTTGTGTACGGACTTCCCAAATTGTTCTCAGATTGCAAACATATCTAGCAACAAAGTAGTAATTTTTACGCAGCAAATATTTTTTCATGAAATAATTAAATAAATAAAACCTATGAAATATATGTTACTCATTAAGTTGATGAATGAGCAAGGGTATGAGTAGAATACATTTATTTTAAAAAGATAGAAATTACAAGGCTCTTTTGGGTTGAATTAAGCATTATTGCTGACTGACTTATGTTTTTTTTTTTGCAATAGATAGTTCAAAATGTGTCTTGTAACTTTTTGTTTCCACCGGTGTAAAAGAATTGTTTGAACCAACGATTGTAAAATCGTATCGAAAAAGTTGGTGGTAGAGTATTTTATACTTAAGTCATAATTTAACCGTGGTTTAACCGTTTCATATTGCTAAATGTCATCTACCGATTTAGCCTATGGTGTGAAGTTTTATGGTCGAACAGCCGGTACATACGATCTTTCAATTCAAAAACTTTAAATAAGAAAATTACTGAAATATTGACATTATCGAATACCCCTTATTCTCATAAATTACAATAATTGTATTAAGAAAAAAATCATTCAAATAATAATATTGATTTAGGATTTTGAATTGAAATGAAAAATATCTGTTAAATATAATTTTCCCCCTAAAATAATTCAAAACTCAACAGAATAGGGCCAACAATACTCACTATGCAAAGCAGAAGAGCAATTATTTCACACTACCTCATTTTCCCCCTCTTTTAAATGTGCAATCTCACTCTCTCTTTGCCTTCCTCTTTCTTTTTCCGTTTTGTTCTTCCATCTCTGTCTGAGCTTCATATCTCACCACTCTCCCCCTTTCCCTTCCTCTTTCTTCCCACCGTCTTGGAATCCAGAGAAACCTAGAAACATTCTAATTAATTCTCCAATTTTGTGTTCGGAATGCTTCTTCTCCATTCACAATCGAGAGTGTGGGTCAAAGCACCTGAGACCTGGCGAATAGATGACCGCTTATTCTTCAACGGAGCAAAGTAGTTTGATAGCATGTGAATAAACTAATTACTAAAAGTGATAAAAACAAAGCTCGTTGGCCGGAATGTTTCAAATATAAACCAAGCCATTAGCCTTAAATAAATCCACTATTGCCATGCACCATGATGCCCCTAGAGTGAACATGAAAAAACCAAAGTAATGCTTACTTGGCTCCAATTGTCGATGGTAAAAATGGAAGCCACCAAGAGCTTTATAAGAAAAACCCAAACTGGATTGCCCTTAGACCAACAACCACAGTGACACCAAAGGCAATGAATCCCTGGCTGAGAAAACAAAAACCAGAAATATCTAAATCATGTCAATGGAATGCGTCGGCGAGTTTTTTCTGATAAATAGTTTTGTTAATTAGAATGACAGAAAAAATACAAAGCATACAATCTGCTGTAAAAATCTCATATACAAATAAAATAAACATGCAAGCAATATATGTCTGGAATAACCAATTAAACCAATCACATTTTGTTCAAAACTCGCTATTTTATTTTCTGTCTATACGAAGAAACTTTTTCTTGCAATGGATATATGGAATATCTTCCTAAATTGGTCTCTATAACCCTTGTGCGACCTTTTCCTAGTATACCGTCGACATGGAATCTTCAAAGGCTTGTTCGCTGAGGGAGTCGGCGTCGTGAAGGGTCTGGAATGGATTATTGCTTTGTGGCAATCGGTGTCTTCTCCCACCAACACTTGCTTCGTCGGCGGAGGTTGTGTTCTATGATTCTTAGGGTTTTCATATGTTTGCTTTAATTTTTCCGGTTGTCTCTTGGTGCAAGTTGGTTTTGGATTTGTTGTGCTATCATGCCCGCTCTGGTCCGTTATCACTGTCCTTTTGTCGGTCTCCATGGGTGTCAGGATGATCGAGGTAAGGGTCTTACTAAATCCTTCTTGCTCCAGCACTTTAAAGATTGGCATTGTCGCGGTGAAGCTATTGCTCTTACACGTCAAACTCTTTCTGATAGTTTGACGGTGTTTTCTAATGCTGAAACTACTCTCAAGCGGATGGGGGGTTTGGATTTGTGTGGTATGTCTTCGTACTCACGTCTTCCGTTCTGAATGTCGGCATGATGAGAATGTTTTTGTGGAGCCTCCAGATTGTGGTGACGACCTTGTTCTTTTTATTATTTATGATATTCCCAGACCTCCGGCTCCGTCTTCGTCGATTCACTCATATGATGCTAGGGTTGAGTCTGTGGGTTGGTCTATCTCTTTGCTTGATCGCTTGTTCTCTATGGGTCTTCGCACTGTGAAATCTATCCCTCCTAAGTGTCGCCTTGGGTTTGCGAGCGTTATGAAAGGGGCTTTGGATGATGTGGGTGTTTCTCCCGGCGACCTCTCCTGTTAGAATCGCTTACTTGTGTTGCCTCTCTATGTGCTTAAGACCTTTTCTCCGCGGAGTAATCTTGAGTGTCGGTCCGCTGTTAGGCGCCTTCGTCAGGAGGAGAGTGTTAACATTGCAATTATTGCTTGTGGGTCTGGTGGTAGTTTGCAGCTTTTGCGAGAGACTTTAGATGAGGTTCCCCCTCCGTTTGCTGTAGAGGAGGATCTTGTTTCGGGTGAGCTCAACCTTCGGCAATATCAGAGGAAGATTTGTGATGGGCATTATACTGTTGCTGTTCGGGTGCTTTCCTCATCCTGTTGCCCCATCTCCCTCATTACCGACTTCGCCTGTGGATCATCATCCTCTTGTTGCCTCTTCAGCCGTTGTTTTGGATATGATTAGGATCTTTCCTCGTGGTACATCTTGCGGGAGAGATGGTTTTGGAGCTCAACATCTTATGGATTGTTTGGGTGGTGCTTTTGTGGCTATCTCGGATGATTTGCTAGCCTCTATTACTCGAGTGGTTAATCTTTTCCTTGAGAGTCGATGTCCGCAGCATCTTGGTGAGTACATTGCTAGCACTCCGCTCACGCCACTTGTTAAACTAGGGGGGGTGGTATCCGTCCTATAACTGTTGGCACTATTTGTAGACGCCTTGTTTCTAAGGTTGGTGCTTGTCTTGTTGGCCCTACTTTATCTTGTTATTTTGCTGGTCTTTAGTTTGGGGTCGGGGTTTCTGGTGGATGAGAGGCTATTTTGCATGCCTTGAACCGGTTCGTTGAGGCCGCGGTGGTGACGTATGTCTTTCTATGTTGTTGGTCGATTTCCGGAATGTTTCAATTTAGTTGATCGTGGGGCCATGCTTCAGGAAGTTCGTCGTCATTGCCCGGTCCTGTCCCGATGGGTAGAGTTCTGTTACTCTAGCCCTGCCCGACTATATTATGGGATGCATAGCTTATGGTCTTTCCAGGGGGTTCAGCAGGGAGACCCTTTGGGCCCTTTGATTTTTGCTTTGGTGTTGCATCCTTTAGTGTGCAAGATCAGAGACTCTTTTGATTTGAGTGTGCAAGCTTGGTATTTGGATGATGGCACAGTTGTGGGGGACACTTTGGTTGTTGGGAAGGTCTTGGACATGATTATGGCTAAAGGCCCTCGAGCTGGCCTTCATCTAAATGTGGGTAAGACAGAGGTTTTTTGGCCTACTGAGGATCCTAGGAGTCGGCTTCCAGGTGTTTCCCCTGCCTCTATCGCTCGGCCTCCACACGGTGTCACCGTTCTGGGTGGTCCTGTCAGTTCTTGTCCTGATTTTAGCAGTGAGCTTGTGGCGAAGAGAGTTACTAAGACCATTGAGCTGATGGACTTGGTTGCTAGGATTGATGACCCACGGCGTGAGTTACTTTTACTTCGGGCATGTACTGCTATTTCTAAACTCTACTTTGCTTTGCGTACTTGCTCCCCTCGTATTTTTGGGCCGACCCAACTATCTTTTAACACAACACTTCGATCTAGTTTAGAGCGTATTGTCACTGCTTCAGGACCCGGGTTTGGTGATTGGCAGTGGCGGCTTGCCACCTTCTCTTTTCATTTGGGCAGGCTTGGGGTGTATGCTGTTGGAGATGTCTTGCATTATGCTTTTTTGGCGTCTCGTTTGCAGTATGCAGAGTGGCAAGCTAAACTCCTAAGTCCTTCTGGTATTCTATCTCCTGGCCCTACTTTTGATGACGCCCTACGCACCTTTAACGACTTTACAGGTTCTGATCTCTTACATGACCCTAGTGGAGTTGATGCCCCAAAACTTATGAAGAAATTGGCAGATATTTATTTCGCGAAGGTTGTTACTACTTCAGATTCTGTTTTCTCATTGACTAAGCGTCAGGTGGCTTTGTGGAAGTCTCAGCAGAGTGCACACTCTTCTGACTGGTTGCGTGTTGTTCCTATTGCTGGGTTGGGCCAGACTATGAATGGGATGACATATCATAATGTGCTTAGCTATCGACTGGGTATCCCGTTGTTTTCGGTATCCAAACCCTGTCCTGCTTGTTCTTGGGGTTTCCTGGTGATGTCTTTGGGGATCATGTTGTGTCATGTGCTGGTTTTGTGGGCATTAAGCATCGGCAAAACCTCGTTCGTGACACCTTATTGGACATCTGTTACAGGTCTGGGATTTCTGCAGGTAGGGAGGTTGATATCGGTTTGGTTGATGGACATGGCAGACCCCTTCGTCCTGCGGATTTGCTGTTTTATTCCTGGGACAGGGGGCGAGATGTGTGTGTAGATTTGACTGGATCTTCACCTCTGACTCAAACTGGGATGACCGATTTTGTGCCTGGCCGAGTTGTTGCTGATGCTGCTCAACGAAAGTGTGCCAAGTACCGTTACGGTTTTGTACCCTTTTCTTTTTCTTCATTGGGAGAGTTGGATACAGACGTCGTGGCTTTGCTCAAGAGGATCCATAAATTCTCCATGTATCAGGATGTAGGGGCTCGGACGGCCGCATACATTTTTACTAGACTCAATTTTTCTATAGCTAAGAGAGTGGGGCCAGATTGTATCTCGACTACCTACTATTTTTTTTGTAAACCTTTGTTTGTTCTGCTTAAAATACTAATTTTTTTGGAATGATAACAAAACCAAACTAATAATAATAATAATAATGCCAACGGCATCGGGGACGGGCAGGGACTTTAAGCTAGTTGTAGACGAAAGGGAAAAGAAAACAGAAAGCAGGCCGGAATACGAGCCGTCGCTGTGGTTCGCCGCCACTTACTTCCCGCTTAAACTTTAGTTTTTCGAGATTACGAACTTTCCGTTGCTTTCTAGGGTTTTTTCCCCTCCTGGTTCTGGAAAGCTCGGCGGCGGAAATATGGACGTCGAAGTTGAAACTTCGCCTGGCTACTTCCGGCCGGAAGATCTTACTATCAGAGAACAGTTTCGTCGCTACGGGTACTCTCACTGAACCTCTCATCTTCCTTTTCAGTCGTGAATGTAGATGGTAAAATTCATAGCGAAGCTTCTTGTTTTGTTGTCGTGAAGAGAATTTAACTCTGAATCGCGTTTGATTGAGAATGAACCGAGAATTCTTGTATGTTTGTGACCTTTCTGTATCTTCGTACGTTGTTGATTTTCTGAGAATGCGTGCTGCCTACAGTAAAAGGCACTCGGTAGCTAGCCCAAGTCAAGACAGTACGAACTCTAAGTTCAAGGACTCAAGGCTACTGTATGATGGGCAAAGCATACACAGTCCCACAAATGCTGTGCTTCTGCTCGAGGACATTAAACAAGAGGCTGATGGTACGGGTTCTGATCACTTTGATGCCACACCTGGGAGGTTTCAAGCTTCGGGTAAAAGGAGGATGGTGATTGATGGATTTTCAGAGAGTGATCTCATTGTCAATCCAGAACTCCAGACTGGGACTCAATCGCTCACAGCATGCAAGATGGAGGATGAATCAGCTGTCAGTGGAGAAGCAGTACTTGGGCTATTTGCATCTCTTCTGGATTCTGCTGTTCAAGGTGCCTTCACTTCAGTTTATGTTATACCTGCGAAGCTTAGGAATAGGGTACCTGGTTGTTTGGCTAGTGTTTGTTCTACAGTGGGACAATTTGGGAGAATTTTTCAAATTTGAGAGTGTATTGTATAGTAGAACAGTGTTTTGCTTAGGTTGTGATGTTGAGACTTCCCACTTGTCCTTTTTAGAATGCTTGTTGTCTGTGTTTTGGTAATGGAAGTCGGTCTGGTACCAGAATGTACTGCCTCATTAAAGACAAGTTACCTTTGTGCCTTCTCAGTCTGGTACCTTTGTGCCTTCTCAGTCCTCTAACCTTTTAAGGACAAGTTACCTTGTTGTCTGCATTTTATTCAATGTGATACTGGTTGGAATGCTTTTAGAGTGGTAGTTCTTTGGAAGGTTGTAGCATATATTCTTAGGTCTTGAGAATTTTCTTGAACTATAGACATTAGTATTGTATAAATCAATCTAGTGGTGCCGAGTCTGTTACTACTTTGACTGATGGAAAGTGATAATTTCTCCATATTTTGCAGGCTTGATGCCAATTCCATATTTGATTTTGAGATTTGAGAGATCATGCCGTAGTGTATCAGAAGATATAAGGTGAGTCGCATAACATCTGGAATAGTTACATGGCTTGACCTTGGTTTGTCATTCTTTGTAATGCAGACTATTGCAAGTGAAAACTATTATTCTCCAGATTGTCCCTCTCTGTCTTTATGATTTTAATAAGTAAGATCAATAGTTTGATTTTACTTCATCACCAGGGTTCCTTGTTATTGCTTGTACAGGTCCCAATCAACCATAAGGCATCGAGTTCTAGAGGACAAATTAATGCGGCAGAAGGTTCAGCTCCTGCTTGATGAGGCTGGCACCTGGTCTCTTCTCTGGCACCTCTATGGGAAACGTGAGTTTGTTAGTTTTGAAAGTTTTCCTCTTTGCAACATATTTTTCGAGTGAGAGTTTGATAGAAATATCATTACTGTCTCTGCATCCTTGGGTTTAAATTATTAAATGTATGCTAGTATTAATGTGGGGAGCATGGTATTAATAGTAGAAACGTGTGTGTCCCATTATATGTCAAACTTCAATTAGTTGCCAAAGGAGTGGAACTTAATGGTGGACAATGTTTTGATATTGTGTTTTTTTTGTTGTTAAGTAGCCTTAAATTGACTTTAAGACAAACTTCTTTTCTAAATTCCTGCAGATTTATCATTTTATACCTAGCCACAGGTCCTACTCTGGTATTGTGCTATCCTTCCTAGATTCTTCTTGAACATAGAGGAACCTATTGCCAATCTTTCTATTTGTCTTTCTGCACCTCTCATGTTCATTTGATTCATGAATATAATTCTATTTGTTTCTGTCTGATCTTGATTGTCTGTGGATAATGACATTCTGAACTCTTACTATCCATATCTGATGGTTATGGTCCATGAACCTTGTCATGTGGGCTGTGGTTGATATAATCTGTTACACTTCTTACAGCGACAGAAGAACCTCCTGAAGACCTACTTGTGGTACACAATTTCTTCCCTGGAACCATTCTGAAAGAAGACATTAAGGCTGCTTTTCTGAAATTTCAGCTCATTCACTCTGACTACTAAAACCACCAATCCAGAATGGGTGTTCACTACTTTGTCTTTGTAAATTATTTGGAGGTTTCCGCTTATACTACCCAAAGGCTGCGTAATCTCATGGAGCTTTGTTTTTGTTTTTGACAGTCTCCATCAACTTCACATATAGAGGCGTGCCAGTTTGTTGTAAATGATCACACAACACAACTTTGCCTCCGTATCATTGAGTGGCTGGAGGGGTTAGCCTCTAAATCCCTTGATCTTGAAAGCAAGGTGATTCCTAAGTTCATTGCATTTTCATTTTGCGTCCTTGTAGAGTTTCTAGTTGGCTCCTCCTTGTTGGTTAGCTTTCCTGTTCTTTAGCCATGCATGTAAAAACATTTCTTACTGAACCTTGCTGGCACCGTTTGAGGAAGTTGTTTTTATCCTGATATTTAGCATTTAGGTGATGATTGTTTAACACGGGACAGAAGGAACATCCTGGCTTCAACATCTTCTTATTACTTTTTATCCACTGTGTATACTTGTTTACAAACCGCATAAGCTCTGGTTTCCAAGGAAAGTTAGTATCCATCAAAATGTAGGCTCAGCACTCTTTTGAAGGCCTTTAGCTGCGGAGAAGATGGGTGGATTTTGTTGTCCCCCCTCCCCCTCTCCTTCATGATATTCTAGCTACTTATGACATTTGATTGAATTTTCTAAGTTTGTGAATTCTATTTGAAATGGATATTGACCAACAATCACAGGTACGAGAACCTCGTGTGGGTACATATCTTCCGAATTCTGGAATTTGGCACAATACACAACGGTTGCTGAAGAAAGGCGCATCTGGTGTAAATACTGTTCATCACTTGGATTTTGATGCACCAACTCGTGAACATTCTCACCAGCTACCAGATGATCAGGTACCATGTCTTTGTTCTCCGCTATAGGAATTCATGGTAAACATTATTTTTTCAATCAACGAATGAATCTTACATTAATAGGTTGTTCTGTGCCTTGGGCTGTGTATTTAAACTAGCCATGGGTATATTAGTTTGTATCCTAATAATTTATGTGTTGGACTTGATTCAAATATGGATAGTTTAGAAGGTTCTAGTCGAATTACTAAGAAAAAACATGATAGTGTTTCATTCCCTTAACGCAACAATTATCTTCCTGAACAGAAACACGAGGAATGTCTTTTGGAGGACGTATGGACATTGTTAAGAGTGGGAAGAGTAGAAGAGGCATGCGATCTTTGCCGTTCTGCTGGGCAGGTATTCAACACCAGTACAGCTTTTCATCAATTTTTCAGAATAAAAGAAACTTTACTAGTTTTTCTAAGCAAATTGAGTCTTTCTTTTGCTTCTGGTATCAGTCATGGAGAGCTGCAAGTTTAAGTCCTTTTGGAGGATTGAGTATGGTTCCTTCTATTGGGGCTCTTGTGAAGAATGGGAAAAGTAGAACCCTCCAAGCCATTGAGCTTGAAAGTGGCATTGGTCATCAATGGCGTCTTTGGAAATGGGCTGCGTATTGTGCATCAGAGGTATTCCTACTTGGAACTTATTTTGGACGTTTGAGTTATCAAACTTAGCCATTTTGGGTATGCAGTTCTGTCATTTGTTCTATCCTCAAACATTGCTAGTTACTTTTCCTCTTAGACAATTTTCAGTTTGTTGTTGGAAGTTATATCAGATAGCTAATAGTTTGTACTCTGCCGTCAGAACTGCACATCATAGTTCCATGTTTATTTCACATGAGCTTCACCTGTTAAGAAAAGTGGGATTCTTAATTATACTAACCTACATCAAGCGTCTTTTATTACATCCTTCCTCATTGTACTTGGGGATAGCTGATAAGATTGGGTTGAATTTGACTTGTTCTATTTTCTCTGTTTATTTTGTAGAAAATTGCAGAGCAGAATGGTGGCAAATATGAAGCAGGTGTGTATGCAGCACAGTGTAGCAACTTAAAACGGATGCTTCCAATTTGTACTGACTGGGAGGTGAAGGCTCTTTTCTTTTTATATCCTGATTTTAAGTTTGTTCATTAGTTATCCATATCCCCCCTGTACTATTTGGTTGATTTACTTTAGTTGTTTACTTGCCCGTGCTGTGATGGCATTAGTTTAGAGAAAATTTAATAGTATACTGCTCTCTTCTTCGATGGTAATCATCATACTTAGTGCAATCTATCTGGTTCTTACTTTTTGTTCACTGGTACCTAGAGTATCTCCTTGGTTTCTATTATTTGGTCAGTTGCGGAATTAAAATAGTGGTTTTGGCTTCTTTTTTTCTCCTGTCATTGAGATAATATCTAAATGTCTAATGCTGCGACTGGGTTTGAATCTCGATCAAGGACTGGATCCGCCTGAGCTCCTTGTATTTAATTATATTGCCCTATTTACTTTTAGTAATGGAATTTTTTTAATTTCACTTCATATCTCAGCTTGCTGGGCAATGGCCAAGTCTTTGCTTGATATTCAGGTTGATCTGGAGTTATCTGGCTTACAACCTGGGAGGGTTGAGCAGCTTAAGAGTCATGGAGATGATGCTGAGGGAAGTCCTGTGTCAAATGACAATGGCCCTCATGCTTCAGGTGGACCAGATAGCTGGCCACTACAGGTCAAGAATCAGCAACCAAGGAATCTTTCATCTCTTCTTCAAAAACTTCATTCCGGGTGGCTCCTTCATTAACTATTTTGATATTTCAAATAATTGTTATTTATTTTATTCTTGAAAGTGTCAACCGCTGAAACTTTGCACTACTCAGGGAACTGGTTAATGAAGCTGTTATTAGAGGTTGCAAGGAACAGCAGCGGCAAATTCAGGTGCTCTTTTTGAGAAACACCTCAAGACAGTGGTTTGCCAGGCTCACTAGTTTCCTGATGAAAAATGGATTTGCTCAATCAGCTTCAGATTACTCCTTGCTCACCAAGTGGGTGCATGGTAGAATTGTAGTACTCCTGGTGTATGTGGATGATATTATCATAGGGGGAGATGCACCTAAGGACATAGAGCAGATTAAGAAAGCATTGAGCAAAGAATTCAAGATAAAGCTGTTAGGACCTCTACAATACTTCCTTGGAATGGAAGTAAACAGGACTGCAGATGGCATTAGTGTTTGCCAGAGAAAATATGCCTTGGAGCTGTTAAAGGATACTGGCTATCTAGAAGCTAAGGGCTGTATTACACCATCAGACCCAAAAATTAAGCTGGCAGCCAACCAGGGAACACCTCTGGAAGATGGGGAAGTTTACAGAAGGTTGATTGGCAGGCTACATTATGTGACCATTACTAGACCTGATCTAACATACATTGTGCAACAGTTATGTCAGTTTCAGAAACAGCCATGTAGTGATCATTTGCAGGCAGCTTATAGGGTACTGAGATACCTAAAGAACAGTCCTGGACAAGGTATACATTTTAGCAGTAAAGCAGATTTGAAGCTAGTGGGATTTACTGATTCTGACTGGGCTAGTTGCCCAGACACAAGAAGGTCAACTACAGGGTATCGCACCTTTCTGGGAAGTTCTCTACTGACATGGAAGAGCAAGAAGCAAACCACAGTATCCAGGTCTTCATCAGAGGCTGAATACAGGGCTCTAGCTCTATTGGTCTGTGAAGTGGAATGGCTAAAGGGACTACTAGCAGAACTGAGTGTGAAGGTACCTCTCCCTATCTCAATCTACTGTGACAACAAATCAACTATTCATATAGCAGAAAACCCAGTATTCCATGAACGCACAAAGCATATAGAAATAGATATGCATGTGACCAGAGACAGAATCAAAACTGGGTTAATCAAGCTTCATCATGTAAGCACATTCAATCAGTTGGCTGACTTGTTCACAAAGGGGTTGGATAGAGCACGTATGCAGGCTTTGCTGTTCAAGTTGGGAGTCAGAGTGACTGCCACAACTTGAGGGAGGCTGACAGAGTTGCAATCCAGACTGCCCAAGGAATGAAGGAAGAAGAAGAAGTTCGATGAAGAACGAAACGTCCAGAAGGAAGAAACGTTTTCATATCAGCTGGAGTATTTTAGTAATACTGTGTCGTTTTACTACTTGAGTGATGTAATAGGAGTTAGCCGTTAAATGCACTGTTTAGCTTTAAATAGACGAATGGAAAGCAGCCAAGTGGCATTGCTCTGTAATCCATTTCGTCTTTGTCTTTAACCTTTCTGTTGGAGTATAAAAGGTAGAGGATGACCTCAGGAGAAGCTGAGGATCATACCTTCCACAAAATCCCTACTAGGTTTTCTCTTACTCGCCGCCGCTTCCTCTTCCCTTGAATCGATGGCTCCACCTTATCATCGTCCTCCTCCTCCTCCTCCTCCCGCTCCCTGTACGCGCCCGCTCTTCCAGCGATTCAACTTAATCTCCAATGGTTTCTGCCGCTCTCCGACACCTACTTCGTCGCTGGAAAGTGAATCCCCCTCTGCCGCCCCTGATCGAATTCAATTCCGCTGCAGGACAATGCGGTGGTGACTCCCGAACCTGTTTGGGGATTATACAAAATTAATTTTATTTTTATTATTTATTAAAATGAGTTGGAATTGGTAAAAGGTTTAATTTTTAATTTTTAATTGCCATATTAGTCATTTAACGATCAACTATCAGAGTTGACTGCCACATCAGCTAAGTTTAACGGAAATTAAAGGAGAGTTACCAAACTTAAAATGAAAAGCTATTTTAATGACCACGAATGAAATAAAATATTTGTAGTGACCAAACGTGAATTTTTTAGTACTTTCAGTGACCAACCGTGCAATTTACCCCAATTATATTTCTCTGAAAGGCAGTTGTTTTCACTTTGCTGGCCCAATAAACGAAGCCCCATATGCTATAAGGCCTCAGTGAAAGCCCATACGCTGGAAATGCCCAGAACCAAGCCACCATCCTCCTGCCCAGCTTCGTCCAAACTGTTACTGAAAAAGGAGAAGGGAATTATGTTAATTAATTAATTAGTACCATATCATATATCCAAAATTAAGTATTAACCTTAATGATGCACGTAATCAGAATCCAACGCTAGGCCAGCCAATCTCCCTCGTAATTCCACGTTCCCTCCCCGTACACCTTGTCGGCTACCCAATTTCCTTGTACCCTTCCCGAAGCCGCCCCCAATAATTCGCCGCCACCTGTCCTCCTCCCGTCAACTCCTTCCCATAATTCCACGAACCGGCCTTTATCCCAGGTAACACCATTCCGCGCTCCTTCCTAACTCACCACCACAGTCGAATCATACGCCACCACGTGTCCACCCCAAGCCTTCACCTTCTTCCCCCCACTATATATTGAACGCTCACTTACCCTTCACTCCATCCACACAAACCAACAAAATCTAAATCCATTCCCCTCACAGAAAAAAGCCTTTCTCCCATATCCTTTATTTTTTTTTTTTTGTCTTCATCTTCATGATCCAAAACTCCAACGCCTCCTCCCGCCGGATTCTCACCTTCCCGGCGGTTCACCCATGCCAAAGCATCGCTCCGACAACTCTCCTCGCCTCTCTAATCGCGCTCTGCCGCTCCGCCTGCGACTACAAATCCAAGTCGTTCGGCAGCAATGTGAGGAATGCACGCGAAACCATTCGCCAGGTCGGCAACCTCCTCCTCCTCCTCCACGAAATTCGGCTCTCGTTCTCCCCGATCCCCGACTCGCTCCTCCTCGGCCTCTCGGAGCTTCACCTGACTGTCCAGAAGGTGATCTACCTCCTCGACGATTGCTCCCGCGGCGACGGCGCCCGGATGTGGATGCTGATGGAGTCGGATCGGGTCGCGAATCATTTCCGGGTTCTGGTTCGTGAGATGGCTACGGCTCTGGAGGTCCTGCCGTTGGAGGTTCTCGATCTGCCGTGCGATGCGGTGGAGGTGGCCGAGCTCGCGATGAGGCAAGCGAGGCAGACGAAATTCCAAGTCGCATCGGGTGACCAAGCAGCCATGGCGGAGGTTTTGACCATCTTGCGCAGGTTCGAGGGCGGCGATGATGTCCCCGATCGCGGAGAGATCAAGCGGGTACTGGATTACATCGGGGTGAAGAAATGGAGCGACTGTTACAGGGAGGTAAAATTCTTGGACTCTGAGATTGAGTTTCATTATTCCAACAAGGAAATGAAAAGAGAATTGGATGCGTTGAGTAGCTTGCTAGGTTTGATGAACTACGCTAGGTGCGTGCTGTTCGATTTCGTAGACGGCAAATCGGATCCGCCCGTTCACTGCGAGGGTGAAAGCCGCAACGACGAGTTGCTGGGTTCCCTCGACGGTGACAGTTTCCGCTGCCCGATTTCTCTTGAAATTATGAGGGATCCTGTCATAATCGAGACCGGGCATACTTATGATCGTTGCTCGATTCTGAAATGGTTCAGGGCTGGAAATGCAACCTGTCCCAACACGGGGAAAAAGTTGTCAAGCACAGAGCTTATACCTAATGTTGCTCTGAAGCAATTGATTCGGCAGTATTGCCTTGCAAATGGAATCCCAATTGCTGATTCCAGTCGCAAGACCCGGGATATAACGAGGACGGCGGCTGCAGGCAGTTTGGCTGCAGCAAATGCTATGAAAGCTGCAGCTAGTTTTCTTGCTGGCAAGCTCCTAGGTGGAGATTGTAAAGGGAGGAACAAATCAGCTTATGAGATCCGGCTTCTTAGCAAAACAAGCATTTTTAACAGGTCTTGTTTGGTGGAAGCTGGAGTTATTCCGTCCCTTATGGAATTGTTGTCCTCAGAAGACGACGGTACTTCTCAGGAGAATGCCATTGCAGCCCTTCTGAATCTCTCAAAGCATTCGAGAAGCAAAGCTTTGATTGTTGAGAATGGAGGGTTGAGATCCATTGTAGATATCTTGAAGAAGGGAGTGAAGGTGGAGGCTAGGCAGCATGCAGCTGCAACAGTCTTCTATCTCGCTTCAATTGAGGAGTACAGAAAATTGATTGGTGAAACCACAGAAGCTATCTCGGATTTGGTAGAGATGGTCAAAGAAGCAAACTACAGGGGGAAAAAGAATGCTCTCGTTGCAATCTATGGGCTGCTGATGCATCCAGGAAACCATTGGAGGGTTCTTGCATTTGGAGCAGTTCCTTTACTTCTCGATGTCCTGATCTCTTCGGACAGAGACGAGGTTGTGACGGATTCTTTAGCTGTTCTAGCAACTCTGGCTGAGAAACCTGAGGGGGCACAAGCGATTATTAGATGCGGAGCTTTGCCTCAGGTTGTAAGGATTCTGGCCTCTACCAATCCAAGGGCCACAATGGAGCACTGTGTCTGCCTGTTGCTTGCTCTATCCATCAATGGTGGTGAAGATGTGGTGGCTTATCTGGTGCGTACCCCTTCTCTTATGGGATCATTATATTCCCAACTCAGTGAAGGCACATCTCGAGCAAGCAAGAAAGCCGGTGCTCTCATTAGGGTTCTTCACGAATTCTATGAAAGAACCTCCTCCACTTCAAAGACAACAGTTCTTCCTCGGGAGCAATTTGTTCATGCGTGGTAAACCCAAAGCCATTTTTATCATTTGGGTATTCCACATTTTTTCATTCTTTTTTGTATCATTTCCAAGCATCTGTCATCTGTATATACACTTAAATTGTGTAGAGGATGATTGCTCTCTTTGTTGTTGTTCACATTAGCTCGGGTTTTTGAAGAGCTAACAACATCACATTGTCTTGGCTTCTGTATTTTTAAAATGAAGCTTTGTACAAAACTGCATATCTATTCTGTTGTAATTCATTTTCCTGTGTTGTAAATGAAATGACTCTCAGTGTTGTAAAAGTATAATGTGCTACAGATTCTCATATTTGATATACAAACAAGGCCTTCTGGTCAGCTTGATTGGATGTGTTCATGCTTCGTCAGCTCGACGATCTCATTGAGATGTCAAATATATAAACAAGGCTTCTGAGTCAGCTTGATTAGATGTGGCGATGCTTCGTCAGCTCGACAATCTCATTGAGATGTTGAGTGCTTTCTCCAATCTTGTCACCACCTTCTCCATTGTTGGTCTGTCCTGCTTACCACCTGAGCATGACAGGGCTAGATTGAATAGAATCTCAAACGCTTCAGTAGAATACTCCCCGTTAAGTTTTAGGATCACCAAATTCTGATATATATTTCCCCCGTGACGGCTGTATAGGAGGCCTGCAAAAAGTTTGAACTGAAGAAGATCAAGACCTGAAAGATTTATATGAAGTGTATGGAAGAAATCCATATTGGCTTTTGATGGAAATCTAGTTTCTTCTACTTCTTTAACTTTTTATTGAGCTGCATATGTATGTTGTGATTCATGTTGATCACCTTCTGTCCAGATAGAATTTTTTGCATCAGCACTATCCCAAAGCTGTAGACAACCCCCTTAGCATTTACATGGTGGTTCCTCTGATACTCAGATTCCACATAACCAAACGTTCCCCTCACTTTTGAACTCGCAAATGCCTGTCCCAGGTTGATAACTTTGGAGAATCCGAAATCCAACAGCTTCGCTTGGAGATTGGAATCAAGAAGAGCATAAAGATATATACGTAATTACTAACATAAGTAAAAACGGACAAAGAATTATACAAAAGCAAATCACACTCACTATACTTTCAATTTTCTTTTCTCTCTTATTTGTTACTTTTTTCAAACATTATCGGTTAATACTATTTTCCCCGTCCAATTTTCACCTTTTTTTATTCTCTCTTTTATTTTCGTCCTTTTCATTAAACACGAATACGAGCACGAATAGGCACGACACGATTCGAACCGTGCTTGGGCCTGGGCCGGGCCTAGCAAAGTTAACAAATGGGCTTGCATGGCACGACACGAAAACTTACGGGCCGTGCCAAGCACGACACGAAATAAATGGGCCCGAAGTGTGCCCATGCCGTGCTGGCCCAAGCACGGCTCAGCGCCCATGTACACTGGTGACCTCTCTCACGAATGTCTTCACATGGCCATCAGCCCATCACTCACTATATGCTTCACTGCAACGGCTTAGGGATGGCAATTACTCACCCATGGGTAATTAATTATACTCAAACCCAAGTAGATCCATTCATAATGGGTTGGGTATGGGTGAAGTGCATATGGGTTTGGGGGGTTTGTACAGGGGTTTGGGTAAGGTATGGTTATTGCTTCCATAATCTAAATGAGTATAGGTTGGATATGGATATCCATTTATTTGAGAGTGTTTTAACTACACATGCAAAAATTGGACCTATTTGTAAAACATGAAAAGTTTAGGTACCAAAATGTAAGACCAAAATGTAATTTTCCATCGATATTTTGAGGACTTATATGCAAAAAAGTAAATTTAGGTACTAATATGCATATCTATTAAGTTTAGGTACCAAACTGTAATTTGCATTTGGGCATGGATGCAAACCCAAATTCATTTGTTATAAACCCAAGCCAACCCAAGTAAATGGGTATGGGTACAAACACATCAAAGTCTACTCATATCCATCTATTTGGATTTCATACCCAACCCAATTGGGTTGGATAGTAAAAAACCCATGGGTATGGGCAAAATTGTCATCCCTATAACGGCTGGCCCATCAGACATTATCCCTCAAGTAAACCTTTCCTGCTCAAGCTGCAACAAAAACTTCAGGGGGTCGTTTGTATCCAGGAAAGTGGGCAGGGATTTGGCCCAAATTCGAGTCCGTCTAGGAATTTAAACAATTTCTTTGTTTGGATAGGTCTTCAAACAGCCAGAATTTGGGCCATAGGAAATTTTAAATCCGGCCCAGTCCGGAATTAGAATTATCTGATAGCTCCCTAGGTATTTTAAAATTCGGCCCTATTTTTTTTTTTTTGTTCCCAGCGTGTCCCTACTTTCCAAAACCCAATCGTCTGAACTTTGTTTTCCAAAAACTCAAACCCTCGAAATCGCCATGTCCGCCACCACAGCCGCCAGGTTAGTCCTCCGTCTCACTGCCGTCAGGCCAGCCACCGCACGACGATTACCCGCCAGAACAAGGTCGGTGTTCTTCGTTGTCCCAACTGCGAGGAGAACCCCTCCTCCTTCTCTTCGTATTTCCAGGTAATTTTATTGATAGATATTCTCCTCGCCGCCGATCTGGGTTCTTCCTTTCATCCGGCGGATTTGGGTTCGCCACCTGTCGAACATAAAGGAAGAAGAGACGGTGAGATAGTCGAGCATGGGATTTTTTTTATGTTTGTTGTTGTAGGGTTTGTGATAAGGAAAAGGTTGCCACGACAATGGAGCTACGAATACATTTTGTTGAAAACGACCTCATTTTGAAGTGGCCCGATACTCGGATCAGTTGGTTGAATCAGCTGAATTTCTCGATTTAATGCAAAACCCCATTGACAGTCCTTATATCCTCAAAACTACCACACCCTCGAACAATATGCAGCAATATCGCAAGTAAAATCATTCATTTTTTGGTGAAGGATGACAATAGTATAAACAGCGATACATAATTTGGATTTTCTCTGGTGCCGCTCCCTTTTTGTTCTATCCCAAACAAAATACTGTGAAAATTCAACAAACGTATACTTCCTCGCTTCTGAGCATATCCGATTAATCTTCAACCATCCCAACAACATGGAAGTCTGAGCCCGCAATATAATCACAAAACAGTTCGCAACTTGGGTTGGACATGCATATATGAATAAGATATTATGAGATCACAACTCCTTTTTTGTTCTTCACCAAAACATGACAAAAGAGGTCATGGCTACTGTAAAATAGGAATATCGTATTTGTTTCAAATAAACACAACATTAAAATAGTGAGTAGAATAAACAACACATAGAATTCCAGTTACAGAAAGAACATCACCCAACAATGTAAACATAAATGCACCATTCACAATAAAGCATATTTTATTTGATGTTTATTTTGAGGGTCTAAACGCGAAACACATCATTTAAAGAAGCCAACTAAGGTAACATTCCGGCGTCACATGAATTTATACACATAACCTATTTCTGTTACCATCTGAGTTGTGTAGTATGGTTTTCGGAATTCTGAAATTTCAACACACATATAAGAGTTATGATAAATAAATTGGAACTTGAAGGGACATACCGAGATTTATTGCAGAATTCAACATTTATATGTGCGCCGAAACGCAGTAAAAAATATCGATTATATGGAACCACAAAGCGGTTATCCAATGACACACCACGAACGTTAGTAGATATCCCTGTATCACGCCGACGATATTTAGCAAAACCATTATCATCAATAATGGTTTGCTCACAAAACTGTTTTGGGAAATGCTTTGTAGAGACACCACCTTCAGTACATGGTGCATTACGATTTACGACCCAAAGCACCACATGGTCCATGCATCACAAATTTCTTTACAGCTCGATATCCTTCTGGATCAAGGTGGTGATTGGGTATTTAGAGGATATCACAGAATCGATCTCCTTCGCTCCACTTAATTTATTCTCTGCTGCTAGAAAACCCAACAAATGAGCATGGGGTAGACCCCTCTACTGAAACTCAATTGCCATGACATCTTAATACAACGAAAAAGAAAGAGTTATAAATGCCTCATTTGTGGTACATACGTCCTGTTGTGTTCCCAAAAAATTTCTTATCTCTAATCTCCGGCATTAGCTTATGCAACTTAAGTTTGAAGACTCTAGCAATAACATTAGACACGTTGATATCTTTCCGACCATCTGAATTGATCAAATCCACCATAAATTGGATCTCCGGCCAATTCTTATTGCATGTGAAGGTTATAAATAAATCTGGGTAGCCAAGCCACCTACATATTGCCATTGCATCCTGAAAATTCTCATACTTATACCGGGGACTACCTGTATGAGAAGCTGATAAAATAACATGTTTTCCAGTCAATTCTACATCTGAATCACCACGTAAAAATGCATCCAGTAACCCACTGACATAATGGGAGTGCAACTTTGACTGATTATTTCGAATCCAGTCAAGTCGTTCAGCTTCAACCAAAGCATATGCATTCACAACATACCATTAAAATAACTTCCCAACCAATAATACAGAATTTGCTTCATTGAATCTACTCTGGAGGCGATAAGCATAATAATCACATTGTGATAGATTATTGTCTTCCAAAGGTTATCATCCTCATCATCATCACAACTTATATCTGGATGCCACCCATCCTCCCCATAAGGAAATAAGATTGGATATTGTAGGGCCATTAAAGATGGATGGTGATAATTGATCCTTTCAAGTTGTGAGCTCTGATAGTGAACAATAATGTTTGGCTCAAATGTATCATAATCTGTTTCATCCACAATCAGTGTTGCTACATCATTCCTTGTGGGTAGATCATATTCTCTCCCATCCTGTCCATGCTTGGCAAACAACTTGATCTTCCCCTCCTGAACATTAGATTCAGTCATTTTTTGTCTTGTCATCCTGAATGTCTGTACCAAGACATTGCATTGCTCAAACATTAGTTGCAAGCCTTCAACAACCTCTGGGCGCAATGGATTATTCTGTTCACCATCCGAAAACAACTGGAGACGATTCTGGAGTTCTAAAGTAGATTCATGAATATACAACTGGGCAAACTTTGTTGCCTGGCCTTCTGAAAGGAGTAAGCTGCCGATGCTATGATAAATCTGACCACTTATAGAGAAAACAGACACACCATCACCATCATTTATACTGCGATCCACCTTACCTCCAAGTGAGATGAAGCAAAATACAGCATTATATAGACGAATTGCCTCCCGGAAAGGGAGACTAAGAGGTGATGCAGACTCTAATAATTCTGTCAAATATGGAGGTAGGTCACATCGCGGGGGCAATTTGACTTTCCCTTGCTTGCAGCACAAAGAAAACAACGAGTTGGTTTGGCTCTTAGTGTGTAAAGTGCTTTCCTCTCACAACATGACTGCTCCACATAATTGGCAGATGCACGAAGGTCCATCCAAACTAAAAGCATCTACACAGGGCAAACCTATAAACAAAATAGTGGCAATTGTAAAATTATGGGTTGATGCAGAACCCGACTCAAACATAAGCTTGAAAGTGAATACATACCACACTGACGTGTAAATGCCATAGGAACAGGATTAACTTGGCATCTGTGACACAAATAAATGCACCGAAGAACTCGAGAATGTTTTGATCTTAAGCGAGAGAACACCAATGCAAAATCTGTGGAGCAAACACCAATTTATGGTTGAGTAGTAAACAAGATAAGCAACTGGAGCAACGTAACCACCCTAAACTACAATTATCCTCAACTGTGGGGAATCAATTCTCCAGGATAGTACCACCACAGCTAGGGAAGAAGGATTCCGCTAAATATACTAAGATTAGTATCATAACTTAGCAATTCAGCATAAAAACAAAACTATGGCAGTTAATCCTCTAGAACAGAAAACCGGATACGCACAACATTGTCGAACCAAACCAAGAAATGGTATTGATTGATATGTAGAAGTAGAACCAAACTAAGAAATGGCAATGACTTGATACCAGGCAGAGCACCTAAACGTCGCTTGCTGGAGTGCTAACGTAAAACATTCCGACGTAATTCACGGGCGATTTGGGCTAATGCTTGCTCTGTATGTCGAAGTTCCATATTCAATAACTCAATTTCTGCAGTCCACCAAATTACAATACAATGTTTACTGACAAATCCAACAATACAGATATGAAACACACAAAGGAATCCACGAACGATACTTTGTTGTAGTCACTCCTTCTCCGCAATTTGCTGGGAGGTCGGACCTTTTGGTTGCGCGATGATGGCTCGCTTGAACCTTATGAGAAAGCAAATGATAACATGTAAGTTGCACACCCATGAAAATGACAGTAAACAAACATTTAAATCAAATGAGGAAAATGTTGAATTCTTTGCAATTACATTGACTGCCTGGGAGCCGACTATGAGGTCTAATGGACCTTGACGATGAGGCAGCATTGGTGTGTTGATTACGAACCATGGGGTCTCTGGAAGATGCTATTTAGCTCAACTCATGAGGCAGTCGAACACTACCAATACCTGCCAATTCCAGTCGCAAGAAAAACCGCACCGATGCTGATCCTCTAGAGTGACTGAGTAGATACTCCAGATGCCAAAACAGGGAAAGGCTAGGAGAAAACTCTGGATTCCAATCGGAGAAGGTCCTTGGAAGAAATTGAACCGCGTTATTGTGCCTGCCACTGAATCCTACGCCTCTTCCAATTACGGGCAGAGAATACAAATTCGAGGGATGCTAATTACCAAGAATCGGCTATATAGATGAATAGATGCTAACTCGGGAAACACATCAACTATGTAAACCGGAGGGAGAAGTGAGGGCCGTCGCGAGATGTGAGTTGTAGAGAGTATACCGGGTTACCATCCGTCGGGATGAAACACAGAGGAATGAGGAGACGATGGTTGAACGAAGCAGATATCGCCTGTGAAGTTGGGCGGCCTGAATAGCGATGGTGATCGGCTGGGGATGGCAGGAATTGAAAATCCCCAAACCTAGGTGTCCCTTTTCTTTTCTACTGGAAGTCCCCCGAGTTTTTTTTAATTGTTTTAAAAGGGAAAATATCTGTGTAAGTCCTTGTCTTTTACCCTTGTCGACTGATTAGTCCTTAATTAGTCAAACTTGCTCAATTCCATATATTTCCTCTCTAGACCCCTTTGCCTATGCATTTTTTACCTATGAATCTGCATTTAGGTGTTGCCTCTGCAGTGCAAGAACACGAAAACAAACCTAATCCAACCTTATTTGAGCTCATATTAAAGGGTAAAACATTAAGTACTCTAGCTTATTATTATCACAGGGGAAAAAATATAGATAGAATCGGTGGGATAGATGAATAAATGCTAACCCGTGAAAAACATGAACGGTGTAAACCCAAGGGAGAAGTGAGGGACGTCGTGAGAAGTGAGAAAGAGGGCGCTAACGACAATCTTTGGCGTTTTTTATGGAATGTGTGAACGACGGGAGGATAGGTATAGGAAGGCGACAGACCAGCCCCAATAGGAACATCGTCGTGGCCTTCTCTCGTGGGCTAGACAGCTGGTGTGGGCTTTACAAACTTAAAACTCAAAACAACAATTAAACATGTGAAATGTCGGACATGTAATGGAAATTGCTCTGGATGATGAAATTTGAAAACCCATCAATTTGGAGATCTCAATCTTAGTTGCAACTAACCTAATCTGGACAAACATACCCTGCTGTGCTTTCTAATCAACTTAAAAATATTAACAATCCAACCCAAGCATGAAACAGATAATTAAAAATCATTAAACTTAAATTATGGAGAAAATAAGAGTTGAGTGTTATGTTCATGGGTTTAATTCTAGGGGCGAACAGAAAATCTCAATTCTTTGGGAACAAACCAATAGTCTGGAAAAACATAATATAGAAAAAACGTAGATAATAAAGCTGGAAACTCAATGGAAGCTCAGGACATAGAAGATCACTCCAATGGCATCTTTCTCTTCAGCTTGTTTGCAGAACTGTCAGGACCTTTGACTGCTCCATAAGACTCTTCAGGGTTGCCAATTTGGTTTGCATCAGGTGAAGGTTGGTATGACTCGCTACTAGTGGTAATAAATGAAGAGGATTCATCCTTGTGCAGGGGCAAATCTTTCTCCTGCAGAGTACATTCAATTATAATCAAGTTGTTATGTGGCACTAACACACCCTAAGAGGTACTATTAACATGGGAAATGTGAGTTTATTTTAGTGCCAATATATGTAACACTATTTCCACGAATTTCCAACCCAGTTTCAAATAGGAGACAATCATTATTCCAGTTACTTAAGTCAGTAACACAAATGAAATCTAATCGAACAAAAAAATCATCATCTTTTCTAGGTGCTGCCTGCCTGCCTCTGCCACTCAAAAACACGAAAACGTACCTACTTCGAAGAAATTTTAGCTCATATTAAAGGGTAAAACATGAAGGACTCCAGCTTATTTGTGATCAAAGGAAAAAAATATATAGATACAATTGGTTGGATAGATGAATAGCTGCTAACACTATTTCTCCCTAAACTTGCAACCCAGTTTCAAATAGAAGACAATCATTATTCCAGTTACTTAAGGCAATAACACAAATGAAATCTAATCCAACAAAACACCTCGACCAACCCAAAATGTTTGAATCAATAGCATAAGTGTTTGAATTCATGTTTGAACTGGAAATAAAGTAAAAAAACCCCGATTTCCTAGCATGCATGAATATGATTCTCAAAGTCAACCAATATTCAATACTGAACATGTATAGTTGGAGTGATGAGTCAACTGACCTGTGTAGTGCCATCCAATATTCAGAGCACAGTGAAATCAACTTTCCCATCTTCGTACGGGTGAAATTAAATTTGACCTGGAATTCCTTTGTGGTACCCACTATCTCGAGGAGTTGTTCAGGAAGTGAAGTATTGTTTTGGCCAGTCTTGTCGAAAATTTCATTAGCACTGATTCCAAAGAATCGGTGCGCTTCATAGTCAAAGATGATAAAGGTTGCTGAGTTAGACTCGCTTTGCACCTCAAGCTTCACACGGTACCTTTTTTTTTTTTACACAAGCTTCACACGGTACCTAATAAGATGTGAATTGGAAAAAAAGAAAGTTTAGTTTATTCCTTTTCAATAATCACAGAAGTAATAATTCGAACTACTATGAGGAGCTTTACCTGGCAGCCTTGACTAGTGTATTTTTGTTGCATTTTACACATAAAGATTGGCTCTGCCTTTTTATCGGCTTATAGACACAGCTAGGGCAGCACATATCACACCATCCAGCCTTGATTTCGATGACTTTGCACTCAACGGAAAATTCCATTTCCTAATGTTAAATTATCAACTCAATCATTAGATAATAATCGCAAGAATTGAGAAAGTGTGAAATAAATTGAGCTAATCTCATTGTCTGGGTCCATCGACAATTCCAGAACGCAAGGGAAACAATAGGAAACTTCGGACCTGCAGCCTGTTCTACAAAGATGGGGAGTTCTGGTTCCACATTCCTGCGTTGGAAAATCTTTAGTCATCAAATCAATAGGTGGCAAAATAGGTTAGGAGCCTAGATTTGAACGAAGTCACCAATAAATACCTAGTGGTGAAAGCAGTTACTGCATGGACATCAGGAGTATCATACAAAACTGTAGACCCGGAAGAAGAAAATGATAGTTCCTCTGTGTAAATGTAAACAACGTCAGGTTTTTCTCTTCATCCATAAAATATGACACAATGGCAGCTAACTAATGCTAAATTTACCTTTGTATTCATGCACAGTAACAACAGTTACAACCAGTATAATCTGTCTATCTCCAGCTTAATCAACTATCTTATCTAACTGTTCAATAACTCTTCCCCATATGGTTACTTTGACAACATCTCCCCTACAGGCACATAATATACAGAAGTCCGTGTGTTATGAAAACTAAAAGGTAAACTGAATACTGAAGAATGAAAAGCCTATTTAGAATGCTGGATACTGAAAACATGTCCCCCAGTGGCAGTTGAAATAAATAAGTCCACATATAACCACCACTTTGACAATGTCTAATCTAGCTACTGTGGTTCTCTAGACTGAAAACTAAAAAGATAAATAGAAACTTACTCAATTAGCTTCATTTGCTGCTCCTTTCGAATGGTCCTCCGGGTAATATTGCTTGTTTTGATGACGTTTGAATGTTGAGCTAATGACGTTTGAATGTTGAACTAATTCACCAACAACATCTACGAAATAAATACGTGACATGAGTTGCAATGTAGGGGTCAGTACCAGCAAAAACAGACTGGGGTGAAGGCAAAAACAGAATGGGGTGAAGGATTAACCTGAGAGGATTTTTTTTCTCTTTCTTAGATGTAATATCACTTGCTTTCGTGAAAGTGAACTTGAAAGTAGGAATGCAGGGGATGTCAGGGATGTGTTGAACAGTCGTGTTCCGAGTAAAAGACATTACATATGCGTTGGCAATCAGTCGGTGTGTCAATCCGGTTGCTTTGATATCAAAGTCCTTGATTATGTAAACATGGTGTTGCTTCAGCAGTTGCTTGAACTTATTTTGCAGCACCGTAGGAATAAGAACCCATATGTCACTGCCCTGGGTGTCATAAAACAAAAATTAGAACGAGGCCACTTCATTGTTAAAATATGGAATTTGGTTCGCTGTACAAAACAAGATTACTTTTGAATCCATGAGGATCAAGTCCAAATGGAGTACTTTGTCTATCGTAACATTCACTCCCGGCCACAACCTAGAAACACGACAAATGGCTTGACCATAATTGCTTCTCCAAATCCAGGTCTCGCATTCTGCTGACTTCCATCTTGCAAAAGGCCAACGTACATGTGATAGATAATTAAAGTACTGAAGAATTAAATTATCTTGCCGATGCTGATACACAATTTTAAAAAAAGGCTTAGAAGGCTAAGAACCTGGGAAAATTGAAGAATGGAGAATTTGAGAATTGCAATACGCTCTGTGAAGTGATTCTAATGACATGGGGCATATATATTACGAATCTGAAAGTTGATGTAGTGAGAAAAATGTCCACGTAGACACGACCAACAACATCTTTTGAGTGGGAGAGGGGGTTGCATTCGATAACTTGGACGGGTTTTACGGGGACGTGAGGTGGAGATGGAATAACGGTAAGGAACTCAACTTCCAGGTGGTCTTCATGAAGGACCTGTAATGGATGTTAGCTGCCACCCTGGCTACCCGATTCTTGTCAGCTCATGGGATGGCCGCATCACGAAATGGGAGTTTCCGGGCCCTGATGAGGAGTCGAATCCATCGGCAGTCAAACGGAAGAAGAGAACTATTCGCCAGCATTTTCTATACTGAGTGAGGAGAAGGAAGAGAGCCATGTTCTTCTTTGAGGGGCATAGTGAAGGAATTGGGATCGACATCACCATAGTGAAGGAAATTAGGTCAGGTGAAATTGGCGGTCGCATGGCGGCAGGGGAAGGAAGAACGGAAGAGTTGACTCAATTGGAATAAGCTGACCACCTTCCACATAACCAATCCCTACGTGGCAGTGTTCTGAATCTGCTTCTTATATTTTAGAGACTAGTTACAGAACCCAGCTGGCCGGATACATTTCATCAATGGTATAAACAATAGATAGTAATTGTTTCAACCATTAACAACATAAATATATTCATCATCGATTCTACTATCACCACTCTCAAATGTATCTTCCTTCTTCTTAACAACATCGTTATATGTATCAGTGACTCCACTGCCCCCACCATCACTAGGGCCTTTGTTATTCTCCTTATTCATTGCTAACAAATTTGAAGGCAAAACTAATGTAAATATGAAACATCATTATCATGCAAAATAGTTTACCTTATCCAAGTCGTTTGCAATAATTGTTGGAGATGTGAACTTTCCATCTTTGATTATCTTTCAAACTATGAATTTACTCATGAGATTTGTAATTTTTCCTTGTCATTTATGTGATTTTCAATATATTAGCTCAATTTTTAGAGAAAAAAAAGGTGGGTTACTTCTTCAATCACTATTTTGGAATAGTTTCTCAACATCATGCAACTTTAAAAAAAAAAAATCTTAGTCATGTGCACTTCAAAATTACAAAGTCGGGTTCAACTTTTTCTTTCACAACATGAAGTTAGATTGAGATTCCCTATTCAATCAATAGTATAATTACATATGTCCAAAACCGTCCACCCATGCAATATTACTTGTCCTCCACTTTATAATTGTAACACGTCTTTTTGTACTCTCCAGGGACGGAGCTAGCTTGTATGAAGGGGGGGGGGGGTCATGCCCCCGTCCCCCTCTAAACTTGCGAAATTGGATAAAACGTGATTATGGAGCACAAAAAGTTATGGTAGTGTAGTGGTTGGAGAGTTAATTTACTCTCAGCATTTAGAGAAAGATGAAGAGTTCGAAGGCCGAATCCACCATTTTTCTCAAGTTTTTGCTTATTATCAGCCTTCTTACATTTTTATCTAAATTTTCTTCCTTTCAAATCACTTGTTCAATGTTGATTATCTCCTCTCTCTTTGTAAGTTAATTTCTTTAAAAATATATCATGTTTTATATTGATAGATAGTCAAATCTTGATCACTATAGTTTACGGTTAGATCTAATTTACAATTTGAATTTGTTTATGAGAATTTTTTTTTTGAATTATCATATTGGTAAGTATAGGAGACTATGAAAGACATGATTTTTTATAAAGGATTTCATAAGTATGGATATATGATTTTTTCAAATTTTTGGCGAAATTTTAAGTGGATTCTATATAATTTTTTTTTGTTGGTTTAAATGTGATATGTAAATCTCATACATGTGTATTGGAAAAAAATTTGGCCCCCCTACTTAAAAATCCTGGCTCCGTCCCTAGTACTTCCATGCCTAAATGACCCCATTATTTTGCTATCATATAACCCTTATAATTAAGTAAGTTACATATATAAGTTTCATGTAAAAGATGGTATTTTCGATAATGCGCATTTAAAATTCTTTCATAAGCCATTACAAAAATCTCATGAAATAGGAATGACAATTTTGACCTAGCCCATATTATTCGGTGTATTTGACCTGGTTTAAATTGGGCAATACCTACCCTTATAGGGGGCGGGTGGGTATGATTACTCTTTTTAACCCGTTTTTGTCTAAATTATATATAATTTTACTCAGATATATTGCTTAGGATTTTATTTTTATTGTCTTAACAATAATAAAGTTGTAAATAGTTTATTAGCATCATGCCTCCACCATTAAAAGGATCTTGGTCATTCTTCTCATTTCGTTGCTATCAAACTTGAAGGCAAAACTTAAACTTATGCAAATATGAAACATCATTATCATCATGCCAAACAAATTTATCTCATCCCAGTCATTTGCAATAATTATTGGAGATGTGTTCTTTCTCATTTTTTATTGTCTTTCAAACTATGAATTTACTCATGATATTTGTAAATTTTCACTGTTATTTATGTGATTTTAACTCCATTACCTCAATTTTTAGAAAAAGAGGTGGAGGATGTCCTCTTCTACCACTATTTTGTAAATAGTTTCTTAGCATCATACAAATTCAAATAAAATCTTAGTCCTTTGTATTTCAAAATTACAAAGGTCGGTTCAACTTATTTCTTCACAACATGAAGTTAGATTGAGATTCACTATTCAATTCAATAATATAATTACATATGTCCAAAACCTCCACCATTGGAACAATAATTGCCCTCCACTTATAATTGTAACACATCTTTTTGTACTCTCATGAATAATACCACCGTTATTTTGCTACCATATAACCTTTATAATTAAAGAAGTTACTTAAGTTTCATGTAAAAAATGTTATTTTAGGTAATGTGTATTGAATATTCTTACATAAGCCATTACAAAAATGTCACGAAAGAGGGATAGACAATTTTGACATAACTCATATTATCCGATCTATTTGACATGTGTTAAAGTGGGCAATGCATACCCCTTATAGGGGCGGGCGGGTGTGAGTATTCTTATCGGCCTCATTGATTCTAACATCCTCAATGCTCAACCCATTTTTTTCTAAATTTTATATAGTTTTACTTAGATTGCTTAGGATTGTGTTTTTATTGCCTTATAATTTAGGATAATAGTTTCTCAGCATCATTCCTCCACCATCAAAAAGGTCTTTGTCATTCTTCTCATTTCATTACTAACAAATTTGAAAGCAAAACTTATTATACAAATATGAAACATCATTATCATGCAAAATAAAGTTACCTCATCCAAGCGGTTTGCAATAATTGTTGGAGATGTGTTCTTTCCCATCTTTGATGATCTTTCAAACTACGAATTCACTTATGAGATTTGTAATTTCCACCGTCATTTATGTGATTTTCACTAATCTCAATTTTAGAAAAAGAGGAGGATATTCTCTTCTACCACTAATTTGAAATAGGTTCTCAGCATTATGCAACTCCAAAAGAAAATCTTGTCCTTCGCACTTCAAAATTACAAAGTCTGGTTCCACTTTTTTCTTCACAAGATAAAGTTAGATTGATATTCACTATTCAATTCAATTGTATAATTACATATGTCCAAAACCCTCCGCCCTTGCAACATTACTTTCCCTCCACTTTATAATGGTAATACGTCTTTTTGTACTCCCATGTATAAATAACCCATTATTTTGCTACCATATAACCCCTATATAAAGAAGTTACATAAGTTTCATGTAAAAGATGGTATTTTAGATAATATGTATGAAAAATTCTTACATAAGTCATTACAAAAATATCATGAAATAGGGATGGAAATTTTAACCTAATCCATATTGTCTGATCTATTTGACGTGCTTTAAAGTGGGCAACCCATACCCCTCATGGGGGCGGGCGGGTATGAGTACTCTTCTCGACCTCACCCATCCTGACATCCTTTACATGTTTTTTCTAAATAATATATAATTTTACTCGGATTAATTAGGATTTTATTTTAAATGTGTTATAATTTTAAAATAATATAGTTGTAAATAAATGAGAATCTAAACTAACTATATTTTATCATGTTATCACAATTGCCATTCCTAATGCGAGAGGGATTGATGTAGGGATGGCAATTTCGACCTGGCCTGTTTTACCCGACCTGTTTGGTCTGTTTTGGGGCGGGTCCGACCCGTCCCGTAGGAGGGGCAGGGCGGGCATGGGTACCTCTCGTCGACCCGACCTGCCCTGACCCGCCTCATTCTCGACCCGTTCTTGCCTAAATTACATGTAATCTTAGTCAAATTACTTAGAATTTTTCTCATATTACCTCATATTTTAGCTATAATAAAGTTATAAATAAGTGAAAACCTCAATTTTTTTCTCGTTGAATCAGTCGCTTTTATTTCTCAAGGAAAGGTAACCGATACAACGAAGGGGGCTTCCAAGGAGGATGTCCCCCGATATATCACTCAACTAGCTGAAACTAATCTCACCTGCTCTCGAAAACTAATACTTACACTTTTCAAATATAAGCCTATAAGTAACCAAGATGAACAAAAGCATCTCGAATCCCTCTATCCCCATGAGATATGAACATTAAGTCGGCTCTAATTAGATCAACAATAAGTTATGGCGTTCTACATAAGGTTCCATGTACCACTCGGCAGCGTTCTTTCCAGATATAAGACACTGTTATACACCACAGCAGCGCGTGCCACTGTCCATGAGAACTCCTGCTGATAAACCCTGTGATAACCTGCATCATCGCATCCCAATTCTGAAAATTCAAATGAGGTATATGAAGCTGCTCATAGAGTCTTTGAGAAAAATTGCAGCAGAGAAAAAGGTGCTCACGATCTTCTACTCCTGTGCCACATAGTGGACAGGCAGCATCTTTAATTTTCCCCCACTTCAGCAACTTGTCTCGAGTGGTGATAGTATTTCGTATTATCAGCCAAGCAATCAAACTAAACCGAGGAGGACAATACTTGCTCCAGATGAGCTTATACCAGCAAACTTTAGCCTTCTTCTTGCGCAAAGTTTCCCAAACTCTTTTAACTGAGTAAACCCTCATCTCCTGCGATTCCCAAAGTATGTCCCATTCTGCTGTTGAATCCATGGTGCAAGAACACCACGCAGCTTCAGCGGCCTTCTCCAAACCCAGGAACTACTATACTGCACTTTCATTGACCAGAGATCTCCTTGCCTGCACTTATATTCTGCCACCCATGCCACCCACAAGGTCCCAGCTTTCATAAGAAAAAACCAGAGTAATCGAGCAGCACAGGCTTGGTTCCATGCAACCAAATCCTTTAACCCAAGACCACCTTCCATCCTAGGCAAAGCCACAGAGCCCCATGCAACCTTTGCCTTACCCATATCATTACCATGCCATAGAAATTGAGAGCAAACCTGCTGGATCTTCTTCAATGCTTTCTTTGGGAGTACAAAAAGCTGCATCCAATATTGAACTACTCCAAGCAAGACTGAATCAATAAGTTTCAGTCTACCAGCATATGTTAGTTTCTTGGCACGCCATGATTTGATCCTTTTAGTTATCTTGTCCACAAGTATATCAACCTCTTTAGAAGAGAGCTTTCCAGACATCAGGGGAAACCCCGAGTATCTGACAGGCAGAGTACCCTCCTTGAAACCAGAAAGATGCAGAGCATTGCTCTTATACTGGATAGCCTCTCCTCCAAAAATATATTTCACATTTTGAAGGGTTGCTCTTGAGCCCTGATAGCTTATAGAAATGGTGCAGGACCTCTTTAACCTGGAGGATTGCCTGAGCAGAGCCAGTAGTAAAAACCAGAATATCATCCGCAAAGCATAGGTGATTTAATGAGACCCTCTGCATTGAGGGTGAAAAGGAATTCTACCAGTCTGACTTGATGCAAGCAACATAGTTGATAACCCCTCCATAGCAATGGTGAACAGGTAAGGCGACAAAGGATCACCTTGCCTGACACCCTTTCTAGCTCTGAAGAACCCACAAATGCTGCCATTTATGTTGAAGCTATAATGGGCAGTTTGTAAACAAGCCCTGATCCACTTCATAATTGTTCAGGGAACCCCATCGATTGCATCATAAGAAAAAGATAATGCCAGTTAACTGAGTCAAATGCCTTCATGATGTCAATTTTGATTGCACATCTAGAAGACAGGTGACTTCTATTATATCCATTCACAAGCTCCTGAGCCAACAGAATGTTGTCCATAATGCTCCTACCCTTAACAAATGCTGATTGTGTACTACTAATAACCAATGGCATAATATCACTAATGCGCCTGGCAAGTATCTTGGCTATTATTTTATAGAGCAAGTTCACACATGAAATAGGCCGATAATTCTTTAAGGTATCAGCATTTGATATTTTAGGGATAAGGGACACAGCAGTAGCATTCACTCCACTAGGGAGATTACCTGTTTTGAAGAAGTAGAGAATCCCATTAATGATATCCTCCCCAATAATTGGCCACGTCTTCCTATAAAATCATGCTGAAAACCCATCTGGCCCTGGCGCTTTTTGAGGATTCAAGCTGAATACCACACTTCTAATCTCCTCTGCTGTGATTTCCTTAACCAGATTAGCACATTCATGATCAGGTAATCTTTGTCGAACCAGCTGGTCAACTTCCTCTCTACTTGGATTAATCTCCATATTAACTTCCCCCAAGAGTTTTTTGTAATATCCCAGAACCTCCTCAACAAGCTGCTCAGCCTGATACAATTCCACCCCAGAGTCTGTAACCAACTTCCTGATAGCACGTTTAGAGTTGTGAATCTTGACAGCTTGATGGAAGAAATTGGAGCTCTGATCTCCAACTTTCAACCAAGAAACTCTCGATTTTTGCCAACAAAAGCTTTCATATGCTGAGATTATGTGATTATAGTGATCCTTCTTAAGAGAAACAGCTTCAAAATTATCTGAGGTAGGGTCTTGATATGCTGTTGTTTGGGCACGCAATAGTTCCCCCTCAGCCTCCTTAACCTGGTCCTGCAAGTTACCATACACTTCCTTATTGATTTTCTTTAAAGCTTGCTTAACTCGACCCATTTTAACTTGAATAACCTGTAAAGGGGACCCAGAGACTTCACCATTCCATGCTTCTTCAACTATCCCCAAAAAGAGAGGGTGCTCTGCCCAAAATTCGAAGTACTTGAAGGGCTTGGGTAGAGATTTTATAGGAGCTACTGTAGAAACCAGGATCCCACAATGATCAGAAAATGGAGCAGGTATAGCTTCCATAGTGCAATTTTTGAACTGCTCAATCCACTCTATGTTAACTAAGCCTCTGTCAAGACGTCGAGCAATAGGGTGTTGAGATTGCCTATTTGTCCAAGTAAATTGTGGCCCTGTTGTTCTATAGTCCACCAATTCCATCTCATCAATCCACTTATTAAACTCCTCCATACTTGAAGTAATTGATCTCTAATTAGAAGTCTCCTGAGGGGATCTTACAGTGTTAAAATCTCCCCCAATTATCCAGGGATAACCTACCACTTTCAACTGAGTAATCTCCTTATAAGTTTGTACACTTTCATTTTCATCATTAGAAGCATATACTGTTGTAAAGAAAAAGGAATCCTTATTTATATCTTCTATCAAGCAATGAATAAAATGCTTTCTTTGCTTTACTATCTGTACCTTAATAGCTGGATCCCAAAACAACCAAACTCTTCCCAAATTTGAATCATAACAGTTGAGACACTTCTGCCACCCCATAAAAACCTCATCTACTGCTTCCTCTGCTTTATTTGCCTACACCGTAGTCTCAAGGACTGCTACTACATCTACTTTACTCCTACGTAGGACTTGCATCAAGTCCCTCTGCTTGGAGGTTTTTATTAAACCCCCTTACATTCCAAAACAAAACGATCATTTCGAAGTAGGGGGCTTCCCCCCACCCTTCTTCAAATCTTTCTTTACTTCTTTTTTCTTTGGTGCTTCCTGAATCTCCCCCTTACCCACCTCCTGATCACTCAATTTCCCTATGACACTGAAGGATGAATTTGAAATTTGAATACCTTTAGAGCTATCCTGAGAGAGCCAGATGCGAGGTTTTGCCCCATTGACTACTCTTTGAAACTCTGCTTCAGAGGGTAAATTTTGTGATGCCGAAGTAGCCACTTCCTGAAAGGATTTCTCTAAATTCTGAGGGACCACTTTGCTTCCCCCCACCAGACTTGGAGTAGAAAATATAGCCATCAGTTGAGGATCATTATCATATACAACCACCTCCTCACCCTTATCCAGGACTTTCTGTTGATCCATAGTCACACTCTCAGTCATACTTCCTTCCTTTTTCACTAACTGGTTTTGTTTATTCAGCCCCTGAACTGTAGTCCCCTCATTTTGCACTGACTTTGCCACCCACTGCTTACCCTGATGATCAGCACATGAGCCAGTAATGCCAAAAAGATGACAGACATGGCAAATAGGGGGCAAGTTGCAGTAGGTGATTCCAATGCGTATGGAGGAGTCATCATCAGGCCATAACAGCACATGATCCAGGCATTCACTATCAACTGTGAGCTCTACCAGGACTTTGGCAAAGCCATGCCTGTCCCCCATTCGGGTTGTATGATCCATACCCAGTGGAACCCCAATCCAACTCGCTATCCTACTCAACCCCTGAAAATCATTATACTCTAGTGGAACATTCATCAAATTCACCCAGATCGGCAGAGCCTTCCTCCCCAAATCCTCATAACTAATACCTGGAACCCAAGGCCGAAGATACAGCAGATTGTTGAACCAGAACCATGGGCCATTCTCAAGAATCCAATCACAAACCTTCTGGTTGGGCAGTTGAATGAGTAGCATCTTGTCATAGAGTAGCGAAACCCTAACCAGTCCATCTCGCCCCCACAGCTTATTGACCCAGCGACGCAGCACATACAGTGAAGGCGGATCTTGTAAAAACTGATCAACTAGGCAATGCTTCCAGCGAGCTGCTCCTGCTTCACGAACAGCCTTGGGCATCCTCAAACCGCCATTGATAACCTCGAGTGGGATATATGTAAGGCGATTGGCCTCAGAGATCCCAAACAGCGACGCCCAGGGTTTCGAAGGGATCCCCTGAGAATCGCCGCTCAGTGTCTCTGAAGCCGAAATGGGTATCGCAGCACTCAATTCACTCATAAGAGAACAGAATAAGAGGGGGAAAGGAGCTGCTCCGGCGCAGATGCTGGAGCCGGCGGCGAGGAAGTCGTGAACCCTCAGTCACCGAGCAGTCGCACTCTCTCTCTACACTGTAAATTTCACATAACCATATTTTATCATATTATGGTTTGTTTCTTGGTCTTTTAATGAAAATAATGAATACTTATTAAGTTTTTCACATAAATTACATACCCATTGGGTCGACCTACCCCGACCCGCTCCTCATCATAAATTACCGACCTGGACTCGACCTGCCACGGAACGAGTATGGTATCGAGATACCCGGCTCGGACCTGGCCAATTGTCAATCCTAGATTGATGCAAGGATAGGCAGCTAAAGTTAAATAGTGGAGGTTGAATAAAAAAAATGCAAATTTTACTAAGCCGCTATTGTTTTTGTCTTTTTGGTAGCATTAAGCAGCTATTTATTTGTACCTCAATTTTATTTGCCTATTAAACCATCAATTAGTAGCAAAACGGCCCATATAGATAAAAAGACTAAATATTAAATAATCTTTCCGTACTGTGCGGTGAAAGGATGAAAAATTGAATTGTGGGAGTGGAGAACTCTCCATATATGATTTGTAGGACAAGTTGAGATTCATTTAATCATATTTTTATTGTCATGCATGCAATTTGAGAAAGATTATGACTTTGATGCTTTTGATTTCTTTAAAAGATATTTACACGTTGTTGATGCTTTGAGATTCATCAACCATCTAAATCAAATAGAGAAAATTCAACACATAATCTTTAATGAATTCTTTTGGGTAAATGCCACATTTGGTCACTAAGATTATTAAATCGTATCATGTTTAGTTATTAGAAAGTTTTAAAATAAATTTTGGTCACTCGAATTACTGGAACATGTCACATTTAGTCACTCTCACGTTAGCCTCCGTCCAACTCCGGTCACTCGAATGACTGAAACATGTAACATTTAGTCACTCTAATTACTAAAACATGTCACATACCTGTTCCAGTAATTCGAGTGACCAAAATTGATATTAAATTTTTCTAGTAACTAAAAATGACACTATTTAGTAATTTTAGTGACCAAATGTGGCAATTACCCGAACGCAAGCAAACGCTACCGTTTGACAGTAGATGGATCCTTTTGCCTACCACTACCAACCAGCAAAGATGAAATTAAAAAAATTCCCTGCCACAATCACAAAGTATCTCTAACTCCGATGGGCCTTTCCAGCAGACCCGACACTCCCGAACCAGACACCGAATCCTCTCTCCTCCTCCATCCATCAGAAAATCCGCCGCCGATCTCCTCCAAGGTCCCAGAGGACAGTTACCACCTAGCCTACATAATCCACTTCACTCTCGGCTTCGGCTACCTCCTCCCATGGAACGCCTTCATCACCGCCGTCGATTACTTCTCCTACATCTACCCGGGCGTCTCCGTCGACCGGATCTTCGCCGTCGCTTACATGCTCGTCGGCCTCATCTGCCTCGCCGTCATCGTCTTCTACGCCCATAAATCGGACGCTTATATCCGGATCAATGCGGGTCTGATCCTGTTCGTCGTCGTCCTCCTGGTGCCTCCGGTTCTCGACACCACTTACATCAAGGGTCGGGTCGGGTTGTACGACGGGTTCTATGCCACCGTCGGGGCTCTGGCTCTTACCGGGTTGGCGGATGCTCTGGCCCAAGGTGGGCTAATTGGGGCCGCTGGGGAGCTGCCTGAGCGATATACGCAGGCTGTCATCGCTGGAACAGCTGGCTCTGGTAAAATTTCCCCATTGCGTGTTCTTCTTCTCTCTACTTCGGCTTGAGCGTTGACCTCCGGCTGTGAAATCTGTGGGTCTTTTCGTAATTTGGTTGAGCAGTAAGGTTGTGATTTGATGCTTTGAGAATCCACATTTGAAGCAATTTTGTTCCCTTCTGCAACTTTTGTTGTATGTGAGATGAAACTCGAACTTCGGCTCTGAATTTAATGTCTAAGACTCGAGTTCCTTTTGATGACAATGGCTAGTTTCATCATACATTGAGTCACTGCCATCATGATGGAGATCTAGAGGGTAATTTATATGCTTGTTTCATGGCTGATTTCAGTTTGATGAAAGGAAGTCTTGATTTGTATGATTGGGTTTGTTCTTATAGTCCAGGAAGGTAAGTTTAAATGGAGCAGTGCCGTTCACTTAGTTGCAACATAGTAAACTCTTACAGCTAAATTATGGCTTTAAGGAAGCTAGATTTCGAAATTACTTCATCCGCGATGAGAAGTTCGACTTGCTTTTCTGTAGCTAATTTTTTGGGTGTAAATTTGTTGATACTATGTGGGACTATTGCTGATCTAGGAGTGCTTCCTTGATCGGTGACAGCTGTTAGATTTTGCTGATGAAAAACTGGTCATGATGACCTTCTAAGTTCTAACTATGTAAACCATATATGTGCAGGGGTCCTTGTTTCATTTCTAAGAGTCTTCACCAAAGCTGTGTATTCACAGGATCCAACTGGGATCAGAAACAGTGCAAACCTCTATTTCATAGTTGGGATTGCAGTCATGGGCATCTGCATTGTCTTCTACAATGTGGCACATAGACTCCCAATCATGCAGTACTATGCTGATTTGAAGGTTCAGGCTGTAAACATGGAAAGAGACAAGGGTTCTATGACGGGAGCCCAATGGAGATCAAGCTTGTTGGGGACAGTGGGGAGTATCAAGTGGCACGGGGTCGGGATCGTCCTAATCTATGCCGTCACCCTGGCCATCTTTCCAGGCTACATAACAGAGGATGTGAAATCCGAGGCCATGAAGGATTGGTATCCAATCCTCCTCATATCCTGCTTCAACGTGTTTGACCTTGTTGGCAAGTCAATGACTGCCCTCTACATGCTTCAGAACTGGAAGGTTGCAGTTGCTGCTTGCTTTGCCAGGCTGCTCTTCTTCCCTCTCTTTCTGGGTTGCCTGCACGGCCCTGAATTCTTCAGAACCGAGGTCCCTGTGTCGGTGCTGACTTGCCTCTTGGGACTTACCAACGGCTATCTGACCAGTGTGCTGATGATTTTAGCTCCAAAGTCTGTTCCTTTTCACCAATCTGAGACTGCGGGGATTGTCTCTGTCTTGTTCCTCACTCTTGGTCTGGCTATAGGTTCCATAATAGCCTGGTTTTGGGTCGTCTGATGTATAATCAACGCCGGCTCCGAGGCCGCTTGAAGTGTATGCTTTAAACCAGGGGCGCAAACTGATGTATGGAAATGGTGGCAGCACTTTCCTTTGTATTCATTCTCTTGATTGTGTATAAAGCAAACTAGATCCGTCCCCAATGCGAAAGGAAAACTGGGGTGGGATGCGCATGATGAAAAACTCTGAAAAGTTCCAATTTTTATGTAAATTTGATAACCTTGTGTAGCCTACTTGGACATCAGAAGAAAGCAATCGCTAGCCTTTGTTTTATTACGTGTTCGCATGAAATTTAAGAGCGTCGCTGGTTTAAAAGCTGGCTCTGGTTTTGAAGCTTATATACGCTACTTGTTAGTTCTTAAGTAAGGACGTTTACCTTCTACGAACCTAGTTATAGTTTTTACTAGGCTTAATTGCAAGTTTGGTCACTCGAATTGCTACAAAATTTCACGTTTGGGCACTAAAATTGGTTTATTCCATTAGTAGTCACTTAAATTAGTTGAATAGTCCAAGTTCGGTCACTCTCCGTTAACCTCCGTTAGACTTTGTTAATGACGACCGTTAAGTGATGACGTGGCTAACAGAAAATCACAGTCAGCATATTTTAACCCTAAAAAATCACTACCCGACCCGCCACGTAAGATTTGCCCACCATATCACCTTTCCCTACCCAACCCGCAAATCAACCCAATAATCGACCCAACCCCAAACCCAACCTCCCGAATCTAAAAAGTAAAATCGACTTCCTTCCTCCTCCTCCTCCTCCTCCTCAAACGCCCACCTCCTTCCCCGACCATTCACCGAAGCCCCCAAAATCGGCGGCCGCCACCCGGCCATCGCCGGAGTCAAAACCTACCTCCGCCGCTACGGATTCGCAGATGGGTTTGTCGTTGTGCAGAAGGACATGGATTTTCTTGTGGACAGGGTTTGATTTGAGGAGCAGCTCGCACTTGGATCCGAACTGCTCCTGAAGGAGCTCGTACTCGACGGATTTGACGTTGAGCGCGATTCTAGGCCTCATTACGTAAGGGCTCGCCTAGGCGCCGATCAGTTTCACATCTCCGCGTGCTGCTTCGGTATCACCAGCCGGTTCAGCTTCCCGACGTCGCTCGGCGTCACCACTTTGTCGAACTTGTGCTCCTTCTCTTTCGGCATCGCCGTCGAAGACGGTCCGGCTCCGCGGTGGAGATCGGGATCCGCATCGCTCGAGCTCCCGAGGGACAGGTCCACGAAGTTGAGCAGCCGGTTGTTGAAATTGAAGGCCGCAGAGGACGGGGCGGGGGCGGCGTGGTGGTGGTGGTGTTGAGGGAGGAAGTTTCGGTACTAGATAGCGGAACGAGATGCAGCAGCAGAAGAAGATGAATATTGAGATGAGGGATCGTTGTAACTGGAAGGGAAATGGAGATTGGGGGTTGGAATTGCGGAAGCAGCACCATAGTCTTCTTCTTCAGATTCAAGGGGGTCGGGTTTGGGGTTGGATCGATTATTGGGTTGGTTTGCTGGTTGGGTAGGGAAGGGTGACATGGCGGGCAAATCTGACGTGGCGGGTCGGGTAGTCATTTTTTAGGGTTAAAATATGCTGACTGTGATTTTTTGTTAGCCACGTCATCACTTAACGGTTGTCATTAACGGAGTCTAACGGAGGTTAACGGAGAGTGACCGAACTTGAACTGTTCAACTAATTTAAGTGACTACTAATGGCATAAACCAATTTTAATGACCAAACGTGAAATTTTGTAGCAATTGGAGTGACCAAACTTGCAATTAAGCCGTTTTTACTACGAAAGTGATTTTCTTTGTCTGATAATGGGTCGGGAATCAACCTTCCAGCGACCCTTCCTGATTAAAGTGCCTTTCGCTAATTGTACACATGGCGCATAGCTACGATTTGCATATAAATATTGTAACTCGTTGATCATAAGGGTTAGGTCATCCTGAGTTCTTGACGATATCACATTAAAAAATTTCTTTTATTCGCCGGCATGAGAGCAGGAGGCGTAGCGCCGTCGCCGCAGGGTGGTGAGGCTGAGGCCCACCTCTCCTCCCTCTCCTTCGAGGAGCACAGGGAGCAAACCACTGAGTCTGCCTCGCTACTTGGCGTCGTTGGCATGAAGCGAGAGAGCCCCGACTGGAGAGCAGTGGTCGTCACCAGCAATGGAGACCAAGGAGCAAGGAAGTGGGAGGTGTCCCTGACAAGAGGTAGTGGTGAAGGTCGGCTTGGTTCGAAGAACAAGGGGTGAGAGGGCGGCGAAGGTTTTGGGCATTTAGCTGCCTGTTTCTAATTATAGTTTCGCAATTTTCCCCCAAGGCGACCAAATCATATTTTCTATTTACATTTTTTTAATGGGCTGGCGGAATGGTGAAAATTTGAATATCAGTCAGATGCTCGAGCGGTTTAGACTCAAACATTTTCGATCGCACGCCAACATGTCGTTTTTGTGTGTGGCTTTTCCACTGATTCGAGCCGGACTGACAGTTTGGTCCCAGTTTTACCAATGGATCTATCGGTCCGAACGAACAACTCGAGTCAGTGTTCAAAACATCTATTGCTTTCCATGTGAGGATGAGAGTGTAGTGATATGGGTTATATGATTTGAAAAGTTTGGCATGGTTGAATTATTCAACGTATTTTAAATATTTTACAAGCTAGTGAGATGGGGTCTTTATGTTTATTTACCATCTGAATTCTTGGAATTAGATGGGAAGAATGATCTTCGATTTTAATACATTCTCGAAATAAAAGATAAATGGGTTTTAGCTAAGATAGTGTTATAGTGTGAGGCAACCCATTTTTCACTTGAATGCAATTCATCTAAGACTTCTCGATGTAATCGAGTAAGGGTCGTTTGGAGAATATGAATTTAAATCTATAGATTATCAATAATTTAAAGATTCTAAATCTTCGGATTGTTGAAAATAGATTTTAAAATGTTTATTGTTTGGTAACTGTGATTGTTAACATTCAATGAAAATATAAATTTTAATTTTTAATCAAATAACATGTTTATCCTTAATAAAATATAGAGTGGTTCGAGAAATATTAAAAACTTTGTTGATAAATATATAAAAGAAAGAGAAAAGGTAGGAGAGAAAAAATCTCACAAATCAAGATATAGAATCTCTCTGATTATGAGAGATTTGAAATCCGTAGATTTTAGAGATTTGAAATCTTTAAAACTAAAATCCACAATACAAAAAGCAACAAAAAAAAAACATAACTTTCTACAAAGTCTACGGATTCAATGAATCCACGCCCTAAATCTCGTTGTCCAAACAACCCCTAAGTCAAATGATATATTGCTAGATTTTAAGTTACTAATGACTCGCTCCTAACGATTCACATTGATCATAAGCAATTGGGGTTGACGAGTTTCATGACTGGGATATGTCTTTGGTCGGGGACAAATAAACATTTAAGTGTGGGGATTTGAAAACACTTTAAGTATACACTTGTGACCCCACATTACTTAGGTTTTTGTATGCCAAAATTATAATACTTAGGCTGCATTTTGATAAAATTTATGCTAAAGAGTCGATGGTTAGAAAAATGAAAGTTTTAGCACCAGTTAGTTCACTTTGGGCATTATTCGTTAGGAACCACTTGTTGTCATGTTTTATAATTGTGTAGTGTTTCGATGATGCTTAAGGTCTTACATCATGATGCGATTGAGGATCAATTTACATTTCATTTGAGCACTGTTGGGGATCAATTTACAATACAAAATATCAAACAGAAACGATAATGAACACACAGATTTACGTGGTTTCCCCGTTCAATGTGAACGAGACTATTCCACGACCGAAACTATACGATTCTTTTATTCAGCTTAACTTCAGCATACAGGTTACATACGTATATATATGAGCTAGGGTCCTCAAACCCTAGCTAGACTATCGGCTAATCCCAAATCCGATACATAAGTTAAGGGGGAATGGGTCGAGCCCACATATACATTAACAGCCTCCCCCAAATTGACGAGGATCTCTCATCATCAATTTGCGAGAAAGATAGAAGCGGCGCGCAGCAGTGAACGACTTGGTTAAGAGATTGGCTATCTGGTTCTCCGAGGAAACATAGAACAACCGAAGAATGCCATATCGGACCAAGTCACGTATATAATGCAAATGGACTTCGATGTGCTTAGTGCGCTCGTGGAGTACTGGATTCGTAGCAATCTGGATGGCACTCGTGTTGTCAACATAAAGCTGGAAATGACTAGCACACTCTACACCCAAATCCTCCAAGAGTCGACAAAGTCATACTAGTTCAGAAGTGACATCAGACATAGCGCGGTACTTAGCTTCGGTAGAAGACTTAGAGACCCGATCCTGCTTTTACAACGCCATGAAAGAAATGATGCACCGAGGCGAACACACCACCCCATAGTGGAGCGTCTAGTGTCAATGCAACCTGCATAGTCAGAATCAAACAATGTCTGAAGCTCAAAAGAACCCGTCGATGGAAGGAAAATGCCGACCTCCCTCGTGCCCTGTAAATAACGTAATATGCGATGAACCGCAGCCAAGTGATCTGTACGGGGGGCAGACATAAACTGACTGACAATATGAACTACTTAGGCGATATCCGGTCTCGTAGAAGTCTAGTAGATAAGACTGTCGACCACACTCCGATAGTACTTTCCCCCATCAACCAATAAATCGCCAGACTCACGGCTAAGTTTCAATTTAAGTTCCATCGGAGTGGACACAGAGCTACACGAATCAAACTGGGAAGACTCAAGAAGATCAGTAATATACTTTGCTTGGCTAAGAAGAATACCAGCCAAAGACCGCTTGACTTCCAGACCTAAGAAATATGAAACAAGACCGAGCTCCTTCAAGCTAAACGACTCGTGTAAGCCCTGCGTGAGAGCCGCAATACCCAGAGCATCATCACCTGTCACTATCATATCATCAACATATAAGATAAGCACAACGAGTCCCACGGAAGTCCGCCAAGTAAACAAGGAGGGATCATTAAGACTCTGCTCGAAACTAAGAGATAAGATAGTAGAGTGAAACTTATCAAACCACGCCCGAGGTGCTTGCTTCAACCCATATAGTGAACGACGCAGAAGACAGACCCGATAACCTGGTGGATGTTCCATATAGACTGTTTCCTTGAGGTCGCCATGCAGAAAAGCATTCTTTACGTCCTCTGGTAAAGTGGCCACCCTCTACATACCATGTGCCGAAACTTGTTCCCAGTCTTGTTTTTGTGGGTCAACTTACTGATCAAGGTTACTGTGTTACGTTTTCACCGTCTGGTTGTGTTGTTCAGGATCAGAAGATAGGGAGGGAGATCGATAGGGGCAGCAAGAAGGGGCATATTTTCTACCTCGGCCAGCTGCAGTCGCCATCATCATCTGCGGCGTTTGCTCTTTCTGAGTCTAGAGATCCTTATGTGTTTTCGAGTCTACCTCTTGATAATTTTCAGTTATGGCATGCTAGGTTGGGCCACCCTAATTCTAGTAGACTTATGACCATGTTTAAGCAATAGTAGTTTGGCACCCATGTTAAAGCACAATGTTCGTCGGATTTTTCATGTACTAGTTGCATTGAGGCTAAAACTACTCAGATTTCCTTTCCTTCTAGTCTCGCGGTGAGCTATGATACTATGTTAGACAATACAAAATATCAAATAGAAACGATAATGAACACATAGATTTACGTGGTTTCCCCGTTCAGTGTGAACGAGACTATTCCACGGCCGAAGCTATACGATTCTCTTATTCAGCTTAACTTCAGCATACAGGTTACATACGTATATATATGAGCTAGGGTCCTCAAACCCTAGCTAGCCTCTCGGCTAATCCCAAACCCTCCAAACCTGATACATAAGTTAAGGGGGAATGGGCAGAGCCCACATATACATCAACAATAATAAGGAGAGAAAGTAGTCATGATACATGTCACCGCCAAGCCACGACTTGGTTACGGCAATGACGCATATCAGGGATAGAAGAACTTCACATCATAGTCATGGTTGCACAATATCTGGTCGTGAAGCTGCGGCACGAGGCGAAGAGTTTCACGGTCAAAAGAGAGGTGGTTGCAACCAGGAAGTAAAAATCACGATCGTGACAGAGATCAAGACGAGCCAAATCAAAATGCCTCCAAAGGCCTTCGAAGCGACATCGTACTACAGGTCACGACTCACGACCAAGGTCAAGCCATGACCTAATTGTTGATGCATGTTTTGATGATGGTCACGACTCTGAATCATGACTAATCCTCAGGTCCTGCCTTGTATCTGTGATGTGATCCAAAATTCAGCATAAAAGCCCCTACGTTTCACTTGAAAAATGAGAATCGACCTAAAGTGAGAAATTCTAGTTTAAGGCAGTCCCTAGTGAGAGGAAACTCATTGGAAGAGGTAAGAAATGAAACTCAAGAGCCAAAGAGAAGGTTACGAATCTAAGAGAAGTATATGACTTTAACCTTTGGTTATCATATGTTTCTAGTTGCTTAGTAGAGATAAATTCGGGTGTCTATACTGATTTCGGTATTTAAATATAAATCTAGTTATGATTTTTAATATATTTATATCTATTGATGTTTTATCATGTTCATCCTTGTTTTGACCAAACTTTAGTGTGTTGTGGGCCTTGACCTAAGAGTGAGGATCCCAATTAGGTCGAGGTGAACACACATCAATAAATGACTATTATCGATTGCATGACTATTGAGTTGTTTAGTTGCTCTTACTTTGAGTGAAAACCTTTAATTGACAATCTAAACTTAATGCTTTGAGTGTATGCATGTCCCTCGATAAACTTAGCTGCATCAAAGGGACTTTGAATGCATAACCATTGATTGATGGCTAGCTTCGGACTGTATGCAATTCAGAAGATTAAGAATGGTTTTTTATGGTTTGCATCAATCGCGTTTTATTCTACAACTAGATATAAGTACAAATAAAAGAGATTGAACCATTATGTGTCTGTATGATTGGTAAATTTTTTGAAATTCAATAACACATGTATGAGAGGACAAGTGGTTTACTCTCTATCGCGAGAGGAAGAAACCTTTTCACATAAGGATATTAGCTATCTCAAATATTTCATAAATAATATTTGACTTTTTTTCACTTCGAGAAAGATATCATGTAAATTGTATAGAACAATTATTTAATCACCATCTCATAAACCTATATTGAGACCACAATAATATTCTTGAAAATGAATTGTTCAAGTACAAATTACTTAAGATTATTAAAACAGTGAAAATATAACTTTGAATTACTATTCAACAGAAAAACAACTTTGAATTTACTTAATCGAATAGATAAAATGCAAAACTCGCCCCTTTTCTTTTCTCAAAATTTTTAGCCTGACGCAAGTGCAAAATCCACCCCCTTCACTCTAAAGTTAACCTAAAAAAAAGCAAAACTCAAGGCGGGGGACAAAGCTGGCAAATAATAAATATATATAGGCTCAGTTTGGCCCTGCGGTAGTTTTTGCAGAAGCAGCTTCTGGCTTGAGCTTTTAGAGAAGTACTTTTCAAAAAAATCAGTTGAATGTTTGACTAAAAAACTATTAAAAGTGTTTTTTAATATGAGAGGTTGTGTAAAATGACTATAAAGGACTTATATTATAAACTATGAATAATAATTCTAAACAATAAAATGTAGTCAAAATGGATCTTGTTAGACTTCTTTTATATTAGATAATATGTTTTTATTATTTATTTTATTTTTAAAATGATATAAATGAAAGAAAATTATGTTTTCTAAAGTAAAATTAAAATATGGGAAGGATAATTTTGTATTTTCAAAATAGCTTTTCGCAGAAGTTTCAAATCGGAGCTTCTGCTTTTATGTTATACAAAAACGCTTTTCGACTTTTCAAAAACCGAGTTTTAGAGGTATTTGCCTTGCTTCAGTTTTTAAAGCCAAAAACACTTCTAAAAGCCGGGCTAGATATAGGCATAGATCAATTGAGTGGGCACTTGTGAAGTTGGAATCAAGTTTCTTGTCACGTTAGGTGACAAGAACACCTAATTCACGCATTTTTTCATTTATTCACGCCATATTTTCGTTATTCACGCCATATTGACATTGTTCACGTAAGAGTGTTGCTAATTCACGCAACCGATATTGTTTAGTCACGCAACCTGGTGTCAATTCACGCATATTGTTATTTATTCACGCCATTTTGAAATTAAATTTTAGACGTTAAAATATATCAAAATGGATGTCATTGTGTAGATTATGATCAATGCAACATATTTTTACAGACTAATTGAGAATCCAAATTTAATTCCATAAAATATAGCCAATACAAATTATTAGGGGGAAAAAGTCTGAATTTTCATTTACGTGAATAACTTACACTCTTACGTGAATAAACATAGTATTACGTGAATACACACAAAATGGCGTGAATGAATACAAAAATACGTGAATAAATTGACATTAGGTGTTTTGTTACCTAACGTGACAAGAGATGTTTTCCCCTTGTGAATTGTGATTCCAAAATCTAAACCCACCCACTTAAATCCTTTTCACTTCCTTCGATCTAAGCCGAGGTCAGATGACATAACGCAAAACCAAACACAACGCGGCAAAGCTCTAAACAAGTTCCTCTTTGGTCTCTCTCTCTCTCTCTCTCTCTCTCTCTCTCGTTAGCTTCATCCATGGCCGAACCTCCTCCCTCAACACCGGCCGCCGCGCCGGGATCTAATCCTCCTTCGGAACCCGGAAACGGCGTCCCTCAATCGGATCCAGCTCCCTCCCCATCTCCGGCGCCACCACAGCAATCACAATTCTCGATCGCTCCCCCGCCCAACCCTAACCCTAACCCCAACCCCAGTCCTACTGCCAACTCCACCAATACTCTGGTTCCGCCTCCTCCGCCTGCCTTTCCTTCTGCCTACGGTCTGCCACCGCCGCCTCCAATGTCTGGCGCGGCTGTGCCGCCGATGGCACCGTCGTTTCGTCCAATTCTTCAGTTTTCTCCGCTTCCGAATTACCAAAACCAGACCGCAAATGGCGTTCAGCCTCCAGGAGTTAGTTCAGGTACGGTCATGACTTCCGCTCCACCGGCGATGCCTCATTATCATGTTCCACCTGGTCAGCCGATGCTAAGACCGCCTTATGCTACATTACCCAACGGTTATCCGCCTGTGCCCGGATCTACTCCTCAAGGAATCATGGCCCCGCCTGGTGGGTTATTCTTGTTCTACCCCTCATTACCTACTTTGTACCTATCTTTCTCTCGATCCATATTTATCAGTTCTGGGTTTTCTTTTTATGCCCGTACTGTTGCATAGTAATCTGTGTGCTGGATAACTTGGATGGCAGTGAAGTAATTTAATGATTAATGATGTGTGATAGTTTGTTTTAACAAAAGGTTATTAGTGGGGATTTTGGGAGGAAAGGGCATCGATGACCCTGGTGTTTTCTCGTACAGTGTCTTGATTGATTACGGTTGGAAGGGCTTCATTGATATTGCTTAAGAGACTATCACCTTCTTCTACAACCCTGTTTTGGTATGCACTGCTTAGTTCCTTCTGATTGCATTTAGAATAATAAATATCCTCTGATGGTGCAAGTGAGAGTTTACTGTTTTATTGCGCTAAAGAATCAGCATATCGAATTCACTGAGCGAAAGACTAAAGCACAATCCATTATGTTCTAAACTCTCTGGTTGTGCCATGTTTATTTTAGTGGGCATCTTTCTGGTAGTTGTAAGGATTCTTTCCCTTTCATGGGTTTATGAATTGCCAGCAGCAGACCATGTTAGCAACTGAGTGCTCCTTGGCATTTTACTCTAAGGTATTGACCAATCCTTCAATTTCAGTCCTTTTTGTTCTTTTCCTGCTCCTTGTGTTTTAAATCTTAATTTTGGACAACTAACAGTTGGGATAAGTTAAAGTAGCTATAACATGATAGTCTAAGACCGGTCATCCATAGCTTGTGTGAGTCAGAAGTTGAAAATCTCATGCTACTCAATGTCAATTATCTGCAATTTGGTGCATGGGGTAGTTTGAAAAGGCTGCCAATAGCAAGTGGATGCATGACTGAGGTAAGTGAAGCCCATTTAACATATCTGTGTTTATGAATCCGATCCTGCTCTTCTTGATCTTTGCCTCAGGTTATCTGTTCAACTGGTGATACTTGATGCCTATGGTACCGTCTCTAGTGTGATTTTATTGTGTGGTAACTGCATTAATTACTCTTCATAATTCTTCCTTACGCATAAATTGTGGTGGGATGTACAGTTGCTACCATCTTGTGTTGTTTGTGCTTCTCTAATATGTTGGCGTAGTTGTTATTTTATCTTATGCAGGAATGCCTCGCTATCCTTCACCTTACCCAGCTATGATCCGTCCCATATTTTCTCCACGCCCACCTGGTGCACCAGTTGTACTTCCAATGACTCGTCCTCTTGTTCCAACTATTCCTGGCGTTCGTCCGATTATCCCTCCCATTATTAGGCCAGTTATACCTTCCGTGACACCAGCGGAGAAGCCTCAGACTACAGTCTACGTGGGCAAGATATCTCCAACTGTGGAGAATGACTTTATGCTCTCCCTTCTTCAGGTTTGTGATAAAGTTGTCTTCTTTGACTTCATGCTTCTTGTCTGTGGGAAAGTTGATTATTGTCACTGTTTTTTTTTCTAGTTTCTTATCATGGTTTTGCACCAGTGCAGCTTGATCCTTTCCTTATTTTGTTTATTTTCTCTCTGTTACTTATGGAAAACAATTCATGAAGTCGTGTGGAACGGTAAAGAGTTGGAAACGTGCTCAAGATCCTTCTGATGGGACTCCTAGAGGCTTCGGCTTTTGTGAATTTGAAAATGCTGAAGGTGTTCTCCGTGCATTACGTCTGCTCAGTAAATTTAATATTGATGGGCAGGAACTGGTGGTATGTTATATTTGGCTACTTCTGGTCACGAATTGCTGATTTTCTGTTCACTTATTATCCGAGTACATTACTTGGTTTTCTGATCTTACTTATGGATTGCAAATTGCAGTTGAATGTTAATCAAGCTACACGAGAATATCTAGATCGATATGTTGAAAAGAAAACTGAAAATTTAAAGAATCTCATGGAAGGGACGACTAAGCAAGATGAGGCCTCAAATGACACAGAGAAGAGTGAACCTTCTGAGTCATCTGAAAAGGCTGGACCTGTGAAGCCTTCTCCAAATGTTTCTGAAAATAACAATGAAAAGGGTGACAAAGGCAACCATGACCTGGCCAATTTTGGTATTGTCACCACTGAAGATAAAGAAGGTGACAGGGCAGCACGCGAGAAGCTTTCTAACATGATAGAAGAGAGGCTGAAGACCAAACCTCTGCCACCACCACCTCCTCCTCCACCTCCACAACTTCCTAGTGATGGTTCTGGCAATCCAAATATCGAGCAAACCAAATCAAGGGATGGGGACTCGGACATTGATGCATTGAAAAATGGTTAGTCTTCTGAAGGGATGTGTAAAATTTACTCTTCTCCATGGTACGGGATAATGTGTAGTTCCACAGCCAAAAATCGTTTCTTTGATTGATTTCGTTCTTGTTCTCAATTTTCCAGATGCTGCTGAAGAGAAAAATAATGATGAGACGAGTAGTGATTACAAAGCAGCAAGTGAACATGATAGGCCTGAGGTAAGCTCACCAGACAGGAACAGAAGGTATGATAGAAGGGGCAGAGACAAGGGCAGAGATCTTAAGCGTGAAAAGGACCGAGAGATAGAAAGATATGAGAGGGAAACAGAAAGAGAACGGGTTAGAAAGGAGAGGGAACTGAGAAGAAAGATGGAAGAGGCTGATCGTGAATATGAGGAACGTCTAAGAGATTGGGAATATAGAGAGAGAGAAAAAGAGAAACAACGACAGTATGAGAAAGAAAGGGAGAAAGAAAAAGATCGCAAGCGGAAGAAGGAGATTCTTCATGATGAAGAAGATGAAGATGATGATTCTGGGAAGAAATGGCGGAGGAGTGTTATAGAGGAGAAGAGAAGAAAAAGGCAACGGGAGAAAGAGGAGGACTTAGCTGACAGGCTAAAAGAAGAGGAAGAGATTGCTGAGGCCAAGAAGATGGCCGAAGAGGAAAAAATGTTACAGCAAGAAAAAGAGGCACTAAAACATCCACATGCAGATCTTGTGAATGGTAGTGAGAAGCCTGCTTCTCCTTATGACATGTTTATGGAAACTGCAGATGAAGTCATTGAACAGGGTGGCGAGGGTGATTCTGTTAGTGCCAATCATACAGGTGCTTCTGAGAAAATTTAGGCTTTGTATTTTCCTTTACTGATTCCCTTGGCTGGTTTGCAGATTATAAAATTTGTTGAAACTTTATATTACAGGTGATGAGGGCGTGCAGAATGGTGCTAGTGAGGTTTCAACTGTGCCGATGCTCGAATCAGAAGTGCAGCAGCAGCAGAGTACTAATGCTCCAACAAGAAAGTTGGGATTTGGTTTAGTTGGGTCTGGAAAACGTGCTGCTGTACCTTCAGTGTTCCATGAGGAGGAGGATCCTCATAAAGAGAAAAAAATGAGGCCCCTAGTTCCCATAGATTATTCAACAGAGGAATTGCAAGCCGTTCAACCTGTTACTGCTGGAGCTCAACCACCAAATCTAGCTGCTGCTGCAGAATATGCAAAGCAGATATCAAATATTGCTCCGCGGGAAGAGAAATCTGAAGTTGAAAGGGACAATAATAAACGTTCTCAACATAGGTCTGGTCGGCGGGACAAAAATGATGAGTATGGTCATCAACGATCCAGAGAAGAGAACAGAGATAAGAGCGGACGAGACAGAGACCGAGATCATGGTCTGGATAAGGTGAAGACCCCTGATAAACAGAAGCTTTTAGATGCAAAACAGCTGATTGATATGATTCCGAAAACCAAGGATGAGTTATTCTCATACGAGATCAATTGGACTGTTTATGACAAGGTACATTGCCCATCTTCAGCTGTCATGTTCCCTAACTATATTTGTCATCAAGTTCCATAACATAGCGCTCATGTGAAGCTAATGATCCTTGGTAGGGCGACTTTTTCCCTTAATGGAGCTTGGAAAAAAGTTTGGTACCATACTGATATTTGGTATATACCAACCGTTTTTTCCCAAGATGTCCAAGGGAAAAGTTGTCAAGGCCTAGCACTAGCAAGCAGGGTCAATACATACATAATAGAATGAGACCTTATGGACATGGGAAAAGTTGTCCAAGGGAAAAATTGTCAAGTCCTTATGGACACATGCCATTTATTTACGATAGTGGGCCTCTATGGTCCTCCTTTTTCCTGTTTTGCAGCACTCGCTACATGATAGAATGAGACCATGGATTTCAAAGAAGATTACAGAGTTTCTGGGAGAGGAAGAAACCACATTAGTAGACTACATTGTGTCAAGTACTAGGGAGCATGTTAAGGCTGCACAAATGCTGGAGATGCTTCAGTCCATACTAGACGATGAGGCCGAGATGTTTGTGCTCAAAATGTGGAGGATGCTCATCTTTGAGATTAAAAAGGTGGAGTCAGGCCTGGCTTTGAAGTCCAAATCATGAGGTTGGTGATTTCTGGTTTTTATGAGAGGGATAATATTCAGATGTAGGACTATTATCGTGGGAAAAGAGTAGTAGCACTAGCAATGTTCTTTCTCTGGATTATGCTCCGGTTCGATTTTTACTTTTCGAGCAGGTGGTTTTCCATGAGATGAGCTGCTCTGTTGCATTTGCGATTTAGATGTGGAAGACGAGATTAGATGTTGAAAGTGTGTTTAGAGGAATTGCGTGATGGTTTTGGGCAAGGCATGCAGAGGGACTGTTCTACGCAATGTTTCAGAACCGAACCGGAGCATGACCCAGTAATTCGAATGACTCGCACTTTAGTGGTCCAATCGGCATTAGACCGTTTAAAAACGGTTAGAAAATTGGTACCTAATAACCGTTATCAGTATAAATAGTGGTCGAATCAGCACTTTATTAATCAGAGCTCGTCTCTTTCCTTCGAAATTGTGAAATGGAAATAAGGATTCAGTTTGAGAGCTCGACGTTTTTGTTTATTTCAATTTTCTGCAATTTTTTTAATTAAATTTAATGGCTGAATGAAAAAACCGGACGAGTGGCTCGATCGGCTCGAGCAATTAATCGCCTCGGCCGCTGTCAACCGCTACAGAAAAACAAAGCGACTTTTAGACTATTCCGAGTTGATTTTGTGACCGAGTGGCAGTTTTACTAGTCGGGCCGAGCGGCTCGGCTCGACGTTAATAATAGGGATGGCAATTTGAACCCGGCCCGCCGGGTAATACCCGACCTGACACGCGATGGGGCGGGTATTACCCGACCCGCATTAGCGTGGGGCGGGGCATGAGTATCAACTTCCGACCCGCCCTGCCCCGCCCACCCTATTCTTACCCCGTTCTATGTCAATTTTTTACCTCATCCATTTATAAACCTCCTATTTGGACTTTTATTCGACTATTTAGTTTGATCTTTCAACTAAATAGACTCAATTACTTATTATATTATCACTATTATTCATTCATCAAGTATTTTCCCCTTCGTTTTATCATAAAAAGTAAAATTGTGCGTGTATTTTTCTCAAATAGCATGTAAGAGTGGGTCGATCCGCCCCGCCCCGTTCCCGCACGGGTATCACCCACCCGACCCGTACTAACGTGGGGCGGGGCATGGGTATTGACGTACCCGCCCCGCCCGACCCATTGCCATCACTAGTTAATAACACTGGTTCTACGGGACGTCCTTGGATAGAAGTTGGAAAGTGAAATTGGGGTATTTGATATGCAGCTTTTTTGTTCACCATGCATTCAATTTAGTTAGAATAAAATAAATTTTCATTATAGCCGCGTCACTGAAGTATAGCTATCTCGTTGTGGCTCAGATGAGAGTAAAATCTTTTAACCTGGTGAACAAGAGGATGTTGTTTGCCCAATCACTGTTGCATGTGTTTTGCTTCTGAAGAATCATCGGACCACAATTCGCAACGCTTGTTTGAAATTATTTTCACTTCCGTCTTAAGTTGTTGGGATCTATTCTGATGCTCTGCAGGGATTTGCTGCTGGAATGAAATGCATTTTCAAGAGGGTGTCGTTTCAAGAAAATACAATGTTTACAACCAATTATGATATTTTGGCACTTGTGAATTGAAAGAAACTCAAATATTTTTAGGAATAAGATTGAGAGTGTCTATGTGGTTATCAATCGAATTAGCAGGGCAATATGTGAATGTTCCCTAGCACATAAGTTGGTCTCTCCTCAGGAAAGAGTCTCTCTTTACTCTTTGTTTTTTGGAAACAATTCTGCTATGGTCTTTCCACCTCTATGATGATTTACTTCTGTAATTTCTCCTTCTCATGTATCTTTATTCCCTTTGTACTTGGAGTTAGTTCATTTCTCATGGAGCCTCCACTTTTTAGATGAATAAATATATTCACACATTCATAAAAAAAAAAAATTCACTCATTCATAAAAAAAAATAAACTGGTTGTCAATTTCAACTTACTGTTGAAATGATCCACTTCGTGTTTTTTCACAGTGAGATCAAACATTATTTCATACTAAGTTACAAGAAAGATGTACATTTATGAAAAACTAGAAATTAGATCTAAAAATGGTTCCATCATTCCCAACCAAGCAACACATTTTTTTTTAATTTGGCCGGTTTCAGTCATGTACTTATTCATATCTGGCTTATTCCGTTTCGGAATATCTTTTGAAAAAAAAAAAAACCAAGCAGCACATTTCCATGAACATTGAGAAGAGTCTTCTGATAATGCGGGAGCAAGAATTTGACAGTGACATTTCTTCTAGACAAACACATTCATATCCATATTCTTGCTCTAATTTTAGACCTTTCAAAAGAGCTTTTGCTTCATTTGGGATAAAATAGAACAAATGATAGTTACAGCTTGTCTATGACAAACTTGTCCATGGTTGTTAATGACCACAATGACCCGTTGGCTGGAAATTAATTAAAAACAATCCATCATAGTGGACCATCAAAAGGATTATTTGGTGGTGGAGAAATTTGTGGCCGGTTATCCCTGAGCTTAGTATTTTGGGGAGAGAGAGGGGAGACTAATCGGACATGACGTTCAATTAATAATGTCCCCAGAGGTTGCCTCGCACATGGTTGAGAGGCTAGGGCGATTGATTCCCGAAGACACATTCATTCACGGTGTTTTTGGTGTTCCAGTAAAGGAAAACAACATGAAAAATACTCCGAGTCTGGAGAAAGTCCTTGAACGATCATAACCAGTTAAAGAAAGACTTGGAACGAGAGAGAGAGAGAGAGAGAGAGAGAGAGAGAGAGAGAGAGAAGGGCACTCAAAGTACTAAGCGCCTGAGGGTAAGGAAATAAACAATGGGAGATGGACTCATCTGGATGTTTGCAAATTTCCAAGTCCAAAAGTCATTCTAATCTTCCTTCCCGACAGGAATTCTCTGAATAGACTCCAATTCATGCAAGATGATGTTTCACTCAATCATCTCATATTTCCACGTTGTATCTTCTTGGTTTGTCTAACCTTTAACTTTTTTCTATTATTGCAGCCCACTCCTAATTTATGAAGGAGTGGTATCCATGGTCTTAATCAATCCATGTCTCCATCCCTGAATCAATCACCAAATTGTACTAACATCAAGGACTTTCATTGAGTCGCAAAGACTCGCTTAGATCCAAGACGGTCTACTACTCTTCATGGCCGAAAAGTAGGTCTCCTATGGGAAAATATAAGCCTTTGACAAGGCGACACCACAAAATCTCGGGAGAGTGAAGGAGTCGCTTTGCGTGCTTCGCCAAAATAGCCAAGTTGAAATCTTTAAAACTTCTGAATACCAACCCCTTTCGTTTTGGGAGAGCAAAAAACTCCCCTTCTTCACTAGTGCATAGTCTTTTTTTTTTTTTTGCATTGACCCACATCAAAATAAGTTGATAATTTCTACCCAATAAAAAGTTGATAATGAGATAATCCATCTTATTAGTGAGTTACATTAGAAGGAGGAAAAAATACATGATGTACGACGGAATAGCTTGTATGACTACTTTGAGATGGACTTCCTTCTCCTGTGGGACATGAGAAGACTCTTCCTAGATTTCCCGATATTTTCCATCCTTTGATTGGAGAATTGATTCTTTTTTTGAACTTCCCCACTCAGTCAGAACAACCATGTATCTTAAGTAACCGTTAACATAAGTAAGGCTAAAATTCACACTGAAAAACACAGATGATTTATTGATATGGATTTCCTAACCTATGATAGCTCCATACTCATTAATGATCCCTAAAATTCTCCCAACCACTTGTTGAGTGACTTTCCCAAAAGTAACTGTATTATCTGTGAACCGACAATCGGTGAGGACACGACATCTAAGGTTGAGCTTAATGCTCTTGATGTGATCCTAAGAATGAAAACATTCGACATAAGAATGAAAAGGGAGAGAAGTGCCCCCTATCTAATATCACGAGACGATGAGAAGACTTAGTAGTTTCACCATTGAAGATGATGTGAAATTCATCATACATATACTAGCTCGGGCCCATTTGCACCACCTATAATCAAATCCATAATATTTCAGAAGGGTTTCCAAGAAATCACAATCCACCAAGTCATAAGCTTTTCAAATATCCAACTTAATCATCATGTCCCTCATTCTACCAAGCTTATGATTTTTGAAATGACGGAAGGCTTCATGAATATAGTCTTGGATGAGACGACTCCCCCCTTGCGAATGCAGTTTTAAGCTCCAAGATAATGTTTGAGGTTTCACTTTTTGATTCGGGGACCATAGCAATATGAGTATCATTCCACCCTTCAGGCATGTTCTCTGTTTGAAAATAAACCATGCATCTCTAATCATAGAGTATCTCTTACTTTTGTTCTAGAAATGTATATAAAATCGGGGAAAAAACCATCAAAACCCTACACCTTCTTTGCTCTCAGGCTGAAAAAGTACTTTCCTTATTTCCTTTGCTAACCAGAGCATAGGGATAGCAATAATATATGTAATCGTGGATATCCGCCCGAATTCGACCTAATTGGGTAGGGAAAAACTCGAACCCGAAGGGTTTCTAGTGGGTACGCGTAAATTCTAAACCTGAATATTCTCGAATAATGGATGGACATGGTTTTCTCACTATCCAACCAAAATCCGTCCGATTATACACATGCATATGTATTTTCTCTAGAAATATCATTATTTTTCTCTAAAGTATTTATATTTAGCAATACAAATATAATATTTTCATGAAATTGTGTTGTTTACTTGTTTTAATTAATTTTCTTCATTCTAGTGATTTATTGTAGCACTTTTTCTCTTATGTAATGTGAGTATAGGTGTGAATGTTAACATATTTAACAATACAAATTATTATCCATGGATAATCGTGGATACCCGAAACCCGAACGGGTATGACATGGTTTTGATTATCTACCCGATTCTTATGTGGGTATGTGTATGAGTAAAATCCGAACTATTTTGAGTAAGGTAACGGATATGTAGTATCCGCCCCCGACCCGACCCATTGTCATCCCTAATTAACTAC